GACGAAATATTAATTAATTAATAATTAATTAAGAAATAAATTATATGGAAAATATACTTACTTCGCTTCGTTTCTAACTTACGCGGAAGCCTCGTTAGCTATTATTCATTCTATTAATCGTTAATAGAATATTAATTAATTAATAATTATTTAAAAAATAAATTAAAAATAATAACTTACCTATAGCTCGCTAATGCTATATATTATTTATTACTCTAGATATATAATTCTTAATTTAGTACTTATAAATACGTTTTAAGTACTATCGTAGGTTAGAGGTCGAAAATTAACGGGTTTAATTAATTAGTAATTAATTAATATCTTATAAATATTAATACATACTATATTTCCATATATATTACCGTCGATACGAGCGCGATAAAAGAACTCGTTAGGTACGATAATCGGAAGGCCGGCTTAATCGATTAATAGTTAATTACTAATTAATTTCGGGATAATATTTACCTCGTTTAGTTCGAATTCTAATATACCTTTAAGGCGCGTCGTAAACGAAGTATATTATTAGTACGCCTCTTAAAGCTACGTTAGTAATAATTAATTCGTAATTAAATATATACTTATTAAGAATCGAATCTTACTAATAAACGAAAGTTATATAGCTTTACTATATTATTAGAAACGCGAATTAATTAATAGGAATATTAATTGGTTAGGTGGTAGTAGGGGGGTAGTAATAAGAGGATAGTAATAAGAAGGTAGTAGCGGTAGTAAGTTAGTTATTATAAAAGGAAGGAAGGGAGAAAAAAAAAGGATAGTAAGGGAAAAGGGTATTAAGTAGGGATTAATTAAAAGGATTTTACCCCTAACTAGTTAATGGGGTTAGTTATTTTAAAAGGAGCTAATAGAATCTTTAAGAAGCTACGACCCGCTTTAGGGTAAGGTTTAGGGGACTAGTTAGGCTAATCTATAGACTCCTCGTTAATTGGCTATGACATTCGGGGAACGGGACTCTGTTAAAGTCCTCATACGACTCCGCCGCGTCTATTAACAAGCACGGACCACAGCATCACCCAATTGGCGGGTGCGTCGGCCTAGCAGGTCCTGGGTTGCATCTCCGAATTCACACAGATAGGGATGGGCCTACTCGCCTCTAGGCTGGAATGGGCATCCTCCAAGCGGGATAAGAAGACGGGGTTGCCCGCGACTTAGCTGGTTCGATGCATCGACCTACCTCGGTCGGTCGCTATGGAAGAAGATAGGTATATTATATTATATATATGTATACCTCTTAATTAGGTGCCTAGGGCATCGGCGGACCTGCCTCGAGTAGGAAGTACCCGTACAGGTACATGCGCAGGCGCTAGTTTAGTGGAGGGTAATTACCTCATTAGCCTCCCAGTGGTTCCCAGTGGCTTCCAGGATCAACTTGGTGGAAGTTCTGGAAAACGACCCACCTAGGTACTTGGAGCACCTAAGGCAGGTACGTACATTTATTTACACTCGCTGCGTGGCTCTCGGTATATCTGAGGTGTGATCCACCCCGAGCCTAATACCTTTCTGTCTGTTCCCGGGTTATATAGGTGACACTTTATCTGCATGTCTAGAACTCCCATCTTCGGTATCTCCACTATAGGCATAGGCCTATATAGTTATATGCTGGCTGCATTGATGCTATACCCATGCCTACCTTACTTCTGTAACCCCCATCCAAAGCCCGTACAGAGAGGCAAGTTGGGCGTGTATCTACTCTACCTACTACGCACGCGACGTCCAGGTACCGAGGCATGTGTGGAAGGACGCAATAGGCGCGTCCCTTAGTCGAGATAAGGACGGATAGGATTAGGCTAGATGCTGGGATGCAGGTACCTCGCCTACCTTAGGTACCTACCTACCTCTACCTACCTACCTACCTACCTCTACCTACCTACCTACCTCTACCTACCTACCTACCTATCTACCTATCTATCTAATCTATCTTAGGTGCCCGAATAAGGCGCGCAACCCGCCCCGATGTGGTTACCGAGTCAGACATAAGTAGGTGCCCATATGCCGGGCACGTGAACGTATACGTGTGTGTGTCTGCTTGACGCTTGTAGATAGACGCAGTCCGATGCTACGTGCTATCCAGAAATGTACACCAAAAGTTGCCCGCCTAACGATTTGCCTCGGGTACCTGCTGTCCATGGTAATATAAGGTTGACGTGCTGCTGGATTAGGTACATATATGTCTGTGCCCTATATCGATGTAGGGGCATACCCATGCGAGTTGGCGAGCGGAAGCTGGAGGTGCTCACATACCTTGGGTAGCTTAAGGGGGGGGATAGGGTACCTCACTTATAGAACCAAGCTTGACAGGGAGGGACGGTGCTGCCAACCGACAAGTAACCATCCAGGTGCTAACATACCTTGGTATGTTACTCCAGGACACCTTGTATACCGTACATATAGTAGGGGTTGAGAGTGCGGCTCGAACTCTACCTACCTATCTGCTATATCACATGTCTACCAACTTAGGGAATATACATAGGCCTGAAGAGTGGGTGTTTAGACCTGTGCGCCCTCTGTTCGTCTATAGGCGCCTATTCGGTTTTCTGCTTCATTTCGACCAACAGCCCGGTAACCTTACTGACGTCCCATATTCGGATATATACCTACACCTATGTCTATACTTAATCAAGGCGAGAGAGGAGAGGCGTCAACCAATTGCATACTTCCTCTAGCCTCAATGGGCGTGTATGGACGGAGACGTTGTATACCTGGCTGTACTTACCCCTATATAAGCGCACATCACGGTGACGGAATTTATTAATAATAGCAACGCTAAGGCATGAAGGCATCGTCTCGCCCCTCCACTCGGCAGGGTGGCGCCGCCTGCGCGGGTGGATTGGCGCCAGCCTCCAGCGCGGCCGATGAGGTAGGCAGGTACCCATGTACATATACCTACTACAGCCTGCCTGCCCGTAGTATGCGGCCCAGTCGTGTGCATACATCTACCAACTTACCATATGAGTAGACCTGCCTCGTGCCTCATAGGCAGGTTGCGTAATAACCCTTCAACCCATCATCGTCTTTCGGTGGTCCATTTCGCCCAAAATGTCGTCCGTCTTCTTCCTGACTTTCCTCTGTATAGATAGGTATTGCGATTGGCGTTGCCATGTACACTGCCCGTCGAGGTCGACAGTCTGCCTCGATTGCCTCCGAGCTGACTTGTCAATACGTATGTGTGCGTGCCAGCCTTTCCCCTCTCTTGCTCTTGGCCACTGACTGGACGGCGTTTAGCACACACGTACGTGACGTGTGTGTGTGTGTGGCCTGAGGTCGCGGTCTTCAAGCCCTCACGTATGACGGGAGCAACGCGGCCACGCACCTACATACATACGTGCATACGCCACCGAGGACGGGTCCGTCAGTTCGCTCTACACGTACATACATACCACATTGGATGGCCTCCTCCCAAGGCGCCCACCACATCGGTCTTCTTTCGATCAACGGGACTGTTCGATCCATGGCAGATTCGTGCGAAGGAGGCGTCATGGGCATATGCGCGCCTCCAGCGTCAACCGCCCGCCTTCGTCTGCGCCCCCACTCGCAATGCTACCCTGGGCGATGACCCGACTGGGACTATATGAGTGTATCTCCCACACACGTACGACGCAAACTCTGTATGTACACATCAGATTCTTCAACAACACAAGCAAGATGACACCAGCCAGGTAGGTCAGCATTTGACAGGCATCGCATACCACGTATGCGTGTACATGCATCTTAGGCCCCAAGCGGATTTTCGTTCCCACAGCCGGGGTGACATTGGGGTCTTTCAGCTATCAACAACTGTTCCTCGCCTTACCGGGGGAGTTCGCGATCTGCTTCTCTCCCATTTCCGCGAGGAGAAAGGAAGGAAAAAAAAAATCCGCCGAACAGGGTTTTTGTTCGACGAATGCCCAACCTGCGTGATGATCTCAGTGAGACCACACACATATTCAAGTCTCGAATGGTGCCAACATGGAGCCTCGGTAAGTACCGGAGAGAAGACCAATTGCACTTTAGAAAGAAGAGAAAAGGGACCACGGCTATCTGGAAATGTCAATCACCAACGAGAATGTGACGCGGGTCTGGGCTAAAATGAGACTCATCTCTTCCCCTACCCCAAACCACATTGCGTTCATCGCAGTCGGCGATTTAGTACTAGGGTGCGCGCGATATACCTGGTAACAGAGGTAACGTATTCGTGACGATGCTACCGACTTTTGTCTGACCTTCGTCATCTCGAGCCCTCGTAATTTATTGATTATGTTAGACTCGCGATGGGTCCGTCTTCCCAATCCTAGAGCCTTACTATGTTTTTTCTCCCTTTTTCCTATTCTTCTAGAAGCTCGACAGATCTCCAAAATCCCCGTCCGCTAGCCAGAGCCATGTATGCACATCCCCTATGGCCGTACTTCCGTGCATATGGCGTGTATCAAGGGTGGTAGACAGGAAGGGGATCTAACCAGAATCATCGACAAATCTCGTTTGCGAACCAGGGCTGTCTCCGACCCCGCGCGACGCTTTTGTATGTGGGCGATAATCCGCCCCTGAAAAGGAGATTTGCCAACGCCGGAAGCGCGTAGCGTGGGTCGATTACTCTGGCAGGGGAAGACGGGGGAAGATCATGCGTGCAAAATAGGTACCTACAATACACGCCTGCCTGTCACGACGCCAGTTCGACAACACGCGTGGGTGGGCTTCCGCATAGAGAACACACATATACGCACACACATACCTACTCGTTGGTCTTGCTTATATGAGATTATGGCGGACCTATAAGAATATACCGATCGCCAACCGGTCGCATGGCGACGAATCCCAGCCAAGGGCAAGCGAACCAAGTGGGATGGACGGAGCCCACCAAACTTGGCTGCGTCATGGCCGAAGGAGGACCCTATTGGCACCTGCTCCTTTCACGATGTTAACGTGGGGGCATCGCTGAATTGCCAGCCGTCGGGGCGTCGCGTTCACGCCTGCGCAGGGCGGTTGGGTAGATCAGATCTAGCCAGCTCTTAGGTCTCTGCTTCGGTCTCGCCCTCTCCCTCCCTATGGACACGTCTCCCCTGGACATTTAGGATGACCTCCGGTACGAGGCTTTCCAGGTATTCGCTGTCTCTCCCGACGAGAGTGACGGTGTTGTACTTCTTCCCCCACTGAGGATAGCTTCCGACCTTGACACCTCTCGGTGCAACCTTGGCGGCCAACTCCGTAAGGTAGCCGGCGATGGCGCTCTCGACCATCGGCGTCGAGATGATCACTCTGCAGATTCCTCTGCCCTCCGGATCCGCTAGCCTGCCGATTATGTGTGGCCTGAGGCTTTCCAGGAGGGTTTCGACTAGTTTTAGTCAGCCTCGTCGGTCTTCTATCCGGCTCGGTGACTCAGCGGCTTACACAATCTCGGGACGCCCGGCAGGATATGGACGTTCCCGTTGACGACCGAAATCGGGACCCAGAGGTCGTCGCGGGCGAACAAGGCTTGTTTCGCTAGATCGCGCGATTCGTCGATGGGAAGCTGAACCATCCGGAGCCGTGCCGTCTTGACCGGGGATTCCACGTCCCAGCTGAAGTTAGGCTGGGACTTGTGAGGCTTGCTCAGCTTCTTCATGCGCTCATACGCCTCGTCGTGTAACAGAAGCTTCAAGCCAAACGCTTTGGCAATAGATTGATAAGTGATGTCGTCATGTCTATCGAAGGTCAGCCGGTAATGACACCCCGTACCCCTTTGCGATACTCACGTCGGTCCAATGCCACCGCTAGGCAATCTATTATTAGCTTGCACGCACATTTCTGAGGGGGTCGGGGCAGGATGAAGAAAGGGGCGGAGGAGGGGGTGGCTTTTTGACGAATCCTACCTCGTGACCACGAAGTCGTAACGCTCACTCATCCTCCGCACGGCTTCTATGATCTCATCCTCGTCATCTTCGATAACCTCGACTTTCCTCAAGTTCTGCAACGCTTGTCAGCCCCGTCTCGGACCAATCCTGCCGTTCCGGGCGCAAGATTACGAGTGCGCCGGCGGGACCTTACTATACCTAGAGAAAAACACCACTTGGCCATGTAGGCCGAGTTTGTCTGCGATGTTCGCGGATTAGTCTATCGTCCAGGCCGCCATTCTAGCGCTATGGATCATGCGGGATCGCACATCGGTTGTCTGTGTCGAAACGAGGCAGGAGTTAGCTAGACGGCCTGCGGGCCAGATGCGACGGCGGGTAGGTCGCCGAGGGGTTCCCCTCACCTTGCCCCCTAGGACCTCATCGCCGATGACGAGGCAAGCCGCCGTGTGGATAGTCCTGGCGTTGCGCTGATCCGCGGCCGACGCCATGATCCCCAACGCTAGGCGGTCAGATCGAAAAGCCGATGTTGCCGAAGCAAACGCTACGGAGATATGACCTGGACCGAGGCGGGGTCTAGGAAGGTGTCGCACGAGCCCGAATAGCCGCAAGGCCATAAAAGACGGTTGCGGAGAGGCGAACGGGCCCGGATAAGCACGAAAGAATCCAGGACAGTCTCCGCCTTCGGCGTCGTCTTGGGAGGGACGGGCACACTAGGGACGGTGGGTGAGCGAGCCGGAGTGAATATCGATCGATCGGGTATTGGAGGCGTCGGAATACATTCATCAGTGGTATGTAGGTAGGGTGTCGGCAGGGAGGAGGGTGTGTCGGCAGTAAGCGACAAGTAAGAAGGGTCTTTTTTTTAGGGGATGCCTTACCGTGCGAGAAGCGGGTATTCTTACGCTTACCAGGCCAACGCAGCTCCCCGGCAACGCGGAGGGGGGGGGGGAACAACGGTAGGCGAGCAAGGCAAGACAAAAAGCAGCAGACAAGGCGGATCAGAGGGGACGGGGCGGGAATGGAATGGAGGCGAACGGGTTTAACGAGCTTCGTGCAGCGGTGCTGCCCCTCCTCTTCCTCTTCCCCACCCCTCTCGGCCTCGTCCCGTCATCGCCATATTTATTATAGGGAACCCGGGGAAGGGGGGGGATTCCGAGGTGCTAACGGCGAATAGCGCAAACGCAGCCTCAACCCCTCCCTACCACAACGGTGCGCCGACAGAAGTCCGGTTGGCTGGTGAAGCCCCCCCCCCCCGCCGTCTTGCGCACTTGTCAGCGTTGCGTCGCAAATTCTACTATTGCCGAAGTCACCTCATCGCTGATTGTATTTGTTCTATACGCACACACCATACGTATATATTTATATGTACATTTATTTGTTCAATTATTTTATTCACCGAGGAGGAACGGGGGAGAAGCAAAATGCTACAGGAGAGGAAAACGAAGACACGGAAGCGAACAGGTCCACCCAGAGACGTCGGTGAGTAGCCCGACGCACGCGCGCTATGAGCATGTTCGCCTCTCGGGCCAGGACCGGCAAACCAAGGAGCGGTCAAAGACCGCTACGCATTATTATGTAGACGGACAGCTCGCTCGCGCCCCCCCGCTCTGCGCGTATCCCGTACAATATGCCTGCCTCCGCAGCACCAAGCCACACACACTAGATAGTAGCCTACCTGCCTGCCTACGTGTAGTTACGTCCTCCACCAGCCAGCGCCTGATGTAGGCAGGTACGCATGTGCACGTTGGGAGGTGAACGGCACCGAGCAAGGAGCCGGACGGGCGCGCCCCGCCACTCGTCGGAAAGAGAGCAGCCGGAAGCCTAAGATCAGGAGACGAGAGAAGGAGACAGATAGCTTCCGAGGCGGCAGACGACGCGAAGATGGGGGGGGGGGGAGGAAACAGGGAGCAGGCCGCGGGCGCATACGCACGCGCAAGCACCCGCCGCGCCCAATGACGGGCGCAGCAGGGCCGCGTCCGCGTCCGCGTCCCGAGGCAGCCGTGCGGGCGGGACATCGGATGCCTGCCTGCCTCCCTGCCGCCGAGGCGACGCGGCAGCACGCACGTAGTAGTAAGCAGCAGTCGGCAGAGCGTGAGCGCGCGCGCGAATTAGGTATTATCTTTTAGACCGCGGGCCGGCTCGCTCGAACCCGATCCCGGGATCCCCCTCAGCCCTCTCTCCCCCTACCATGCCACCCCCTCACCTCCCCCTCTTCCTATAGCGCCGCGGTGAGGTGACGATCGAGTTCGGGCCGGCCTCGCGCGCGGGCGGTTCGCGCCGGGCTTCCGGGTCCCGCGGGGCTTGGCCCCTGTCTATCTTCTTCTTTCTTCTGTCTCCATCGCCTACGCCTCCGATTTTGTCGACTCCTCGCCGCTCTCCTCGACCCTCCGCCCCCCCTCCTTGCGTCCTCTCACTTCGTCTTGTCGGCGTCCTCAACCTCGGCCGGGGCGGCGGCGGCGGCGGCGGCGGCGGCGGTCCGGAACTTGCGGCGGATCTCGTCCTCGGAGAAGCGGCGCGCGGCGCGGCGCAGCAGGTCGACGCGCTGGGCGGGCGTCAGCGCGTGCTGGCGCGCGCCGACCGGCACCAGCCGCGCCGCTAGCCGCTCGTAGTGCCCCAGCAGCAGCCGCACCGTCACCTCGAGGTAGTCGATCCCCGCGAACACGAGCGCGCCCTCGCGCCCGTACGTCCCCTTGCGCGCCAGCAGGTGCGTCGGGTGGTCCCGCCAGTGCCGCCGCGGGTTCAGGTGGTGCGACGTGTGGTACCCGTCGTTGAAGCAGTACCGGTTGCTCTGCGGAGGAGAGGTGTCGGCGCGGTTAGGACGGCGTTGAGTTGCAAATGCGTGGGTGTGTGCGTGGGTGTGTGCGTGCGGGGACGGGTGAAGCGGGCTAGAGAGAGGAAGGGGGGGGGAGGAGGTTGACTTACGGGCACGTCGATCAGGGTGATGCTGGAGCGGTAGTCGGAGTCGGGCTCGTCGGGGTCGACGAAGGCGTGCTGGCCCCAGTTGCCGACCATGAGGCCGACGCGGAGTAGTAGGAGCGGGAGGAGGAGGGCGCAGACGGTGGCGCCGGGCCGCAGCCGCAGCAGCGCGGCGAGCACGCCGTAGTACGACAGCTCCCAGCCGCCGGCCTTGGCCGCGAGCGCCAGCCGCCCCTTGCGCAGGAAGTACAGCGGCAGGTCCAGCCAGATCAGGAAGTAGAACCGCCCCAGGTACTGCAGGAAATCCCACACCGAGTCCCGCTGGTACCGCAGCGTCGACGACAGGTCGTCCGGCCCGTTGCCCTCTACGTGGTCTGTTGCGGGCGAGCGCGAGAGTTAGCAGCTGATACGGGCGAGGGCCTCCGTTCATGGCTTGAAGGTGCGTGAGAGGGGGAGGGAGAGCGTGTGCGACAGGAGTTACGGTGTTGTCGGTCCGCAGCTGAGACTTAACCATAAAAACCCAGGGAAAGGAGGGAAACGAAAACGCAGGAGGGAAAGACAAAAAAGGGAGCATGTCTCAAGGGAACGGGGGCAGTGTCTACTGACGCAGCTTAATGTGGTGGTAGTAGTAGCTGTTCCACGAGTGGCCCATGAGGGGGTCGATCAGGTAGGGGAAGGCGAGGTCGAAGCAGCGGATGAGCAGCGGGCTCTTGCGCAGGACGCCGCCGCCGTGGATGTGCTGGTGCATCATGAGCGTGTAGGTGCCCATGTAGTAGAACTGCATGGCGAAGTGCAGCACCCCGTGCAGCGCCGTGAAGCGGTAGAACAGCCAGAGCGCGCTCGGGACCGAGGTCGTGAAGTAGATGATCAGGTGCGTCACCATGATCACGTCGCTACATAATACACACACACCCGCCAGTTGTCAGCAGCAGCAGCAGCAGCAGCCTCTCCCCTCCCTCATCCGCCTTCCCCTCTCTCAGCCGGGCGTGATGCTTGGGCGGCGGCGTATCTGGGACGAGAACGACGCGCGCGAAGGAGGGGCGAGGTAGGGCAAGGGGAGACGGGAGACGGGGCGGGATGCGAAGGGCACTCGCTATCATGGTAACATACTGCAGAGACAGTCAGCACATACGAGAGGAACTGGCTACCCGGGCGGCAGCGGAAGACGTGAAACGCAAGAGGGGAGGAGAAGAAAAAGGAAAGAAAAAAAAAGAAAAGAAAAGAAACGAGACATCCGTGTCCAACGTACCCTGGGGTGTCTCACGATGGTCTGGGCCCACTGTATGTACGGCAGCAAGACGTAGTCGTAGACGAAGGGGTGCAGGCGCGCCGACAGATCGCGCAGGTCGACCGACGAGAAGACGGTCGGCTCGAACTCGGGGCTCGCCGGGTCGTTGAGCGCCTTCATCCGCGCCAGGTCCTCCTCGTCCCGCGCCGTCCACGCGTAGTCGTCGGGAGCCGCTCCTGCTGCTGCAGGTGCTGGTGCGCGCCGGACGTCATCGTCCCCCGGGTCAGCAAGGATCGCCCGATGCGCGTCAGACTCGCCCGCGCGAGCGAGGGTGGAGAAGGGGGGGGGGAGGTGGCACGGGTGCGTTCACAAGGGACGGGGGAAGGGGGAGGCGCGCGCTCGTCGACTTTCCCGCATCCAGGATCGCGGGGTATGACTTACATCCGTCATCGTCGCCTGCGGCGGCGGCGGCTTGGCTCGGCGCCTCGGCGTCGGAGGGCTGTCGGGTCTCGCCCGCGGCGGGCTCGGCGTCGGTGGCGAGCTCGGCGTCATCGTCTGGGTGCGGGCCGGGACCCTGGTTCTGGTTCTGGTGGTGGCGCTGCTGCTTCTGCAGCCGCTGTCGGAACTCGTCGGCCAGGTTCTTCAGCAGAATAATGTCGTTGGGGGGCAGTTCCGGGTGTATTACGATCTCATCCATGATGCTGACGGATCCTTGTTCCTGTCTAGCAGAATGGGAATTAAGACAAGGGGAGGGAGGGGGTCAGAGAGGAGCAAGCTGAATAAAGGAGAGGGTTTCCCGTCTTGTTATTATTTTCTCTCTCCTCCTTCTTTGTTTACGGAGCAAACAGGAAAAGAAAAAAAAAACGTATCAGTTTTAATAGCGAGAGGAGAAAAATAAATAAAAAGAGAGCTTAGGAAGCAAGGAGGACGATGTACCAAAAGGGGCCTCTGCATGGATAGGACTGCAAAAGTAAGTACATACCTACATAAACTGACTGACTTGGACCCTGCTGTCAAGGGGCTTAATCCACAACGAGCGAGAAAAGGAGAAGAAAAAAAAAGGGTATTCTTTCACAGCTGGCACGCGCGCCACCGCTCCGCATTGTTTTCTCTTCCCCAGTTCTGCAAACCGGCCTACCTAGTCCAAAAGAGACCTAATTCGCTACTTACCTACCTACCTCGAAATGTGACTCTACACGAGACTCACCTATCTGGCATGACTCTCTCTCCCTAAGCTAAGCAGCAAAGGTGACTTGCTAACTACGTACCTCGCTCCCTAACCTACCTACCTACATACCTACCTACATGTACAGATCACCCGTCCGGCGTAGGTACAACATACCTATATGTAGAGGGTTGACGCCAGGATGGGAGAGGGAGGGGTCAGGGAAGTCGGCATTTCCCACGATCAGACCGGGGGGAGGGGGGTTTGGACAGCTGTTCCTGTTCCTAGCTCTCTGGCCCCGATCCATTTTGAGCTTTGCGCTAGGCTACGTAGAGCTCGTCGTGGGTAGGAAATCCACAGCGGCATGCCCCGAGCTTTTTTTTTTTTTTTCTTTTCCCTCTCACGCACGTTGCTTACAGGTGGCCGGAGCGCCGTGTGGTTCGCTTATCGAGATGTTCTAGGCTGTACGGGGGCACGAGAATCCCCCCGACCCGAAAGAAAAGAAAGAAGACGAAAAAAGCCGAGGTGGGAGGAGTGCATGGCCTGGAATCCCTAAGGCCTCCTTTGCTTTTCCAGTATGACTTTGGGGGCACCGTTGAGCCGCACAGTTGGTTTCAACTCCTCGTGTGTGTGTAGGACTGCGTCGACGAGGAACACCGCCGGCGTCGGAGATATCGGCGGCAATACCGCGGACTTGATCAGGATTAGATAAGGGACGGATGGCCCCCATTTCGGTTGGGAGCCCACGTTGGATGGGTTTGCCTGGGAGGTACGGAGCTGGAATACATACCTCTGCCCAACGGAGTCCTACCAACCTGTAGGGTGTGTGCGTGTGTGCGTGATGTTGTATGGACGTGTAATTTGTCCGCGCCGTACGAGATCCTTCTTCCTCTTGACCGCCACTTCCCCTAACCCAGTACACAACCCAACCTGCTGCGTGTTTATGTATGTAGGTCAGTGTTGTCTTCCAGCCGAAGTAGCATCGTGTCCCCGTTTTGCTACCTGGGCTGCGCCTGTTGTCAAGACAGCATGTTTATATCTATGTATATCTAGACGTCTCTGGCCAATGTTTATCTGTCCTCCAACCTTATATAATCTCACTGTTAACGGTGAATTGCCGAGTGCACCCGCAGGCATGGGCTCGGCTTGTGCATTGTCGTCGTCCCGCCGCCGCCGCCGCCACACCGCTGCCGGGCCACTCTCTACCCTCGCTACCTGCCGCTCCAGAACTTCCCCATGTCAAGAACCCAAAATCAAGAACTATTTAGCGTAATTTAATCGTCATCTTTCGTTGCTGGGGAGGGGAGGGGGGGTATCGTTGAGATATGATGCAGCGCCGTCTCTTTTTTGGGGGGCCTGTCCCTTTTCCCGCCTCGCGCCCCGCGAGGACCTAAATCCGTGTTCCGATTTTTTGTTGAAAAATCTGGACTCTGTTTTTTTTTTTCCCCAAACGCCTCGGTGTATGCTTGTTGAAATGATAACTCCCTTCGCCCGCCTGCAGAATGCTTGTTGAAAAGTGCAATGACGCCGTTCCTTGTATCACCGTCAAACGCATGCTGTTACCGTTGCCGCCGCCCCGTCCCTGCTGGCAGCGCCGATGCTAGTGCTTGCCCCTTCATGAATCCCATTAGTCTGCCCGTTCACCTGCGGCCCCGATATCGGGAGCGGAACTGTCACGGGCACACCGATGTCCTTGACAGCCAACCCGTCAAATAATTCAAAAATAGTCCGTGGCTGATGGAAGTCGTTGTTTACTGGTCCTGTGCGTTAGAAATGGCGTGCCCCGGGTTTAGGGGTAGGCTTACCGATGTTAACTAGGTACCACTGGTTCATCATCGTCTCGATCAAGACACGGCTAGGCGAGTTCGCGTCATGGCAATGGGCCCAGTCCATGCCAAGTCTATACGCCTCGTCCTTCCAGGCTAAGAAGCTGATGCTCTCGACAATGGTGGGTTGAACAATTTCCTTGCCCGGGAACACTCCCCACGTGACGGCATTAGGCCCCTCGAACGGGGTGTTGGTGGTTAACTTCCCCGACTGGGTGACGGCGTAGTACGACAAGTCTGGGTGGGCGTCGATTCTCCGGACGACCTCGGGGAACAATTCAGGGGCCACGAGCAGCTCGAGATACGACTTCTGGTAGACATACCCGTTCGCGGGACCCCATCCGTGTACCGGGTGCGTCGACTTCACGCCGTTCACTGCCGGCTGCGAATTGATAGTCAGCAAGCCGCGCTGGTTGAGCTTGATGAGGTCATCCTTGATAGAGTCGGACTCGGCCGTGAGGGGCGCTTCGCTCCAGGGCAACGAGGGGATGTCCTGTTCGATGTATCTGACAAATAGGGTCGCGATGTCTCGGACGGATTTCGGCTCGCCCCATCTCTTGCGGTTCGATTCGTTGGTACCCGTCAGGCCGACACCGTACGCGTCGAGCTCGCCAAAGGCCGGAGAACGCGAATCGCCCCATCTGCCGTTCGGGAACTCGTCCCATTCTTGGGTCCTCGACACGTACGACTTGTTGCGGTTGCGCCAGAAAATGGGCCGGACGTCTTCCTCGCGCCGGCCGAGGGCGAGTGATTGCTTCCACGGTAGGGCCTGCTTCCTAGGACGGGTAGTGGTTGGCATCCAGTCTAGCTCCTCTAGGACCATGCGGGTTGCTTGGGCCAGGTTCATGGTGTAAAAGTGAAGATGGACAATGCCGGCGGCCATAATCTTACGGCACAGTTCGGCGACTAGCACTTTCCCGACCTCCCTCACGGCCGAATCGTCATTTTTAACCGGCTCGAGGGCAGTCATCCACTTCTCGGGCACCTTGCAGTTCATATGGTTTGCGCGTCGGATGAAGGAGGCGTAAGTGGCAATTGGCATGATCCCGGGCACGATTGGGATGGTGATGCCTCTCTCACGCACTTTACCCACCCACCGTATGAAGTTGTCAGCGTCGTAGAACATCTGGGTAACGATGAAAGTGGCGCCCATATCGACCTTCTCTTTCAGGTGATCCAGCAGCAGGTCCTCGTCCTTATTGTCGTCGCAGCCCTCGGGATAGCCGGCGACGCCGATATCGAAGTGGTTTCCGTACACCTTTCGTATGTGAGCGACGAGATCTCTCGCGTACCGAAAGCCGTCCTCGGTGGCTACCCACTTCTCCTTCTCCCTCGGGGGGTCGCCTCGCAACGCCAGGATATTGGTGCACCCGGCCTTGTAAGCCTTCCTCAAGGCGTCGTTGACCTTCTCTTCCCCCATGTCGGTGCAGGTCAAGTGCATGCAGGTTTCCAGACCGAAGTAGGCCTGAGCCTGGACGACCATGTCGAGGGTTAGCTCGGCAATTCGGCCGCCGGCCCCCCAGGTTATGTCGATGAACTTGGGGCCGAAGTCGTACATGCGCTCCATACGATCATAGAGGTTCTGCACACCCTGGGCGGTCTTGGGGGGGAAGTACTCGAACGAGAAGGACGGGTGGCCGGTCCTCTCGGCGTCTGAAAGCATCTCGCGGATATGCATCTTGGGCAGTCTAGCGCAGGGCGGAGACGATTAATTAGGTACGAAACGAAACAACCTCGACTAGAACCGAGGCGACGACGCCAAAAATACGAAGAGCTGAGGCACGCAGGTTAGCAGGAGCGCGAAGTCACATAACAGCTTAGGCGTGGGCCAGCCGCCGGCCGAGATGTGGAGAGGTGGTATAGCAGTGGGACGAGCTTGGTCTAGCTGTGGGCTGCGGGCTGTAAAGATAGCGCAGAGGTAGCTGACGGGGAGGTAGCGGAAAAAGCAAGACCGGGATACCCACTTCGAAGTCCGGCGTAGGGAAACGCATGGAAGAGTGTTGCTCTCCTCCTGTGCCCATCTACTGTCCGCCGTCGTCGCGCTTAGGGGGAAACTCGAGATTCTACTTAGCTCCCGTCTCTTCCTATACGGGACCGTGAGAAGGAATACGCAGGGGAAAGAGAAAGAAGAAGAAAGCTCCGAATATCTAAAGAATAAGGAGAAAGCAAGGCAGGTTGTTGCTCCGAGGGAGAGATTTACATGAGAGAAAGGTGAGTGTGAGAAAGGGTCGGAGGTGCGAAGGGCGGGGAGGTGAGGAAGAAGAAGTTGAATCGGAAAGCTGGAGGACTCGGAAATTCTCTAGCTTGGGGCGACGGGATCGGCCAGCAGGCATGTCCCGCAGGGTCTCGGACGGGCTGCGGTACTTGCGGGCATGCAATCCTACCCTTTAATTCTCTCTCTGTCGCTTGTCGGTCCACGTACCCACACGTAGGGGCCGGTGTACCTATATAGAGGTACCTACCTCTACTTATCTTCCACCTCCTAGGTTTGTATGTACGTATACCTGGCTGCGGTTGAGCGGTACCCGATCTGCCTACCGTAGGCGTGTATGCAGGCAGGTAGATGTCGGCGCGGAGAGGTACGCAGTACCTACTGCCTGCCTTACACTCACACCACCGCCGACGTTGTCACCCCACCACTCCGAGCCTGGAGTTAATGCCATTGGCCAGGAGCGGCTGGGCCTAACCAGATCCGGGCTACGTCGTGCCTCTGCGGCGGTCATACAGTCAACTATTACTCCGTCGGATGTACGTGGATGGGCGGCGCATGGATGCTCTCTCTGTGTCCGTGTATGTTGTAGGCAGATATGCGTATGTGTGTGAGAAGGAGTGCGCGCGAGCGCGGATGTGAGGCATGCTATGCCGTGCTGTCCCGTAGCAAAAGCGCCTACCTTCCAAACCCGACAGGCTTGCGGCATCGGCGGGTAGAGGTTGGGAGGTAGGTATGCGGGAGCGACGGGAACACGAGGATGGCAGCGTGGAGGGAAGATACCTGCCGAATGGATGTAGGCCGGTGACTGGGTCGGGTTCGGAATGGACGCACATCGAGCTGGTGCCAACGGGACACCAATACACGCTTACTTACATAGGTACATACCTACCTATATGTACCTACATGCGTGTGTGCTCGAATCCAAACCCCAACATCTGCGAGAAAGAGAGTGGGAGAGAGAGGAAGAGCGAGAGGACCATGCTTGAGCGATTAAAATGCCAATGCTTGAACGGGCATCTATTCCTAAGATCCGGTGGGATCGACCCGGAGGGCGACAAGGCGACGCTATACCTACCTTGCAACCTTTCATCTACTTATGCACAGGTTGTACGATACCTAGGTAAGGGCAAACCCGCCTGGCCTCTGGGCAGGGATTGCAATGCGAATAGGTATTCTACAAGTGTCCATCTTGCCTCTATCTCACCCAAATGCGTCGGCGGATGAGCCAACGCCAATTAGGTACACGTAGGTAGGTACCTAATCGTGCCTTGAGTTAGGTACAGGTAGCTTACATAGACGTACTAGGCGCGCCCTCTAACAGGCACCTAACGCGTATGGAAGTTAGGTAGCTTACCGTCATGTCGACGGAGCCTAGGTTTTATCGCTGACCGCGATACGGAATTAGAGCGGCGTCCGGAATCCAACCGGTCTGCGCCGAATCCGCCATGTGCTGCACCTAACCTCCTAACCTAGGTACCCGACGTATTACCTGACCACGCACATCCTACGTAGTGCATCCGTAGCAGCGCCCGGTTAGCTGCTATTATTTCGGCTTGATGCCGCCCCAGCCCCCTCCCTCTCTCCGACTATCTATAGAAAGGGAATAGGCCAGGTGCCTAGATGAACAGGTGCTCGGGAGCTGATGTCATGGGTGACCAGATTGGCTGGGCTGGTGCTGGTGCCGGGTTGGCGAAAACCGTCCTGGGGAGAAGTGCCTGGATTACCCCTCCAACTGCTACCCCTCCAACATTAGGTACCTACCTACTGCACTCCTCGCCTAGGAATGCAACCCATCTTCCCCCCAACTCGCCTCCCGACCCCCAACTTCTCATCAACCCCCCCATTCCATCGGGCCCCCGTTCTCGTTCACGTACAAGTTACCTACAACACATGCCTGCCCAGCTGGGAGGGTATGGGAGAAACTCAGAACCGCGTGCGCGCGTGTGCGTGCATCATACCGGAGTCATGTGGAGCATCCATTTACCGTCAGCAGTGGCCCGCCGCGAGCCCACGGCGAAACGGGCGAGACTGAAGAGAGCAGGGAGATTCGAGACCAGGTTCAGGGCATGCTGCCTAATGCCTCTCGATCGACAAGAAATCAGCAACGAGTTCAACTGAAGCATATGCCTAGTCGCCGACCCACCCCTCGCCATAGTTTCCGCAGGTCGCGAATAAAATACTACCTACCTATAGTTGTCTGCATGCCGGAGAAGCTCGTAGGTTGTAGGTAGTACCCGCTGGGCCTCTCGTCACGATAGAGGAGAACAGCGCCGCGTGATTCCAACATAGTTCATCATCTAGATTACAGGCTTCCGACGAGAGGTAATACCAAGCAGAGATGACAAACAACAAGTAACCGTGTCAATGCCAGCAAAGACGTCTCTATCTTCAAATAGAAATCAAGATTACGTTGTGCCCACGATGAGAGGAACCGGATCCAGCTGGTATTTACTTCATAAGCTTATGTTCGGGCGGGTCTCTCGTATACCGGCGACGCAACCCAGCATCAATCCCACGCCTGTCGTTCTGTCCGAGCCCGGTTTGAATGCCAACTCTCGGTAAAGCATATTCCTAACAAACCACCAGTTCCTGTAGTCAACCCTTTGTTACGAGGCCTAAGTGCGTTGACCTGATCCCCCCTACTCCTGCTCTACCAGCTGTTCGAGACATCCTCGCCATTTGCTGGGGTTCGGATGATAAAAGCCCCCTCGGGGTTGAAGCTCGCGAGTACTGGTAGGTCTTGCTTTCTTGGAGGTGGCGGCATCTGAGGCCGCCTGTGGCAAACCCTTACCCTCTTACAACCGTACCGTCCCCATTCTTGCCTTCGCAATATTATAGGTTTCGTGGATGCCGTTTCGGTAATCATGATGTGCGAGGGGTTGAAAAGAGACCACGCTGTGGAACACTTCGGTAATAGAGGTGGCATCTTTCGACGGCCCGCATGAAGGAGATCTTGCCCGAGACTGACTCTCTCTCTCGCCAACAAATATTAGTTTGTAGTTCTTGGTTTGAGTCAGTTGGCTGGTCACCGTTAATCGAATCCCTCCGTTTCCTGCAGCTCTGTCCCCGGCCCTATTCGATTTCACGGGTCGCGAGGCAACAACTAACTAGTAGGCGAGAGCAGTAGATTTAAGTGTTTTTTTCCAACTCGCCACATCACGACACTGAAGACCTGGTAGAGAAGTTTCACACCCTGTAGAATCGGGGCAGCCGCCTGCAGAGGATGTCGTTGTAGCAATGATAGGGTGGCCCCATATTGATGAGCCGTTTTCTCTCGGTATAGAAGCGTGCTGACATCGGCTATTGGGCTGGGCTGTTGTGGTTCGCTTCTGTTACTATCGTTGAAGGATAGTAAGCGTTGGGAACCCCAGGCTCCGTCGTGTAGCCCGGAACCATGCTCGATCGAAGGGGCCAGACCAAAGTCTATAGGCGTAGGTATCTCACGAATGCCCATCCGCGGAGCAATCTCTTGGTGATTACCTAGGTGTATATCCACCTCCGCCCAGTTTCGATAGCCCTCCGTATGGGCTGCGAGGTCCGTGTTACCTAGCCGCGGGGGGGGGGGGGCGGATGAGGTAAACAAGCCCTGTCGTTGGCGATGGCGCGCTCTCGTCCACTATTGGACCTCGACCCAGCACGCTTCCGAGACGGGAGGTCTTGGCAGGCTGCCCACAACCATGGCTGCCGGAGGCCCCCAACGAACGCGCAGGCAATATCTTGCGAGCACGGTGGTGTGGCGCGCCCGTACCCGCGCCCAGCTACCGTAGTGCTGACGTGAGATTCTAAGGCGAGAGAGTCCCCATCCCCCGGCCCTAGCGCAGGTGGGCAGACAGTCGCGACTTGGGACTGGGCCGCTCTCACGTCCCGCCGAGGCCCGAGGGGCGGAACGCGTCAAAACGCCATGTTAGTCATTGGGTGGGCGGACGAACCCGGTGCGAAGGCAAGCTAGAGATCGGGTGCTACTGCGCCGGGCAGCGCTGGTAGCACTACTCAGGGGTCCGCGACTTCGCCTCGGTGCATGATTCGTACGATGGGACGGTGCCAGATATGCGCCCTGTGAGATGACATGTATGATAGGCGGCCAATGGCAGAGGCGAAGTCCCACGTGGTCGTATTGCTGGGCCACACAGCCCGCGTTACCTATGTGAGAGCCTTGCTGGAGACTTACTGACCGTCTCACTTACGTAACCTTTGCGATATAGCCGCGAGCCACGTAAATTCCTATGAGTACGCTGCTGTATTGTGTGTTTTCCACGTCGTTGTCTTTCTTCTTTTATTTCTCGAGTAGGTATCTTGGCTCTCTCTTTCCGGCGATGAGCTCGGACACATACATGTCTGCCTATAAATATGTAGACGTTCGTGCCATAGGTGCCTGCTGTCGAGCTCCGGTGGACCATCAAGGCCAATTGCCACGCCTACGTCCTACCAGGACTCATACACAACTCGCTTATCTGCTGCGACTCTTGGACAATAATGTCTTGTTATGGTCTGCTTACGTAATGAGTCCATGACTGGAAGTGGTTCGACAACTCGACACGCCTGCTTGGCTTCAGCCCTACGGATCTCCTTCTTTCGCTTAAATTTTTTCTCGCTTGTTTTAATGATGGTCTCTTCGGTGCTCTGCGCTTCGGGTTTGGGAATGCAGGGATAATCTGTCAACGGCCTCGTGTCCTCATTTGGCGAACGGGTTCAGCTGGTTGAGGCTTCGGTCCCAATCGAGTCAGGGGGATTGGTTAGGTTGATATGTAGGTACGTAAATCTCGCCAATCTCAACAAGGGCGACATTCTTGGCCTGAAGCGATGTGTATCGGTGCTAACTACGCTAGGTCTTACCCGAAAGTTTCACGATGAGACAACGGAGAGCAGCACGGCAGACTGCTGCGTGTGGTGGACACCCCCTTTTCGCAACACGTCCGTATACATGAATATATAAATATACATGAATATATACCTATATTTATATCTTCTCGGGACCGTAGGTGCTATATCGTAGGCGCCGCCAGGCGCCCTGCCTACCGATTACAACTGTCGTTCCCTGGGTATACCTAGTTCGCAGGTGGTTATGAAAGAGATTGGTGAACCCGTTAACTAGCACGCCCGTCTGCACTGGCATAGCCAACGGATGCTTAGCAGACCTACCTACAATCTCCGCCATATACGTGTACACGTATGTGCGCACCTCTGTGTCTATGTCCGCACACGCTGGTATCGGTTGATGCCCGTCAAAGGCGGCGGAAAACCCGCCTACGTGAAGATAGATGTGGCATCTGTTGCCTATTACTTGCCCGAATTGGGGGATGGGCGCCGACGGGTCCGGCCGCTTTGTTCCGCCTCCTTGGGGGCCATTTTGGCCCCCAGGCCCTTTTCAGAACACCCATTCTGTCAGTCATCCCCCATCTTGTATCTATCTATGCCTGTTACGGGTACTTCCGAGGCTGTGCGAGTGCATCGAGGATTTGTGGCAGAGGCACCGTAGCTTAAAAAAAAACATATCATACACGTGCATACAATCCCTTCACACTCGCTATTTCGGTAGGTAATGTATGAAGCTGGATTCTCCTATCACGCCACTCTTCCTCTATTCTCACATCTATATTATATAATTAGCCCAAACCGAGCACTCCTTTTATCTACGTCGGTGGGACCTGTAGCTGTACGGATTTCACGTTCCTCAGGGTCCCATCGTGGAGTTGGCTCAGACACTGCTGGGGACTTTTGTGTGTCTAAATTCTAGTGATCCGGACCGTTCCCACTTGCTGTGATCGTCGGGCTACTTAGCACCACGTACCTACACAACAGCTTACTTGGCACGCTAATCTGGGCAGGATACAAAACCTCCACTCATAGAAGGATATGATAGTGGGCTGCGATGAAAAGAATTCACAGTGATGATCCGACGTCATCTTCGAAATGGACGTGCGATCAGTGAAGTTGCTTAGCCTACTTGACCCTCGAGATCGGCTCGGCTCGTGAGATCATGGGACCTGCCCATTTCCATGGATCTGGCAGCTGGGCTGTTCCCTGAGGTTTGGTATAATAGTATCGCTACTATAAGATGCAATGGCGGGTTAGTCTTATTGCACTATCTGTGTAAACATTAGGCAACTACATAATGGCGTTGATAGGGTATATACACACATACACACAAAGGCACATACGTAGGTATATCCGTACTTACATACCTACCTGTATGTGCCTTGCACAGGTGTATCTACGAGGTGCAGAGGATTTCGTAACCGACGGGAAAAATCATTGCTTACCTTGGCCATTCTATACCCAGCCTCGTCGTCGCAGCACCCGTGGGCGTTTCCACAGGGGAGATGCCCGGGATTACCTAGCTAAAAGACGGTAGCGGTTCGGGGCTTTTGCGGTGCGGCGCACCGACTAGCATATACTAGAGTACGCACTCCTCGCAAGACGGTCAAAGACGATTTTTTTTCCCTGAGCCTGGGTTGCATTTGGCTACGGAGACCCCGGTCGATCCCCATGCAACCCTGCCGAGTCGCATGTAGAGGTTGGGTTTTTCGGGGCGGCGCCAAGTAGAATGTATCTATCGCATGTAGGTCTCGCCTAGTATAATTGAGAAGCCCGGATTTTGTTCTGGGGTGCTCGACAGCTGGGCGCAGGGTATAGCAGGGGTCCCGTTTGGCTTGAATAAGTGATCCGCCTGTGACCTCCGCAACCCATTCATATCTCATCTGTCATCCCGTCATTCCTAGCATCTCCGTTCTCCTGTCTGTTCCGACCACGATCTGCGTTCTGATCATGACGGTCGGGAATTGCAGCGACCTCCAGGAAGCCGTACCGGAACCGATAATATAAGCAAAAAAACCTATCGTCGTAATCGTCGCGTGGTGAAGGATGCCCCCCAGGGTGAGTTGCCTCTCACGGGATTTGTCACAGGATTCGCCCGACTCGCTGGCGTGCTAACCGCAACTCAGTACGACGAAGCACCTGAGTTGACGCCTAATAACTTACCTGAAGTGCATCTCCCGCCCTCCATCTCGGATCCGGAGGTGTACGACCAGCCTGTTCAGCATGTGCTAGTCCAACCTATAACACCGGTTGAGCATGTACCGGCACACTATCTGCCAACGCCGCTGGCGCAGCCGGAGGAGTCGTTTACAAACCAGAGCACTCCAAATCCGGATTATGCGACAGTTGACAATCCGACGACGCCATCTCCGTATGGCTACGAGCAGCAGCCAGCCCACGGCGAGATACCGCCTGCTGAGCAGGTGAAGACGTCGAGGCGAATATGGGGGTGCTCGGTACTGGTGTTGATCCTCTCCGTCATAATCGCCATACTATCCGCTGCCGTGATAGGGCTGGCGGCGGGGACGGGAGTCGAAGCAAGCCGGGCGAACGATGCAGAAGCGCGGTTGGCGGAGATGGTTGCTTCGCCGGTGACACTCACGGTGACCGCACCAAGTCCGAGCCCGACGGGCTTCAGTGCTATCGACAAGGGATGCTCGACGAATTCGGCGGGCGTAACCAGGACCAAATACAGATCTCAATGTAAGCCTAAATACGGCACGCCAGGCCGGTCCAAACCTATGGGAGAGCCACGGTCGCTAACCGATCCATCAAAGTCTTCAACACGCCCACCTTCACGATATACTGCAATAGTGATGCGCCGAACCCCCCTCTCCAGTCGCTCTTCGTCGCCAACTTCGACGACTGCATCGACGCTTGCGCCTCCTATTCTTTTTACATACCCTCGGATTTCCCCAACGCCACCGCCCTCAACACCACCTGCGTCGGGCTCAGCTTCATCCCCGCGTGGACGAACCGCGACTTCGCCTTCGACGGGAACGCGCCTGGGAATTGCTATCTTAAGCCCGGCCCGCAGAACGAGACCGCGTTGAGGACTCCCAATATCGGGGGCTCTGCGGTGCATGCGGCGATCCTAGATTCGTAGCACCGCCCTGTCCCCCGCGGCGCCGCTCGCCAGTCTACGACTTCGGTACTTTGCATGATTTTTAGGATAGACCGACGAGACGTGCACTTGAAATGATAGCAACATGCATGGGAGTTGGGGTGTTTGTGTGATGAGCCTGCTAGTCCGGCCTGTTTGTGATATCCTAGCGTTGGGAACGGGAGATCTGCTTAACGCATCGCAACTTTTTGGTGGTGAGGAGGTTATTCTTTGTAATCCTACATCAATACATATGACCAAATCGATCTACATACGGTATTCGCTATCTGTGTGGCTCTCATAACAGGCGCTTTGGCCGATCAAGTCCGACATAACGGTTATTATCGTGTTCCATCGATAACACAAAAAGCCACCAAATCTCCTTGGTCCAGCTTCATCTGCAGATCCTTCTCGCCATGTGTAATCTAACCACCAAAGGGGGTTAGAAAGGGGAGGGAGAGGAGGAGGCCCAGTGCTGACCGACGACTAAGCTGTAAGCTGACCGAGCGCTCGATCAGTAAGGTCGTCGGCGTCGATTCCGGGATACACCTACTTAATAATCCGCGATGCCGCACCTGTCAAATGGGATCTTGCCGGCCGACCTACCGCATCACCCCATCATGCCGCCGCTGGTCTCTTATTGTCTAGTACAGCTACGAGCAGTAATAATCTACGTACCTAGAATCAGCTAGTAATATTCACAATTCGAGTGTTGAACCAAAAGAGCCAGATCGACAATAGCCCAAGAAGCTGACAAACACTTATGAACACGCAGGAATCGCGTGACCCTGGTGTGGACATGTTCTTAACGATGGCCAAATACCTAATGGAACCGCAGCACCGCCGGTTTTGCTTTCTTTATATGCGTGGGCCTGTGGATGGGGGCCAGAACCGTCACCGATTAATATACCTAGGACGCCCGAGAACCGCAATACCTACATTTATTGGTGTAGCCCAAGCATGCTGACCTTCAGTGAGGCTGAGACGAGTTTACAGGCAGGCAGTTTCTCAATGAAGCATCATTGCAGCTCGAGACATCGGCATGTTGATTACCTGCCCCCCTTCGGCCATCCCATTCGAGGCTTCGCACTTCAGGTGGAAGCGAAGCGAAGTCACACACACAAGGCCTCTTAGGCATAATCCATAAGCGAAGCCAGTGTAAGACCCTACGTGCATCAGCACGGTTCCCAATTAGACGGGATGGTAATATCTGGAGAGCTTCGGGTCTTATCTCAGCGTTTAGAGAATAATAAAGACGGAAAAAATTATTTTCTCACAGCCTCGTTTCTGAAAGGTTGGTGAGTGTTTTTTTTTCTTGCTTCTAGAACTTGTCGTAGCGGGGAAATTCATGTTCGTGGTCTGAGACGGCATTCGGAGTAACCTCTCTACAGCGGCCACAACCGCTAAAGCCCACGCTCCGGGGCTGGTTTGGGATCCCTAGAGTGGCCTTCGGCAGCCAAAATCCTTCGCCGCTTCAATATTAACGCCGCCCACGACCTGTATTGGCCCGGATGCCGCATTCGCCCATTGTCAGCAATGATTAAGGAGTATCAGTGAGAAGTCTCTTGGCGCATTTGGCGACAGCTGAGAAATCGTCTCGCAGGTAAAGCAAGAAAAGAAGTCCGGGTAAAAAAAGACTCACCATCTCTCTCCTATCCATCAACGGCAACTAAGAGGCAAATTTCAGTAAAAGGCCCTCTAACACCACAAGTAGAAGTTTGCTGTTGATGAAATCACGCAGATGAAAATCCTGACGGAATCTTGCTTCGGGACGTCGGCGATTCTTGAATTTTACATGTATGTGCGGTGAATAGGTGCCATGAGCAACCTCAGCTAATGTCGGGGAAATCGGAGAAGTCTAGAAGATGAGGTAATTCTGTTGAGATCTTCATACGGCCTAATAAAGGACGGCGAATGAGTCTTTTGAGCTCAAGTCAACTTTGTGCTGGTCGTGTCTGGGGCGTCGTGTGGAGCGCAAAGCCCATATCATACGAGCGGTATTATCGTTGAAGGTGGCCAACGCCAGCACAAGGCGTGATAGGAAACACAATAGAGAGGTAAAATTAAGATAAGATCGAAAGCTATGAAGGAGTTGATTTGTGATATTTCCCGACTAATAGTTGCAGGCAAGTGGCAGGCATAATAACAGCGACCTCCACCGCCTGTCAACTTCCTAGTCCCGTCGACACATAGATTCGTAATACACAATACATGTAAGCTCCAAATTCTTTATGTTACTGTTCCCAAATGGTATCTATGCCATCGTAACGATTAGATGTGTATACTCATATATATATATGTGTGTGTGTGGGGGTATATATTATACCCCCAGCCACCACGCACTCTCTCCCCTCGCGCCGAGATCAGCGACCCGCGCCGGGCGCCGAGCCGGGCGCGCCAGCGCCAGCAGGGCTCGAATTCGACGGCGCGCCGCTGCCGGTGCTGGGGCTGAGGCCCCGCAGGATATCGTTCATCTCCTGTTCGGTCAGGTTCAGGTCGAGATCCACATCGGGCTCGAGGAGCATGGGGTCTGACGTCAGCAAGGGGTCGGGCGCCAGGAACGGGTCGGACGCTAGCAAGGGGTCGGGTGCGTGTGCGGTGGCCGTAGCGGCGGTGGCCGAAGCCAGGGATGCGGTCAGGCTGGAGGCGAAGGGCGGCGCGGAGGTGCCGAGGCGGAGCGCGGAGCCGTCGGTGCCCGCGGCGGCGGCGGCGGCCTCGGGCGCGCCGAGGGACTCGCGCACGGCGGCCTTGAAGCGCTCGAGCAGGACGGGGTCGTCGCAGGCGGTGCGCTGCATGGCCATGATCTGGCGGGCGCGGTCGCGCAGCTGGTCGTCGTCGGGGAAGGCGGCGGCGCCGCCGACGGCGACCTCGCGGCGCACGTACGCCGTCAGCCCGTTCTCGAGCTCGCGGCTGCAGAAGACCTTGGCCGGCGCCGGGTAGCGCTGGGTGAAGCTGCGCAGGAAGCGGTTCGCGGTGCTGGCCGCCGGCGCGAACCGCCGCCGCGCGCCCTCGCGCAGGAACACCGCCGGCGCCGCCGCGAACGGCTCCATCTGCGCCGCCGGGTTCGGCGCCACGTACGGCGGCGCGAACCCCGTGCCCCCCTGCGACAGCGCCCACGACACCGCGTCCATGCCCAGCCCCGGCCCGCTCTCCGCCGGCAGGATCCCCGCGTCCCGCTTGAACCGCTGCAGCCACTCGAAGTTGTCCGCCGCCGTCTGGTTCCACGGGTCGTCGCTAACACGCCGCCACGGCGCCGACATTAGCTCGACCGCTCGCGTCTCGGGATGGGCAGAGCGGGGGGGGGGAAGGGGGGACTCACTCGTCGTATACTAGCCACCGGGCCTGGTACTGGAGCTCCTCGTCGGTCGGCACGTGCCGACTGGGGTTGTTGGGGGACATCGTGGATTTGACGTAGCGTGTAAGGCCTCGAGCTAGGCGGTTATAGCAATTCGCGTCGTTGAGGAAGAAGTGGCCGGTCTTGACGAAAGGCTTGGCATTGCCGCCATCGTCGCGGGCGTGTTGTTTTCGACAGGGTGCCGTATCGTTCAGAAGAGGTCCCAAGTACTCCGAATCTCTTACGAAGGGCAGATTCTGCGAGAGTGGTGACTGTAGTCTGCCACTGGTTGGAGAGCCGACCCAAGCATTAGTGGTGGGAGTGGCATGCACTCGTGGGTATCTTTGCCGGAAACACTCAATCCAATCTTTATCGTCGGCGGCCGTCTGATTCCATTCGTCGTCTAGCTCGTAGATGATGATGCGGGCCTTTCGCTGCAAGTCAGCATTGCTAGGCTCAATTCCCAGCGACCTTTGCTCTTGAAGGTATTCTCCGAGCTCCCGGTCGAGTCTGCTATAGTTGTGGACGGTAGAGTCGATGGTCTTGGGGTCTTTCGACCTCTGGTCGACATCTTGCAAGTCCTCGCTACGCGGGAGATGTGCCCTCTGTCTGAAGGCCTGGAGCCACTTTGCAGACTGGTTGATTAGGCGTAGCAGCCAGTTCGCCACGCCTTCTACTGGAAGGCCGGACTTCTCCTCGATCCGCCCGATGATATGGCATGCTTCGACCTGAAGCTCGTGATCCATCGCCGTCAGGCCCAATAGCTGTTTGGCTTTGACGAAATCCTGCAGTTGTTTCTCGAACTGGCAGTTCTCGAATACATCGCCATTGCCGTTGACGCGTGGCGAGGATATCCGGCCTTGGCCCCGCATCGGTCGAAAGGCAGCATTCCGGGTCTGCTCTTCCGAAGACATAATGAGATCACGAAGCCACGATGGTGTCCCTCCTCCTAGGTGCTCCGATGCAGCTTCAGCTTCAAAAATAATGCAACAAGCTTCGTGTTGTATTTCGGCATCGGTTGGCGGGTTGCCATTGTCTGTGGTGTAGTTCGACATCCAATAGTCGAGCTCTACTTTGAGGAGCTCGTAGACATTCCTCGATGCCATTTGAGAGGAGCTATGAGCTACGATCGGCAAAGGGGTGTTTCTTTCGTCGTGAATGAGATCTGCAATGTGAATTAGCAAGCTGAAGTTGGGGAGAGCTACAGTCCTCTCACAAGGTGGGATGGAGTTTTCCACCATCTCAAGAACGGGGGCTTCGAAACCCCAATCACCCTTCCAATCAGCCATAGTGTTACCTGTCTTGAAGTGCTCGGCTAGGTGGTCTATTCTGATCGTCCAGCTGTCGAGGACAACGCCGCAGAAACCGCATCGCGACCGAATCTCGGGTGAGGCTACTCGCCATTTGTCCATCGCCCACGATAGAAACTTGACGTTGTGGACGAGTTTGAGGTGTTGTCGGAGATGATCCTTCCTGTAGAACGTCCTTTCTTCCGGCGTTCGCTCGGTGCAGCTCGAGAAGTTGTGAGACTCGACGTGCGAGTCGTCTGGGTTCGCCTCGCCGCAGAAGACGCAGCTGAGTATGCCATTATCGGGATTGACCGCCCTCGGTCCGTCTGGCGAGCATATCCACCGCTCCAGAGACAGATGCAGCGATTTCTCGTGGCGTTGCCAGTCGTGCTTCGTTCTAAAGGTTTCGGTACAGAAAGTGCACTGGAATGCCTTGACTGGTTGGCCGGAACTCTCGTCCGTTCGCTTCGGGGGGGCTCTCCTCCGGCGGCGTCGTCCTCGGGTTCGGACAAATGACGGCACTGAGCCGAGGGACCCGTGGGACTTGTTGGAGTAAGCGGACGCGAACGAACCGCCACTAGAGCCGGATGTTCCCAAACTGCTGGCGGAAGATTGGTTGCACAACGATCTGCTCGATCCGTCGTCCGAATAGTTGGAGATGAAGGGACTGTTGCGGCCGGATCCAGATGTTTGAGAGTACGAGTTGGAAGAAGCCGACACGGCTCTGGCAATGGCCGCAACAGACGCAGGTTCGTTTTCGGGCGGGGAGTTCGCCCATCTCTGCAAGGGGTTCATGTTCTCGAAGAAGCCTGGCATGCCCCTCCGCTGCGGGATATCGATCGCTTGGGCGTATCCTCGACCGACGTGGGGCGAGGTCGCTCGAGTTGGTTGGACCTTGCCGCGACGGCGAGCATTCGCCAACCAGTTGGTGATCTGCACCTTACTAAGGCCGGTGACCTTCTGCAGGCCCTCTTTCTCCTCCTCGGTAGGATAGGGGTGTCGGCTGTGGGTCGACAGCCAGTTCTTGAGAACCTTAACGGACTCGCGAGAGAACCGCGCTCCAATCTTGGGCATATTCTGAGGCCTCGAGGAGGACTGACCGTCGTCTGCCGTCGCGAACAGACCTGGCATGGACGGAGCTGACGTGATCATGGCCGCCAGCTCGTCCTCCAGGACGATAGACGTTTCCGGTCTGTCTCCCATTACGGGCCAGGGGTTTGCCGGAAAGGTCGCGCCCGTTTCGGCGGTCAGGTTATTAACTGAGGGGCCAAAGCTGCACTCACGCCGGAGCGCCACGCAGCTCGTACAGTAACCCCTATATTTACCTTCTCTGATTCGCTTGCACTGATAGCCGCCCAGGGCGCAATTGGTACACGGCGCCTCCGGTGTCTCCCAATACAATGCCGAATTCGCCACCGGTTCCGGCTCTGGGGCCGCCGAGGTGTCGATATCTTGGGGTGCTTGAGTGGCCTCGAAGTGTTCGAGAGCCCAGTATGACCAATCGTCGCCCTCGACATTCTCAAACACGAGATCCATATTGGGCTCGCTGGAGGACCCGGCCACGGTGTTAACGGGGGCGAGAATAGGGGCTGTTACGCCCTCCGATGTGATCATGGGCTCAAAGCCGGTGCCAGCGGCGGCAGCTTCCCAATTGATGTATTCCATCTCGTCCTCTTCGATAGTGGTCATAAAGAGCCTGGCTTACTGCCAAGCGATTTTCCGCCTTCCAAGCAGCTGGCTAAAACGGAAGGGCGTGCGAGTCGGACAGTCTGGTCACATCCGACCTGACACCAGCAGCTCCGGGAGAAGGTAAAATTATAAATTAGACAAGAGAGGGCGTGTCAGGATGAGTCAAAAAGGAAGCCGGTCTGGGCACGGGTGTAGGCGAGGTTGGACTCGCTTCTTCATCAGAGACCAAGTAAGCACGAGAGCGGTTGGAGGGGGGCGGGAGGGAGCTAAAGCACGCGATATGAGTATTCCTTTGCGGGTTAGATCTGCGCCTGAGTTCCGGTAACGAGCGTCACCGACCTGATTCACGTCCACCGCTCCTCCGCTTATCGTCGAACCGGAGGCAGAAAGATGGAGGTCATCAAGCAAAGCAGGAGTCATCGTCTGGCTTTCTGTCGTGATGGCACACCAACTCGCTCCGGTTCTCTGCTGATAGCAAGCCGAGCCACCCATGCTAGCCATGCAACCAAGGTGGAGCGCGCCCTTGGGTTGACGAGCAGGGCGTCCGTCAACCAAGGCGGGGAGAAGGGGATGTCGCCATTGGCTACCGGTCATCTCGAGTCGCAGACTACTGCAACGGTGTATATTCTGAAGAGGTTTACTGTGCGCCGACGACCGAATCAAATCTAGCCCATAATACCGCCAAGCTCTGCTAAGGCCGTCACGATTTCTCCCAGCGTAGAGTGTTGCACTGCACACCGGAAATGACTAGGAGGATTTTTCTAGAAAACACGCCTTACACACCACGTTTTCGAGCGATAGCTCTATGTCCGTTGGCTTTCGTCTACTATAGAATAGCAGCTCGTATCTGGAAATGATTCGCACTGACCTACTTCTGCTGTTCGGCATTAGAAGGTCCTCTGTTTCCGTCCGGACGCAGAGACGGAGATACGATTCCTATATTAAATCCAGGGCTGACTAATAATAGTCTCCTATCATCACCACCCTTGGAGGGGGTTAAGAGTAGGTAAACAAGTGAAAGGAGAGCGGAGGGAGTGGAGAAAAGAGGAATGCCCGAGAAAGGGGAGGATGGGGGCGAAACAGGGGATATGGAAGCAAGCAAGACATAATACATGAAAATCGTTAACTACAAAAATCGGGATCACCTGCTCATACAGACAACGGTATAATATACCTATATATAAATAGACCGTGGTACCCAAAGTTGACGGCCATCCGGTAACAGGTCTCTATCAAGCAAACAAACCGCGAGGAGACAATCCGCATCAGTCCACTCCACGCAGAAGAGAAGTCCTAGCTAGGGGCGCCGTAAGCGGCCGTCGTATGATGCTTCAACGTGGACACCGCCCATCCCCTAAGCCCACGCATCTCACCCAGGGCTGTGTAAGGGGGGATGTATAATAAGACGGGACGCAAAAGCAACGCCTGTGGGTGGTAGCGGATGATTTTCTCGATCTCAAGATACAAAACTCAACTTCGGAGGAGACCGGAAATCATAGAGGATGGCATTGGCCCACGTACGTATGAAAAGGAGTCTCTTGTCCAGTTCCCTGCGTATCGAGATGTGTGTAACTATCATGTGCAGTTGTCTGTCTGTGTCTCTATAGGCCTCGTAGCGGGATACGCGTGAACGAAACTGCTTCGTAATCTCGGACTAGATACAGGTGTAGGCGTACTAGACTCGGATGGCTCGTGCATGAGGATGAGTACCGCAAAAGTAACGAGGGGATCGCATACACGAGGGTTGGAATATTTCCCCGTAGATAGACTTGGTGCTTACCCACGTTAGTGTGGTTGGCCGTCATCGGATTGAGTAGTATAAAGTCACAACAAATACGAGTCTTCGCTTTACTCCTGACCACATTAGTCCAATCAAGTCGGCACCCGAGTCGAGAGGAGACCAAGAATCCTGAGGGTATCTTAACAGTAGTTGTTGTCGCAAGTAAGTAATAGGTAGTAAAAGGAATAGTAAGTAGGTAGTAAGTGCCGACAGAATTAGGAGTTGCTGTAGGAGTAGCAGTAGAAGCGGCAACAGAAGCAACAAAGACGAGGTTAGCCGTCTTGAAACAACAACATCCACCAACAAAACCGACTGAAAAGGATTGGCCAACAACAAAACGGCAAATCTCAACAATCCATGATTGGACATCATAGGTGTATTGGGCATCATTTGATAAACGCCGTTTTCTACCGTCCCCACCTCCCCATTACTCCACTTCCCTTCCCCTCTCTCCACGTACATCTCTTTCGAGCCTCTCTCCACGCCCGCGGGGACGACGAGCACCCAGATCAGTCGGCTCCTTCGTAAATCGAGAGTGGAAACATCGACGTCGACAGGTTGCGCAATAGTGAGTTGGAAATTTCCTACACCCCCCTGCCGGCCGTGTCGGCTTTGATGGGCGCCCGTGCCAACGTTGGTGGTATGTTGTCCCTCGACGCCGACCACGGCTCCTGGGCTGGCGGCGACGCGAAGGGAATGTCCGAGGTGGAGGTGAAGCCGTGACCACCCTTCCGGCCTGGGCTTAACGGGAATGATGGCGTGCTGGCAGCAGGAGTCTGAGCCTTCTTCTGAGGGCCCGGCGTGCGAGTATCCTCCGGAGAATATTGCACTGGAGAGCTAGGAGGGGGCGACATCGGCTTCGACTCCCGAGGCGTCCTGATAGTGGGTATCGTTGGGTTGCGCGAGACCGCCTTAGGCCGCTCAGACCCGGACGAAGTAAGAATGTCTGGGCTGCTTGTGTCGGTCGTCCTAGATTCTAACGATACACGCCCTGTTCTGACGGGTGCGGCAGTGCCATTCTTAGCGGAAGGAGACGAAGCCTTCTGGGCCGCTGCTCTTTTCTCCGCTTCGGCTTTTGCTCTAGCCTCCTTCATCTCCTTGGTTACTACATTGATCCTGATCCTCTTCATACCATTTGTGATCTTGTCAAAATCGTTTGTGGTATCTGCAGCGACTGGGGCCGCCGTTTCGGATTGACTGATTGGAGGCTTCGGGGCTGGCATGGAGACGGCTTCATCTGGTTTATCAACCACCATCTCGGAGACCGTAGCTGAGTCTACCTGTTCCGGCTTCGAATCGGTTTGGGTGGGTGGAGGCCTCGTCTTCTTCGGGGCTCGAGCGGGTTCCTTTTTAGGAGGCGCGGGTGCCCGCGTCTTCCTGATATTCAGCGAGGAGCTGGGGGCCTCGGTTCGAACACTCATCGACGTGTCCGGCCGGGTGCTCAGAGAGGTCTTAGGCCTCTGAATTGCACCAACCACGTCGCTAATTCCTAATGAAGACGCGCCACTGAACTGTCTACTAGGTTGCCGAGCCAACTTTGGACCGTTCTGCGCTGGAATTCCTCGAGCCACGGCCTGCAGATCACTGTTAGTTATCCGTTTGCAACGCGAGAAGGAAGTGCTGGTGCTATGTACCTTTTCTGTAGCGAGGACCGGAGGGCCGCCGACGGTCTTCCTACGCGTCCTTGTCTCTTCGATATCAGGAGCCGGCCTTGCCGGCTTCCTTTCTCGGAGAGATTTCCTAACGGGTGCCTGAACCACAGAATCCTCGTCAATCGAATCGGCCAGCGATAGTAAAGATTGACGTTCGCGTCTAGCCTTGGTTGCCTCGGCGTTCAAGTCTTCAAACGTGCAGCTACCGACTTGACGGTCTTTGGGTATGAGAAGTTTGCTGAGCTCGTGGGCGGCAGTGGCCCAGGAGACATCCGGGGGAGGAGGGGTCGGCGGTCGCGAGAACGGTACGGGAGAGGGCGAATACCCTGCTAAGCTCTGACGGAACTTGGCCGGGTTTAGCGCCTTGGCTACCGACGACTGCGTCGGCGAGGAGTAGTTTCCGGGCGTCGAGGTCCGAATCCTCTTGACCGGCTCCGGTGGCGGAGCGGCCAAGGTAGCATCCATCCGGTCGAGTTCGGGAGCAGACCACCAAGTTGGGTCGAATGGGAACTCGGCCGTCTTGAACTTGGTTTCGCTATCCGTGAGCGTGTTTCGCCTGCTGTAGGATCCGATCCTGCTGCCCATCTCGTGGGCGAGCCCCCCGGGAACTTCCTCTCTAGGCAACGTAGACTCGTTGCCGGCTAGACCGCTCAAGTGGCTGAGCACACCCGAATACAGGGCCCGGTCACTGTAGCCACCTTCGAGGACACTGATGACTCGGCCGTCCACACCCAGCCCCTCTTCGGATGCTATGTTTACCACGTCCCGGGTAAGCCGGGCATAGAATCCTGTGGGTACATTGACCTTGTGGCGTTGCATTCCTTCACCCTCCCACTCGCTCGCGTCGAAGCCGGCAGACAAAAAGATGGCAGCCCTAGGCACCTGACCAGAGTTGCGGTATCGTTCAGCCTGCGTTCGTAAATAGTTTCGGGCTTTCTCTAGGATGACACAATATTTGGTGCGGTACAGCTTCCAGAACTCGAGATCGGTCTTCCACGCGTCCAGATGGACATTCCACATAGTCTGCCCGTGAGCATTCTCGATACACAGGCTAGCGTTCTTAACTTTGTCTTCGTCGCCCTGCTCACAAGGGAACGAGTTGATGTCGTGGAGACTGAAGTACCCGATTGAGGTTCTCTTCCAGGCGGCCACGTTCCGGGGCAATCCCCGCCTGTTATGTTGCCACGCAATGGACTGCGACCCGTCTCCGTGGTGCAGGTCGAAGTCGATGATGGCTGCGTGGGTCAATCCGTGGGTAAGGATGCCGTGCATGATGCCGACGTGGACATTGTTGATCCAGCAGAAACCCGAGGGGTGGGTTGCGGAACAATGGTGGCCGGGGGGTCGTACGGCGACGAAGGCACGCTTGTAAGACGAATCGGAGAAGACATGATCAACGGCTTCGCAAACAGCACCGAGCGCCCCTTCGAATGCGTCCAGGGACTCCGAGCAGAGGTAGAGGTCGCCGTCGTGGAACTTCTCTGGGGCGCCTGCGTCCGACCCACGATTCATCTCGGGCCTATGCAGCTCGCTCATGTCTAGGGCAAGCTTCGTCTCTGCGGAGTCGCACATGATCTTGAGCTCCTCCATCCACTTTTTGGCTCCATGGACGTTCGTCACGACAGTAGACGTCAGCGGGAGCGTGCGTTCGGTCTTGTGAATGCGAAAGGGAACATCAGTGATCGACGTGGGATCAAGCTGGGGATAGATGGCATGTTTTCCGTCGCAGTGCCGCTCTCCGAGTCGAACGTACGCCATCGATAGTCCCAGAACGACGGCTTGGACCCTCTCGGGGCGTTCGACGATGGTACTAAGCATCGCCTTGCTGGTGCGAGGCCGAGCGAATCGGTGTCCGTAGCAGGCATCCTGCAGGACAACCACGGTCTCCGGGCCATTCCTGGCGGCGGGCCCGTGAAGCAATTCCAATTCTTTCCGCAGGTACGCCTGTGCTATCGAAGCTGCCGTCGGCACCGGCCGGTCCCTGGGGTCGTCTGTATCCCGTGGGTAGGCGTGCAACGGCGACCTCGCGACGGAGGGCGAGTAAAGGTGGGAAGAGCTACTCCGGCGGGAGAGGGCGCGAGCCGGGGCGACCCCGTTGGACGAGTGTAGCGAATTCATCGAGGCCTTGCGGAGGAGGGTTGGTGTTGCCGATCGGGACTGTGGTCCGAGACCCCTCGAACTTGACCGGTTCGCCGGGCTACGGGAAGGGGGCCTGCTGTCGGGGGACACGGGCGATAGTCGCGAGGTTGTCGGCCTCGAACGCGAAGTCGAGCTGGGTGACGGCGATAAGCGTGCCCTCCCACGTGCAATCGTGGCAGGAGAGGTTTCAATGGTGAGCTTGTTCAACGAGTGCAAGAGTTCACGTTCGTCGAAGGCGGTATTTCTGGATTCTCCCAGCCTCTGCTGAGATCTCGAGCGGCCGGGGGAAGCCATGGCCCTCGACTCTCGGCTCATCCGAGGGGCCTTCGATTGGTCTCCCAGAGGGCACGCCTAGACGAGTGGAGGGTATATTTGTTCAGCGGCGAAGCATGCGCATGCACATCTGTGTGGTATACGTGGTGTGTGGATGTCGAATGGAGGTGGCGGGTGGAATAGGGCGGCTGTCAAGATTGGGAGCTGGTCGGACGGAATCTCTGGGTTTGCTGCTCTGCGAGGTCCCACCGGGAAGGGATAAGTGCGTTCGTGGTCAGGAATGGGATGGATTGTCGGCACGTCGCGTGGATCTCTGGACGGTATGTATTGCACTCATGGACACAGTCAACACAAGTGCGGGAGCACAATCACGTGTGTTTTCATCGCGGTCGGGAAGTTCTCGCCAGCGACGAGTACGTAGTAGAAGAAGGGGGAGGTAATGACCCGGTATTAATATACCCGGATAAGTGTATACATAGGTATATAGATATGTGTATATCTTAGGTACCTAATGGAGGTACCTAACCTATGGGCACCCAAGAGGTGGGTGTACGCCACCTGATGTACCTACCGCAGACCCTGCCCCGTCGCAGTACCTAACCTCATCATAGCGTACGTAAGGCGTAATCGATGCTTTATTACATATCTACCCCTCCATTGTGACGTATGTATGCATTCTGCATACCCCTTTGGATTTCCGGGAGACTCGTCTGTTACGCGAATGGCATCTGGCACAGCAGTTGTTTTAACGCAACACATGCGTATTCGGTGTCGTATCATGTAGGTAACGCCCATCTATGCCTAGTAGGTACCTAGGCAGGCAACTCTCTAATCTCCTGGGGGCCAACAAAATGTGCTCTTGTGTATGTCTGTGTGCTTGCGTACCCAATGTCAGTGTGAGGTAATGTCTGTGAGGTGGTATGTCTGTGAGATATGTCCCGTCCCCCCCATGCAGGTATCCAGGATCCTTCGTTAATTTAGGCGGAGCGGATAAACAGTAGGTATTACACGCGTCTTCTCGTAAGAAAAAAGAATGAGGAAGCAAACAGATCCATCGCAGCTGGTGCCATGCAACCGGTGTCAACGCATCGGATTGCCCTCGGTCTTGTTTTCGCTGTTGTTGTCTCGTCGAATAAGAGAGTTGGGCTTGTCCGCGCTTCTATGGAACGGTTCGGCTCGCGTCAGTACGTGGAGGCTGGAACTGCAAGGCGAGGTACGACTGCCGCCCATCGCGAGGGATTGGACAGCCCACCGTAGGCACCTCGACGCTGTGGAGCTCACGATACTCCCTAGTGCAACCCCCATTCCTACGTGGTCAGAGTGTCGGGAACTAGTGGCGATAGCAACCTATCCAGCCTGGACCCAGACAAAACTTACCTGCCAAATGCTTGGTGCCGCCGGTGTCGCTGTCTTATCGATAAGCCGCCTTGGCCTCCGTCAACCAATCCCCTATTGATTATTCCCACCCGCCTTGGTAAGTTGCCTCTTTCTCCCGTACATTTCTAAGCAGCATGCACCGAATGATCTGCGAGTTGCCCCGATTTTGTTCTTTTATTCTTCGTTGGATAAATCCCGCCATTTCCGCTTCGCCTCTTCACGATACCCACGATACCCATTTTCTTTTTAGGGTCGTAGTTAGGGAAGCGGGGAATAGATACGACACAGTTAACCGGATGGCTCCCTCATTGGAAGAGCCCGAGTCTGTCCAGGACGTCCTCGACAACCCGCTCAAGGCGCGCCCGCAGCTCGTCGCCCCCGAACCCGAGCACTGTCCAGGTCCCGAATCCGAGAGGGCAGGCAAGGCCGACTCGTGCGCCGGATGTCCCAACCAGGCGATATGCGCGTCGGCGCCAAAGGGCCCCGACCCAGACATACCGCTCATTTCGCAGCGCCTAGCCGGTGTGCGGCACAAGATCCTCGTGCTGTCCGGCAAGGGGGGCGTGGGCAAGAGCACCTTCACGAGCCTGCTAGCCCATGCTTTCGCTACCAACGATGACATGACCATCGGCATCATGGACACCGACATCTGCGGCCCGAGCATACCTAAGATGATGGGTGTCGAGGAGGAGACGATACACATCAGCAACACTGGCTGGTCGCCCGTTTGGGTCACCGACAACCTGGGCGTTATGAGTATACAATTTATGCTACCGAACCGCGACGATGCCATTATATGGCGTGGCCCGAAAAAGAATGGGCTCATCAAACAGTTCTTAAAAGAGGTGGAGTGGGGTGACATGGACTTCTTGCTAGTCGACACGCCACCGGGCACGAGCGACGAGCATCTCAGCGTCAACAGTTTCCTCAAAGAGAGCGGCATTGACGGCGCCGTCATGTTGACGACGCCGCAGGAGGTGGCACTGCTAGATGTACGGAAAGAGATTGATTTTTGCCGAAAGGCAGGCATACGGGTGCTAGGCCTGGTGGAGAATATGAGCGGGTTCGTGTGCCCGAAATGCACGCACGAGAGTCAGATCTTCAAGGCCACCACGGGGGGAGGCGCAGCGCTGGCGAAGGAGATGGGCATCCCATTTCTAGGCGAGGTGCCGCTCGACCCGAGGATAGGGATGGCGTGCGACTACGGGGAGAGCTTCTTCCAGTCCTACCCCGACAGCCCGGCGTGCAAAGCGCTGAAGGCCGTCGTAAGAGGTGTTGCGCGCGAGATCGGCCTCGACGCGGGGCAAGTGCTGCCCGATGACTGAGAAGATGCGAGAATAGCCAAGAAAGAAAGTAAAGCCAGCAAGCCGTCGCTGCCTGCTTGCCTGTCCACCCGCCTCCTCATCGCCGTGACATGATGGCGCTCTCGATAGCTGTCCAAACCACACCCTAATCCGTCTCATAAACACACCCTAGCCTATTCGACGGCCAACTTGCTTGGGACATCTGCCAAGTCCTCCGCGCTCTCGATGTCGATCACCTTGCCAACCTCGCTCGTGTTCCTCATCAGCTCCTTCGCACCAGCGTACGTCATGCGGCTCTCGGCGTTGCACGTGTTGGGCAGGTAATACAGCAGGACGTAGGGTACGGACAGACGGCCGGACGGCTGCAGCACGGAGCGAGTATTTGGTTGTTAGAATGTGGGAGCGTAGACGGGCGAATGCTGAGCTCTGCCGTGCAGGGTGATGGTCGGGAGGGGACATACGAGAGTGAGAGGGTAGCTCAATAGGATATAGCGCGGCGAGTTGTCGGGCAGGTCGTCAGCGATCTCGTCCAGGGACTTGTAGACTACCTTATCTTCATCCTGCTTGATCTCGTACGTCTTCTTGTCAATGTAATCTAGCCCGTCCGCCACCTGTTAGCCATCTGGTTGCCGCTTGATCGTTCTGCGAGGACTGGCGGGAGCTGCGCCATCCGGACAGAAGCAGCGAGACGTACATACAGATAACGGCTTGCGGCCCACTCGCCCGCGACGTGCCTAGACGGAACTTGCGCAGGTGATCCTTCGTCGCCTGCGAGAAGGAGTAGAGTCTTGCTTCGGAGCTCTGTTACCGTCGTCGATGATCAGCGAGGTAGGCGATGCGGGGGGTCTAGGAAGGACGGTGCGGCTTCAGATACCATATTGTCGTTGTTGCGTTCCGCTATCTCAAGGAGGGGGAACAGTCGACTGGTTGACCAGGGAAAAGTTTCCTAAGTGAATATTTCGGGGAGTGCAAGTCATCCACGGGTAAAATCTCCGATGTTGAGGTGCGTGGTCGGGCAAGTGATAGAGGGAAGTTCCGGGTGCAATTCACTACCTAACTGACCGGCTCTCAGTGCCTGACCTGTTTCAGGGCTTAAATAACCCCACCCCCGCCACGCGATGGACTGGGTAGCAGGCTGATAATGTAGACAGGCTGGAATGTAGAGAGCTGCGGTGACTGACACGAAGGGTTATTGAACGAGGCTTCGTAATCTTCTCTTTACTTGCATTGCTCCCGCTAACTTGCAGTCCCCAGCCCGACCTTAGACAGGTGAAGCAAGGGTAGGTAGGTAGCCTACCTGCTGAACGGCAGTGTAATGATTCACATGCCTAACTAAATACCTACAGCAGCTATCAAACCATGCCAGCATCCCCTCCACCCCCCCCTTTCTCTCGCCGATCGCAAGGTCATACCATACATACCATACCGCACGTATATATACTACTCCGAAATGGAGCCTCTCGGGCCCACTTGCATAACTTCAACTTCGACCGGAAGCTTTCTCATTTTTTTCATTATCGCTTTGGCATCCTCTCCGCGAAAGGCGCGGACGTGGCAGACTAGGCTACGCCGCCTGAATCTCGGCCAGCGACGAGACACCTCGTTGTTCTAGGAAGGGGAGAGCTGCTTATCTGCATCGAACGGCCATAATCATCTACAATCGACCTCGTCCCCCCGGTATCGTTCGACGGCCGGGTTGTCTTTCCCCGCGGCACCCGACCGGCCGCTCCCTATGCTTCCCCAATGGACCGGGATGAACCCAGTCCAGTCGTAACCGATCCCCCTCGTCTTAGGTATCTCGCGAAAAACAGCCGCGGCAGCAGAAATCCCCCTCCGACTTTTTCGCCCTCCCCCCAAAGTCAACCGATTGCACAGGATGGCGCCGCGTTAAGACCGACGGGAGCGTAAGAGGGCGCGATAACCCCCGCCCGTGATCCCCACCGCATCAACGCCAAAATTAGGTCACAAAAGTAAACGTATAATTACATAGAATTAATGGGGGGAGGTAGGGGCGAAGGGCAGAGGGCGGAGGGTAGAGAGGTTCGCATTCGTCGTCGTCGTCGTCGTCGTCACCGTCATCATCTATACCGCACCTCGCTCACCGGCGCTGGCCCGCCTCCATAGGGGTGGCCGGGACCGTAGGGCGCCGGCCACTGTGCTTGCGGATACATAGCGACGACGGTGGGGCGGTCGCGGTTCCGGCGTTGCGTCTCGACGCACGCGCGCACGAAGAGGGAGAAGTGGATGACCCTGCTCGCTGGTCAGCAATCCAAGCTCTCCGCGAACAAACCAGGACGTTAAAATACAAGGGGGTGGGAAGGGGGGTGGGGAAGAAAATCTCACCATAGCAGGGCGCAGAAGGCGATGACGGCCTGCACGCAGGCGCGGTACGTCGGGTTGTTGATCCTGTCGCGGAAGCTCTGGGGGCAGTGGAACAGCCTGGAGGAGCGGCCGTGGTAGCCGCGGTCGTTGACGATCTCGACGGTCTGGACGGCCCATTCAGGGTCGTTCGGGAGGCGGGCCCAGTCGTTGCAGGGCGCGAGGCTGCGCTGGACGCTGCGCCACAGCATCGACGAGTAGAAGAGCGTCAGGATCAGCGCCAGGAAGATGACCAGCTGCATGGCGACGTGCGCGCCCGGGTGGATGCCGCTGCCGCTGCCGCTACCGCCGCGCTGCTGCTGCCGCCGCCGCCGCACGAAGAAGGTGCCGAGCTCGGCCAGCGTCCACGCCGCCGTCGCCGCCGCGATCGTCACGGCCAGGATCCCCGTCCCGCCGTTCTCCCCCCCCGTCATCAACGCCCCGAGCCCCAGCACGACGACGCAGCACACCAGCGACAGCGACTGCAGGGCGATTTTGGCCCGCTGCCAGGATTGGCTCACCACCGGCGAGGATCGTCGCCCGGTCTCCATGGTGCGCAGGTGTGCGCAGGTGTGCGCACGTATGCCGGATTACGTCTGGTCTCAGCCTCGCTCCGAACTGCCACTTCCAGGGTTGTTGCGCGTGGGCGTACGTAGGTATATATGTATGATGTGTGATGTGTGCCTGTATGCGTGCGTGCGTGCGTGCGTGCGTGCGTGCGTTCCGTGCTCGTACGTGTGTACGTATGTCTTTCCTCGGGGGGTGGGTAATGTCGGCAGAGCAAGGTAAGCGCCGATTGTCTTGTAATGTAGGTGTAGTGATTCGGCCGTGTCGCACGTAGGAAGGGATCGTCAAGCGGCGGTGCCACCCGCTCAATTCCACATCGGTAGGCGGATTGGCGCCAGCATAGCAATTGGCGAAGAAAGGGGAGAGAGGGCGAGGCTCGGGGTGCAAAAAGACAGGACGGTAGGACGGTGGGAGAAGAGACGGTCTGGCCGATGACGAGAGAAGGGGGGGGAACGCGGAATGGCAGGTAATAATAACGAGATATCGAGGATAGGAAAAGGGCGCGGGCGAGGGAGCGGAAGGCCGAGCGGGAGGCCGAGAGGCAGACCAAAAAAAAAGGACGAGGTTCTCGACCATAGACGAGAGAACCACAGCAGCCAAAATCCACAACCCATTCTTCATTCGGTCCGTGCCGAGAAACTGGTCAGGCCAATGACGCGTGACGCCCTGCAACTGTGCCTTTCTCTACATGACCTCTGCCAAACCCGCCAAGGTCTTGGGGGAAGTGGAGGGACTCGCATTCGTATGGAAGCTCGCCGACTTGCCCTGGTCTCTCCCCCCCCGGGTGTCCACGCCATGATAGCCTACGCTCTGCGGTGTTTTCCCATCCCTAATAACCCTCTCCAGCGTATATCGCCTAGGCCGACACATACGACGCAGACGAGTGCTGCGTGTCACCTACCTACAGGCACAGCCTTATGTAGCACATACCTACGATGTGTGTAGTAGGATAGAGCCTCACCAGAATACAACGTGAGACCTGTAGTGCTGTACGTTGTAGAGCAATATTTACCCCCTGTAGATGTGGTAAGCGTGTTACCGATTCCATGCGCACAGAATGTGTTGTATCAAGGCCTTATGTTATAGGTAAGGCGGACAGGCAGGTTAGGTATGTATATATGTTGTGTGCGGGCATCTACCGACCTACCTACCTATGTAAGGGGTGTGTAAGTCGGTGCCCGTGTAGGAGGCGGGCATGGGCATGACTTACAGGTCAGATCTTCCTATCTCGCCCGACTGCACAAGGCCGTACAAGTAGACTGACTGGCTGGCGGCGGACTGACTGAAAACCGAAGAGAAGGGGGGGATACGAAGCAATCCCTCCTCCGAAAAGGGCCAACAGGCAGGTCGATCACGCCCCCAAGGCAGCGAAGGCAGCGAAGGCAGCGCTACGCTACAACGCACAGGCTGACTGCGGAAAGCCGACCGCGCGCAGATTGCTGAGGTGCGTGTGAAATACCGCCCCCCGACGCAGCCCAGAAAGTAGGACGAGCAAGTCAAGAGGTCCCTAACCCGTCCTAGGTAGGTGGCCTACCGTGCTTCCTTAGCCCAGGGCGCGGCGCGGGCTCGGCGCGGCAGGAGGAGCGAGGAGACGAGAAAGAGGGAGAAGCGGAGAGGGAGAGAGAATAAAGTCGGAGGAATGCCAACCCCCAAGCGCATCTGTGCTCCCACCCGGAATCACGCACGCTGGCGCGGGATAACAGTCCTGTCTACCTTACATGGCCAAGGCTTATACGTTCTTATAATCTGCTGATACCGCGCAATGCCACTATACCCGGCACCCTCCTTCTGCCTGCTCGCGCTCCCCTCCCCGACCCTATCAGCCGTCACCCTTCTCGCCGTGCGTGCCGTGCGCCAAGCCGCGCGGCGCTCCAGCAGGCCACGCCCACGCTCAACCTCCCAACCGACAGTACGACGCATACGAAATCCGTCTTCTGACCTGGCCGAGCTTGCTGCGATGCCCGCCGGCGGCAACTGATAACTCGCCTTCCACAAATCGGGACTCATCGCAGGAGGAAGCCTTGGAGACGGAAAAGAGGGTGACGGGGCACGGAAACCCCCCACACCGAAACCTAACCCGACCAATCCGCCCACCTACCTACCTATCTACTCAGTACACCTACGCAAATGTGCGAGCCGGGGGGCTGTTGCGAGTAAGGGAGCAAGGCCAGTATCACGATCACGATCCCACGTGGTGGCGCGGGAAGGGGAGGGGGGGAGGCTTGAAACATGTCGTGGCCCTAGTCGTTGGTTGAGAAGCGGAGGCGCCTACCCTCCTATAACCTACCTCCGACCTACCCACCTACCTAGGTACACATGCTTAGATATTGTTTACGGTGGCTGCGAATCTCGGTATACTTGGCCGCAGAGGCGGGCGGGTGCGTCTCGCGTGTTGTTGGGCAAGCCTGGAATGGTCTTTGGGCGTACCAAGGCTAGAGGCGAGGTGTGTGCACACGTACTACGCACACACACATCACACACGCACACAATACTAATTTCGACTTAAATATGGTAAGCGATAGCATATATACTTATACTAGGGGAGTTGGGCAGGTAGGGGGACAGGGCAGCCGTGTGACAGGACCGACGTCCATCCGCTCGACCCTCGTCGATCCTCGAGAAGGCGAAGGCGAGAGAGAGCGCCAGCACATTTCACGATCACTATCAATTCAAGAATCGCCTCGCAACCTCTCCGCTAGATCATCGGAATGAATCGCATCGCGTCTTCGTTTCTGCCTCGCGGCGAGCCTATCTGTCCGGTTGTCTACGTGGGTATCGGCAAATCCATGTAGCGCCTAGGAAAGCACATATTTCCGCCTGTTATCTACAACACCCCCTTTCGTCAACGCATTGCAGAGGGGGTCCCTTTATATCCTCGTCGGTCTAGTAAAAGCGTAGTTCCTTTCTCCTTGTCTCCTCCTCCTCCTCTTCCTCTTCCTCCTCTCTTTATCCACCACTACCCCGCGGCAAACCCGACATCGCGCTTGGGTCAGAGCTGTCTAGTCATCACCATCGTCATCCATAGCCTCCTCGCCAGCCTCCGCGCTCGTGGCTGATGGCGCAGGGCGCTCGTTTGGGACTGGGTCCTTCCAGTTCTCCATCAAGGCTTGCGGAAGAAGCAGGTCGAAAGAAGCGCGGACGTCTAGGACCTCCTTAATGAAGCGGATGCCGACGTTAAGCTCGCATACGATGGCCTTGATCTTCATCCCTTTCTCAAACTTGACGAGCAGGTCGTTCTCAAGCAGGAACTCTTCAGGCTCTGTCTTGCTGAGGTTGATCTCGTCCACGGTAGGCATGTTGTCGAAACCGAACTCGATAGCCGAAGGCTTCACTTTAAGGACTCCGGCTAGCTCACCTTTGCCTCCGTGACCAGACTGCTCGAGTTGCTCCTTTACCAGTGTGATGATGCCCCTGTCAGTTGGTCGGAGTATTTCCAGTACTTCGTACGTCTCCTCCTTCGTACTGACCACATGGATGGTGCTAGGGTCCTCGATTTTGGCGATATTAGCCGCGATCTCTTGGTTGCGATACGGCGACACGAGGGTCGCGACGCGGAACGTGACCAGCCGATCAAAATTCTCGGCCACCTCGAGATTGTCCACTCGTCTATCGCAGAAGAGCGAGCGCGCAGCTGTGTTGAACGCACCGGGAAGCGAGCGGAACAGTTCGATCGTAGAGCGGAGTTCCATAGGAGCAATGCTGCAGATGTTTCTCGCAGCCATCAAGTCGTCAAGATACTCGGGGCAGGCATTGTGCACCAGGACATAGTTGAGGAAATTCTTGACAAGGTCCGCGGCCATCTTGATGGCTTTCTCATCATACAAGTACATGCTCAGGACGGTCCGGGACCTATTGACAGTTAGTACAAATGGGTATGAAGAGACAAACTCCCGCAGCGCCTACATACAAGAAGCCTCGGACAATACCCTCAAAGTCGACGAACCAATCCCCGCTGTTTTGCGAGTTGTAGAAACGCTCGTCGTTGCCGCCGACGAAGTCTACAGCGGTCATTTTACGAATCTGGTCCGCGTCGGCCTCCGCCAAAGCTTCGGCGTCTTCAGCAGCACCCGTAAATTGGCGCGGCGACGAGTCAATGCCGCCGAGCCAGAGGTACTTGTCGAATAGCACGGAACGTTCATTGTCCATGCGGCGGCTAGCACGGTATCGCTGAATGCATTCCTCAATGCGTCTGCGCGGGTTAGTCGTTCGTTTCGCAAACCAGCATCCCAGCTATGGAGATGATATACTTACACAGCGAAACTGCGCGAACTGCGTACATGTCAGCATAATCAGGTGGCCCTGAAGCGGGCTTGAGCATGCTTACCTATCATAGATGTTGTTCTCGTTGGCAGCTTCGTCGGGGGTCATGGGGGCATCGGCGAAGAATTCTAGTCCCGACACTATCAGCTGTGCTCCTAGGTTCCCGGATTACGCGGCCGCGAAGGGAAGGGATACTTGCCTTCAAAGCCAGTGACGTTCTTGCGAGAGGCAGCGCCAGTTTTCTTCTTCTTGCCTTTCCTCTTCTTCGGCTTGGCCTCGGCGTCTCGCTGAGGATCCCGGGTCTCTTCAGCGACCACGGCTGTGTCTGGATCAGCAGGGCCTACGGTTTCGGAAGGGGAGATGCCGTCGCTCGGCCCGGGGTGCTCATCGCCCAGCGAGGGAACCTGGTCACCCGTCCCGAGGTTCGCACCATCACTATGCTGCCGAGGCCGCCCACCAGTCGGCTCGGTCTTGGCGGTCGTGGCGGCCATGTTATTGCCGCCGGGCTGTGCGATTTGGTGGCCACCAATCCTTCTTCACCTTGCTTGGCCGAATGTCCGAGCGGGGTGTCTGCGAATTGCTGATGCTGACCTGCTTAGGAAGCAGGCATATGTCAGGATGTCCGGGAGGTAATCTGCAGGGCTGGTTCTGTCCGTTCGGGGTGCTCGTCGATGGATGTATCGGTGGGAGGATAAAGTGCATTAGAGAGGCAAAAGAGCTTACGCAGGTGAGATCGAGGTAGATAGAGCAAGGCTGAAGGGGCGGAAGCGGCAGGCGTAGCCCGCGGCACCTGCCATGTTGCTGGAGTGAGGCTGTACCCGTGAGTATAGGGAAGCCACGGGAGTAGCCCGCTCTTTCCAAGATGGCAAGACGCAAGTAAAGCCAGGAGATTCTGATGTACTCATAGCAGGTACCTACCTCCTGATAAGGTGGTGCCTGTCTATAGTCGAGGTACCTACTGTACATAAGGTAGGTACGTCTTCTGTTACCTCGTACTGCTGAGGCACTCGGGGTGGTTATGGAACAAATACGAGGTAGGCTGGTATTTGAGAAACACGGAATACCTTCGAGCGTCTAAGTTACCTACCGACCTCGTATTGGTTCTGTGGTGATCGCCAGCCTTGCAGGGCAGTGGGCACTGATGCGAGGAAGTAGATAGGTGAGCAGGTCTCATAACAGCTAACGTTGTGTGCTAACCTGTGGTAGGTGATATAAAACCAGAGCCTTCTATAAAGTCGAGAAGGGGGGAGGATGGTGGTGATACCTCTAAATTCTGACGAGATTTGGCTCCGGATCTGCCGGTCTCGCGTCGCCCGTTGTCGATCAAGGTGATGTGAGTTGCTTACCTATCTAATGCAACAGCTGCATGTTGTTGCGTCAACCAACTGGTACGATATCTTGCCTGTCGGTGTGGGTGGTTAGCACTTTATATCGACAACTAGATTTTATAGCTAGCTTATACGGCGATTAGCTGCAAAAAAGATGCGCACAGAGTGCGTCATATCGCAGTCCGCCGTTGTGTGTGTTCTAATACCGTACCGACCTATTTCTCACAGCCTGCCGGTTCGGGTAAGATGACAGACCAATTTAGGGTGCTACCTTAACTAGTGCACACGTTATACTGTCATCTCGAGATGCAACACACTCTTGAGGCGCGTGCTCGTGTTACCCATCTACCATGGCTGTTTCGTTCCTATCAGAGGGGGAAGATGGAATGGCGAATGTTCCTCCTGCAAATTCCTCTACTGTAAGACCGTCTTACGCCCCCCTCATAGGAGCCTGCTCTCTCCCTCCATCTACCTAATAGACCTTCCTATCTACGTATAGCGACCTGCCTGGTATACAGACAGGCAACGCACACCTGACCTCCAGCGGCTGAGTCCTACCCCAGGAAGCACGGAGACATATCCGAGTGCAGTCCAGACTTGTCGGTGATGTATCGTGACTGATTGGTTCGAAGCACACGACCTTGGGAGTTATCGCGCGTTCCTTACGCGGCTGCGCCAGCAACCCGCAGCTGAGCCTTTCGACTGCGGCCCATCTAGCAAGATGCTTTTCATCGAGGTGCATATGCAAGCATGTCGTTGAGCGTGCCGCAATCAGCTATAAGATCTGCCATGGATGGCAGGGGGCTCAAGGCAGAATTGACCTGCATAAGCCGACCTTGCCCATCTGCCCATACCTTCGGTAGGGACCTAGTTGCTTAACGCCAACCTCTGGGACTGCCTTGCACTCTGCGTAGCTGAGGTACATAGGGACCTATGCAGGTTGCCTCCACTCCTACGCGTATATTAGGTACCTAATTTAGGTACATTAGCATATGAATACCCTCACAATTGCATGTGCCCCACGCGATGCGATGCACATACGGTGACAGCCATGTGGCTGAGCCTTAGCCTGACACGCGGCGATGGTGGCAGCGCCCCCTAAGATGGTTTAGGCGAGTTGCAGACGCATCGCATCCCGCCACAGCTCTGGACATGTTGGCGACGTACCCGGGAAAATGCCATGTTGCCGCCCGCTTAGCGACGAATTCAGGATGGGGCGCTGGGCTGAGCTAGCTGAGAACATCCTCTAGGTAGGGTTGGACGCCCAACCACGCCTCGAGAGCATGTCACTCGCTCATGCTACAAAGCTGCAAGGGCTTGGCTAGCGGTGTTCCTATGTACCTAGGTGCGTCCTACCCACCAGCGGGGGCGATATTCAGCTCCAGGGCGCCAGTTGTCCGTATAGAGGTTAAGATTCTGGGTGTTAACTGTATGATGGCTATTAGGTTAGGTAAATCCCTCTTACCTAGGTAACCTAGGGTTACCTTTTAGTGCTGGTTGTGTGGCACCGATATGCATGCGAGTATTGCACATAGGTGCATATATGCATCGAAAGGCGCCCCTCCGATTCGACGGCTACACCGGCACCTACAGTTATTGCATGCAAGCTACGGCACGGGCAGGTGGTTCTAGCCAGGTTCGTACAACTAACTGTAGGTACGTTAACCGCGCCACTACCACTACAGCTATTTAGGTACCTGGTAGGTGAATATTGTGCCAACGGTAATAAGTTTGTGCATATCCATATGACTTTAACACGTCAACGATTACCTTCTAGCTACCTACACATCGGTTCAGTACCTCCTAAGGAAGTATGTACATGCGTTAACACCTGCTTCTTATCCACGTTAAATCCAATTGTATGAGTATACGGTTGAACACCAGATAGTAACCTGCCTAGGTAGGTACCTACCTACCAGGTATGTACCTATCTAGTAGGAGGTAGTAGCCGGGGTCGTTATAGGCACATCATCGCCCATAACCGACAGGCGGCCCGAGACGGGTCGTGCGCTCAGGGGCCAGTTACAGCTGGTTAGGGTCTACGTACCGCTTCGTAGTAGTGGTAGGTAGTAGCGTGTGTACCCGGACCGCCCTCACTGTGGCCGACCCCCCCCCCCCAGTCGAGCTTGACACACACACCCCCTAACACTTTCCGGTTCTGGTCCCCTGATTTGACCCTCCTCCAGTCACATACATATTCCTTTGTTCGCCTTGTCCCACATCGATATTAAGCGTCTACGTCTCGCTCACACCTCACCTCTCCCCGTGATTCCCGCTTCATACAGCCAAACTTCCGCATATGTAGGCCGTGTATGAGATGTAACGCGCCCTCAACCTCTACTGTCGGAAAAGGCCGTTGTTTTTCTTTCAACCTGTATCTGTGCATATCCTCGTTGGTTCTTCGCCATTGTTGGCCTGCCCCCGCCTCCTCCTCGCTTTCGTCCCCCTCGTCACTTTCAGCTGTTCATTCACCGAGAGGCCAACCAACCAACCAACCAACCAACCAACCAACTGGCCCTTCGAGTCCACCCCCTACTTTCTTGCCCTAGCTGCCGACTATTTAGTCGCCGGAACTGCTCAGAGACCTGCCGTTCTCTGGGTCATGCCAAAAGTGTAGATTTCACCAGGAACCATTTCCATCATCGACAGGACCCGGGAAGGATGTTGGCCACCCGTGAAACCTTCGGCAAGAGCGCCGTGAACAAGGACCGAGAAATACCTAAAGCGGACAACCTGAAGAAATACAACCATGCGGTCGCTGGGCAGTCAGTCTTCAATTGGTGGCCCTAAGGAAGTCGTGTGCAGTACTGATCGTCGGCAGTGCGGGAACCATGTGCGACGCGGACGGCGAATTGTTTATCAAGCCATGCACGCAATCCGAGGTCGAGTTCTACGAGTCGGCGCACGCACTCCATCCCGACTTCGCAGAGCTCATGCCCCTCTACATCGGCACGCTGTCGCTGGGTGAAGACGTTGACCAAGCCACGATCCATGCACAAATACCCGGCCTGGTCGAGCACGCGGATATTCCCTCTAGCATTAAGGAAGAAATTCAGTCGCACCTGCACCTCGAGGACAGGAAGGTCGTGATCGAGCCTCTGGCGGGGAAGAAGAAGAATGCTGCTGTCGATCGGGACTCAGTCCCCAGCAAGGTGAGGAAGATCACGACGGATCGGGCCGTGGTGCTAGAGAACGCGTCCTTCGGCTTCCAGAAACCAAACATCATGGATGCCAAGCTGGGCATTCGACTGTGGGCCGACGACGCACCCCCGGAGAAGAGGGACCGGTTTGACAAGATCGCCGAGGAGACAACACACAAGAAGTTTGGCTTCCGTGTCGCCGGCATGAGGGTGTACAAGGGGTCCGCGAATGCGGCCGAGCTGGATGAGGAAGGATACAAGATCTACGATAAAGACTGGGGCAGGGTGACCGTACAGGATCACAACGTTGTCCCGTCGCTCAAGAACTTCATCTTCAACGAGGCCGCCGGAATCGACGACGACCTGGGCAAGACTATCGCCGGCTTGTTCATGCAGGATCTCCGCAGGGTGCAGGAGGTCCTCGAAAGGGAGGAGAGCCGGATGTACTCGGCGAGTCTACTCTTTGTCTTCGAGGGAGACGGGGCCGCTCTCCGCGCCGCCGTCGACGAAGCAAAAGCCAGCGCTACGCCATCGGGACGCAGGCGAGGACCGACGCGGGCCCCTGCCGCTAATCTTAGGGTAGATAGCGGCATCGGTATCGACGAAGGAGAACTTTGCGAGCCTTCGGTGACCGAGGAGGAACTGGTTGAACTCGAAGAGGACTCGGACGAGGAATCGACCTTCCCGCACATATATTCCCTCAAGTTGATCGACTTTGCGCACGCAGCGTGGACGCCGGGGCAGGGGCCGGACGAAAATGTGCTGCTCGGGGTCCGGAGTCTAGCGAAGATTTTTGAGGAAATGACCGAGTAAACGGGCCCAGATTCGCCTAGGCCGAAGAGGAGGAACATGGGAATTCTGGCAAACGTGCGGGCATGCACGGCTTGGGAGGCGACCGAGCACGTACGTGCGTCGTTCGGTGCCTAGAATCGGTAGAGAATCCCATGGGCGTCTTGCGGGAGATGTCTGGCGTTTGGCCTACAATATACCCTACCCACTGTACATTCCTCCGGCGCAGGAGGCACGACATAGACGAAGCAATCCTCATAGGACTGATATTTGCGATTAGAATACAACCCCTAGATCTCACCGTCCCCCAGCCGTGTGCTAAGATTGCCAGAAATATGTCGCGCTCTCTGTTTACGAGAGTAGCGCAGCCTGGCGTTACTGGGTTGAGGTCCCCGTCGCCTCGATTCCATAGGTGGCTGTATACTACCTATGAGTACGTATAATGTAGGCATGCCAGGGGATCTTGCCGGCGCCTAACTAATCTGCACACCTTGAAGGTGCACGCATTCTTTCTCAACTGACCAGTCCGGTACGTTACCAGGGGAAGGTCTACCCCCCCAGCTCCAGGGGCACTCGATACGTTTCAGACAACACCCCCAGTTCCGGTACCTGCATACGTGTGGTTGTATTCCATCCCCCACCCCAAGGAGATTAGGGTGTCGGCTATGGCTGGAGGATGTGGTTAGATTGTATAGTAGGTATTGTCGATGGGTGGGAGGGATGACGGAAGGGTAAGCATGTGAAGTTGCAATTCCTACTGGACTGCACCCGCTGCCAACCCACCTCTGTACCTACGGTTTAGAGGTCGGCAGCCAAAGCGCGCAAAGACCAGGCGGGGTAGGTAGGTAGGTAGGTATCTCCTAGGTACCTATCTCCTACCTACCTTAGGTACCTACCTCTGAGTGGAAGCTCTACTTAGGCTACCTTAGGTACCTAAGGTACCTAACCTAACCTCCCCACTACCTAACCTAAGGTACGTACAACCTGCTTCCTGTCAGGTACCATACAGCATGGAGTTATGGATGTTACCCGCCCACTCAAAGCACTTCCACGCTACACGTTTCTTGATAATTCAACATCTTCCAATTCTTCCCACATTCTCATCAGCTTCCTCTCCCCCGTGGTGGATGTAGTCGACGCGAAGATGTCGATACCGGGATTAGGCCAGATCCCGCCGACAGTTCGTGGCCTCGTCTCCCCCGTCGCTCGTCGGGATCCCGTCGCTAACCAGGTTCCCAGCAGGCTCTCCCGACCGCAGCCACCTCGTCGACCGCCTCGCCCACCCGGACACAGACTCTCGAGCCCTTCTGGGAGTACCGCTTCGAGGTTCCGCACGGCTCAACCCTCGACATCAAGCTGGTTTCCGGCACCGCTGAGAGGGACGGCACCGAACTTGGCCCCAACATACCTTACACGTTTACGGCAACCAAGTCCAAGATCAACACTTGGCATGGCTGTACGCTCGAGATATCCTCCCCCACCGGGAATTACGATGCCTATACCTCGGAGCCGACGGCAGACGAGACCCCGATGGTCAGCTACCTAAATCTACATTTCAAGCTCGAGGCCCTGCGCGCCGCAGCCGAGAGGACGGGAGAGATGGGGCCGCGAGTTTTGGTTGTCGGTCCACCCAACGCCGGCAAGACGAGCTTGGTGAAGATGCTTACGGGATGGGCCACGCGTATGGGCCGCCAGCCTCTCGTGGTCAACACGGATTGCCGCGAAGGGATGCTCGCTCTGCCGGGGTCGCTGAGCGCTGCCGTATTCGCCACTATTATCGACGTTACAACGGACTGGGGCACGACGCCGAGTAGCGGGCCAAGCGCCATACCTGTTAAGCTCCCGCTCGCATACCATTACGGCCTCGGGCAGGTAGAAGATAACCCGCGGCTTTTCAAGAGGTTGCTGAGTAGGTTAGCTGTAACGGCTACCTCGCGTCTCTCCGAGGACCCGGACGTGAAGGCGTCAGGGATGTTGATAGACACGGGCGGGGTCAATGTTTCAAAAGGAAGCCATGACTATCTATCACACATAGTTGCCGAATTCTCCGTCAACATCGTGCTCGTTATCGGCTCTGAACGTCTAAGCAGTGAGATGTTGAAGAAATTTACCGGGCAAAAAACCAGTCTCGGCGAATCCATTACCGTAGTTAGCTTGGACAAATCCGGCGGCGTCGTGGAGAGGGACCAGTCATTTTTGCAGCAAGCACGAGAGGCTACGATTAAGGAGTACTTCTTCGGCAGCACTGTGCTTACATTGAGCCCCTTCACCCAGCAACTCGACTTCGCGGCTCTATCGATATGGAGGGTGAGCGAAGGTATGGACGACCCTAGCCAGGAGCTGAACACCTAACAATACGCTAACGAACGTTCCTAGGGTCGATGTCAGCGGCACCCGAGGACGATATATACAGTGACGCGATGATTGAGAAAGTCGAGCCGTCGCTCATGATGCAAAATTGCATCCTGGCAGTTCTATACGCATCGATTCATGACCCGGCAGACACCATCCGCGATTCAAACGTAATGGGTTACGCATACGTCGCAGACGTCGATGAGAAGCGGAGGAAGCTGAAGATCCTGGCACCTGTTAATGCCCGGTTAGGAGACAGACCTCTACTCTGGGGGAGCTGGCCGGAACCGATGGTCAGCTTGCTAGGCTAAGTTTATCCAAGTAACCGACAGGGAGAAGGAGGGATGAACGAAATTCTAGGTAGCATTGTCTTCATTCGGGCTCCAGTGCGCAATATAGGGACACCTCGGCAGCCTTTTTAGCTTCCCCGAGCACGCCGGCCGTCCTTCACTTGGTTCCGAGCTTAAGTACGGTCCAAATCTAACTACAGAAGGACAACGACTGTGTTCAAGAAGTTGGAAAACTCTAAAAGGCGACGGCAATGACAATGCGGATGTTTGGCTACGAGAGAGGTCTAGACCTCCAGGAGTCTGCCCTGGACGCCCAGACATCCAGATTCGTGGATGGGGAAGAAATGTTGGACCAAGGAGGGCCTGCTACAAATATATACACACATATATATAGCGAGGCATTACAGCGAGGCATCACTCAAGGAGCTGGGAACCCGATGAGGAGGCCGATATGAGTGGTTCTCTACCGCGTAGAGCACCATTTGTGGTAACCACACCCGCTCGGCCAAGGACGGGGTATTCGATAGACTAGCGAACGGCCTGTCAGGGCGAGATCTGTATTCGAGGAGGGAACACGGCCACTCAATTACCTCGTATGATGGCACATAGTATGCCAGGCATGGGGATAGGGAGGCACATCTAGACCAAGCTCGATCGTGGTCAACCCTTGGCATCATGTAAATGAAAACTGTCCCATTTGCTAGTGCTTAATCGTGTCTGATGACGCTTATTTAACTCTAGGAAACTATAAATCTAGATCCCCCTCGACTAGTAGGGGAAGGGAACCGTGTCGTCGATGGCTACCAGGACACGACACCTAGACATAGTTTGGAAACCGGCCTTGGTCTACGTAGACCGAGTCGACCTAATTTAAAGTGTCCGGTAGTAGTCCGGAGAAGGCGGCTCTAGGAAAGCTATCGATGACATTTACGATGGCTATTCTGGCTTCACAGTCGCCTCGTATATTGGTTTCTTGTTGAGCCCAGAGCTCGGGTGAGGTACGGACTTCCCCTGCCTTGGGAAGGATCGCTATTCCGGCACATGTATCGTTGCCAGTTGAATGGGGATGGTTTGCGACAAACAGCTCATTCGAGACAAGAAGGGAAATATCCTTTAATACCCGTTTCGTGTACGTGGTGGGGAGTTGCAGAGCTCTGTCTAGCTGGCCTCGACATCCCCGTATTGTTGGCTACGATACTATACTTAGGAAGGATAGGATAGGGGCCATTGGAACATCTTCATATAGCATGAATGTGTATTAACTCGGCGGTAGACGAGCGGCGTCTAAGCTCTTAATCCCTCCCGCCATCGGCTATGAACTACAACCGCTGCTATATTTACTGGCCACCATCGCATACCGCGGACGGGGTGGTGCCGTATTAGCAACACCAACTTTGAAGCGGGCACGTAGCGTAAAAGGCTCTCTCGGCTGTTGCAATCATAACCATCATCCGATAAGAGTGCTATTGATATTGGCATGCCATTATGGGCGCTTTATCATCAGCGGTGGCCAGGAGGCGAGGTGACGCCACTAATCTACCTGATTCGGTATTTGGCATATTGCGTGTATGTACGCAGGTCCCATCCTCGCGGTATGAAGCCCGTCCCGCAAGAGCCCAAATTGATTTCCCACGACGCCACCCACACCCTCCTCCCCCACCGACGGGCCGCCTCCTCGCCCCGGGCCGGACGGAATATTGCAGATCCAGAATTCGGAAAGAACAAAACGGGACAGAGAGGGAGGAAGGGTTAGGGGGAGAGAGGGAGAGGGGTACTTGTTGTCTAGCGAGGAGAGGAAAGGGAGGAGAGACGCAAGATAGGTACAGACACGGACATAGACGCAAATGATGATAGAATCCAAGGATTCCGCGAATCTCGAGACCGGGCCGTCGCAGAGCGCGTAGGATCGAGGGGTAGGCGAAGAGAAGGATTCGCGCCTGGAACGGAAGCCCGGCCGTGCGGGAGCATCTCTTGGCTGGGCGATCCTCATTCTTGTGCCTTCTCCAGCTTCTCCTCCTTCTCCTCCTCCCTCCCCCACACCCCCCCCTCCCCCTCCGACCCAAATTTCCCGCCCCACGGTCGCGGCCGGCTCGGGACGTCGTTCCTAGAAGCTCTGGGCAGTCCCTTGACCTGGCGCCGCCTGGGAGGCGAGCGGGTAAGCGGGCGCGCCTAGGAGCTTTTTGCCCGGCGCGGCGCAGAGGCGAGCCACGGTAGCTGGGGCTGCCTGACCGTGGAGGGTACGTAGGCACGGTCCAGGATCTACATCGTCATCGTCGTCATCGTCGTCGTCGGCGGCCGAGATTCCCGCCGACTCAGACGCTGCCTGGTCATCGCCCGCGGCTTACCCTGGGCTCTGCGTGCTCGACGCTACCCATGGTGCGAGCGCGAGCCCAGTGGAGGCGCTGCCCTGGAGGCGCTGCCCGGGAGCCGGCGCGGGATCGAGGGGGGAGAAGGGTCTTGCCTTCTGGGGTTCGCGTGGGATTTTCCCCAGCGCCGTTGGACCGCCCGCTCTGAGAGAGAGAGATGGGGGCCGGCGGGAAAATAACACGGTCTCGCGTGCCACGCCAGAGGGAAGAAGAGGCATGCGTGGATACGTGCTGCGGGCGTGTGCTCATTGGGACATCTGGCTCGTACCTGCGAGTAACGAGGAACATTCCCGACTTGATTCGGCCCCGTGAGCTGCGCAGCACATAACCCTTCTCGTCCAGAGGCTTCCCGGTTGGGGTGATGAGACAAAGACAAGGGCCCCGTTCCCGTCTCCCAGTACGACGGCGGGGTTGCAATTGTGACCTATGTCGACTTTCTTGCAGTAGTAGCCTCTTCCTCTCTCCCCTCCCCCTTGGGGTATTTTCCTCGCTAGGGCGTCGTAGGGTAGGTATATCTACTTGCTGGTCTAACACCTTACTTGCTTCAGACGCTGTCCGGGCGGTAGAGCAGAGAAATTCTGGTGATACCTACACCTGTGATAACGGACAGCGTCCTACCAAGCCAGGCGACTTGATGGCGCCAGCGCTGACCGAACGCTGGAGCTTCATGCGACGTGATTCGAGGCTTCGCCGTTACATTCAATTAATGGGACAGCTCAAGTGATCTCCGCACTCGGGACTTGGCGATGCGGCACGATTAATTGTCATTCAGGGGGACATGGCACCCTCTCTGGCCCCCAGGTCGACGAATAGTGGTGGACTTATTCGGTTGCTCACCGGCCCGGATGGACGACATAGCGAACGGGAAATATTACTCCCACCGCTGGGGGCAAAAAAAAGAAGAAAAAAGTCTATACTCACAGTACATGCAAGGATTTGCCTTGTCTGCCTCAACGGCGAAGGGCCGATTATAATCCGAGTTCCCATCAGTCGCCAACCTGGTTTAGGAACTGCCTGCCATCCTCTACACGATGACCTCGTTAAGGCAGAGCGTCATGCTAGTACATAGTGTGGGTCAAGTTGAGAGACGAGAAGGGCGTCGATGATGGGGTAGCCCTCTAACCGGCACCCCGGCACGAAGGGAAAAAAGAATACAAAACGGGCATCCCCTGTCTGTACGTAGAGAAACTCTTAGAGGTCAGATCGGCTCACTCGCTCTCTAAGACACGCACACACACGCGCTCACTAACATCGCATCCGTGCCGTGTCTTCTCCACCCTTTTCCTCCGCATTGCAACGCCATCTCCCGTGTACCACCAGCCTAGATTCTACTCCAACCTCCCTCTTCTTCGCAGCTGTCGTTTTCATTGGGGGGTTGCGGCTCGGGGAGTCCGCTGTGCTGCTCGTGCTATGCTTGTCTCTTCCTCTTTCCTCTGTCTCTCTTCCTCTGCTCTGGTGTATGTGCGGTCTCTCTCTCTCTCTGTCTCTCTGTCTGTGCCTCATACTATTCTCTCTCTCGTGCCCTCCCCTCCCTCCACTTTCTTCGGCCCATGGTCCACCATCCCTGCAGCAGACTAAAAGCCGTTAAACCCTGGAACCAGGGCACCTTCGCAAGAGGGACCGATCCTCTTTCGATAGGCAGCGCTTGTCTCTCCCAGCACACACACCCTTGCTTGCTAACTCGGCCGGCAACCCCCTTTCCTTCCGGATTTCGATGCAGTACCGGACCAGGGTGCCGCGCAGGGTCCCTCCGGATAAACCCAACACAGCAGGAGGGGACAGGGGTCCGCTGACGATGGTGGACTCCCAGTTGAGGTCAGCACATGGGGCATACTTCCGGCGGATGAGAAGGGAGCCCTTTTCGTGATGGCGAATCCTGGGCGTGTCGCGAAGGCTCGCGGAGGCGTTGGCTTAATAGTCGGCGCTGGGTTGTTTTTTCTCCTCGTCTCCCTCCCTCTCCTCGCTCGTCAGTTGACTCAGTTCTACCCGCCGATCAACGACTCGAAGCGTCCAACCATGTGGAAAGGTGTCGTCGCCCCCGCAGCAGGGCTGCTGCTCTCGTCCCTGGGATTAGCTGGTTCGGCATCGGCTACCCTCCTTTACGCCTCCTCGTACGCTGGCACGGTGACAACTCTCAGTCTAACCCTGCCCGACGGCGAGTCCAACGTCGCCGCCACCAACGCCGCGGGTGCTACCCTCAAGGCCGTCTCCAGCTCGACCGAGTGTGGGCCGAACCCGTCCTGGCTCGCGCTGGATTACTCCAAATCGTTCCTCTACTGCCTCGACGAGGGCTGGGCCGGCCCGTACGGGGGCGTGTACACATTCTCTGCCCCCGATGAAGGGTCCTTGTCTCTGCTGAACAAGCTCGATCTGATCCAAGGACCGGTCAGCATCGCTCAATACGGCGTGGAAGGGCACGGCCTTGCCATCGCACAGTAGTAAGCTAACCCTCGTCGACCCTCGCCCGACCCGGCGATTATTTTTGGTGACATGGCTGGTCCAGACCTCGGCTTGGCGCCTGTTCGCCTCGCCTCGTCAAATCGCCAGGACAGACCTTTTCTTTTTCTTTTCTGCAGTGTCTAACCAATCCGCATAGTTCTGGCTCAGCTGTCAGCGCCGTCAACGCTGGCTCCGAAGGCGAACTATCCTTGGTGTTCAACGAGACATATGCTCTCGCCGGGCCTGGGACCAACCCTTCTCGACAGGAGGCGCCGCACCCACATCAGGCCATCTTGGACCCCACCTCCTCCTATGTTCTCGTCCCAGACTTGGGTGCCGACCTCGTTCGCATCTACCGGGCCAATGCCAAGACCCTTCAGCTGACGCCTATCGCGCCTCTGGCTGTAACTCCCGGGTCGGGTCCGAGGCACGGCGTGTTCACGGTTGCCAGGAGGAAGACGTATTTCTACCTGGTTTCCGAGCTGACCAACACCATTACGGGCTACGAGGTCATCTATCAAAGAAACAAGACCCTCGGCTTCAACGAGCTATTTACTATCTCTACGCACGGTGACGACAGCGAACTACCTTCGGGTACGGGTGCTGCCGAAATTGCCATCTCGGTAAGTTGAAACTGTATATACCCAGGATTCTGAGCCTTTGGGGCTCCGGCTCCTCCTCGAACACAACCTGCTGACGCGACTACCGTATAGCCCGACGACAGGTTCTTGATTGTGTCCTCTCGCTGGGAGAACTCGTTCAACATCCCGAACTTCGACTCATCCAATAGCACTGAGATACCCTCGGACCCTATTATTACTGTAAGTACATTTTCTAGCTGACTAGCCTGCTCTTTTCCGCCTTCGGGATGCTCGCCTTCCGAGCTTGGGGCTTACGATGGGGACGGGGAACCCGACGACCGAGACCTGTCTTAAACCTCTCTCCCTCCTTACATCTCTTTTTTGTGTAGCCGCTAACCCGGAGTGCGCCACAGTTCTCGATCAACCGCGGCACCGGGGCCCTGGCCAAGGTTCAGGAATTCGCGGCTGGCGGCCGCGGCCCGCGACACTTTTCGCTCAACGCGGCTGGCGACTTAGCAGCGGTGGCGCTCCAGGCGGATGGCCGCGTCGTTGTCATCGCACGCGACGTCGAGACGGGCGAGTTCCAGGATTATGTGGCCCATGCGAGCGTCGAGGGCGAGGTGAACGCGGTGATCTTCCGCGAGGAGTTCTAAGTAGTATAACCCAGGGTAGCATAGCTATGTACAAGGCGGCCCTGGCCCCTGGCCGCACGAGCGTATGCGGCACATGCAAGCAGGCAGAGAGTCTAGACTCAGCAACTCGTAAATATATATAGACAGAGTCATCCGATAGAGTATTGAGTTCTATGCTACAATAGTCCGGCACTCACGCAACCCCCCTGCCCTGTGAATATACGTAGTGGCCACGTTCGTTTTCACATGAGGAGAAGGAGGTAGTAGTCGGTAGTAACAGCGGCATCGTCGCGTCCAAAGGAGGCAAAATCAGACGAAGGCCCCATGCTATGTCTCATCTGACCATGTCACCCAAGCAGAGAGGTCTAGGAACCTCTCCAAGCACGAATCCGCCTTAATATACTCAGAGCCTCAACATACACTAGCTTATGACAACGCAGACGTGTCACAGCTACCCCTTTCTCTTCCCCGCCCCCCTCATCGCCCGCTGTAAGGTTGGCCGCAAAATTTTTTTCTCTTTGGGCTAATATATGACTGGGAGTCATGTCAGCCTACCAACAGGGCCAGGGGCAGGGGTGTCCTCGAGGGAAGCGTGGAGGCAGACGAGGGTGGAAAGACGACGACCAGGTGTGAGTACGGAAGGTCAATATATGAAGTTGCCACCGACGAACGAGGTTATTCGGGGAGAGGGGGCGAGGGCTGCCTGAAGCCGGGGGGCGACAAAAATAGCAACGCTCTTAACCCCAGCGAAAAGCTTCGTCGCCCGGGATTACTTACATACGGACACACATACATACATACCTATCGTAAGTATTTACCGGGCGCGACCCTAGCTGGGCGAGAGATCGCGCAGACGGTAGGTCGCCAGCGAGCCAGCCAGCCACCCTCCTCCTCCTCCTTTTCATCACCTGCGGAGGAGGGCTGCCCACGTTACGTGCCTACAATACCCGGTATGGAAGGGGGAGGTTAATATGTCTTGCGTGACGAGGCACCGCCGATCTGAGGGCGGCGCCGTCCCAGTTCCCAGCCTAGCACAGATCGTGCGGGTTACCGCGGTCCTGAGTGGTCGTCGACGACCTACTTACATACGCACATGCCTCCCTGCCTACATACACGACATGCCATGCCTACATATCCAGAGCCTTGGCGCGTCGGGAGGCCACGGAGAACCCGCCGCGCGAAGTGAAGAGGACCCCGTGGACTGTGACCCCCTCCCTCGCTGCGTGCGGATATTACATACGTATAGGTATACATGTCGACGAGGGCGGACAAGTCGTGCAAGGTGTACAGCAGGTTGTACCACCGGGCGATATACCTGTTTCCTTGAAGAGATACCTAGCTATCTATCACTATCAGCCTAGCCAGGGGCGGCGAAGGGGATAGGATCAGGATAAGTAGTAGTACTGGCGGTGGTAGAGGAGGAGGGGCAGGAGCAGAAGGAGGAAAATCTCGCTTATGAGATGATCAACGACCAACTGTTACGCTCGCGTTTCCCATCGCATCCCCGCATACCTGCCCACGTCGCGGGTGATCTACCTGAGCATAGCAAGGGCCCGGCTCGCAATGTAGCTCTGCAAGGGCTGGCAACATACCCAGTCACGGGTCAGAGGGGGTGGAGGGGAAAGGATGCCCGTATACTTTGCCGCGCTCTCGGTAAGCCGGTGCCATGAAAAGCTCGAGGTGTACACATGCACGTAGGTGCGTATGTTGGCTCGCTGTTACGTACATCTACACACCACGCACATGTGTAACCTACCTTCCTGGTATATAGGTACGCAGGTAGATGCTATGCACATGTGTGCCCAGAGAGATAAAATAATTGGAATGTGGAGAGCAGGGGAGAGAGGGCAGAAGCGGCGGGAGGAGGCTTCTACTTCGATAGGAACGGGATGGACGGCATACCATATCGGGCCGCAGGAGGGACAAGCAGAGCCGAGAAGCTCGTCGTACGCTCATATGGACGAGCCTCAAAAAAAAGGAGAGAGGGAGAGAGGGAGGGAGAAAGAAAGAAAGAGAGAGAAGAGGACGAGCTCTTTACGTAACCAGCTCGCCAGTCTAGACCTCTGCGACGGCCAGTGTAAGTCGGTCGGTCTGGGCCAGAGAGAATGGGTTGAACCGTCGAGCACGCCGACGTTGCACTCGTCAAGCGAGGAGCAGTTTAGTCACGCTTCTGCAGCGCGCAGGCAGTTCTCCACGCGTTTCTCAAGCATGCACGATGGGAAGTTTTCCCTCCTTCGGTTTCCTATTCGAGAATTCCAGCGGAGCGAGAAGAAGAGGCAGAAGAGCGTGTGTGTGTGCGCGTGCTTGGGATCCCCTTACCGGCTTGCCCAGCCGCGTTGCTGGTATTAAACTTGGTGTGTGCCTACCCAGTTATCTGCTGCGATCGTCCAGCAAATTCTCCTTCCGCACCAGGAACCTGAGACGGGATCTCGTCCTCGCAGCTGGTTGGGCGAGCCGAAGGAGTTTCCTCCATGGTACCACGCTTGTAGGCCAGGGCAGTGCAGGTCAGGAGAGGTAGGAAGGGAGGAGGAGATGAGAGGGGGAGGGGGGAGGGAGGAGGGTTCCGATCTAGGCTATCTAGACTCCAAGTTTCCACGCCTACGTATGTCGATGCGCGCGCGCACTGAGTCACATAATACAGTCGGTATAGGTATACGTGCGCGAGCGAATACTACTGCGTCCAACCGAGCGTCCCCATGCTTCCGACCTCTGTAGCCATCTACAGCCCACACATGCGGGGTCTGGGGAAAGTAGCAAGCGAGGGCGAGCAGGAAGTGCATCATAGACGCGCGGGAGATCTAGCCCAGCCGATCTTGAAAGAGGATGGATGGTAGGCATACCGTACAATGCTCGCCTCCCCATCACCCCCCTTTTTCTCCCCTATATACAGGATATCTGCAGTGAAATAGGCGTGACGACGAAACGTTGTGTAGTGGGTATGTGTATGAGAATACATCTAGTTATAATGCGCATTCGGCTTACGAGTTCAGCTCCTTGGTGCCTCTTTTTGGGGTGTTTGGAGCTACTGTGCTTGAGTTATGCGGGTTTTTATTGTCGTGTACCTCGGTGTTTTGCCCGTGTGCTCGATGAGCCCTACGGAGTAGCTCCGACCGACCGGGCTGATTCAGTAAATAGACTTGAAATGAAGAGGGGGAGCATGAACTTGTACCAAACGTGGACGCCAATGCTGTTACGGCAAGCTGGTGGCCGTCTCGTAGGAGTTAGCGAAGTGAGACTGCCGGTAGTAGGTTAGCTGCTGGCTTGGCATTATGTATTGAGGTTGGTTCAGTCGAAAAAGGAAGAGGAGGGCCTATATAACGGTGGGCATATATGTGTGTACAACTATAGCTGAGCCCGGGCTACGGTAGGAATAGCGAAGCTTTTTCTTTTTTTTTTAAAAAAAAAAAAGGAGACGGACAAGCCTTGATTAAATCTCCTGAGACGTTGGGGTAGATTTATTCTTGGCTCGTGACCTAAAAATGACCCTAACCGGGGCGTCGTTGTTGGGCCAGTATACGATCCCGTCGACTCCGGCTCATACTTAAGTGATATCTTAATATCACCCTAGGTAGACAGTAAGTAGCGGAGGCTCGGTTGTGGCTAGTTGTCTTTTCCCGGCGGTCTCTGCAAGGGTATTCAACTTTCTTAACTCCCTATATGCTGGAAACGACGGCTTGTAGGCCATCCTCTCGTGCTTTAACTATGTATGTGGGACACCTACCTATGACTTCGAGCGCCGGGGTCATTGGTAACTCCAAGAGGATGACAACACCAACACGCGGCAATCAGGCGGCGCATTGTTAAGGCTGGCAACACTAAAGCATCCAGATCTTCTCCCTCTTTTCGGTACTCGGGATAGGCCGTCAGCCGGCCAGTGTTTGAGAAATAAGGCCCCAATCCCCCCCAGTAGACCCTCACGATCTGCAGTCGACTCCGGACGATGCTAAACCCAATCCGAACTTATGAACGATGATTAAGTGTAAGGGTATATGGCTTCTCCTCTCCGGCGATGAGCCTGCGGCTTGAGGTGAGATGGAAGGGTGCCACGTTTTCATGGCTGCCACTCAGTATTCGGCCCGTTGAAAGGCTCTGGTCATGCAAGCCACCATCAACATCAACAGCCGACGAAGCACTCGCTCGCTCAGCCGGCGACTTATTTATTAGTACTACCCGCACATATACACCGGCACCCCAAGCCTTGGTGGAATGTAGGATAGGTAGGTAGATAACTGGGGGCGCGGGAAGGCAATGATAGCGCGGGAGCGAGGGCGGGTAGCATATAATATGATGAGCGATAAGTTTCAGGTTGATCAATGGCTCGTGCTGGTAGAATCTGGTCTCATTTCGCACGCCTTCCAGAATACTGCTAGATCGTCACGTCCACCGTAGTAATCTGCGGTCTGCCTGAGCGGCGCGGTCCACTGTTTAGATGAACCCGTGGAATCCGTGCCATGTAGGCCAAAACAGGTAATCATAACCATTCGTTTTCGTCGCGGCCAGCCTTGTTTGTATCTTGCCGGTTTTTGGCACCATGGAGGGGGTGGGGGAGGGATTACTTGGTAGCGAGATGCGATCGTCTCGTCTCCTGCGCTAATGGGGAGGATGGTAGCAAATATGTGAGTGTAGTAGAAAGTCGGCCCAAATGGGACGAAGAGGGAAGAATCAAGACCTTCAAGAAAGGCAGGTCAGGGCGCTGCACGAGTAGATGTTAGCTCATAATCTTGTATATTGATGTTGTAGAAGCGTTGCGGCAAGGAGGTTCTCGTGATTCGAGCGAGGACGATAAAGGCAAATCGATTCGACTCGCTAAACGGCCTCCAAGGCTCCTCTTTCGGCTTGCTATATACAGATTGGGGCATCGTTCATGCCCGCCGAGCGCAAGTCGCGAGTTCGTGCACTAGATTGTTTTGGCCACAGAGCACGAGGATCTATGATTGGCGCCATGAGGGATGAGAAGGTAGGCCTGATCATTTCGGAGGCAGACTCGTCCGTCCGTGTAGGATCACGAGACTCATATATGAAGGTCGTATAGCACAATATAGGTAGCGTGGTGAAGGATAGCGACATGCGCTGCGTCCTCTTCTCCTCACGAACTTGTCTGAGCCTCCCACGAGGTAGCCAAGCTTTCTTCGCGGGGGTGGGAGAGGGTAGTGATATCGCCGCCTCTATATCTTGTTAGTCCTACAGGATTCGACAAGAGAATGCCACGAGAAAACGGCTGCTTCAGTGCGATCCCGTTGGATAGATGCGTAGGTACTTCCTACCAAGGGTCTGAACCTGAGGAGAAACAGCATATTGACGTATGTACCTACACTATAGGCTCATAGCTGTGCCTACATTAGGTACCTATCCGCCTACGCAGTACATACTTAGGTATGTGTGAGCGATAGGTATCGTTGACAAGGCTCCCGTGACTTGGCCGTCAATGCCTGCCCATGTGCCGCACCTTGGTTGAAGATGCATGGGGTCGGCAAGGGTTGCCTGGGCCTACTAATGTAACTCGCAACGCCTTATCTGGGAGGCTGGGGTAACCCTCTTCACAGTACGGGCAAATTCGATACATAGACAGGTAGGTATATCGGTTGAGAAGTTACGGCACTACCTAGTCGTTGCAGGGAGTAAGATCAGTCAGCTGGAGAATGCCTACCTACCTACCTTCCAGGTAGTAGGCAGTAATAATAACAATAATAATACCTACGTAGCAAGTTACGTGGGCGACGGACCCCACGGACACCACACCACCATCACCACTTACCTACCTGACGTCTGCTTAGCTTGTTCGACATACCAGAGGGGGAGGAGGAGTGGCTGGCTAGCTTCGGGAACACGAGTGCGCATAACCCGTCGACCTGGGGCGGTTATAGGAAATTACTTGCCCATCCTGTCGGTGCGTTGATCCCGTCTGCGTAGAAGGCTTCGAACCCGCTCTAGCCTCTTCTGATCGAGCCTTTACGGAATCGGCTTGTGTGCTTTGTTTCCTCGACATTAAGGATATTGCGGCAAAGCGGTACGTCCCCTAACAACGCACCCAAGGGGCGTCATAGGGCTACATAGTCGATAGGAGGCGAAACCCCCAATATCCTATACCAATACGACCCGCCCGTAATTGTAGAGGTAAGTACACACAAGCCTCTCCTCTCTTGTACATAATAGTCCCAGTGGCGTGTAGACTGGTGGAGCTCGGGAGCCGTTATGGAGACGTGCTTCTCAGAGCCCCCTGTTCATCACCCGAGAACGAGCTGTGGGGGCAACAGAACTCTCTAATTCATGGCCAAATTGCTATCGAGGATCCGGCCTCGACCGCGGAAATTTTCGTACCCCTTCTCACCCGTGCCCTTGCCACGCCCACGATACCTCAGATTCTATCTGTAGGTAATAAGTCTATGAATCTATTCTGCATACAAAAATGCTCTCTCGTCGTCTATATAGCATGTATGTATGTGCATGAATAACATACTAGTACACGCAAGTATGTAGGTATAGTACCGATGTACTCTCGTCTTCGTCTTCATTGACACCACGCAGCATGCCTATATGTATGTAATCTTTACCTATCCACACCTACAGGCGTATACTACGTAGCTAGGTAGTTGGTATATGTGTATGTAGGTATATGTATGATATACCTCCATACACGTGCATACACACGATAGTCTACACATGCTGCCATTATCTCCGAGATATTTCTCCTCTCCCGTAGTGGTCTCTGGGAGTTGCACCTATTCGGCAGTAGGCAGAGTACAACATAACAGTAGATATAAGCGTGCTCAAGGGTGGTAGGTGGATCGCCTCAAAGCTGTTCCCGTCCGCCCAGTCATCCCATCTCTGCGTAGTACGGGTCTTGGGCCGGCCATGGCATCAGCTTGGCTAACGTACTACTGGACTAGTTCGTACGAGAGTCCCTAGAAGCAGAGACTTGAAAAGGTGCTTATTCGCAATACGCCAGTAATACCTACTGATCCCTCCCATGCTACACCACACATCCACCGCAACCCCCTCGTCGATTGGAGGTATCAGACCAGACCTCGGTCAGCAGTCGAGCCTGCAGCAGTACTCACACTCCACCTCGTTGCCTCTGCTAAGTCTCTACGTCGGCCTCTACCCGACCCGTACATAATAGCCTTCTCGAAGCACGGTGCCGATGTAGGCATGTATATACTATAATAACGCATAATACCCACAAACAGGGCTTCTCTTGCTTGCTCTTAGCGTACAACAGCAATGCCTGTCAGCTGCATCACCGTCAGTGCCCGTTCACGCGGAAGTCTGTGACGGTTGTTTAGTGTAGGTACCTACGCATAGTTAGTTACTTACATGGTGCCCTGAGCGATCCGGCCGGGTTGTGGAGGTGTGCTAAGTGCACGATACAGTGCTGTACCGCGAGGTTCCAGAAGATGGGCTCCAATCAAGGGGGAGCAACAAGCCCGGATGGTTGCTCCCCCCTGTCTTGCTGCTACGTGCTATCGTATGCTGCACTTGCTTTAGTGCCTCTTGACGACACCGCGCCTAAGCCGTGACGGGAAGCAATTTTCTGGGGTTTTTGGTGGTTCAGTCTACGTACACATGTATGTATTAACCCCCCCCAGGAGAGTTGCTAGGATGAGGCTTTACTAGGGGGCTCAACGGTTCTGTGCCGCTTCTGCAGGTGTGTGCTGCCGAGTGTGGAGGAGAGACACCACCGTCGAAATCCCCTAGAGGTTTTTTTTTTCCCGCGGCTTTCCGTCTTAAAATACGATCAGCTCGCTGCGGTGCCTTGCAGACCCAGTGATCCCCTCTCGCCATTTTTGTCCCGATACTCGCCCCTGTGCGGTGTACTGGGCAAATAATTCCCTGCCGAAGCCGTATATGTATAGCCGTCCCGGCCACGGTTCGCACACAGCACGGTTTAATACATACCGAGAACATCATAGCGTGTCTCGACCTGGTAGTTAAATAAGGCGGCTCGTCGCCTTCTCTCTAGGGCAGAGGTGCCGACAACCTGCTGGCTCAGAAGATGTCGCCTTCATCGACGGGCGACTCGCCCCTCTCCGCCGGAGCGTCGAGTAGTTCGGGGCGGCCTTTTCCCCTGCCGTCGCGGGACACATTCTCAATCGAGATTCCGTCGCCGCAGCTCAGCGCGGCCACGAACGGTTCCGTGCTAAAGTCGCCGACGGGTGCCAAAGCTCAGCGCACCACGAGTTTCAGTCGGGAAGGGATATTAGGGTCGGCACAGAAGGCTCGGAATCTTTCGCAGACGTCCGAAGCCCGCTCCGAACAAACCAATGGGATGCAGAAAGCGCCGAGCGACGAGGGCGTGAATCCGTTAAAGAGGCGGAACACGGACGTGACTATCGACTACCCGCGGAGGAGAGCTACGATCGCGGTAGGTTGGAGAGTGAACGGGACGCATCCGCGGTTGATGCTGATCAGAATAACATTGTGTAGTGCGAGGTCTGCCGCTCCCGAAAGTCGAGATGCGACGGCACGAAACCCAAGTGCAAGCTCTGCACCGAGCTTGGAGCCGAGTGCATATACCGGGAACCCGGGATCAAGCTTGACGCGGGCGACAAGCTGATTCTCGAGCGACTCAGCCGTATCGAGAGCCTCCTCCAGATCAACCTAGCCAACGGCCATCCCAACACCCTACAGATCGCGCACGACTCGCCGCCTATAAGCAACGGAACCGCCCTGAGCGGCGACAACGTCATGCTTCAGAATTCCTCCGGCAACTACGTTTCTATCATACCGAGTGGCGGCCTGGGGACGTGGACGAGCCATCCCCAGGGGACTAACATCTCGACAATGCCCAAGGTCCACACGAACGCGGCGCTGCACCTGCTCCAGTGGCCGCTGATCCGAGACCTGATCGCGCGGCCGTACGACCCGCAGATCATTCTACAGCTGGAGATGGCACGCGAGCCGCTTCACTCCTTGGCCAAGACCCCGTGCGTCGATCTATCTAACACGAACGCCTACATCGAGGCGTACTTCGAGCGCGTGAACGTGTGGTACGCCTGCGTCAACCCCTACACCTGGCGGAGCCACTACCGCACCGCGCTGTCGACCGGGTTTCGCGAGGGTCCCGAGAGCTGCATCGTGCTGCTCGTGCTAGCACTAGGACAAGCGAGCCTACGGGGCAGCATATCCAGGATCGTGCCTCAGGAGGACCCCCCGGGCCTGCAGTACTTCACAGCGGCGTGGTCACTGTTGCCAGGCATGATGACGGCTAATAGCGTCCTGGCCGCCCAGTGCCACCTACTGGCTGCTGCCTACCTCTTCTACCTGGTGCGACCGCTGGAGGCCTGGAACCTGCTGTGCACGGTGAGCAGTAAGCTGCAGCTCCTGCTCATGACGCCGACGCGCGTGCCCGAGGACCAGCGAGAACTCTTGGAGCGGATCTACTGGAACGCGCTCCTGTTCGAGAGCGACCTGCTCGCGGAGCTGGACCTACCTCACTCGGGCGTCGTGCAGTTCGAAGAGAACGTCGGGCTCCCCGGCGGCTTTCAGGGCGAGGAGTCGGAAGCGGTGGGCCGAGACGACCTGTGGTATTTCTTGGCGGAAATCGCCCTGAGGAGGCTCCTCAACCGCGTCAGCCAGCTCATCTACTCCAAGGACTCGATGGCGTCGACGACCAGCCTCGAGCCCGTCGTCGCCGAGCTCGACTTCCAGCTCACGCAATGGTACGAGAGCCTCCCGCTGCCGCTCCAATTCCCCTTCACCCGCTCGACCCTGCAGGATCCGGTGCAGACGGTTCTGCGGCTTCGGTTCTTTGCCTGCCGAACCATCATCTACCGTCCCTACATCTTGGCGGTGCTCGACAACGAACAGGCCGTACTGGACCCCTCGGTCCGGGAGAGCTGCCACAAATGCCTCGAAGCCTCAATACGGCAATTGGAGCATATATCTGCACAGTAAGTGGAATTGTCCCGTCGTCATTGGCCAATGTCTCTCTAGCCTCATCCTGTCCCTATTCCCGGCTCTTCAGAAGATCCTCCCCGCCCCTCCCTCTCAATCTAACGATTTGGCCGCAGTCACGCCGGCCACATGCCGTACCTGTGGCAGGGCGCCCTCTCCATCGTCTCGCAGACGCTGCTCGTCATGGGGGCTACCATGTCGCCCTCGCTGTCTAATATCCTGTTGACGCTCGTCCCTCACCGCGACGTCATCGACCAGATCATCAACGACGTGATCATGGACATCGAGCGCATGGCCATCCTCGCGCCCAGCCTGACCCTGGCCGCCGAGATCATCAAGGAGGCCGAGGTGCGGCGGCGCACGTTCCTAAACGGCTGACGCGTGCCGCCGCCGCCGAGCCAAAGGCGACAACACGCAAACGCACAAAGCGCCCTGCTCAACTAACTCACAATACCTTGTCGACGAAATCCATCCCCCCCCCCCCCCACATGTCCTCCCTGCCACCCCGGTCCGACTTATTTCATGGGCGTATCGCCGATCGGATTCTCCTTCCTCGGCACCCGAAACAGGGACTGCTCGCTCGCTCCCTCATCCTCTTAACTCCTCTCACTTACCGTCGCCACCACTGCGGCCATAACCCGTACGCCTGCATGGGGTTGCCACTTTTGTTTTTCTCTTCTACCATGCCGTGTCTACCCGCTGCCTGGGCCGCCCCGTCTCGCGTATCTGGGAACGGGGGCGATAGTGGCTCGCAGAGGCATGCCATCCAGCGTTCTCGGCTGTGCTTAAATGCCCCGTCTACATCACACGAAGGTCTTCTCCCGGAGGTGCACGCTGCGATACGACCCTCGTTTTGGTGCGAGAGGGGGCGGGGTGACGTGCGAGAGAGTGAGAAAGACAGGCGAGGGCAGAGAGGTAGACGAAGAAGGTTACGACAGCCAAGGGCGTGCGACTCTCTGTCGGGTCCTCATCATCTCTTCCCCCCCCCCCCCCCTTTTCAGCCTTGTCGGGTCTCTAGGGATCAGGTCCCTTCGTGGCTGATTTCTTCTGGGTGATTGACCCTTCCTCCTCCTCCTCCTCCCAGGGACGAGCTCGTTCGGAAGCGGCCCCCAAGGACGACCGGCCAGCGTGGCTCAGTCACGCTCTCCGGCCGCGCTGGAATAATCTGGGGTTGCATTCTGGGGGTGAACTGGCTAGGCGTGGTTGGCGGGGGAAAAGTCTTGGTCTGGGGGGAGGGGACGGCTAGGCTTCGCGGCCCGGTTCCCGACAAACCCTAGTCGACGTGCTCTCCCTCGTTACTACTGCTATTACTACTGCTGCTCCTACTGCCGCTGTTACTGCTGAGTGCGAAGAGGGGGGGGAGGAATGGGAGTTGGTTACTTGACGACAGCTGCTACCACCACTACCAAGTCTTTTTTCCTGTTTAGCGGCTCGAAACAGCATCATCTACTGCTACCTACTGGAGTTTTTCTATACGTTGCATCACTGCCTACTACTCGCTTGCGTGCCAGGGGGCGCACGCGGTTATTCACACACATGCGCATACATACATACCCATCTTTCCTGCGCCGCTACCTCTGCCTCTCTCCATCCCCACCATGGAAGACTTACCCGACATCCTGAACGCCGGATAGGATCATACGCAGGCCGGGCGAATGCCATGGCTACGGGAGACAAGCCAGCCGGCTGGCCTAGGCGACCCATAGAGAGGACCCTGTGGTCCCATACACTGTTATATGTCTACTTTTGTTTCGAAACGTGGTTCGTTGGCTGGCTGTCTCCTCTCTGGTTACCATCAAAATGTACTATCTCTCTGGGGAACGTCCAGGAAGGGTATGATGCAGTGCTAGGGTTTTTTTTTCTTTTTCACTATTACCCGGCGCTCTTGGCGTTTTGAAGCGCTCTGCACATGGCAGACCAGTATACTACCTATCTACATCGCTATCATCGTGGTTGAATCCCAGGGGTCTTGGGGAGTTTTACGTTGGGGAAGACGACAGAATACAGACTACCTAACCCAACCTACCTATCCTATGCTACCGCAAGATTGACTCGCACCTGAGCGCGGGGATTTTACGAGAAAAATGACAAAATACCTGCTTCCTATTGTTTTTAATGAGTTAGGACAATTCGCGTCGCTGATTATATGTCTATGTATCTCTATATATACCCAGTCGGCTCTTTTCGACGTAGCTAACCCACCTTCAATAACACGAACACTTCTATATTTACACACCTTCGTATACTCTTATCCCGCTTCGTGCTGTTTTTGAGGGGCCCGCCTCGGGATTTTCGATCCTATCGCGGGACCATCGTCATTTTGCAGGCCCTCGAAAGACGTGCCTAAGCGAGATAGATATATTGTGGTATAAATGACTTCATCGTCTGGGTCCGTCATGTATGTGCTTCCGGGAGTTGAGCCACCTCTCCAGGAGGCAGCAGTGAAGCACTGCCGCTCACCGCCCACATACCTGCCTACCGTACTTTGCTGCTAATAGGCTCACTCCTCTCGCTTAAGTCCACGAGGGCTCGAACCGAGAAGGAATCTGTCATGCTAAAAATGACATGCGACACAGAACAGCACACCGCAGCGCAGCGGCCTGAGGTCCCAATCCTACGAGACGCAGAGGACATTGCGGGGTCTCCGCATTGTCATATAACGGCCTCCCTCCTAGAGGGCAGAGGATAGAGGACGGTTGCAGGGCATGTAAGCGTGCTCTTTGGCCCCCTCTTGGCCCCTTCCTCTTCCTGCCTCCCGCCCTCCTTTTCCGTAGTCCCTCCCTTGGATTCCTCTTCGCGTGGATTCTCCTTCGCGTGGTGGGTTGACGTGGTAAGTAGTCTATATTGCCCAGCCGCGGTACTTGATGCCGGCGCTCCCGGGGGCAGGAAACTCCTGTGCGCTTCCCTACTTAGCCTCGATGCCTTCCGGAGGGAAATCCATCGGTTCGTAGACGTGTGGGTTCGCTGGACTAGCCGGACGAGACCGCCCCGCAGGGGTCGGACTAGGGGGCCGCTCAGCGTATCCACGGTGGCGGCGCGGGAACGTGGTAAGTAGGTAGGTGAAATCGGGTTGCGGTGACTTGTCAAAGACCCGCTTGGTGAGTGTGACGGATGTGAAAACGCCCACCGGCACCCTTACTCCGAAGTCGAGCACAGGTTCGCGTGTTGAATCTCTGGGGCTGATTAAAATCTAGCTCTCACTGGCTGACTCGACAATTCGGCTCGCATACAGCCGCGAACCGGCGCAGCCACGAGATCAGGTCTGTCATTTCGTTCATCTTGGATGATCCAACTCTGAGCCTATGATGAGAGTAACGGCATTATATAATTAGAAACACGAAATGAGGACGGCCATATAAGGGGTCAAAATTGAGGCCGGGCTCGCCATTCGGGTTGTTGTTATGGGGACTTGTCGTGTGCAGTGGACAGCGACACTCGCGTTTATATCGATGGGGGGTAACCTCAAGCTCATCATACTCTCCGTATTCTATTATTAGGCGCACAGAATCGATGATGCGCATGCATGGCTCCGGGTAAGATCAGATCTCAGGGACGAAGCCATGACACACACACACACACACACACACACACACACACACACTGGCACACTGGTCACTCCAGGTACAGATTCGCTTATGAGAGGCCGGCTAACTAGCTAGCTAACAAGTATAAGCTGAGATTCCGGAGTAACTTTGAACGGAATAGGTGAGTCGCTATCACATTCGCGAGCGCGACTACACTTAAAATGTTCGCTTTCTGGCATGTGTACCACCATTTTGAGTGCCAGCACACGTTATAATTGATATTACCAACTCCCTACTGAAATAAGGAGGTAAATGTGTACGGGTGATGGCTGTGGTGGGTTGTTTAGGGGGGTAGGTGCTGATAACCATGACCGTTATGAGGTGTCGAAGTAATGCAAAGGTATCTTGTCCTCCCCATGAGTAAACAATATATCAAACTCCTGCGCCATCTTCGCCAACTCATCTGGATTAAGTAATGACATCTGCGCGTTATATGAGAGCTTGATATGCTTAGATGATAGTGTTTGACGTGGAATCTGTGCATTAACTTTTTCATTAGGAACGTTGAGATTAGGAGTGTGTCTTGGTGGTTCCGAAAACTCCCAGATGATACCATTGATAATATGGCTTCGTTGGACCCGTCGTGCCGTGGTACTATTCTAACCTTCTATGGAGCCGGCACGACTTGTTCGCCATCAACACGACGAGGTCTAGGGGTTTCGACTTCGGAGATACGCGAGATCTCGATTGTTGACTCCTAAAGGTATCTTGATGCGGATATGGTAGATAGCCACTTAGCCGGTCCCATCTGTCTCGTGAACCATTTGTGGTCGCACAGTCTGAACTGCAGAGATGTCAAAGTATCGGATCGCAAAAGGTAAAAGGGGTGTCCAGTTGACATTGCCGCGAGTCGTCTGGGAGTCTGGGTCAATTGAAATAACTACCTGTAGGTTCCAAAGTCCCACCCAGGCACGACATACTTCGAGATCCTAGGGGAGTATGTTACCTACTCTATTTACCCTCTGGAGGTGTTGAAAGCACCACCCAGCGTGTGAAGAATACACAAGGAGTTTCTCCTCGCGTGAGATATAAAATCGGGTATATCTCACTTGGTTACGACAAGGTGGCCGGAAACGTAGCGCCCTTTTCGCGAGGCCCACCCTCGTCAACAGGACCTTTGCGGCTATATTCGTGACATTCGAGGCAAAACAGGACTGGGGTATGTCTAGCTTATAAACGTCGAGTATCTTGAGACCCATGGTATAGAGTCTGTTCACGTAGCCTGAGAGCCTGGGGACTCCTCTGGCGGTTATGTGAACGCAGCGCGAAATACCATCCTGTCGCCATCACCGAGATCATCCTATGCTAGGTAGTCGAAGTCGTGTAACATTCGGGAGATTAGATCATCGTCAGGCCGAGACGACCATTGTCCCACAAACGGGGCTTCGATGAACGTACTACACGCAATAGTCTTGACGAGTACGCGGAGCTTGGGAGTCGATAAGGGGTCGAATCAAAAGCGCCATATTTCCTAGGCCACATCGTCGATAGACATCGGTATTGCGATAACCGAGAAGCCGGAAAGCGAAGGGATGAGGAAAGAATATGACGGTGGCGTACGGGGCCTTACTCGCATGACAACAAAGCGCTTTGGATACTAGGCACGGGCGATAGAGCGTCTTTCTCGTTTCCGAATATACCACTAGGAATTATATATCTTCGATACTGGAGGCATACTTAGCATACACAGCAAAATAGCGGAGAAGCTCTTGAATGAGCTTGACGGGTAATAAGAGTAACCGGGAGCCGGAAATGCGCCCTTGCCCCGTTTCTGCCGTTAGAAAGTGAAACGAAGAAGGCCACCGTGAATAACGATGTATGTAGGTGTTTTACCCGACTTGAGGGAAGATTCGGAGAACAAGAACCGGAGGTGCCGGGGTTGGGGCGGATGCGGGAAGAGAGAAGGGTACAATTTCACAACGAAACCTTCTAGGCTCATCCACTCATGCTAGACGATGAAACTAGAGATGTTCCTAGGGCAGCGGCCCTTGATTCTAACTGTGTATTCTGCTACGCGACTACCACGCGAGTGTATCGCTATCGAGAGCAACCACATCCACCGAGGCTCGAGTTGTCGCACGAAAGTCGGGAATGTTGGCTGAAGGGAGTCGCCATAGGCAGGTAAGTAGGCAGGTGTTGGCGCAAGCAAGGAGCGATCGCAGCGACCGGGTCTGGCAAGCCCATGTCTTCTTCGTCTTCGTCTAAATTTTGCTGTCACATATCGCCTTCAGCGAACTCGAACTCGGTACGGATGTGAGGGTTTGCATATAGGCCCTTATGAGCTGGGAGGTATTGTCATTCTGTGCGCGCTGTGAACTTGCTTTGCGAAAGAACTCCAGCCGGAAGACCGCCTAGGTAGTCAAATCCAACATGCCATAGGCCAATCCACCGGAGTATTCTGCATCGTGTCGCATCCCCGACACCCTCGAATAAGCGACGGGCCCGTGTTCCAGCAAGGTCGGCACATCAAGACGGGCCTGGATAGGCGTTTTGAGTGGAGTCTCCGGTTTGCCGCCTCAGGAACAGTCTTCTGAGCCCGCTAGTAGACTTGGGGCTCTTGGGGCTTTTGAGATTCGAGGTGTCATCCGCTGCGGGTATTCTGTAGGCGGCTTGCGAAGGCGAGATGGGCTGATCGTTCGTGGGGGAGGTTGCCAGCGATTCGTTGGTCCGCTTGTTCTCCGCCCCCTGCCGCCGCCTTGCTCTTGGTTCCCGTGGCCGCTGTGGTTCGAGGAATTCGGGTAGCCGGAACTCGAAGCCATTTTCGACGAACCCACGAACCGGATACGGCTCTTGGGATGGTGATAACGGCTGATCCTCCCAACTCCGACTCCCGTTCTTCCCCCCACTCGTTTCTGCTACGCTCTCCTCCGTCTCCCTTCCCTCCGTTCTAGGGTCGGCTCGTTCTTCGTCGCCGCAGACCACGACATACCACCGGATGCTCTCGCTTCGTTGCAGCTGATCGCGGAGTTGCTCGAACCAGCCCGCCTTCTTGCTACCGAACGTGTTCACCTTGAGGCCCGACTCGTCGCTGGGGCCGCTCATAGGCTTGTAGCGTTCCGTCTTGGTACGCTCCTCGTAGCGACCAATTTCCTCCGCCACCGAGACGGACGTGTCTATTCGTACTACGTAGTCTGCCACGTACGCCCACGGTCCGCTCACGACCGACAGGTCGGATGGGTCGAATTCCTCGACAAATTTCACCACCGACCAATCATTGAAGGGTACATCGTTGCCGGGCGACGACGGCGCCAAGGACGAAGGTATAGAGGTGGTCGTATCGCGATTTTCGGTCGCGAAAAGCCGACCCAAGGAATTGCTGCGCTTTCGCGGCCTGTCACGATGGTTATTCCCGGGTCTGCTATTACCGTACCGATCATTCTTTTCTTCGTGCTCGTAGCCCTCGTGGGATGGGTAATACCGTTGGGTGTGCGCACGATCGCTGTTCGCGTAAACGGCACCGTGAACGCGACTAGGCGAGGGGCTCGGGTTGTGTGCCGGACGGGTGCTGGGTGGTAGGAAGTCGAACAGCTCGTAGAACTGATCAAGGAGGGCGATGGAGCTTCGACGCGCTACGATCCATTCCGGAGCCGCGTCATCGACGTTCCGGAGGACGACAAAATAACGGATGCTTCGGCGATGCCAGCGGAAGCCGTGGCAGAGGTATGTCGGCATTATGTGACGGAGAGGTTCTAATTTAGTATGGATCGAGCAATAGGCGGGTAATACTCTATCTACTACGTAGCATAGCTACTTGCTGCCTATGTAGTAGTGCTCGCGCAACAGGCCCGAAGCCGCTGGCCACCCGGTATCCTGGATGGTGGGGAGAGAGCAAGGGAACAACAGGGGGGGGTGTAGTGGTGTAGATGGAGACGTCCGAGGGTGGGATGCTCGCAACGACTACGAGCTCGATGCCCATGTCCTTCGGGCCTGCCCTATCAGAAAGGGGGTTTAACGTAGGGACAAGCTGTCGCAACCACGTCTTGTTAATTCGCAAGGAATATCAGCTCCGAGATTTAATTCGATCAATGGGCAATAAGGGCCGCTACCACGAGTGTCGGAACTGCGGCCTTGAAGTAGGGGGGGGGGGGACGCCCATCACGATTCTGATAACACTACCAACGTGGGCTGGAGACTTTCGGGGTAAAAGCAAGGCGAAGTAACCAAGCCTGCAAGTAAGCTCGCGTCTCGGCAGGCACCCCCGATTCATCAGTTAAAAGCCGTCCTCGGCTCCGGACCGTTCGACACAGTTCCCTGCATGCGACGTGGGCCTCGAGCTGACGGGGAATTCGTTCCATCGTGCGCGCAAGATGCGTGCTGTACCAACCTAAGGGTGGTTTTTATGTTTCAACCAACTCGTTCTTATTACGTGTCTGCTTATATTAGAAGGGGGATTAGGTAAGTTGTAGCTGGATATGGTTACTCGGGCTTTCTTCTAGCTAAAGGTCCCATTTGTGACCGTGAGCGGCCACCTACCTACCTACCTAGGTACCTACCTACCTCTACCTCTATATAGGTACCTACCTATATGCTTTCTTCTCATCAACCATATCCTCAAGTTATACCTCGTTACCTCTCAACGTGTGACAGCGATGCTATCGGGCACTAGGGTGTGCCTCGAATAAGGACCTTAGGTACCTAGGCAGAACCAATTCAGGCCATTGACCCCGTTGACCGATCCCGCCCCTAGCGGTAGGGGAGAGCTATCCCGATATAAATAAGCTAGCCGGATACCCAAGCCAAGAGGCGGGCCGATTTTGGCCGCGCCCTGAACGTGATGTGAGAGCTCATCATCAGCATCCGTTCTAGCAATTCTCAGTTCGGGTTCCTCTTTTCGCTTGAGTTCTATCCTCTCTCTATCGTCCGCTCCCGTCGCCTATCGAAATGGACGCAGCATCTCGATACCTACCTACCTAACCCAAGGGTGTAAAGGGTGGGGGTACCTTCTATACCTGGCGCGGCCCCATGTGCCTGATGCAGATATCTGCGAGTGCAGTAAAAGTGCCTACCTATTGCAGTCGAGTTCCCGACGCCGTCGCCGTGTGGAAAACCGGTTTGCACCCATCGGATCGAGAGCCCTCCGGACGACTTGATAGGGTTCCGCCTCTTTTCATGTGCCTGAGTGCCTCGTTGAGTGTCTCACACCCGCCTGCACGAGCAAGGGGCTTTCTCGTATGTATAGGAGAGCCCATCCGAAAAGTCGAGCCGAACCGTCAATCCTCGGTTCTACCTCGACCGATGCCAAGCATGCGCTCGCCACGTTATCGAGATCGCCGGTGGGGGGACGAGATGGGGGTTGAGGGAGGGCTAGTTGTTGACATGAGTTTGAAATCATTGACTCGGTGACGCTATGGATGTGTCGGTGACGCTATGGATGTGTAATATGCCTAAGGCATTACATCGCAAAATCATTCCTCCTTTTTTTAAACCTTCTTTTATCCGTCTGCCATAGCGCCGTTCCGCACCTTCGTTTGTATATCCAACCGTAAACATGGCGACCGAGATACCTACCGTGAAATTGGCCTCCGGCTATGTACGTACGATATTGCACCCAAGTGCGACGTGCTCGCGATACCGATGAAGCTAATGAACACAGGACATGCCCATCGTCGGGTTCGGTATCTGGAAGGTCCCGAACGAAGCCGCTGCCGACCAGGGTATGTCGACACAAGCAACACTCCCGTTTCATCTACTAGGAGCACGTGGCTGACCTCATCGTGGGTAGTGTATAATGCTATCAGGTTAGGCTACAGGCACATCGACGGCGCCTGGGACTACACCAACAGCGCCGAAGCTGGCAAGGGCGTTCGGCGTGCTATCGAGGAAGGGATCGTGAAGCGGGAGGAGATGTTTATCACGTCGAAACTGTGGAATAACTACCACGCCCGCGAGCACGCATTAGAGATGGCCAGGCTGGAGAACGAGGCCTGGGGCCTGGGATATTTGGATCTATTCCTGATCCACTTCCCCATCTCCCTCGAGTTCATCCCGTTCGACAAGATCCGCTTCCCGTGCTTCTGGAGCGACAAGGAACAGACCCAGGTGACTCCCCTGGTCAAAGTGCCCATCTCCGAGACCTGGAAGGCCTTGGAGGAGCTGGTGCAAACCCGCGAGAATCCCAGCGGCTTTGTCCGGAGTATCGGCATATCCAACTTCGACCCCCAGCTGATCTCCGACCTGCTATCATACGCCAAAATCCACCCCAGCGTCCTTCAGATCGAACACCACCCATACCTGACCCAGCAAGACCTGGTCGCCCTGGCCCACGAGAACAACATCGCCGTTACCGGATACTCGACATTCGGCCCGCAGAGCTTCCTCGAGATGGACAACGCTACGGCCAAGGCCGCGAAGCCGCTTTTCGAGAACGATGTGGTGAAGAGCATCGCCCAGAAGCACGGCAAATCGCCGGGTCAGGTTCTCCTGCGATGGTGCACGCAACGGAACATCATCGTCATCCCCAAGTCCAACAGTGTCGAGAGGCTGAAGCAGAACCTCGAGTGCTGCTCGTTCGACCTCGACGAAGACGAAATCAAGCAGATCTCGGCCCTGAATCTGAACCTGCGCTTCAACAACCCCAACACGTTGGGAAGGCCCATCCGAATTTTCTCATAACGGAAGGGAACGAGAAAGGAGGAGAGGAGCATTGTTTTTCTACAGATGTAATAAATACCCTACCTACTCCGCCCCCCCCCCCCCCCCCCCAATAGATGCATTGACGTATAGAGAGTGGGAAGAATGCTAGCTTTTCTCCTAACATGCCGCCCCCTGGCCAGACATCGACAGATATTGACCTGCATTTTTTAATTGGGATTCGGAGAGGGACGTGGACGAGGAGGATGAGAAGAGAAAAGAGGAGAGGTACCTAACCTGCCTAGGGACCTAGGTAGGTACCATAGCGGGAGGGGGGGGTTTGTCGACAGCATGTCTACAATACTAACACGGTACAGACATAACCTCCATGTAATGTAATATTAACGAACGCTTTCTGTAAGTACAAAATACTTATAGTAAGAGTTATGGTACGGATTTTATTATTATATTAATTCGGATATGCATTCTAGCTTGACATTATATAGGATAGTTATTTTATCCTTAGAAAGAGCTACTAGATTAATATGACGTTCATATTGTACCTATATTACATCCTGAGTTTAATTCGCTTTAGTGTAGCTATGGAAATACTTTTAGCTGTAGTGATCCTTTCTAGGGGTAGTGATAGTACCTCGATAGACCCCATCCCCCCGTATGGTACCTACCTAAGCCACAGCACACATGCCAACCTTGTTTCCTGGTAGAAAGGTATGCATGTAAACGGTACCTAGGTATAGGAGACGCGGAATAGGAGCCACAATACCGTAAAGCCACAAATAGGTAAGCCAGCACCTAATAATCGAGGGGGCGCGTCATCTGGTCGCGTCCCCTGTCGAGTCCTCATTTTTTTTAATAATAAAAAAGGTCCAACTCGGCAATAACCTCGACAATTTCGCCTGTCTGCAATTGTCTCCGTTGGGAACCCACCATGGCGCTTCCGCTACCGCCGGGCCTTGTGCCGGCCGAGGTGGCTTTCCTCTGCGAGATGGAGCTGGTAACCATTGTTCCGCGTCAGAAGCTCGAGTCAATGGCCCTCCTCAGTGTAAGTAGAGAGAACCCGACCCCGCTACCCCTCCATCGTCGCCATCGCCGTCACGCTCACCAGGTGCTTCCTACTCTCCCAAGGCTAACAGTGCGATGGTGTTGACAGGGCCATACGCCTCCATTACGCCCACCCCACCGCGCCCAGCTCCCCTTATGGCTTGCTCTGCTGCTGAAGAAGCAGCGCCGTGCAAATATCGTCGCCCCACCTTGGTTGCATGCGGACTCGCTCAAGGAGATTATACATCACGAAACTATACTCGACCCCGAGGCCTTCTCCCCCCCTCCTCCGCCGCCGATGCGGTCTGACGGCCGAGGCGGTGCGAAGCCGTACGCCCAGCCATCCGAGCCTAAACCGGGAGATATGGTCCTGTCGCCGCCCTTCCTCCCCTCCTGCACACAGGACTCGCCGTCGGGGTATCTCCCCTACCATTGGCTCGAGCTGTCGGAGGCTCTGCTCGCGCACGCCGCAGATGACGTGCCGAACGCCGCCGAGGTGCGAGCGCTGCTGCGGGATCTGCAGGAGGTGCGTGCTGCCAAGTTGCGCGACAGCACGAGGCACCTCGACGGCGGCGGCGGCGTCCTCAACCTACGGGGAGTTGGCGCCATGGAGCTGGCCGAAAGTAGGGGGTTCGTGCTGGGCGTCGTCGAGGGCGTGCGGAAGATAGGTGCGAGCGCCGAGGCGAGCAGGAGGGAGGAGGAGGAGGAGTGGGCCAACGGCGGGCGTGACGACGAGGACGAGGAGATGGGATTCTAGACGACACTTAAAAACATAAAGATAAAACTGCTACGGCACGACTCGCAGCAGCAACCGAAACCACAGGGACATATACCTACCTACACTAATAGAGATCTATCAGGCAGGTTACAATATGGCGTCGGCAGCATCGGGCTGGCATTATTTCATCACTAAAGCAAGCATATCGTGGCATCCACAGAGACTCAAGACATTTACTTATTCACTTCGTTCCATTGCGCTACGACATACCTAGTACCTACCTGAGAACCTCCTCTGCTTACTCCTGCCAACTTTACATTTCGAAGCGCAAATCAATCGATACACCAGTCGGCGATCCTAATGACCTCGCCATTGAGGGTGTGCCGCCAGCGCTGCCTACGCTTGACTACCACGCCATCGAAGTCCCGGTTCATAACGGTCTGCTGCTCCCAGCTGAGCGGCGGCGGCTGCACCGGAAGGGGGTGCGCGAGTTCGTACGCCCCCTCGTATAGGAGGCACGCCCGCGCCCACAGCACCCACGCGACCACGCACAGGACGAGCGCCAGCAGGTTGCGGGCGACGCGTGCCGCCCTCTGGGCGTCGTGTCGCAGGATCGTCAGCACCTGCCGCAACGCGACGAGCAGGCTCCGCCCGGTGGCTGCCAGCCGCGCCACGCAGCAGAGGTACACGTGCATGACATAGGAGGCCTCGTCGACCCCTCGGCGCTCACCGACCTCGGAGCGCGGGCGGCGGCAGAGCGCGCGGGCGACGCGCACTAGGCCCGTGGCCTCGCGGCGGGTGACATGCGCGAAGTGGGCAGCGACCTCGGCAAGGGCCTGTCGCTGCGGCGCCGTCCGCTCGAGCACGACGCACGCGATGGTAACGCCGACGGCTATGCGGAGCTCCACGGCGTACGAGAGATCCCCCCAGAACCGCGCCACCGCGGGCCCCGCGTACTGCGCCCACCACGCCGACCGCGTCAGGAAGGCTGAGAGTTCGGCGAGGGCGAGGGAGACGACGTCGATAACGCGAGGAAGGAACCGGGACTGGATACGGACAACTCGCGCGAAGGAGGATTTCATCCTCGACTGACGGTCATAGACGATAGTACCCGACCTCACGCGGTTCCAGAGGTCAAGAGCTTCGGCAAATACGGCGATGATGGCGGATAGCACGGCGACGGCGACCTCCAACGGTAATATAAGCAGACTGCGGAGAGCCAGCGCGAGGGGAGTCTCCGCCCACCGCCGGAGACCTAGCACGATGGGGGTCCCCGCCCACTGCTGGAGAATCTCACGGTTGGCCATGGCTAGACTTGCGTGCAGCAATAAGTATATATGTGTGTGGGGTGCGTAAGGTGCTTGTGCGGCCTAGGGTTAGGTAAATACCCAGTGCACTACTGTGTCTTGCGAGAATGTCTCTTCCTCTCTTCTTCTAACCCTTCTTACTCTTCTCACAAGAGCAAAGAACGTCCGTAGCACCGGGGAGCGACGGGAAAACTCGACTTGCGCCGTCTATATATGAAATTAAACAACCACGCCCTGTGCCCTTTGTTTTAGAGGCGTACTATTGTTGTCGACAATGGGCCTTGTCTATCCCACGTCGAGCGATTGTTCATATTCCCCTTCTCGCTTGGACTCGGGCAGCGCCGCCGGCTTTCTTCTCCGCGTCGCGGTTCTTTGCTCCTCGCGGGCTTGTGGCACCCAGCGCCAGCGCCCGCCGGGGTGAACACGGCGGCGGCCTTTGTCGCGGGGTCCCGCTTACATTGTCATCCCTGGCGGTCTTGTTCCCCTCAGTTGAGCCCACCCCGTGTCTTTGTCTTGCTAGGAGAAGAAGGTGGACGGGGATAATGGCTTTATCAGAGGCGGCTACCCTATTACGTGTAATTGAAGGGGCCAAGGACTCGCGCTTGGATGACGCCGCTAGAACATATCGTGGCGCGGCTGTGCACAATCCGATAGCATGCGGTTTCTGCAACATGCTGGGCTGGTTTTGGAAACTGGTCCGAACCGAGTTGTGATCCCACGCTTACTCCTCACCTCACGGGGGAGGGAGGGGAGGTTATAGGGGGTTAAGGTAGCACAGCGTGGTTCTACAGCGGCCAAGGTCGTCACCGAGGCAAGGCGTTGGACGTTTCTAGGATTGGGCCAGAGTAGAAGATCCTGTAAGTGGTTCGGTTCTAGATACATATGTACACAGCTCTCATTTCCGCGCACTCCAACTCCGTACTGCGCTACTCGTTGGCGTGTTTATCGTTGTAGTAGTGGATCTGCAGCTCCGTTAGCACGCGCGCCTCGCTATAAGCCTTCGCCCGCGGGGAACCGCCGACGGGCGTTCTCTTTCTCAAAAACGGGGAGGGGAGAGGGGGGGGGCGGCCGTACCGTCTGGTCGGCGCAGCCGCTCGGGGTCTGGTAGGCGTAGGGGCCGGTGTTGATGAAGAGGGCCTGGTCCTTGCAGACGAGCCAGGCGGCGGGGTTCTCGCGGCGGACGTCGGGGGCGGACCAGGTGAGGGCGTCGCCCTGGAAGGCGAAGGCGCCGAAGTCGTTGCGGCTGACGTTGAACCAGGTGGCGAGCGCGCGCTGCTTGAGGTCCGGCGGCCGCTCGACGTGCAGGTAGAGCGGCGCGGCGCCGTCGCTGCCCGTGTTGGCCACCAGCTGCCCGTCGCGCACCGCGTACTGGCCCGCCGTCCGGTAGCTCTCGAGCACCGCCGTGCCCGGCGCGTTCGCCGGCTTCGTCTGCAGGTACTTGTGGAAGTTCGGGCTCGCCACCGCCCGCACCCAGTACCACCCCGCCTGCAGCGTGTCCCCCGGCCCCGCCGAGCCCTGCCGCGGGCCTACTACCGTGCGAGCTGAGCCCAGCGCCGCGAGCCACGCGGCGAAGAAGGTCCGCACGAGCATCGCGGCGTAGATTCTTCGTTCGTTCGTTCGTTCGTTTGTCCCGTAGGAGGTTGCGTTGGGCGCCGGCGCGGAGCGTTCTCGTGGTGCTACGCGAGGCGGCGAGAGATGGAGGATATAAGTCGAAAGCAGAAAGAAAGCAACGATACGGGGTTACATTCTCAGCAACGCTGGGCGCGCGAGCTGCCTATTTATTCTCCCCGACACCCCCCTATTCCGTTGCCTGGTTGCCGACGTGCGAGGATGGGCCGGCGGTGGGAGCGCTGTCCCGACGCGTACACGAGCCTCCGTCTTACCCTATCAGGCAGAGAGAGAGTGCGCTTTGCACTTGAAGGTGTACGCTAGGCAGGTTTAGCCTAATGGATGTAAGGGGCGGCAAATATAGCGATGGTGGTCAGTTAGTAATATGATGAGGAGTCTAGATCTAGTGATAATATAACGGGCGGGTATCAGTATGAGCATAAAGCCATAAATCCGTGTTGACGAGGTTGGGCGGAGCGATTATGTGATTCGAGTGACTTGTTATGAGACCTTGCTTGTCTATGCGATGGTATAATCCATAAACTGGTTTAAAGGTAACTGGGTGCTCAAGTACAAGAATTCAAGTAAACTAGCGACTTCTTGGTATCATACATTGTTTGTTCATCTAACGGTAAGTAATACGTCTTAGCAGGGGTGACGGTATCCGTTTCGACTTTCTATTAGTTTCAACTGCTAGTTTTCTATAAAGTCCTAGGTCCCTCTCTTCTCTTATATGTTGGCTGGGGTCAATAGGGGTTTCGCTCAACTTCCCCTATTCGATATAAGTCACCTTTGTGGATAATATCGCAGGCTTCTTATGGTTCTTTACCTCTCGAAGGTGAACTCTTATCTTTAACATCAAGATATTACAATTAATACCATCAGCATTTAATAGGTAGTTTCGGAGAAACCTCTGCTCATGTTAATATCATATCTTCTAGTCACGAATATCATGGCAACAACTTTTACGGTAGGGTCTTCAGGTCTTACTGTGATATGATAAGTTTCGTCATTCGTGAATTACTGACAATAGGCATAGTTCCTCGGCTACATATAACTAAGAGCGTTATATGGCCAATATCGCCTGCCCACCATGATTCAGGCGCCTCTGTTAAGTTGGTCCCTGAATAATGAGAATGCTACTGACTGTGCATAACACCAATTCACCCTCCGTTGAGAGACCCCCCATCCGATGAAAGGCTCTTCGCCCTACCAGCATTAATTATCATCTCGAACCCCATAATGACGGCAGGTTTCGCGCTGGCCTCCATAACAGCGGATACGCCCACCACTTAGGTACCGGCCTAGGTCTCCGAACCGCGAAGACCAGGTCGAGAAGGAAGCTATTTTCGAGGGCTTGGTTCGGGCTTCGGCTTCGATCTGAACTCCAAAGGTCTATCCACGGGCTGTGGGGCGGAAGACGGCGGTAGCGCAGGGATATCGGGTTTCGGCGCGTGTTCCGAGCAGAGCCCGTCGTACTGAATGGCTGGGATAGACATACATTTCAGGTGGTTCTCGCAGACCTCGATATATTCGGGACCCCAAGTGAAGTCTCCGCAGACGCGGCAACAGTGATCTACCATGTAGCACATTGTGACAATCTGTGACGTGCGGCTGTCGTTTGTGACCGAGCGGTAGCCTAAGGCGCCGAGGTACTCGTGTAGATAGTGAGGCCTGGTAGTTGGTCTGGAATTTGTGTTGATAATCAGTGTAGTGCTGGAGCTTATGTTTAGAGGCGAGGAAGCTGGCACTATCCGATGAGATCGAGTAGTTTGTCTTTAATATCACTTGCCATATATTAGGTACTGAGCTGGGTTCATGGAGCCCGGCTAGTGTGATCCTGGATGCGTCATGTTATATGTCACGTAGGACGGTGAATAATAGATGACCCATTGTAGGGCTATTGTTGTTCTGCGCACCTCTGGTGAATTGTTATTTCTCTCGAAAAAAAATACCAGTTGTCCCAGGGAGGAGTAGAGAGATATATAACGGCGAGTGATATCAGCTGAAACTACCGGACAGGCCGAACCGCGTGACAAAGCCACAACGCGGATACGAGTCATGGAAGGGTGAAGGCTCTCCGGCGAATAGCCGCTCGCAGATTCGAATTCATCTTATGGTGATGCCCGGGAAACAAATCAGTCAGTCTATCAAGTGGATCTCGTCTCTAGTCAAGGGCCAAGAACAAATAACCAGACTCTTTACTTCGGTAAGAGTGGCTACAAGAGTAACACCGAATTACGGACTCGCGAAGAAGTGAGATAGGATTTATACCTAAGCTTTCTACTGTCATTACCGACTTGACGTTATGCTACGCACTATCAGGAATTGAGAAGGCAAGTTGTTATAGGGGTCTAGCGAGAAACAAACAGACCACTTCACAGTATCTATTCGGAAACCCCTACGGATGTAAGACTTGGATAGAGCCGGTAAGAACTAGGTGAATTTCAGGGCGAAGGCTCACAAGTGAATAGTTACCTATGCCCGTTTATCTTCCGAACCAAGTAACTATACGCACATCTCGAGGGGCGATGGCAGCATGAGGTGGGTATGGTGCGACGGTGAATTAGGTACCTCCTGGTGTGAATATAGCGATGGGCGGTACCTTAGCAGGTACTTTCTATTAGCTTCAAGTTTACCGCCCCTAACTGAAGTCTTAGGTATCTTGTGCCCCTGGAGATAGGTATTTGAGGTGCTGAGAGGTACCTATAAGTAAGGCAGGATAGGTACCTAAAGTAGGCCCTTGGGGCTGGGTACCTAAGATAATTAAGTCCAAGGGCGGGGAGGGGTAGTAGGTATTTACGACAGAAAGCGACTACCTACCTATGTCTACCATTACCTACGGTCTACAGCACCATCCCGCCTTGAGAATTTTATACCTAACCATTCGTTGAGCCTCATGAAGGCGGTCTTCAGCAGTGCTGGTGTGCGCCAGGCACTTGGGACTCACCGTCCCGGCATTAGCGCCAAACTCACGTCTCGCTTTTTTACCTCCTGCCGCTTACCACCCCGGCTTTCGCCTCTGGGAATTCTGCCAAGATGGGGTGTGCCGGCATCGTGTTGGATTTGTCCGATGAAGCGCAGCGCGTCATCGAAGGCGAAAGCGACCCCGAGAGCCAAGAAGCCCCGAAACGAGGCACCGGAGTACCACCTCACTCCCTCCGTGCGGGACGACGAGACGGGCGAGATCATATGGCCGGCACCCAAGGCGCAAATAGAACAGGCCCGCAGCTTCATCCGGGATTGGTACGTCCATCGCCTGCCCCACTCTCCGGCAAGGAGCTGCTGACAATCTCTGCGAAGCGTCGCGGCGAAGGAGAAGACGCTGATCGCCCCCGACAAGGACGCCGACGGGCTCAGCTCGGGCGTCATCCTGTACAAGACTCTGCTGCTTCTGGGGCTGCCGGAGGACCTGATAACGGTGCACCTGCTCGCGAAGGGCCACAGCATCCACGATGAGAGCGAGCGCGCCGCCATGACCGCGGTCGGCGCCTCGTACGTCTTCGTGTTGGACCAGGGCTCGACCGCGGCGCCGCCGGTCGTCGACGGGCCGCACCGCGCCCTCGTCATCGACCACCACTGGGCGCCGGAGGACGGCGACCGGCCCGCGGGCGCGGAGCGCGTGACGGCGTGCTGCTGCCCGCCCGTCGCGACGAGCGCGATGCTCACGCACCACATCTGCGCGGCGCTGCACGGCGGCGTGGCCGCCGCCTGCGACTGGCTCTGCGTCGTCGGCGCGCACGGCGACCTGGGCAACGCGCTCAAGTGGGAGCCGCCGCTGCCGGACATGCGCGCGACCTTCAAGGCGCACACCAAGAAGGCGCTCAACGAGGCCGTCGCCCTCGTCAACGCGCCGCGCCGCGCCGCCGCCCACAACGTGCGCGACGCCTGGTCCGCGCTGGCCGCCGCGTCCGGGCCCCGCGACCTGCTCGACGAGGGGGCGCTGCGCGCGGCCCGGGCCGAGGTGCGCGACGAGGTGCGCCGCTGCACGCGCGCGCCGCCGAGCTTCTCCGCCGACGGCCGCGTCGCCGTGCTGCGCGTGCGGTCGCCCGCCCAGGTCCACCCCGTGATCGCGACGCGCTGGGCCGGGATGCTGGGCCCGAAGCGCCTCGAGGTCGTGCTCGCCGCCAACGACGGCTACCTGCCCGGCCAGGTGCACTTTTCGTGCCGGGTGGCGCGGCGCGCGCGGGCACGCGAAGGTGGCGGCGACGGCGGCGCGCCCCCCGTCAACATCATGGCCGTGCTCGAGGAGATCGCGGCGCGGGCGCCCGATCCGACGCTCCGGGAGCGACTGGGCGCGGCCTTCGCGCGCGGCCACCGCGAGGCCAGCGGCGGCGTCGTCACGACCGAGGCGTTCGAAGAGTTCATCGCGGTGCTGGAGCTGAAGAGCCGGTCCAAAAAGGGGGCTGCTGGTGGTGCTAGCGACGGTATCGAGGGGACGCCGGAGGGCGAGAAAGGGGCATCGCCGACGACGTAGGGAAATAAGTATGTCGAGATGGGGGCTACGGCTCGAGGTGTAAGAGTTACTTATTTTATCCGGACGAGGGAGAAGATAATAGGGCCGACCTAGTGTACGAAATAGGTAAATGCGATAGAAAGGCGGCTGATTACTAGAGGCGACAGCACCAGCTGCACGCATGTACAACTACATCTTCCCACCTATATTGTCGACCGCACGGAAGGGTCAGTGAGGGTGTCTACTCGTATCCACTGCGCCTACGCAGCATTAAATCATGAGCACTGACGGGGTTTTCTTTTGGCGGTAGTTTCCACACTGGAATTTGAGAGCAGATCTGCTTTATTGGGCTATATGATGTAGCGAGGCGAGCAAGGAGCGACGATGTGCGGTGCTGGCTGCAGTGACGGCGAGCGCAGGCTCTCCTGTACTGGTCCCTACATCGGTAAAAGCCCACGCAATCCGCATCTTTCTAAGTAGCAACGAATCTAAGCATCTATGTATCAGGCGACTCCCCTCAGTGCGAAACCCGTAAAGTGCATATGCGTGCGCGGCGCGCGCGCGCAGGCCCCTGCGCTAGCGAGTCGGCAGCTCATAGCTTGCCGACGGCGCGCAGGCCCTTCTCGCCGTCGACGAGGACGCACCAGCCGCTGTGGCCGTCACCACCGTCGCCGGCGACGACGGCACCGGAGTAGCCAGGCTCGGAGGAGGGCTGGTTGTCGTTGCGCGCGTAGCGGATCACGGAGTCGTCCCAGGTGCCGGGCTGGAGCCAGACGGCGGGGATGCCGAGGCGGCGCGCCTCGCGCAGCACGTCAAGCGTGACGGGCGCCGGCGTAATGACCGACAGCGAGGTGTGCGTCGGGTCTGGCAGGTCCGCCAGCGCCTTGATCGTCTCGTGCGACCCGTACGGAGTCTCGATCACCGCCGCCGTCGGGTTAATCCCCGTCACCGGCAGCGAGTGCGCATGGTACCATGTGAAGACTGGGCGCGCGGAGGGGAATCGGGTTAGCTACCGGTCGTTCGCACGTCGACGGTTGGAGTATCAATGACGTTTGCGGGTTGTGCGGTCGGACATATATGGTGGGGTAGCGGGAGCGGGGGGAGGGGTGGCAGGTGTTCTCTTTTCCCCCCTCTCCTCTCTCTCTCCGACTCTCTTGGCGTCGGCTCTCTTTCTTTCCCGGAGAGGCGCTGTCCCGCTTGGGGCATCGTCTGGGGACGGCCGGCCGGGAGTTGGGGCTCAATACGCGGGATGATGGACGGGTTGGTCGTGGAGTGGTAGGAAGGGATGGATAAGGCAATTCTCACGAACGCCGAGGCAATGAGGGTCTTACCTTTGTGTCCGAACTTGGCGGGGTTCGTGCTGGCGCCGACCACGGCGAATTGAGGAGAGGAGAAGAAGGTCCTCACGGCAGATTCGGTCGTCATGTTGGATGCAGGCGCACGTAGTAGGTAGATAGGCAAGAAGGCGAGCTGGGTAGGTAGATAGCCCTTGACAGGACGATATGGGTCGATATGGCGGGCGAGGATGAGAGGAGGACGATCGAGTGGTCTGATATGGTGGTGCGTTTTTTGGAGGGAGAAGAAAAGAATTAATGAGGGAAATCTGTCTTTTTCTCTCCTTACTATCAGATGCGTCGACCTGCCAGTTTGGGGTGAATAAGAATTTGATTGTTGAACCGTTGGGACGCTGAGGGAGAGAGGTCTGTAATGGCTCGGCAGACGGCTTGAACAAGATGTCGCAATCCCCCTGACAGCTGAGCAACCCGTGGTTTTAACTAGCTGCGAAGGCCTCACACCATCCCTCAAAGGACTTGGCGCCGCCACCTCCCTCCATCTGTTTTGTCGTCGGCATCAATGTCGTATTAGATGTAACCGTCCTCGTAACCGCGGCTGAGTGCTCGTGCAGTTGGGTTAATAAGCCACCACGGAGAGATCCCGTCTGGGATATTAACGGGGGTTGACCTGTATAGCAACCCCTTCCTACTTACACCAGACAACACCCCGACCTATCGTGTCTGCTAGCTGAGAAACAGGAGGAGATGGCGACATTTGCGTATACTACGACCTTCCCTTTCAGAGGGGCACCTCCCGCTGACAGAAATACAGCCGACCAACTTTCTCAGCGAAGGCCTATGCGGCTTTTCGACCGGCTTACCCGCCCTCGCTATTCCGCACCATCCTGAGCTACCATCAGGTGCCTACGCCCGGCGGCACGCTGCTAGATCTCGGCTGCGGCCATGGGCCCATCGCGCGCTATCTGAAACCGCATTTCAAATCAGTGATCGCCATTGACCCGTCAGCAGGGATGATAGCGCAAGCGCGGCAGACGACGACGGATCCCGAGATTACCTTCCGCCAAGGCGGCGCCGAGGATCTGGATTTCCTGGCCGAAGGATCTGTCGACATGGCTGTCTCGGGCCAGGCCGCGCATTGGTTCGATTACACCCAGGCCTGGCCGAGCCTGGCGCGGGTCGTGCGCCCCGGCGGCACCGTCGCCTTCTGGGGATACAAGGACAACGTGCTGGTGGGCGCCGAGCAGGCTACCCGGATCATGGGGCAGTTCGTCTACGGCTTCGGCGAGGTAGCGCCGGGGGTCGAGGGGATGGGCCCGTATTGGGAGCAGCCGGGACGGGGCATCCTGCGGGACCTCCTGCGCGGCGTCCAACCGCCCGAAGCCGACTGGACGGACGTGACGAGGCGAGAGCACGAGCCCGGGGAGGAAGGGCCCGAGGAGACGCGCTGGTTGCGGAAGAAGATGAAGCTGGGGGAGGTGGAGGGCTACGTGCAGACGTTCAGCGCCTTCAACGGCTGGAAAGAAGCGCACCCGCAAGCGAAGAGTAGGGCAAGCGGCGGAGAGGGAGACATCTTAGATGTGATGTGGGATCGTATGGTGGACGCAGTGCCGGAGTGGAAGGCGATGGGGGAGCGGTGGCGGGAGGCCGAGGTGGTGAGCGATTGGGGCACCTACATTTTGACAGCCCGACGGCGGTGATCCACCTGATTTGGATGCCTGCACGTGCACATCGAAGCAGTCCGTTGGATACCTGTTTCCCTCGTCATAGCCGTCTAGGGGCGTGGTATGCATACCACATCGGTATGTATGTATATAGGTAGGTAGGTACTAGTATTGGAATCAATGTAGGCATGTTAAATGTCCATATGTTCTCACCAGGACGAAGAAGCGGAAATCCAGGTATCCAGCGGGTGCCTGAGGCAGATACCTGAGGTGCTATGTACGTTCCCAAGGTACCTCGTCTACTTGGCCCGACCCGATAACCGAATGCATAATGCGACACAGGATCTTAGTTAGAGGTGTACCGAAGGCAGAACTTATCAACTTGTGTGTACACGATTGAAGTTATTGTCGATGACATTCAGCGGAGTGCCTATTAGGTAGGCAGGGATAATATATGAGGTATGCCCTCATCGTCGGTGTCCTGTTGATATGCCATCAGGTACGTACCTAGTAATTCCCCCCCTGCTGACGCCAACTTGATGGACCAGACCTGATAAGACACGATTGATAGACGGCCGGCGGACCCTGTCGCCCCCGTTGCCCCGTCAATACCACGGCACCAGGCTGGTCCACCCGATGCACGCCCATACATGGGCAGCGCTAAGCCTGAGAAGGGGCCGTTTCCAATCCCGCCTAGCCTTATTTTCCACGACCAAATATCCAGTGTCCTTTTATTATTTATTCCGTCTCACTTTATCTGCATCCACATCGCTTCGTCTTTCCCACTCCGCCAGAAACCACCCTCACAACCGTCAACCCTTCGCTTTTTTGGTCCTCGCCTTCTTTAACAAGTGCCTGCACCTTGGTTCGCGCTCGCCCCGACTGTCAGGACGTCAACGCACATAGCAACCATGGTAAGTTGCCCCTTTTCGATTGCTGCTTCGTCTCGAATTCCTGCCCCCTCTGCGGCTCGGTGTTGTAGGTGTTGCGGGTAAACGTGACTTTGGTTTGGCCTGCCTCCTCCAGGTTGCAATTTCGCAATGGCTAGCGTGGCGTTCTGTGCCATGAAGACAGCGCCAGTTGAGATCAGTCAGCAGCAACAGCGGTGTCGACAATTCTTTCGCGTCAGTTGCTTTTGCGGTGGCGGCTTAGGTGCTCCGGCGGGCAGCGACAGGACAGCCTCCAGCTGGTGCAGTAAGGGATCATCAGACGGGGCTTCCAACTACCTGTCACATTCAATTCTTCGCTCGAAATCATCGGCTTGGTCGACCTTCTTTCCTAGCTCTCTAAATTTCCAGTATTTCCAACCTCGAATGCAAGAAACGCTCAGCGGTCCGGAAGAGAAGAGCGGACATCCAGCATTGACTACGAATTCTCCAACTCTTTCGTCTTGTTCTCGCACGCCCATTTTCACTCCTGTGTCCGCAATTCCGCCGCAGCCAGATACAAAGTGCCTGTGCTATTACGCCTCCAAACATGGCCGCTAATTTCGACACGCAGGCTTCGACCAACTACAAGGAGGCTTTCTCACTATTCGACAAGCGAGGTAACGGCCGCGTCGCCCTCGAAAGTCTCGGCGATCTTCTACGTGCCTGCGGCCAGAACCCCACCCTAGCCGAGATCAGAGATTTGGAGCGCAACGTCGGCGGTGACTGTGAGTACCCAGACACCACTTCCCGTGCATCTACTCAACCCGTGCACGAACCGGCGAGATTCTTGGCTGACGCGGGTACGACCTCATAGTCGACTTCGAGACCTTCTCCAAAATCCTGAACCGACCGGGCGGTTTCCGCGACCCGGGTGAGCCCGACGAGTACTGCCGCGGCTTCCAAGTCTTCGATAAGGACATGACGGGCTTTATTGGGGTCGGTCAGCTCAAGTACATCTTGACGAACCTGGGCGAGAAGATGACGGACGACGAGGTGGACGAGCTCCTCAAGGCTGTCGACACCAGCTCGGGACAAGTTAACTACACAGGTATTTGAAATATCTTCACCGCTTCCTCCACCCGATTCCGTTGTCACATGCTAGGAACGAGAACGCGGAGGCACTCCAAAACAGGCAGCTAATGCGCAAACGCAGAACTCGTGCGAACGATCTTAGCCAACTGAAGAAAACATTCCCACACCCCTACGACGATCGTGAGCAACAGCCGGAGTTTGGGAAGGCGTAAAGAATCGTTGCATGCAACCGCAATACGAGGAACGCATCCAATCGTATGACCCAAACCGGGGAGGACGACATCGGCGTTGGCTGCCCCGTTGATAGATTGGCGGAACGGCGCGAGATAGGGCAGGCCGGGTTTGGTCTTCCTTCCCCCACTCCCTTAGAGTGATGCCCCTTATGGGTAATCGCAAGTGGTGCGAAAGGCAGCTAGCTGTATTCACATGAAGAATAACGAAGGTCCCATGGATTATACCTGTAAACGCGGGCGTGTCCTGATTGTGGTTTCTACCCTTTGTTTTCCACATGCAACGCTGGGCACGCTGGTTCTTGATCGTCTCCCGATGGTGTTTACCACTGGCGGACTTGCCGATGGGTTGCTAGGTTACCTGTCATATAACCCTGCTTGCCCACATGATCCCAAACGGCCATGCAGCAGGTTGTATCGTCACCAAAAACAGGCACGAGGTATCATTGGCAACGATAACGAGTACGTCCCCTATGATGCCTACTACGTAGGTGGGATGCCACCTGTCTCCCTGCCCGGGCTCAGGCACACATGGGAACCCCGCCGCTTACCTAGGTCCCTGTCTAGACTTGCATACTACGGAGTACCGTGTAGGACCCGGGTCGCAAGTATTTATAGCGCTTCCGCTATGTGAGATGGTACTTGTAGGCCGTCAGAATCGGGGTACCCTACGTCGGAAACCAACATCAACTTTTCTCCGACCGCCCTGCAGCGTCGAAGCCACGATCCAACGGCGGGGCAGGGCGAGGCGGATGCAGGCGAGAGAGCGTTGAAGCTACAGCCCGTGTGTACCTCTGCACGCGAATAACCCCCGCATGGTACATTTGCATTGGTACCTCTGCCCCGTTCATCCCACTTCGCCAGCCCTGACTCGCCCTTGGCTCGGTCACGATCGACGCACTCAGATCCATACAACCGCTCAAGGCACATCAACCATATTGCTCCCATCGTCATCTTACAGGTTCTCTGCGCTCCTCGGCTGGATAAGGACAGTCACCTGCATCCTATTCGACTCTCCTCATAGGCACTTCGTCGGGATTCGTCCACTCTGCGAGACACAGACCTGCATTAGGTTGCCATCCTCACTGGCATTCTTCCTGTCCGTCTCCCTAGATAGGCATTCTTTCTGTCCTCCCCCCTCCAGAGCACACAAGCCCGTAGCCAGCGACCCCGCCGCGTCCGTACCCGTCCGTATTGGATTCCCTGCAGCCGCTCCGTGCCATTGGACCCCTCGCGATACTGGCGAACATAAGGGCTACCGCCGCCGCCGCTACTCCTCCTCTCCCGCCTCCTCTTGTTCTTCCCCCTCGTACTTATACTCGAACACGTTGCCCTAGATCCCTTCTCTTCTTCCTGACTTCGTTCTTCGTTCTCGCCCTCGCCATAGCCCTCAATCTGGCTGCCCCGCGCGCCCTCCCCCGCCTCACCGCGTATCTGAACCAGATTCGCCCCAGATCCCCCTTCTCTGTGCCGACCCTTCTCCCCTTTCGCCGACTCTCCGCTCCCAGTCGAGGCATCGTGGCCGCTAGCATGGCTCCCGAAAAGTACAAGAATCCTCCCCAGGCCCCGCCGACTTTCACGGGTACGAAGGAGTCCATCGTGGCCGATGCTAAGGCTCTGTGTGACAACACCCGGTCTCTGTTGGACAAGGTCGCCAGCGAGGTTTCCGCCGACAAGGAGAGCTTCTCTTCGGTCGTATATCCCATGGCCGAAGATGAAAACCATATTCAACTCAGTAGCCGCATCCTTGGGTTTTACCAATATGTCTCGGGACATGCCGATCTGCGCAATGCTTCCACCGAGGCGGAGAAGCTTATGGACGAATTCTCCATCGAGTGCAATATGCGCGAGGACATTTTCAAGCTCGTCGAGGCCGCATTCCAGGCGCAGAAGAGCAGAGAGCCCGATCTCGACCCCGAAAGCTTGCGGTTGTTGGAGAAAGAGCGCAAAGGCTACATCAGGAACGGACTCGGACTGCCCCAGGGTCCCCAGCGAGATCGCTTCAAGGAGATCAAGAAACGATTGAGTCAGATTGGCATCGAATTTCAGAAAAATTTGAACGAAGAGAATGGCGGGCTATGGTTTGCAAGAGAGGAACTGGATGGCATACCAAGCGACGTGGTTGACGGCCTAGAGAAAGGCACAGGGGAGAATGAAGGCAAGCTTAAGCTTACCTTCAAGTATCCCGATATTATCCCCGCGCTCAAGTTCGCAAAGAACCCGGAGGCGAGGAAGAAGGTTTTCATCGCAAATGAAAATAAGGTATGCTGCGATGTCTTCCGAGTATCTGTTTGGGACACGACCGGACCTGACGAGTTTGCATAGACCAACCAAAATATCCCTCTATTCAGAGAGGCCATCCTGCTACGGGATGAAGCGGCTAGGCTTCTGGGCTACCCCAACCATGCTGCATTCCGTATTGAAGATAAGATGGCGAAGGACCCAGCGGTGGTAAACGATTTCTTGTCAGATCTTCGAACGCGTCTCGCGCCCGGTGGCGTGAAAGAGAAGCAACGTCTGCTGGAATTAAAGAACAAGGATGAGGAGTCGAGGGGGCTGAAACCAGACGGGAGATACTATCTCTGGGATCACCGCTTTTATGACCGTATGATGGTGGAGCAGGAGTACAACATCGACGAAAACAAGATTGCCGAGTACTTCCCACTACAAAGTACGGTCCGGGGCATGCTACACATTTTCGAAGAACTATTCGGCCTGGCGTTCGTAGAGCTGGATGCTGGCGAGCGGCAGAGGATATCCCCAACTGGCAAGGCTGACGACATTGCCTGGCACGAAGACGTGATTCTCTTCTCGGTCTGGGATGACGCCTCCGAGGGTGACGGTTTCGTCGGATACCTTTATCTCGACTTACATCCTCGGAAAGGCAAGTATGGCCACGCCGCCAACTTCAACCTGCAGCCCGGTTACCTCAAGAAGGATGGCTCCCGGAGGTATCCTGCCACTGCCCTCGTGTGCAACTTCTCCAAGCCTACAGAGACGAAGCCCTCTTTGCTCAGGCACGAGGAGGTCGTAACCCTGTTCCACGAACTTGGCCATGGTATCCACGACCTTTCTGGCCGGACCACCTACAGCCGATTCCACGGGACGTCGACGGTCCGAGATTTTGTCGAGGCCCCCAGCCAAATGCTCGAGAACTGGTGTTGGACTCCGAGCCAGCTGAAGTCGCTGTCGAGCCACTACAAGACGGGCGAGAAGATTCCCGATGATCTAATCGAGAAACAGATATCAACCAAGCACGTGAACGATGCCCTCTTCAACCTCCGACAGCTGCATTTCGGTATCTTCGACATGACCGTGCACTCGCCTGCGACCCACGAGGAACTGGAAAAGCTAGATGTGGGTAAAGTATACAACGAACTGCGCACGGAGATCGCCGGCCTGGACGGCCCCGAGGCTCTAGGTGAGCCAAGGTACGTGTTCTATGACCCGCACTCAACCAAGCACTTAGGGAATAGGTCTGATGCATTTGAGAATAGCACGTGGGGCAATGGCCAAGCGACGTTCGGCCATCTCATAGGTGGGTATGACGCGGGTTACTATGGTTATTTATCTTCGGAAGTCTACAGCACGGACATGTTTTACTCCGTATTCAAGAAAGACCCGATGGACGGGAAAGAGGGCCGTCGATACCGCCACACCGTACTAGAGCGTGGCGGTAGCCAGGACGAGATGCTATCCCTCGAGCAGTTCTTGGGAAGGAAGCCGAATAGCGACGCTTTCTACGCGGAGCTGGGTCTTACTTCCGCTAAGGTCTCCGCTACCGCGTAACGATAGAAACGTTATTGATGTGTGTGTTTTGTGGAGGGAGGGCGTCGGTACGGTACGGTAAACGTTCGGCGTGAGACTTACTTGGAGGGTTCCGCCTCAGGTATTATATAGTAGACTTTTATAACCGTCCACCATCGAGCCTACCATAGCACCTATCATCTACAGAAGCTATCAAGAGCGATTATACGCGTAATGAGGTCCAGGTGAACTGAATCGTAGCATTAAATATGAGCGTGAGGCTCGCCGAAATAATAAGTAACACGCAAGAAAGAGTAGCCTAGTTAAATTGAGGAGGACAATTTCGTGGTAAATAAAGATGAGCGCGAAGGTGTTTTCCACAAACAGGTCGGTGGTGGTATTGAACTACTTATGTACGTATATGTAAAGGAATGTGATGTATATATCTACCTAAGGTATATATGCCTCCTTTTGTTATAGACACGTGCCGCTCGTTCACTACAGATGGGTTCGAGATGCGTAGTGACCGACCGTTTTATACCCTTCGCCCAAAACAAATCTAGAGTACTCTCCCCAAATCTATGAAAAAAAAAAAACTTGTCCAACTCATATACACACACTTTCGACTAACCTGCCCCCCGTCCTCGCCCTCTCCGCCTTTCTTTCTTCCTTTTTTTTGTCTCACGCAGAGAGAAGAGAAAGTCGAAGCGCGGGGGAAAGAAAAAAAAAGGGGGGGGGAGGAGGAGGGGAGAGGGAGAGAGGGAAAGCGTCTAGTTGGTGCGGCCGAGGAGGCGGTTAGCGAGGTCGGAGACGTAGGGGCCGGTGGCGCCGCGGCCGTCGCTGAGGTCGTGCTCGTTGACGGAGCCGGAGTTGTAGGCGCGGAGGGCCTTGTAGATGCAGTCGGCGGAGGCGTTGTTGCCGAACTGGCGCAGGTTGCCCTTGAAGTGCTCGGTGCCGGCGCGGACCATGGACGTGATCTGCTCCTGCGAGAGCCCGTGCTGGCCCGGGAAGCCCGGCGAGCCGTCGCACTGCATCAGGCCGGCCGTCGCGTGGCCGTCCGCGTTGTACGTCGTGCGCACGCCCACGTTGCCCGTGCTCTCCTGCATGATGATGGCGAAGATGACGCTGCGCAAGGAGGGCTGTTAGCCTCGGGATATGTAGGTAGGTAGTTTTTTTTTTCAACTTTAGGGGCAATTAAGGGGTAAGGGGTAAAGGAGAGAGAGGGAGGCAAGGGAGGCAAGACGTACCGCTCCTCGACGCCGATCTTGGCGCACTCGACGACCGCGTTCCAGATCCGCCCGATGTCCTCGCCCGTGTCGCCGGTGGCGGCCATGGACGCCTTGTTGGCGTTGAAGATCTGCTCGAACGACTTCCACTGGTCCTTGCCCGGGAAGTTGGAGGCAGGGCCGGAGTAGTGAGTGAAACCCATTGCGGCTGGTGTCGAGTTGGTTTAGATAGATAGATGAATAGGGGCGAAGTAGTCGAGTGGGCTGTTCTAGCTTAGCTGGTCTTTGCTTGCCGTTCTCGTGCTGTCGATGGTGGTTTCTTCTCGTCCTTGAGGCGGTCGAACGCCATCTTTATACCTATATTGTCTGTCCCCTTCCAGAGTTCCCTCTCCTTCGGCCATTGCTGCGCGTCGCCAGACTCGAGGACCCTCTAGGGTCCTTCCAGGCAGAGGTTTCCCGTGTTTTCCTCGATTTGGATGTTCCCCATAAGATGGTAAGAACTAGTGTTGATGTTGAGACGACAGAGAGTGGTGTGACTGCATCTCGTGGTCTGTATTGAAAGGGTTCGGACCGCCAAGGTGGGCGTGTCCAGGCTCCCTCTCTCTCCTGTTTCCCCTGTCTCGTAGCGGTCGGCGTGGCCAGCGGCTAGTAGCTTCGCCGGTGGCGAGGCAAACGGCGTCCCGCGGTACACCGTGATGTGTTGCTGACGCTTTATCGTCTCCTCGTCGTCCGTCCGATCTCCGGACGAAATATTCCCAGTATTGCTGACAGTCTTTACTAATTCGGCTATATGGGGTGTTAGGCGCTCGAAATCTGCCACCTACACCTTTCCAAGTTGGATTGATTCTCACCGCGAAAGCTGCTGTCTCCTACGTAGAGGAAGGGTTCAATCGTCATGCTTAGGTGAGAAATATCATTCTATCGATGTTCAGTCGCGAGACTCTCATTATACCGACGAAGGCTGTTGCATAACGATCGTCGGATATAGCCATGCCATCTTAGGTAAGATCTAGCCGACGGTCACCACCCACGCTCGTACTGTCACAGGTTCGCTACATCGATGCCTTCTCATCAGCCATCCTAGCTTCCTACAGCGGCAAATAGGAAACCAATCGAACATATTTAAGCGAAGGTACTCAGCCGCACCGTCCTACCCTCGCGGCTACGGCCGCGGAACCTAGGACTGGGAATAACAGGTGGCAAGGCCACACCAATAACATGTCAGATATTCACGCAAAGCCCAATCCCGGGTGGCGATCCCGCGATGCTTATTTCCTCGCAAGCGAGTGCCGTTAAGCGTCGAAGGATTCGATTGCGGCTATTATTCCCCAGTTCGGCGAGGCCTGTTCCTGCATGGTAGTCGCCTATTTGATGCCTACTACGGAAGAACCTGGCTACCTAAGGTACAGGTATTACTTTCGTCAGCCTCCAACTGCTTGACCTCGCGTGCCGTCCAATCGATTGATGACGAAGCGTGACGAGAATGAGGTAGGAGTATTGCATTCTAGCTAGGCAGTCCTACTCAACCATGGCCGGGATACTCTTACAATTATCTATTTTAGTCGCGATTACCAACGCCTAGGCCAATATATTTGGTAAGAAGGACTTCTATACGTGGACCACTTATTGACTTTGGCTGGTTACCCATTCTCTGATCAGCTTTATGTGAGGGCGTGCTGGCGTGTGTGTATTAGACAGGTGCGCCCTGGATATAAGATAGAGGCGTCTGATATGTGTTCCTGGAAGAACAGAGCAACGCAAGATATTTCTATAGGCAGGTATTCCCTCCGCGCCTTAAGAAAGTGCAAACGTCTCGCCTGGGTAGAGTACAGTGTCCCTATATCAGACACTTTAAGAGTGCCAGCCCATTTTCTCCAATTCTCTCTCTCTCTACTCCATTCAGAGTGCCAGCGAAAATTGCAGGTATTAGTTTCAAAATTTCGAGAAATTATCGTCATACCGTTCCGGTTGGTAGTGTTCTCCACGCGCGTTGCCTCTCAGCTACGTTGAGTACAGTTGACTACCCTTGCTCTGTTTACCTACCTGTTTACGTAGGTAGGTAGATATGTGTCCTTGATGTGTACTTGTAGGTACTCGTCATGGAATGATTCCTTTCCTCCCCCCTTCTTCTCTGTATCTTCATTTCTTAGTTCTCTTTCTCGTATCCCTTCTAGCCCTCTCTTTGTGCGCTATCCGTTTTGTCGACTCCGCTGGGGGCGTATGGGCGTTGGGGAATCAGCGGGCGCGTAACTGTGGCAATGGGCTGGGGACCCGGGCAATCCGACTCGGGGACAACAGAGGGGTAAAGTTGTGGCTGTTGCTATCGATAACCATCAGATATGTGGCTGTACAAGGCTGCAGGTACCTCTGTACCTGCCTAGTCATCTTAGGTAATGTGCATGGACCCCTGGAGCAAGAGGTGCCAGCCAATAGAAGGCGGCCAAGCGGCGTGAGGCTGCGATGCGAGTTGGCGGATTGTCTTAGATTGGTGGGTCCAGGTAAAGTAAACAGAACGCGGTCAAACAACCAATTGAGCCCTTCTTGATCCCACTTCGCACTCCTCCTCCCGCAAACCCGTCTCTCACCTCGCAAACATATCTCAGCTAGAGTTCATGCAATTGCTTGCAGACGTGCTCCTATTTTCTCGCCCTATTTTCTCTATTCTCCTCGTCAATTTGCTCTTCGCTGTATTCATCCTTGTATACCAAAGCTTATGCGACGCGACAACCGGTTTTGCCTCCCCCCGTCTACCGCCCTCTCCGCGACGCGCAACCATTTTGTTGCTTCACACCAAACACGAGCAGCTGTTACCCTTGATCGAGTCCTTCTTCTGCTAGCCTAGCAGTGCACTAGTGCCTCCTGCGCTATGGAAATGGACGAGATTCCCGATGCCTACTATACCTACGATGGCCGGTTGGCCTCGTTCACATCTGCGCGCCCAGCCGCGCGACGGCCGTCGAATGCCAAAGGCAGGGCGCCGAAGGGCATCGCTTGGCCACACAAGGAGCTGGATCCAGACTACGTGGGCCTCCACTACACACATATTGGTTTTACCCCTTCCAGTGCTGATGGTAGTGTCTGCAGTTTGCTCGAGCCGGATTCTTCTTCCAGCCCACTCCCGAAGCTCCGGACAACACCGTGTGCTTCCTCTGCTTCAAGTCGCTGGCAGGATGGGAAGGAACCGATAATCCATTTGAGGAGCACCTTCGCTTGTCTCCGCATTGCGGTTGGGCGATCGTGGCCGCTATCGAGGTTGGGATAGGAGATTATGGCTTGGATGACCCTTGCGGCACCGAGATGGTCGAGGCGCGAAAGGCCACCTTTGGAGGACGATGGCCACATGAAGGGAAGCGAGGCTGGAAATGTAAGACGAAGCAGGTAAGCGTGCCTTTCTTTTCCTCCGGACCTTGTTTTGGCGCAGAATCTTGCTAACAAGTACTAGCTCGTAGAGGCGGGTTGGAAATATACACCGACCAGCGAGTCGGAGGACATGGCAACTTGCACGTACTGCCAGCTGGCTCTTGACGGCTGGGAACCGAAGGATAATCCAATGTATGGAATAAGGTCCCTCCATAGCCCTGCGCTTCGCTGACTCGCCGCAACAGGGACGAGCATTTTAAGCGATCTCCCGATTGCCACTTCTTCTCCCTGTCCGATCAACACTCGAAAGGACCGGGCAGGAAAAAGGGCAAAGGCAAGGGAGCTAGGGCCTCCCAATCCTCCCGGATGTCTGTTCAGTCCTTCGCTACGGCCTCGGATATGCCGTCAATCCTAGATCACACTGCCGACCACGAAGATAGCATCATGACTGCTACATCCGTCATGACCCAGGGCGGTACCAAACGTTCCCGGGCGAAGAAGGGTACAGCCGCGAAGAGCAAGAGGACTAGGGTCAAGAGAGACGAAGCTATTGAAGTTCTCGAAGATCCACCCATGGTTGAAGAATTGGTTCCCCCGCTGCCACCAAAGCCCAGTCGCGGACGTAAGCGAACAAGTGACGAAGTCGATGACTCAGCATTGACGGTGTCAGAAGCACCAGTAGCCAAGAGGAAGAAGGCTGCGCGTGCCCGGCAACAGAGTGTTTCTGTTGTCGAACAACCAGACGATGAGGTGCGTGACGAAAGCATCCTAGCGCCAAAGACGAAGGGCAAAAAGGGCCGACCGGCCACTGCGCGCAATAAGAGAAAGGTTTCGACGGCGTCAACGGCATCGGTGGCAACATTTAACGAAGACGACATGCATATGATGGACGATATAGAGCTTGACCGACAGCTGCAAGCGGACTTTGACCGACCCTTGTCGGACGACGAGGCTATCGCTGCCGACTCGGACTCGGACCGTAAGAGGGCTCCGAGCAAGGGCAAGGGCAAGAAGACCGCCACTAAGCAGGAGACTGTATCGAAGCAGGAAGAGCGGCGCAGCGATCATGCCATGTTCGACCCTACGCCTCCGAAGATTGACGAGACTGTGATCGATGCCGAGCTTACAGCACTCGAGGCCAGGATGGAGGTTGAACGGGAAGAGTCGCTCCATGTTCCTAAGAAGGGTCGCAAAGCCGGTACTAGAAAGGCCTCTAAGCAAACGGCCAAGAAAGTCAAGGAGCAGGCGCCGGTAGAACCCGAGCCGGAGCCCCAAGCCGATGTCGAGGCGGCAGCTGTCGATGAGCTAGCTGAGGGTCACGATATGAGCATTGTCAGCAACGGGACAATTGTTCGGACTAGCATGTCATCCAATGCCGCACCTAAGAAGCGCGGCAGGCCCAGTAAGAAGACAGCTATACCATCTTCAGATGTGAAGCCTGATGAGCTTGGTGAGACGGAGGTCAGGGATGAGACTTCGTCCAAAATTGAGCGCATAGACTTTGCCAAGCCCGCGGAGGAACCAACCGTGACGGAAGAACACAGGGACCCCACTCCCGAGGCCGAGGCCGAGGCCACTGTTATATCCTCTCCCTCGAGGGATAAGTCGCTGCCTCCGCTTCCGATCGAAACGGACGAACTCGAGCCTCCGACAACACCCTTAACCTCGACGTCTCCGGGGGCCGCCATGAAGCGAGCAACGATGTCGCCGTCGCAGTCGCCGCAATCGTCCAACGCGGAGAACGAGCCGCCGTCGTCGCGGCCACCAAGCACGGCAAATAGCAGGCGGACCGCGCCGGGCCCGGCCGCGTCCGCCATCGCCGTCACGCCGGTGCGCGTGTCGCCGTCGAAGCATAACGTGCTCGCGGATCTGCAGAGCAGCGAGCCGTGGGCGGCGGTGGACGTGGAGGCGATCTTCGACGAGTTCGACCAGGAGAACGGGCTCGGCTCGGCCAAGGCGCTGGTCGGCGGGGACGACCTGACCAGCCCCGAGCGGCGGATGACGGTCGAGGAGTGGATCTACCACAACGCGGAGCAGGCCGGGCACAAGCTCCGGCGCGAGTGCGAGGCCATGGTGACGGCCTTCGAGCGGGAGGGCACGCGCGCGATGCGCACCCTCGAGGGCTTGGCCGTTGAGTAAAACGGGAGTCGAGGTAGCCGTCGTCTGGTCTGCGCAGCCGCTTAGCAGGCCAGACTACGATTATCCATCGATTAGTCTAGGATAGCCCGATAGCCCCTGTTTGTAAGAGTTAGTTTTTGAGTCGTACCGCGTCAAGGAACTAGCCTAGTCTAGGACTAATGTTTACGATATGTCATGGCGGTGCTGGCGTTGGGGGAAAGGGGAAGGGTGATTTTGGGGGGGGGGGGGGGGTTTCATTTTCAAATTGGGCTAGGGTAGGGTCAAGGGCCCTCGTCGTCGCTCTCTCAACCACCCTACCCTAGCCTGCTGCCAGTAAAGCATCGGATCAGGTTAAAACAGGATCGACAAGACGAAAGCAATGCATACAAATACGAGCGAAGCGGAAGTTGACGTTGATGTTTTACTTTGGTGCCGAATTCTTGAGATATGTGGAAGGGGTTTCTCCACTGCCACAGGGACGATGCAGACAGCTACTTCGCCCAGCTTGGAGATCGAGGCCGACAAGTATGGTTTTCCTCCTACCCCGACAATCTATGTATTCATTCACGATACGGACTATCCCACTGTCTCCCATCTCTCCTTGTCCACCCCGCCGTGTTTCGTTTCTTCTCGCCGCCGTCCAAACCTAGGGTTGCCTTTTCTCCAAGGTGCACACGCACACATTCGTGATTCGGCAGGGCAAGTTCACAGAGAGGCGTAGTTGTGGATGCGGAGTGCGGACACAAATCAACGTGAGAGCTGTCTCGCAGTCACGGTGAGAAAATGAAAATAATACCCGAGAAAATAACACGACAGCGGCCATGCCACCGGGTCCGACGAAGCGACGAATGAGATACGAGAAAATGACCAAAACAGGCAACTTATACAGTGAATTATATCCATTTTCGTATAAATTTACACTGTAGACCATATATACTGAACAGGAGCAGCGCAGGCACGCTGTTGGAGACCCGTACAAGGACTACCCAACTGCCAACAACTGGCCCAGTGCCGATCGAACGAGATCACAGCTGTACGCAGCTGTAATCAGTTGATTGGCCAGCTGAAAACGGCAGCTGGGAAAGACAAGAAGGGACTAGAATGGAATAGCGAGAAAAGGCATGGTAAAACGAGTGAATAGCTGTAGGTCGTGATGCCTACAGGTCTAAGTCTGATCTATGAAAATCTGGATGCGAGACCCATACAAATACTCATCCAAAAGGCTACGTGGCCTAGTCTCACCGCACCACTACAATATTTATACATGTAGACAAATACTTCAACATTGTCGAAAAAGATAGGGGGCCGCTAAGATGGGTCTTTACAGGATCTAGAAAAGGAAGGCATTTTAAAACGCTGTGCAGTTGTTTCATATTAAAATACTCCGCAACAACACTTGCAGCCTTGCGCGGTTTTACGCAACTAAATTATAATATAATAGGCATGTTGCGAATTTCATCTGCCTTCTTCTTGAACGTCGCCCATCTCTATATGTATTTAACTACCTACTTCCAGCATAGAGAAAATTAAGGGACGTCATAGGCTACTGTTAAAAACAGAAGCTCCTTTTTTTCTTGTTCAACTCTGAATGCCCTTCAAGTTCCTTGTGCCTCTCTTCTACTTTTAATACAGTGCAAACGTATTACTAGCTAAACAGAACGTAGAAGGTTAGAGAAGCAAATATGGTAACGCAGAAAAGACGGGGAGCAAAGATAATAATAGGATGATCAAGCAAAAACAGTGTATGAAATATACATAAAATAAATACAAAACTCACATGCACCCAGACTCGCCTCCTAAACGCACCTATGCATACGGAAGCTAGGTATAAACTTCCGGCAAGGGCAAGGGCACAGATACACGGCACCTCAGCGAGTAGCAGAGCCCGTCATCAAGCTTCCATAGTAACAGCAAGCAGGACCGCACGACGTCGGCACCGGTGTCTAGGCAGCTTGCTGGGTCGTCTTGTGTAGGCTTTTCATATACCTAGACTACCGCATTTAACAACCCCCCCCGTTTCTCCAAGTGTAGGAGCCGTAGATGTAATCATCACCGTTTATGCTACTTCAGTACAGTGTTATCTGTAAGGTATAGAAGGTCTCCCGCTGGCGGATGTGGAATGAAGGACCGGTAAAATATATCAAAGCTTTAGGTATCACCAAGGCTTCAGGGGATAGCTTAGCACGGGGGATGCCTTTCACCTGGTCCAAAGGCGAGGATCCGATACGCGCCGTATTATGATCTATACCGTTGCCATTTCTTTCACTTCTTCTACCGGTCAGTTCCGATCAACCCGAGCTCAACGTAACCCTACACGTTAGCCGCATCCCCGTTCAAGGTGAAGAGTCCAAGCATGTCTTCTGTTGACCGAAAGTGACAGAGCGGTATCCGGATGGCACCCACGACTCGCTTACAGATGCGCTCCGTATTGCATTATAAACTGTCAGTTACGCCATTTGGCAAGGTTACGTGCTTTTCGAACCACAACACTTCAAATCACTCGGGTGTAAGACAACATATACGTGAGGGTAGGAGCTGAGTGATAATCGTATTATACTGAATCAAAGTGTGGGATTCGGACATGAAAGATAGTGAAGCTCAAACTTGTATCTTCGCTCAACTCCACCTCCACCCCGTTAGCCAACCCGTCCCTTGCTAATAACACGAGCTGGAAAGCTGGCTATTAAGCATAGTCGAAACGAGACTTTTTCCTCGCCCTCCAGTATTCCTTGGCGTGCAACTGCGGAGGTTCTTTCTACTGGTCATGGAATTGTTGTATGAACATGAATATAAAAACAGGACCCGTTCGATTTGTCAGGTAGCATGGTCGAGAATGAAGCTGGGGTCCGTCCGTTCGGGATCCGTAATAATGGGGCGTTATCCATTAACGTGGTGTTGTTGTGATATCTGGCTCGGGGGATGATCCAACCAGCCTGGCGGATGCTTGCCGAACCCTCATCCGGCTCATCGTTATTCGCGAGGGCGGTGGATTAGGACGTTATGGGAAGTGACATCTAAGGGCGGACGAGTGAGATGGGGAACTCTCGTAGTCGGCGCTTGGGCGCCTCGTGCGGGACCAGGTTGCTCGCGAAGCCCGTGGTCGTCGGCGCGGGAATAGCTGGAACCGTGCCGTTGGGGTACGGGTAATGCGGAGCGGCAGAGCCAACCTGGAACGTGGCGACAGCGGCCAGCAGAACAGCAAAGAGGCGGGCCATTTTTGAGAGGCTACGGAGAGGGCTGTAGCGACGGGGTGCTTAGCGGAAAATTAAGAGCTGAGGGAACGATTGGCGAAAGACGCTGCGAGATCCGAGCGAGCGAGTTCTCTTCGGCGTTGGAGAAGCACACCGGCCTTTTATGGTCGTTGCCGGCTCGCGACAGACTAGGTGTGATCGGCATATGAGTTGCGGTATTCGCTGCTGGGGCGGATGTTCCTGAATCTCACCTATTATACACCCACCCACGCCCGCGCTGACATATATTGCTTCATTATCCGCGAGCCCACACCCTCCGCTGTCGCTTCCAGCTTCTGGTCTGCCGGAACCTGTTCTCGACCTAACCTTGCCATTGGGAAATGCAGCCCAGGGGTTGGGGCTGGGATGGCGGCGTTCTGCGTCTCTAAGATCGACCACCGGCACTACGCACATGCCTACATCCTCCTACAGCCGCACGCCTAAAGCTCCGAATGAGGGCGACAAGGGGGGGGGGTGAGGAGAGGGTACGAGATGAATATGCACATATTAACCACTGTCACCACCCCCATCCCATAGGTAGTCCTATCAGGGTCCATGAGAAATATTCTATGCAGCCGCAGACGTGGCGAGAATCGTCGAGACTAGGTTAGGTACGTAGGTGGGACGGATAGATGACATGGCTCTGATGCCCTCCCTCGGTAGATAGTCAAGCGGATGCGGCGACGTGACATCTCACCACCAGCAGGTCGAGTGGACATATATTCGCCATCTGGACGCGCATGCATGCAGCTTCTTTCTCGTGCCGACACTACATGAGGTAACCTCGACGTAGACGCACACGTATACGCTACCTCCCTATGGCGTTCCTAACTAACCTACACATGGATATTCCATTGCGATATCGAAGGCGTGCTAAGACGGGGTCCACAAGTGGACGACAAGACTGGAAGTTTTGGCGTGTTGGCTAATTAACCTGCTATGATTCGAGGGCGTATACGGTTGAATGTGAATGCTGCAGGTTTTTTTTTCTCGACCAGCCGATTAGCTCCATTGATCTTCCATTTCCACCCTTGTTGAGGCGTGCTTATGAATAAACGAAACGGGAAAGCAATTTAATACTTACTACGGCGTATTGCGCATCGGAGGAGGAAGAGGGTTGAAGCTGGGGGGGGGGCGGGGGGTGCGTTCGGTGTAGGTGGAGTGCAACAACACCAACCTGACGGCCCTACAACAATACAACAACAATCCAGCCAATCCAGCCAGCATCGCTCATCTGGTATCGGTTCCCTAGTATTGCCCGTATCATAAATCATATTTCAAAAAAGCCGCCGACGTATCCGGTGAAGCCATCGAAGAGCAGGGACAATGTATCGAAATCCGGCACGTACCTATCAATATACGTACGCAACCCCCTTCCCCCCCTTTATGATATCACAATAGTACTACATAGTAGTGATAACAGAAACCGGTCAGAATTCGCTTATGCAGAAATCCTACTGGATATCTAATACCTATCCTTTTTTTAGCAGCTCTCACCTCGAAGCACGGCCCAACGGGCTTCGCGTAAAATGCGTGTATACCTACGTACGCGTTCGTGATAGGCAGTCTCTCTGCCCGGCATCACAGGCCAGGTCAGGGCGGCGACGCCTCCAGCCAAACTCGGCGCGCGCGGCGCAAAACGCAGCTCAACGAGGGGGAGCGGGCGCGCGATCGCCGACTTGTCGACGAAGCCGGTCACCGCCCCCGATGCAAAACGTGTCAACGATAGTGCCCATCGAGATTCCCCATCCCGCGAGGCAACTTCAACGTTGAGTGTCGGCGGAGACGACGAGAGCGGCATAGTCGCTTCAACAGGGGAACTCAAGTGCCGATCGCGATGCGCCAACGGTCCTGGTCCGGCCCTATCACAGCGACTGAGTAAGACGGCATGGGGGGCGGGGGAAATACTACTGTGTACGTGTATTGTACAGTACGGACTTCCTAGTAAAAAAAGCTCTGGTCATCATCGATCCCCTGGGCAAAATCCATCTGCCAGGCACCCAAGCACGGAGGGACCTGGTCGCGGCAGATCTTCGCCTGCATTAGAAAACCCTACCTCTTATCTCTCGCTCTCGCGCCTCTCCTCTCCGCTCTTGCTGACGGACTGAATAAGAAAATAGAATTGTCGAGACCGTGCCCCGGGGTCGTTCGATAGGGGACGCCGCCGTATCCGGGAATTCCGCGCAGCCTCTGAACATCAACCGGTTTTGCAGAGACCAGAATGCTTGCGTCATACGCGGGTTTTCGCTCGTACCCAGGTTTCCCCCCCCTTTTTACCCGCGAGGAGCCGGGTTGGCCGGCACAGATTATCAGAGCAGCGCACCCGTGATGCGACAGGTCTCTTCGGCTCCTCGGCAGCCCGCGCGGGCGCGAGGGCTTCGCACCAGGTATGTACGAATGTGTTAGAAGCCAAGTCAAGCCAGGGCATGACAAGGCGGGCGAAGAGAGAGGGAGGAGGGGGGTGATAAGAGAAAAGGAGGATATGGGCCGGATTGCGTCTACATATTTGGCGTCGTAAAGCTTTCAACATACAGTATCTACATGCACACGGCATGCATGGCAGGGCGATAGGGCAGGGAAGGATGGGGAGAACCTCGTCGAGCCGGGGCCTCCTCAACAGATCCCAACCGGTCCAAGGTGCGGTGCGATGCGGGCGAGGGCTCGAAGCCAGCCGTGAGTCCTAGTTCCGGGCCTGATCTGCAGCAAAGAGGCTATTTTGCCCGGCGCGCCCCCAATCAACCGACGGGACGGTGCGATATGGTAGATTGTACAGAACATTCTGGTCGCTGTCGCTCAAAGTGCCTTCACACCCAGGTCCTCCTCAGCGCAGGAGGGAGATAGAGAGAGGAAGAGAGAAAGAGAGTGTGAGGGAGAGAGCGTATGTGTCTGCGTCTGCCCTCGATTTAATATCCAAGTAATCATAAAATCGAGAGCTATATACGTTCTGGCAGCGGCCGAGAAGCCTTGGCTGGGGCTCGTCTCTATACCCTCATAGGCCCTCTGCACTGCAAATAGATGCCGATACAAATTGCGGCTCGGTGAAAAAGCATAGTTGGCTTATTCACCGTGAACGGCACGTGGTGCGCCCGCGTCTAGCCAGCCTTTCTCTCTTCGTTATCCTGACCGTCTCCGGTCGCAACGCTTGCCCCTCTTTCTCCCTCCCTTCCCTTCCCTCCCCCCCCGCTCAAACCACCCAGACTCTGGAGCCTGGCGTCTCGCTCTCTGTATCCTGCCTCGCTCTGAGCCGGCGACGGCTCCTTGCCCAGTCGCAGTTCATCCTCGTTGCGACGCGAATATTAGCCGCCTCTGTGGGGTCGGGTGAGGGGAGCAGATCGATGCCGCCGCGGACAGCGAGCAGCTGCGCGTACCGTTGCAGCGCTGCATCGGCGCCAATCGTTACCATCGCGAAGCTTCATCTCCCGCCGACAACCTTCGCACCTACGGATTCAGTGGCGGACTGAGCGCGCCCGAGGGGCGGGGAGAGAAGGGAAGGCAGGGGGAGGGACATATCTCGGCTCGCGCGGGGCCGTTCTACCGTGCGGGCTGGCTTCCCAGCCACGATGTCGCTGGCTCTTGGGAATGGCAACCCGGCGATCGAAGCTCACAAAAAGGAGGGGAGGGGGTAGCTCGATGAGAACCAAGAACCCCCCTTCGAGCGGCTGGCGAGCTCCGCGTCGAGACGCATGGCTCCCCGGACGCGCTTCTCTCGACCTCACCCCCGGTCGCAGCCCCTCTCTGCGTCTTCCGGCGGGTATATCTGTCTGGCCGGGTAGGCGTATAGGTATGATCTGTCATCTTCCGCGCTCATGCAGAGGCTTATGGCAGAAACCCGGGAGTGTTGCTCGCACGTCGTTGTGAGGGCCTGAGGAGGGGGGCAGGCTTCATGCTAAACGAGTACGATGCCGCGAGCAGGACCTGGTCGTGATGCCCTCCCGAGTATACCCCGTGCCCTTGAGGACCGCATAGCATACCCATCTGCGGTGCAATGCCTAGTAAACATGCCCTCTCCTTTACTTCGTCCCTAGATCGTTTCTCAAAGCAGAGCCGAATCGCAAGTCATTCGCGTCCTTCCCCCCTTCCCCCCGTCCACCCCCCTTTCTTTTCTCATCGCCCCCGCATAGCGAGCGCGTATAGCCAAGTGTGGGAGACAGGCACGACGACCGCGGTGATCCTTCCGTCGTCGACGATGCGCGGTACGAGGTCTGCCATCTGCTGATCGTCGCGGGTCGCGGGCCCCGGGGATCGATGGGGTTATACCTGCTGCTCGCGAGGCTAAAAGGAAAATAGCTGCGTCGCGTCGCCAGCGTCCCCCCGTCCGTCTGCTAGGGGAAGGCATCGACACGACTAGTCCGGTGCGGCGATCGCCCTCATCCTTAGCGCTACGTAGTAGCGTAGGACCGCCTATATCTCGAGGATATAAGGTCGCCGGACAAGGTCGAAGGCGTAGTTGGATCTTAGACCAAATGGGGACCACGCTGACTTCCATCTACGGAACTAGTAGCTGCCGCATAGGCCAGGAGAGCGTGGACCCCGGTTAATGAGATGGGATGATCCGGAACCACGTCTGCGTCCTGCCCTGCTCTTGCATCGGGGGATATCAGATGAAGGGGGATCGCAAGGGGTGGAAGTTATCATCATGGAAGAGAGACTTCATGTGCTAGAACAAGAGCTAGGTATTAGTCTTAGTTGGATACACCGTCCGCATCATCTGCGGTTTCTAGCATATTAAGTACTGGTGAAGACTGCATGTTATCCAAAACGCCCCTTATGAACTGGGTACGTAGGTGCTTACATCTATACTAACATAGTGAACTCGATCCTCGACGTATATTCACAAAATACCGGTAATTAGTACTTAGCGCCTTCAAACCTGTGCGCCTCCCACTTATGTATCGGTTTCCCCCGTTGTTATGTGTCTCGTGTTTTCGCTTGGCTTGTTTCTTTCTTCCGAGTGTCGTCCTCCTCCCCTTCCGTGTCCGTCTCTACGGCCGACCTCGTATCCTCAATATCCCCACCCTTGGCGTGAGCCTCGGCGATGGCCTCGTCCTTGAGACTGCTAGCTTTGCTGACGTCTGCGCTGCTGGGGCTCTCGGTACGCAAGCCCAGACGTCTCTGGCTGTCGGGGTCCTCGTCGTTTCCCCCTTTCCAGTCGGCCGCCGGCATCTGTGGCACCGGTGAGCCCATGTCTGGCATGGTTAATTCCTCTTCCTCGTCCTTAGAGGCTGGTGTGCTCCATACGACGGATATTCTGTCGGCGGCGCGCGTGCCCTTTTGGACAGAACCCTTGATTCCATCCATCTCATCCCAGTTGATCGTGAAGACCCCGCTCCGATCGGGATTGCCATCCTGCTCGGGCCCGTTGCCTTCGAAGAAGGTATTAAACCATACGTGAGCCACGGAGGTGACCATGGTTAGATTCATAGTCGCGCGATTGCGCCGTTCAACGCATATGTTGACATCGCTATTGGGCAACAGAATAGGCTTTCGAGGCTTGAATATAACCGCCATACCGCCAGGTTCGGGATCGAGATCGCTCGTCTGAGGTGATGGAGGTGAGTTCTGGGGGTCCGTAGTATCGGATTCCGTGTCGATGTCGGACGCACGAGGTGTAGAGCTAGCAGGGCCGGTATTTTTGTTTCGTGGAATCTTGGAAATGAGTGGTGGACTCCGCATAGCTTTTGACTTTGTCGTTATACTGTTGTCAGATTCTGATGACTTCGTGGCTTCGTCCTCCCGACCGAGTTGCTTCGCTTCGCGGAGTTGATTACCCTCTGTGGTAGGGCTAACCCCGTAGCCGGTCATATCCGAGATCATGGCCATGACTCCGTTGTCTCCGGGAGCGTTGCCTTCAACTATTAGCCGCTCCCTCTTCGTGAAAGTATGGATGACCTTGATTTTTCTCCCCCCTTCCACGAATCCCTCAACCGAGAGTTTCACGCCAGGACGTAGCCCCCAGACGTGGATCTCGACGATTTCCAGCTCCCTATCGACAAACTTCTTCCCTCCCTTAGTCCAGCGGTCGACATACCCCACCCACCGTAGCTGGCTCGGGATAGTCACGCCGCCGCCGAACTTGGGCCGCATCCGCCGCTCCGTGAACCTAGTCAAGGCCTCCTCCGGCGTCCAACCGCATTCAGCGATGAGATAGCTACAAGCCATCGTCCCACTGCGACCCTTGCCCGCCTTGCAGTGCACGACCACTACTCTGTCACCTTTCTTGTCTTTCCACTTGTCTAGGACCTTCTCGACCAGCCTGTTCTTGCCACCAGGTCCCTCCGTCTCGATGGTGTCGGCGTCGAGATTGTTTCCGTTCAGCCAGTTCCGCATGCTCGCGACGATCATTGGTACTAATCTGAACGGAGGCGGGTGGTGATCGGGCCAGGGGTAGTGTCTAATTCGATTGTAGACTAGCTCATCGGGGTAGCCGGTGCCTTCGCCGCGGAACTCCCATATCGCCCAGTTCTCGCCATGCTTAGAATCGAGGAAAGAAACGAGTCGGTCGAGCGGGTTGCGATAGGCACGCTGCGGGTATGTATGCGAGGGACCGGACCTGAGAGCAGGAACGCGGTTAGCATTTGGGTAGGGCAGTGCCGTCGACCTGGGCTAGAGCGCGATAGCGCGCGTTGGTGGATATGAAAACGCCGATGCCAAGGCGTGCGTACACGCTAGGCACATACTTACGTTGCGATGATATTGTCGGTGACATAGCACAGGTCCAACCCGGTCTCGGGATGCCGGGTCCGAGGCCCTGCGACGATCTGGCGCAGCAAAGAAGCCATTGCGGATGGGCGACGGCTAGACGAGATCTCGGAGAGGGAATTGATTTGCGGACATTTTCGGTCGTGTTGTGGGATTAGACAGGATTAAGAAGAAGAGGCATTGGTTCTGAGACTACGCGGACAGAAAGGGAGAGTTCAAGTTTGCAGTAGACCGCTATGACAAAAAAACATCGTGAGACAATTGGGCGTTGCGAGATGGGCGCGTGTAGGGTCAAGGGGGCTGGCTGGCTGACCCTCCGCGCCGGCCGAACAGACCTGTACGTCATCAGGGAAGGCGACTTAGTTTGGTGACATCACGAGAAGATGTGGCCGCCGGTGGTAATGTGGCTGGTGCCAATTTGATGTCTATCCTGCTTATGAGACTGTGGCTGTGCTTCCGCCCTTACCTCACAGGTATACCTCCTTCAGGTTTCTCTACGTGTAGACACCTACATGAGTATGCTCTTCTCAGCACAACATCCTCAACGGAAGCAATTCGCCCACGAAGCCAACACTTCCAATCGACGAACAGCATGTCTGTAATAATACAATGCAAAATAAGACGGCCATACGATAGCTAGCTGGAACTCAGGCTACCTCCGGATGTCAAGGCCACGAAGACCTGCTCTCAACCCCCCCTCATCCTCATTGTCGTCGGTTGGCCTCTTCCGCTTCCTCTTCCTCCCCCCCTCAGGAGACCTGTCGCCGGCAGTCACGACCTCGTCCCATTCAGGACCGTGTGTCGCTCCGTGGCCACGCGCCATGAATGGGTCGGCCCAATCGACAAGGTCGTCGTCTGGGTACGCCCACCACTTGACACCGCTTTTTGCGTCGAGCTTCCGGCGCGCCCCATCCAGGAAGTACTGGGTCGTCCGGTCCGGCACGCCGAGCGCTTCCAGCAGTCGGCCGACGTCTCGCGTCGGCGTCGCTGTATTGAGGACCTCCTCCAGCATCATCCTGTACTCCTCGTCCGTAGCCCTACGCGTGTAGTACAAGATGCGCGTCAGGACGACGATCCAGTGGTTTATGCTACGGCGGCTCGCCCGTCAGCTCATCTCCCTTATCGGGGCACGCATGGGGGGAGGTGGTGTTTATGGTTAGGCACCGCCCCATGAGGGACACGAAACTTACTGGTCGGCGTCGAGCGTCCCTTGCATCGTTCTGACTTCGATCGTCTGCGGAAGACCGCTGCCTGGGCGTTGGGAAACCTTATTTCCGCTTATGCGTATCCTCACCCCGGGCCGCATGCTGGCCGCGCCGGAGAAGGCGTCGACTATCGAGTCGATCGACGTGTACAGCCATACATGGTTGACAAAGTCGGCAAGCTTCTCTTCGAGCAGGTGCATGGGCACGTGCGCTCGCATCCTTTGTTGGTTGCGATTTCTCGCGTACGGCGCCGTCCGCGGTACGTAGTCTTCGAAGATTTCGCGTTCGATGTTGTTGGTGGCTCCGTGGTATCTCGCGAGCCGAGTGGTTTCGGTGAGCGGCCCGCACCATATCTTCATGTAGTCCGAACCTCTGTCTTTTCTATGGATCCGTACGAGCGTCGTTTCGATCAGGAGCCACAACGTGATAAATCTCTTCAGGTGCAGTAGATTCCATCCGTGTTTGTGCCCCAGATGCACGTGGAATCCCGTCGAGCGCTCCATGGGCTTGTGGATGCGGAATCTGTTCCGGAGCGAAGCGCAGGCCCGGCGGATTGTCTCGGCGGTGACCTCGGTGCCGACCGGCAGGACGGGGCTGATGACTTCGGCGCCGAACCAACGGTATTCTGATAAGGGGCTACCACTTGGAAACCGAAATTGCACGTGTCGGGGTATCTCATAGCGGGACATTATCATCCCCTCTCCATCCACCGAAGTATCTTCCGTCACGGACCACGCCCGATAGATGTCGCTGAGACCGACAACCCGAATGTGATTCGGGTCGAACAACTGCTCAGGATCTAGATCCTTCCCGGCCGTTGCTCGCAGTTGAGCCCTTTCCGCGCGAACTTGGTAGTAAAACCACCCGGTAATCAGATTGCGTACCTCAGAGGGCCAATCCAGAATACTCCACTCTATCCTGCCTTGCAGAGTATCGATATCCTGGTCCGAAAATTCTTTCACGGTGATCTCATGACGAGCGCAGTACTTGAAGAGTTCTTGTAAGAACTGTGCCGCTGCAGACATGTAATAAGCCTGGTCCCGATCAGGTGTAAAGGTTGCATCGACTGAGAAACGAGCTAGAATGGATTCTCTTGTCGGTTTTCCAGCGCTCTCCCTCCTTTTGTCGGCGTCGTCATCGTCGCTATCTTCGTATTCTTCGTCGTAACCCGACATCCGCCCTGCAAAAGGGTGATCTCGAGCCTTTAGGCCGTCTTTAACCAGTGAACTATCATATCAGTCCAGGTTAACGAGTCGTTCTATGTTAGAACGTGGAAATGTCGGGCCCGCGCTCTACTCTCTCGGAAACAGAATGTTGTGGACGGCTAAACAGAAAAACAGGGTGTAGGAATGTGATCTCTAACCTGGTGAGCTTCTTCGTACAGACAAACCTAATCTTATCTATATCGTCGTTGTGGTCGGCTGTCGGAGCTATGGACCTATGATCATCTATTCCTAGGTCGTCGGTAAATGTGGCATTTCGAAGCCTTCGCGACAACCATCGCCCATCTGTCGGGTGCGGATCAACGATGGAAGGATCCAGGCCTGCATTCGCTCTCGGGGACACTGCGAGGAGAAACTCGAGCTCTAGCACGTGTTAATTCCGACGGTTCCCTCCTGTCTCCCATAGATCCATCCCATTCTTTCCGTGAGACTGGAAGAACTATCGAGGGGACGACTCGCTCGCTCGCTCTAGAAATAATCCCAGTACGTACTACAGTCAAATTAGTCGTAACCCATGGGCATTCACAGCTAATGAACGCCAGAGGGATACGGCCCCCACGAGAAGACCTGCGCAAGCTGCCATCGGGGCGGGGCGTTATCGCACGTACCCTATGCCTAAGCAGTCCTGGTCCTCTTCCGGGCCTGCGATAAAGTCCGGGTCATCCGGCATATAATCTTCCGCGGTGAAGTGATCGGGCAGGGCCTCCTGGTATTCCCCGTAGTATGGCCGGAACCGCCAGAGCGGTATATATGGCACGAACTCGCCGCCATACATCGACAGGCTCTTCGCGAGGTCGCCGACGATCGCGCCCTTGGGGAAGGGACCGGGTCCCGTGTATACCTTGCGCTCGGGCAAAGGCACCGTATCGTCTTCGTCTTCCTCCTTTTCCTCCTCGTCTCCCTCCTCCTCGTCTCCCTCCTCCTCGTCTCCCTCCTCCTCGTCTCCCTCGTCTTTCCCGCCTTCCTCGTCTTCGTCGTATTCCACGTCCCCGTCTTCGTCGTATTCCTCGTCCTCGTCTTCGTCGTATTCCTCGTCCTCGTCCTCGTCGTACTCTTCTTCCTCCTCGGACCCCACCAGTTCGCCGCCTCCCCCGCCCCCAGGAACGCGCGTGACGCCGAGCGAGGCCGCCGCAAGCATCTCGAGGTCGAACTCGCCGGGAACGATGGCGGCCATGACGGCGACAATTCCTTCCCTCCTGTCCGCGCGCGCGCACCGAGAACAACCCGCGAATAACAACAACAATAGCAACCCGTTGTCGACGAGGAAGTTCTCCTCGGCTGCCCGCGATTCTTTCTCTTAACTCTCTCTCGGCAAGTGTGTCTTGCCACTCCGAACATGTCACATGGCCAACCTGTCAGAAAAAAAAGGGGGGGGGAGGTGGGGAGCCGGCGCGCGACAAGGCTCCGAAAATATACAGCTACAAACCTAACCCCATCCTCCACAAACAACGAACAACAATAACAATAACGGCAACGGCGTGTACTAGCAAGACAATAAACCGCCCGCCGCCGACCCATACCGCCGTTCGCGGGCGCGGGCGCGGCACCAGCAGAAGGGGAAGCAAAAAAAAGAGAGACCCCGGGTCGAGCAAGGAATGAGGGGCCAGGGGGGGGAGCTCGATGCTTCCGGTCGGTACGCTTCCTTTTTTACCTTGTTCTGGTTCCTTTAACGCTCCCGCTCCGGCCAATACTCCCCCGCTCCCTTTGTTCGCCTCGACACCTCGAAACCCCCTTTCTAAGGAGAAGCGGCTCGTGGGCGCATTTCTTAGCGCGCGTCATTGCTTTGTCGAGGCCGTGATGCTCGCGCATTGTGCCCGCACAGAGAAAGGAGGTAGGAAGGAGGACACCCCCCCTAGTCGAGCGACGGACGGGACTTGACGAGTAGGCATGTATCTTCATCCGCCCAACCCTCCCCTGTCCGATTATGAAGTCTCACTAGTTTATCAAAAGGGGGAGGCGATCCCATGGGTCTGGGTGATCGCAGTTCGGCGAAAGTTACTTGTTTTCCGAGACGGGGGTGCAGGTAGGTCCCCTCCACCCAATCTGGATTGATTTACTGGCACGTCAGAACGGTATGCAATGGACGATTCATCTCAAACTAGGAACCTTTACTAGAAATAACAAATGGCCCACGCCCATTGGCCTGCGTGGCACAATACAAGCTGATGATCTTTCCCGCCCTCTCAATCACCTAGTCTTCAATCGGAGAAGCAGAGAGCCATATTCTTCGCCTCGTGGCGCCCCTCTCCACTTCCCATTCGGAATTTTGTGCGATCTTACCCGGTGTGTTGCACCGCACCTCGCCCAGCAATTCGCCACAATCTGGTGTCCAGCAGTAAGACGCGCGGCTCGACACCCTTGTTGTCCTAGCATCCCTTCCGCAATCCGGCACAGACACGTTTTCCCATCTTATCGTCGTAGGCGTTCGGCCGTTGGCGAGTGCGGCTCGGGATCAGAGGTTGCCTCGCACTCCTTACGAGGTCTTCTTCGGCACGGAAGATCCGCTCGTGTACTTTCCTAGGTCGGTAACATCGTGGAAGTGACGTACGGCGCTCTTGGCACTGTCCCAGAGGGTCCGCGCCGCCGGAGGTGTACCTTGGGCACCGACAAGGGAGTCGATACGGGACTCCAAGACTCGGAAGGAGTCCTGGACGTGAGAGCTCTGGGCGAATCGGGTGCGGAGGAAAGCGGTATAGACAGTGATGAGGATCCAAGACCGTCGCTGAAAGAGGATGGCAGACAGGAATAGTCGGACCCAAATGAGAATCTCCAACGTCGCGACGACGGACATGGACGTGTCGTAGTACTGCTTCACGAAACTTCCGATAGCTTCGGCGATGGGACTGGCGCCCGCCGGCTTCGTACCGGGGGGAGCGCCGGCAGGGGCCTTGCTGGACTGGAAAGCGGGGATCAAATTGTTTCGGGTGTACGTGGCAACGTGGAAGATGGAGTAAATGCCGAACGGAAGCATGGCAAGGCTGTACTGCGGGGAGAGGAGCCAGACCAGCGCCAGGGCTGAGAAGGGGGAAAGATCAGTTATCCAATACGGCTAGGAGCAGAGAGAGCGGTGACAGCATACCAAGATATTGGACATTCTCGTCGGAGAGGATACCTATGACGCCACCCGGATATTTAGCGCCGACCTTCTGGCGTGCCCGCCATGTCTTGTAGACGACGATTCCGTATGTCAAAGCGGCGGACAAGAAGGCGGTACGATAGGTGATCCATGCCCAGCCGGTGGTGAAGCTGAAGGTGATGAAGTATCGGAAGATGCAGAGCAGGAGGAGGAGATGCCTAGAGAGAAGCAAGCATAGGTGTTAGCGCTCCAGCTCCGCATTACCCCGACACGTTGGTCTCGCCCCAAATGGGTCAGATAGGGTAGGTAGCTAAGACGAGTCGCCGGGAGACGACATAGCCGGGGTAGGGCTGAGGAGGTATGGGAATCCGTTGGTTTACGCACCCGCTGAACCAGGCGACTGCATCCCTTCCGATGTTAGCGAGAGCGACGAGAAGGGCGGGGAGAGAAGCACGAGGGACGAGGTAAGGGAAGGCGAGGCGTCGGGAGGCCACATACACTGTAGAGTTTTGGCGAGAGCCAGGAACTTGTCGCGGAGCGACAGGTTCGAGGCGGGCGGAGGAGGAGCCATGGGTCTCAGGACCTTCGGGTTCGCAACTGGTAGACGACGGAGGCGTGGGGGGGGAGGGAGAGGACTCGAAGAGAGGGGATGTTTCGGGTCGCGATGCGCGTGTGTGCTCGGGAGCGTGTGCGTGAGTCTTAGAAGTAGGCCGCCCTTGGGAAGAGCTAGGAGGAGGTAGGCCGGCGGTCCGGGGGTGCGACGGAGTTGATGAATGAATGGGGAGGGAGGAAGGGAGGGTGACTGGTGGTGATGACGATGGTCGTATTGGGTAAAGTAGAAGCTGGCTTCTGTCCGGGTCAAGTGTGAGGTGGCTGGATGGGCGTGGGGAGCGTTTGTCGGGAAAAAAAAAGAGTGAATTCCACTAGGTACCTCGCCGGGTACCTTGTTGGTGCGAGTAACTTGGGCACTGTAATTGTGTACCTTGGGTGGGTGGGTTAGGTACCTTCGCTGCCTGCAGGCGCCTTGATGTACGTACCCATAGTCTGGTGATGTCGTAATACTCTCTATTCATCGATTAGTAGACTCGATGTCGCCTTTATGCACGGAATGCAGCATTTGTCCTACTTGTGCTTGGATTTATGTATTTACGCCCTAGAAGCAGGCAGGGACCTGGGCACGACAGCGTCGGTGGGGAGCTTCCAGCTGGCTTTCGTTTCTCTTCTATACCGAGTAGTACGAAACCAAAGCGGAACGGGTAACCAATCGGCTACCACGTTACCTGGTGCCCGTTACCGCCCCGCACCGTTTGTACGTGCGAGATAGGTAACGCTCAGTGTTACTGCTCTCCTCCACAATACGCGTGAATCGTGGGCCTCCGAAAAGCTAGCCACCTCCGATCTGTCGCAGCACGGGATAGATGCGACGAAACTCCGAGCTGGGGCGTGTAGATGAGCGAGCCTCAGGCAGGTGTTGAAAAGAGGATTGAAAAGAAAGACTACCGAAGCCCAGTCTTCCCGTAGGTACCTACCACCGCCCGACTCGTACCTGATCGCGTCGCTGAACTTCTTACCTACCTTAGGCTCCGCGAAAACTTCCATGTAGGCGCAGGCGCAGGAAGTACCTCGAGAGAACCGATCTCCCTACACTCTTACCTGGTAGGCTGGCTTACAGGTACCTAGACAACGGCGTACATTCCCCAACGGCCTTCGGGACAAAGGCGACGGCGTACGAAGCTACGGACGACCGGCATTATTTTCCCTTCTTCGTGTACGGTATGGCGGCAGCTCGCCGAAGAATCGAGTCCGAGGGTGGATCCCGGGCAGAACCTCTCTACGCTATACCTACCTACCTACCTACCTACCGTGAGCTGGGGATACGCGGTCAAGTCGGCTTGGGATACCTATCCCTACCTATATTTTAAGGCGGTGAGAGGCCTCGTCCTTTGCGTCTCCCCCGATCCGCTCGAACCAGCGTATCCGGCACCTCGGCACCTCTGCAATACGGTATATGTACCTATGTAAGCCTTCGGTATAGACTCACCGCACCCAATCCCTGCCCCGTCCGATTACTCAGAAGAGAATGTGGGGGAGAGGAGAGCGTCCGGCGACTGCTGTCGAATGTTTAGTATCTTCCCCGGCAGATCCGCTTCAGCCCTACTCGATCTAGCGTTGCATCTAATGCATCGTTTCTCCGTCCCTGGTTAGAAGTAAGTACATTAAGTAGACACCAGGAGGCTCCGTTGGACATCTTCCATAGAGAGAGCCTACGAGTGAACCCAGGGCAGTATGACTTCTCGTCACCCTCGACGTTCATAATGCTAAAGGAATCCTTCTCCGTTTGCACTTCCTCCCCCAACTCCCCCACAAACAACTACCGATTATACAACCCCCTGGAATCCCCAGCGGCCCCTTTATACTTCAAGCCAAGCCGTCGCAGAGCTTAGAGACACGCCTGCTTGTTTGTATGGTGCACAGGGGGGCCTGGTGACGTTATCTCCTCCTGTGTAGAGAGCGTGCAACCAACGTAATTAACTAGATCCTTGATGCCATCCCGCCAACCTCACGCCGCGGAGCGCGGCTGCGCGGGTAAACCTTACCCATTGGCCCACGTCTCCCGCCGGGGTGCTAGGGCCTGTTCGGCGTCGCGTCGCATCGCGAAGATGCTGTTTCCCCGACGAGGATTCCCGCTGCTCCGAGGGCGGACGACCCTCGGTCGTATCCCGAGAACAACGCCGTCGTCGCCAGCTTGCTAGATTCATCTTCGCTTAAACCCCGTCTCCGTTTTCAACTAATACGCGACTATATTTCCGGTGGTGGTGGCACGGGCGAACGAACGCGAGCGCTGACGGCTACCGCAAGGGCTCGCGAACACGCCTAAGCTGTTGGATGTTGGTCGGGGCCGTGGCCACGCGGCTCCTACCGGGTAGACTACCGCTACCCCTCCGGGCGAGAGGGCCGGCGGGCAGCGGTGAGATCTAGCGCTATTTATAGCAACACCACTCCCGTTCCTAATTTGAGTCAGCTTTAGGTGCGGCTTTGTGGTGAAAATGATAGCTAGAAGTTGGCGTGGTAGTCTTACCTACCATACGTCGAGCATCGATTCTCTCGCGACAATGGTACGCAGGTACGTCCGGGCAGACGCGCCGGAGGCCCCCCGGCGCCTGGGTCCGCTACCAAGAGCTCGAGTCGGAGTCGTCGGAGTCGTCGGAGTCGCTGGACTCGTCGGTCCCGTCGGCGCCGTGGTCGAGGGCGCGCGGGTCGCCGAAGGTCTTGGCGAGGTTGCCGCCGAAGACCTCGACGTTGCGCCTCGCGTGGGCGCGGATCGTGTCGGCGACGGCGTAGTGGCCGAGCTTCTCGGCCGACTGGATCGCCCCGTCGTACCCGGACTCGCCCTCGTTGTAGCTGAGGCCGCCCACGTTGAGCAGGAGCTGCACCACGTCGAGCCGGCCCGAAAGCGCCGCCGCGTCCAGCGCGCACCGCTCCCCGTGCTTGTACGGCCCCGCGTTCGGGTTCGCCCCGTGGTGGATCAGCAGCAGCGCCGTCTCGATGTCCCCCAGCGCCGCCGCGTGCTGCAGCGCCGTGCAGCCGTACGACGCCGCCGCCGCCGCGTTGACGTCCGCCCCGTTCTCGATCAGGCACCGCACCAGCGTCAGCTTCTTCTCCTTCTCCGCCGCCGACGACGCGTTCCATCCACAGGCCGCTTGGAGCGCCGTTTTCCCGCGGTTCTTATGCGCAGGCTGGTTGATGTTGGCACCCCTATCTACTAACAAGGCGACCAGGTCTTTCTCCCCTCGGTTGGCTGCGGCCTGAACGGGGGTACACGGGAAAGAGTGAAATCTAGTCGCTCGGGAATACGCGTTAATGTCTACCCCGGCGTCGAGAAACTTGAGGATCAAATCCTGCTTCCCTCCCCAATAAATCAGAGGTGACAGGGCGTGGCTAGTTGCCATCGGGGTACCGTGCTCGATGAGCAGTTCCAGGATCTCGAGCCTTTGCTTTATTTCCGTGTCAGACGGCCCATCCTTCGGACTTAGACAGGCTTCAAGCAGACACGCCCTGGGATTCGACAGATCTCGGGGGTTCTGGATCGAGTTGAGGAATAGTTTCATCTTCTCCAGCAATAAGTCATCTCGACTAGTGGTTACGAGAAGTCGGTGGAGAAAGTCAAATGCGTTTGGGTCACTTGGGCTGTTCTTCAATACTGCGCCGCGATAGATTAAATACTGGAGCATCTCGAAATTCGCTGTACCGGGGTTGTGGCGTCGTAAGGCCTTTTCGTGATGCTGGCTCGCCGAGGGTGAGAATCCTTGCGTGTTGCTCGCTAAGGCGATGACGCTCCAGGGTTGAGAGTTCATGTATACCACGTCATTAATATCTACGCCAAATCCCAAGAGGAACATTACCGCTGCGTAGTTGTTCAGACGGGCCGCCGTAGATAGCGCTGCAGAGCCGTATTTTCTCACATCAGCCCCGTGATCGGCGAGGACGCGTAGGAGATCAGTTCCGTCGTGCTCGACGCCAGCTTCGAGGACTTCCGGGGTTATTTCCGCCCCCCACCGAAGCATGCAGGTCAATGTAGCGTCGAATTCGCCATTGCGGCCGTGCCGGCGGGCATCGTCTACCAAGCGACGAAGAAGGAAGTGTATATCTAGCGTGGGCAAGGAGGGCAGGTTGGGGTCGATCCCGGACTCGAGCAATCCCCAGACGACATCGACGTCGATACGTTTCGTCTCCATTAGGAATTGTTCGGCGAAACCTAATTCGACGAAGGCTCCCGTGTCGATGCTGCCATCTCCTTGCGATGATTTCAAATATTGCTGGTAGGACTCCTGTCCTTGCTTGACCGCGAGACAAATGCCTGGACGCGTGATACGTGCCGTCTTCCTAGAACTATAGGGGAGCAATCTGTGGAAAAGGTCAACGTCCCAGTAGTAGCTCTGTTCCAGGACGGTAGACCTCCAACTTTCAGGAATGTTCTCTGTCTGATAGAGCTGACGCATGGTCGAGTCCATATCCCCTTTCCAGGTTGCATCGACGTCTGCTCCACTATCCAGGATCAGGCTTAAGATTTCGCTTTGCCGCATGTCCTCCAGGCTCAGACCGACCATGAGAGTTCCATGCTGAGTCTTTTGGACAAATTGCCGCTGGTATTCGTGGTCTCGTTTCTCGGACGTGACGAATTTCCCGACCACCAATGTGGAGAGGAAGACGGACAGCGTCGATGCTCCCACGCCATGGACTCCCCGGCACTTCACGACTTGGTTGACGTCGCAAGTTTCCATCAGCATCTTCACGCAATCCAGGTTCCCGGTGGCGGCGGCCTGAAGAACGGCGACGTTTTCGCTTTCCGCTGTCTCGAGCAGATCGTCGGCGCGGACTCCGGCGCCTATCAGATTCCGTACGGTGTCAAGGGCGCCCATAGCGGCAGCGAACGATAGGCACAGGTGTCCCATGGGGCGGAGCCACTTCAGACGTCGAAGCCCAATATTGACCAAGAGAACGAAGGCATCCCGGTAACCGCAATGTCCCGCGCAGCGTACTGAAAACTCCCACGCAGCCCTTACAGTGGGGGTGTCGCTCTGGAACAGTTGACTTAGGACCGTCAGTGATATTTTGTCGAGGATGATGCGGAAAACGCCGAGACAATTATCGCGAGAAGAGAAGTTGACCAAATTGTTCGAGAGTAGATACGCTGCCTTAGCTAAAAAGTAGTAGGGGTCAAAGTTCGGCGCTGGGACCTTGGAGGAGGGAGGTAGGTCTGAGAAGGAGAGGGGAGCCGATGGAAATCTGAGTTCCCGGGTCATCGGCGGATTTAGACGAGTATGCGGGCCGCCATTATTAGCTATTGCTGGAGTATACATCAGTTATGCCGAGGCCCAACAGGATTACAACACCTTGGGAAGACTTACAGAAAACAATATCACTGAATATGTTCCACGGAATGTCGCTCAGGGAAAAAGAGTATTTTTCTAGAGCAGGTTTAAGTGCTTCGATGACTCTGGTCTCGCCCAGGAAACAGGTGACAGTAGGGGAGCATTGGTAGTTTCGAAATGACAATCCCGTATCTGTTGAGATCTGGGGAGGGATGCTCCCAGTGGACGGCGCGAGAAGCGACGGCCTTTGACGCATTACGGAGGGAGAGAGCATAGAATGCGGTTCCGGGGACGGTGTTCTCACATCCACGCCTGCAGGGAGCGTGTGATTCTGGCCTATATCCAGGGTCAATTCTGGGTGTTCCGGGAGGGCGACAGACCATCTTACCTCCGCTCGACGTTCGGGCTTTCGTTCTTCGAATCTCTTTCCAGACCTTTTTCCATGGGATCCGCGTTCCGTTGAGGTACACACCCGTCTCTCTGCCCGCGTCTCTCCTCCTTTCGTAGCGGTGATACACCACCGCCCAATCAGAGCTCTTGAGCTTCTTGCGTAGCCCAAGCCCTTCTCGAAGTCTCGTCTCGTAGGTCGATAAGCTGGGGATATGCGAAGATATTTAGTTAATTTCATCAAGGTGAGAGGAACAACGGCGGTCAACATACGGCATGACGGGAAATTTGTAGTCGATTTCCATAATTTTCTTCACTTCTTTGAGTGTTTTTCTGTCCGTCTCGTACAGCTTCTGGATGATAGACTTGTACTGTTCCCATATATCCCCCCCTTGTCCGGTGAGGAGGCGGTTAGTAGGTGGCATCGCGCAAGACGGACGAGGGGGTCCGGCTAGGGTGTGGTAAGAGCTGCTGGGTCGGATACTGTTGAGAATAGGCGCCTCTCCGACGCTGGAGGATAGAGGACCTGTCTATTAATACTAACATTTCTCGGGCACAAGCTCAGAAGCCATCGCCGACACCAGTACGCGACGGAGCCAGGCCGATATATCTCAACCAGCTAATCTAGGACTCGTAAGCATCTGCCATCTACCAGCCGGTGATACAAATTCCTTCGGCTTATTTGGGCAACTGTTACGGATTTTAGCCGAATGGCCTGCCCTCGAGTGGTACAGCCCATTGACATCCTCATTGGAGCCGCTCGCCAATTGGTTCCATTACAGACACAGGCAGCGCCCAGCAATGTGCCCATTCAGCCTCACGATGGGCATAGCCAAGTCTCAGCCATGGTCGCTCTTTGCGAATTGGATCTGTGAACTCCGTCGTTCTCCTAGACCGTCCCGAGGAGAAGCCGACCAATAACGGGGTCCGTCACCGCTATCACGGCGCAACTTATTTAGAATGCAAGGGAGACATGGGGTCCTCCTCGCCCTCTCTCCCGAACGGAAACACATACCTATACGCACATGTTCACGAGGGGCACCTCCCTTCCGCCTCAAGGCGCCAAGCCAGCGGGACTGCCCGATCTGTATGGCCTCTTTCAGGGAGACCACCAGTATAACACCACCAAGCTTGTCGTCTCGGCCTTGGCCTACCGGGCCCCGTGCCCTCGATGCGGCTCCCTGTGCGTTCCGTTACGTACCGGCTTCCGCATCGTGTCATTCTAGACCACTTGTCGTTGGCAGGCTGGCCTCGTCGAGAGATAGCTGCTTCTGGTTGCAACGGTGTATGAACGGCCACTAAAGTTGGTCGGAGTCGTATCAGGTCCTCGTTACACCTATCCGCCATACGAGGATTACTTACCAAGCCTGAGCAGAAGTGAAACTGTGCAAGTGCGCGAGTTCTAAAATTAGCCCCGCAGGTCTGGGATCCTATATGCCGCCCGCCGCCCCCAAGATACGGCTCATGATGACGGTGCGCTTGAGGCTGACGGAGAGGAGGCAAGGGAGCATGGAGGTGCTTGCGATCGAGGCACGACCATCCCGCACGAGTATCCTGTCCTGCAGACGAGCTAGGCTACCCATCTACTAGTATCCCCGCAGTCCTGCATAACTAGGTATATGTGCTTGTAGGTCTCGTATCTCGGCTTCATCGGGCGTACTGTCGTGATTATGCCGCCAACTCGCGCCCCGGTGCAACAGTCCAGATCTCTCGCAGCCTGCCCGGCCTATCAGCAGCCATAAGCCGATATGTCGCACGGCGGGCTACACGACACGCTTGCTGATACCAACAGAGCGCCTTGTTGTGCTTCCTCCGACTGGGAATACTTCCCCTCGCGTCGATATTAATAATCCTAGGGGCGGGGGGTTGGGCCTCGTCATCGTCTAAAGACCGAGGGCATTCAAGTCTTACCTAAGAACTGCCACCCCCTGGGCCCGTAGAGACGGTTGATAGCCGGGGTCACACAACACAGCTGGGATACTTCCTGTAGGCTGTCTCGCATCTGCTAGGTATGGTAAATGTCTGGGTAAACTCCGCCCTCGCTCGCTCGAGATGAGAAAGAGAGCCGCGAGCTTTCACCGCACCGACACCGACCAACTCCTCGTTTATGTCTTAACGCCTCCTATCTCTCCGCCTTGGCCTCCTCCTCTGCCTTCGCAGATCTTAGATCTCCGGCCGGATCAGGCTCCCCTGCTTTCCCTTTCCCTTTCCGCTGCCTGTACTCTCACCCGAAAGATTGGCCGTGCTCGTCATCAACATTAGAAAGGCCAGCGTCTCCGGTAAGTGAAGGCTACATGGATTCTCGCCATATGCACGCACACGCACACACAAACGAGATCTGATATTAGCAGGCCACCGCCTACATGCAGACCCTGCGAGATTAGCCTCCGAGCCTCGAGCTAGTCGAAGTAAAGTTGTCAGGCTGGAGATTTGCTCTTGTATTATCATCACTTTGCGTGGGTAAGGCGTCAGTCCTTGCCATGTAGCCATTCGCAATATCCAGTTGAGATGACCTCAGATGAAAACCTAACCTTGGGGGAGACAAAGAAAAAAAAATCCGGTCTCCAAAGCCTGGAAGGGAGGGGGTAAAAGGGGGCGGAGACCGATCGATTATGAGACCCGTAAGATTGCGATCTGAAAATGCATTTCCATCCCGGTTTGCCTCACCGGTCGTCATCATGGCGGACAGGGAGCCAGGGTATATGCACTGTCCCGATATCATCGCCGTTGGAGATGACTTGTCAGACCTTGATACATTGGGTAGTACGCTCCTGTATCTAGGTCTCCCATCATATCAGCCGTCGGCGCGTGGCTGAACCAATACTTTCTAAGTATCAATGATACCATTACTGCGCTTGGGGGTTTCTAAATCACACGCGTCCACCGAAAAAAAAAAAAAGATTGCCGCAAATACAATACAAAGGGGTATCATCCCGTACTCCGTGTCCGATGCAAATGGCGGCCTAGAGCTAGCAGGCCGCAAATCTTAATCTCCAAGCCTGATCGCCGTGTTGGCGGCCAGGGGGAAATAAACGAAGGTGACCGTCAAGACGTTGCTGTCACAAACGGTTAGTAGAACCCACCGCCGCGGCGGCGACGATCGTGGCGGTTACGTGGGTGCCATCCAGAGTCAAAACCCCCTCGGCCGTGGCCACCGCGTCCGTGTCCGTGGCGAGGCCCTCTGGGACCACGAGGTTCTTGACGTCGATCCTCACGCGGATCTGGAATCGGCTCCTCCACTTCTTCATCCCATTCCTCCCATTCGTCCTTGGTATATTCTTCATACGTTTGCTTCTCCCGAACGGCTTCTTCAGCGTCGAAGACGAAACGCGTCGTGCCACCCTCAGACACCTTGGGCCCGCGCTTAATGATACTCGTTCCGGTGGCAGAAGGGGTGCTCAGCGACACTGGCGAACCTGTCGAAGGGGTATGGGGTGGCATGCTAGCCTCGCACTCCTTGCACTGATCCAGATAGCGCAGAAGGCCGTTACGCTCGACATGCTGGTTGATCATGATCTGGGTATCGATGAAAACCTGCAGATCGAACATGGGCCCAATCTTGGTGGCTTTGTTGTGCTGCGTATAAAGATCAAGGAGGTCGAGCATCCCTTCAGCGACGCACTGCTCGTCCGAGTGCCAATCCACGGGATTCAAGGACCGGAATTTGTCCACAAACTGGTTGGTGATCAATGCGGTAAGTTGCGCGACCACGAAAGCGCAAGTAAACGTGGTGTGCTTCAAAGGCGCGTACGTCTTGTACATGTCGATAGACATCTTGTAGGCGGTGGTAAAGAAGGCAGTGGCTTCAGGTGAGCTTCCGACGACCTTCTTGACGATCTTGGCAAGGACCTTCTGGGGATAACGGATGCGGAAGTCGAAGTTGATGGCTTCGATAATGTATCGCTCAAGTCCAATGATCATCTTGTAAGGTTGGTCGAAGATCTGTGTCCTCATTTAGTATTCGACTGCGAAAGCGGGCCGGGCGAAGGAGAGCGAACTGACCTTATCATCTTGGGTGGTCTGGTGATCCGGATTTTTGAGGTTGTGGTGAGCGCACAAAATCTCGCGCGACTTCTTAAGCGTATCCTCCACCTTACACGCCACGAATAGAGATGCCAAAGCTGCTTCGGTATAGCTGTAATCCGTAGTGGGATGATCCAGTCGGAAGCGGTGGTAGAAGGTGCATGCGGCATTGTAGGTCTTGACGGGCCTGAGGGCGGCAAACGATGAGCAGACGAGTCTTGCGAGTCGGAAGGCGAAACGGGAGGAGGAGAAACTTACAGGAGAAGGGCCTCCCGGGTAGACTCGATAACCTGGACACCTTGAAGGCGGTAGTTAGCCTCCTTTGCAGGGTCAAGTCGCTTTTCGGCAAATATGCGCCGGATGTTGGTCTCGAAGATATATTGACGGCCGGCTTTGATAGTTCCGAGATGAGGACCAACGAAGGCATTCATGCGAGCCTCCGTTGTGCCGTTTTTTGCCGCGTGGCTGGGCGCCATTGCGTCGCCGAGAGGTCCCTCTTGGGAATCGAACGAAGAGGTGCTCCGACGGGGGCAACCTGTGATGGGATGTAGGCCTCGAGATCCTCCAAGACACACGACCTAGTTTAACTAACAGCGGATTGAGCGGGGTGGTAGCTAATGCGTCCTCGTTGTTCTTCGGGCGACGTATCTCCTGGGTAGCTTCAAGTGGCGAGGCCGATACGATGTCGCTATGAATTTTCTCGTCCCGAAAAGTGAAGGAGCCTTTATTCGGCGGGCTGTTAGTAGACGGGAATCCGCCCACCACGGGCAGTGGGTCGGCGCTGGTAGGCGATAGGAGGATGCCAGAGAAGGAATTGAACAGGATGAATCTGGTCGCCGTAGGGCCGGACGTTCTCGAATTATCGGAGCTGCACGGGAAACTTGGAGCTGGCGGCCGTCACAGCTTGCTGGCTGTCGGCGGATGGAGGTGGGAGAGAGGGTGGAAGCTCCAGGCGCGCGCCTAGTTGACTGAAATTTGAGACAGGCCAGAGCTCCAGATAACAGGACCCTTAGGTAAGCGTCCGACTGCTGGGCGCATGGTTAATCCGCTCCGGCTGGCCTGGACAGATGGAATTTGGGAGGCGCGAGAGGGGCAGATGCAGGTGCACAAGTTGTACTGCCTCCCCAGCAGCAGCTAGCGGCAGAACAGTCGAGCCCACCTCAGGGTCCACCTCCATCTGGTGCAGGGGATGGCGCTGCAAGAAACACCATACCGAGGCGTTTGTGTCGAACAGCAGTAGCCAGACGAGGCAAGGGTGAAAAAGCAGGAGGGGGGAACGCAGAGCGAAAGGTGCAGAGGTTCAAAGGCGAGAAAGAAAGGGGTGAGAATGAAAACTAGATACATAGGTAGAGCAGGCCGTCGCTGTGGCCCACGAAGCTATCGTCAGTCTCGACGTACCACGCAAGAGGGACGAGGCCAGGAGGGTTACATCTTGTAATTCTATAATTATCCTCCAGATAGGATAATTCTCGTAAGAACATATATAGTGGGTTGCATGCCGCCTCCGACGAGGCCGCAGCCAATCAAACACTCCCGCCTGCGACAGGACCGCCAATGTTCATCTCGTGATTTTGCATGTACCTCCGTAGCTTATCTAATCGGCCTCGTTACTTACATCAGGCGCCTCTCCTTGCCTCCAACACGGTCACCCTCTCTTCTCCGTCGCACCTCTCCCTCTTCCAAGGGTACCTCACCAGATCATCATTAACTCTAGGCTCCCCTGCCATCAGCCCACTTATCAACTTATGTCTACATTCATGTGATAAGAAAAGACAAACCCAAAGGAAATTAGGAGGAAGAAGAATAAGAACTTGAAAGCTTCCCCAGTGACGTAGAAGTACCTATAGTGCCTCGCTCGCTACGGCGTCGAAACCCATCCCCAAGAGACACACGCCCGCGAAGATGGCCCGATTCCAGACCCTACCCATCCTCCTCGCCCTCGCCTCCGCCCTGCGCTCCGCCCTCGCCCACCCTGCCAAGACGCAGGGCGGCCCGGATGACAGCGACAACGACGACACGCCCCTGCCGGTCGTGATCTGGCACGGCCTCGGCGACACCTTCTCGGCCGAGGGCCTGCAGTCGGTCGGCGCGCTGGTCGAGAAGACGAACCCGGGCACGTTCGTGTACTACGTGCGGCTGGACGAGAACCCGTCGAACGACCGGACGGCGACCTTCTACGGCGACGTGAACGCGCAGGTGGCCAAGGTGTGCGCGGACCTCGCCGGGCACCCGATCCTGTCGACCGCGCCGGCCGTCGACGCGCTCGGCTTCAGCCAGGGCGGGCAGTTCCTGCGCGCGTACGTGGAGCGCTGCAGCGCGCCGCCCGTGCGCAACCTCGTCACCTTCGGCAGCCAGCACAACGGCATCGTCGACTACCGCGCCTGCTCCCCCGCCGACTGGCTCTGCAAGGGCGCCATGGCCATGCTCCACACCAACACCTTCAGCGACCTCGTCCAGTCCCGCCTCGTCCCCGCCCAGTACTTCCGCGACCCCCGCGACCTCGACCGCTACCTCGACCGCTCCAACTTCCTCGCCGACATCAACAACGAGCGCCCCGACAAGAACAGCACCTACGCCGAGAACATCTCCCGCCTCTCCAACCTCGTCATGTACCTCTTCGGCGACGACACCACCGTCATCCCCAAGGAGACCGGCTGGTTCGAGGAGGTCAACGGCACCGAGGTCACCCCGCTCCGCGCCCGCCGCATGTACCTCGAGGACTGGCTCGGCCTCCGCGCCCTCGACCGCAAGGGCGGCCTCACGTTCCGGACCGTCCCCGGAAATCACATGCAGATCGCCGACGAGGAACTGGAGAGGGTATTCAGCGAATTCTTCGGGCCCGCAAATAAGAGGTTTGCGTCCGGCGATGGGTACGTGGCTTCGGATGAGTTGTAGGATTGGCCGTCGACGCCGGTGTATAAATAAAAGAGAAGCGGGCGTTCGAGCTAAGGCATAATGAGGGTTTCAACGTTATAGTAATTTTTCAACTGAATATACCTCTTTTTAAAGTCGATCCTTGTTCTTGCCGTACGCCGTGATAAAAATTGTTCTACCTATGCGAGGTGAATCTGAATGAACCCGCATGCTTTTTCTTTTATGCCTATACACAGTTCATCTACATTGAGACCCCCTAGACTTCCAGCGCCTTCTTCGCCGCCTTCTTCTGCTTCTGCAACGCTGCCTTCCGGGCCGCGACCTCCTTCTCGAGCAAGGCGTCGTCGCTCTCGGGGAGCGTTGCGGGCTTAGCCTTCTTCGCCTTCTTGGCCTTCTTCGCTGGGGGCGCGGCCTCTTCGGCCTGTCGTCCCTCGAGGGACTTGCGCTTCTTCCCGACGTTTGCCTTCTCGACGGGGAGGGTGGCCCCAGCCTCGAGGGAACTGTCGGGCACGATGTCCTTCTGGTCGAGCCAGAGCTCGTCGGTAAGCCAGATCGGCAGGGCCGCCGTTTTGGGCCCCTTAAGGTAGATGCTCTTGATGTTCTTCCACTTCCCCGGGATAAACTTGTCGATCAGGTCTCTAGCCACGACCTCGACGTTCTCGGCGATATTCTCGGCGGACCAGCCAGCATGGCCGACGCGGACGGCCGTGTTCACCGTAGGCGAGAGGTGGACCAGCGCAGCGCCGACTGCCCTCTCGATCTCAGAGGCCAATTGCACCGGTGTGCAGGCATTGACGGTGTCGGCGTCCTTGACACGCTTGACTCTCTTCCCCTCGCTCTTCGGTATGCGAGCTTGGATCTCGACCGGGATCGGCCGCTTGGCGGTGCTCCGGTGGAACGTCTTCCCTAAGATCCCAGGCAGCCTGTTGATTATTCTGGTGTCGCCGAGGAAGATATCGTGTTCCGAGTACAGTTTCCGCTGAGCCTCGAAGATCTTGAACTTGGCCTTGAGCTTGGAAACGTCGATAACCCTCGTGATGCGCTTGCGCCATTCGGCAGGAAACTCGGTAGAGGCGACGAGGTTTTTGTACGCACGCTGGGGGTCGGCGGTTATCAAACAGATTCGCATCTCGGGGTCGGTGTTCAGAGGGTGAGGGAGCGGAATCTTGCGAGGCTTGAGGCTTCGAGAATCGGCGATGTGTCGTTTGGTGGTGACAGTAAGGATGATAGGAATCTCGTTGCTACCATCCTCATCGTCAGACCCCGCTAGGAGATCCCTCTTCTCGGAATTGGCAGCCTTCTCTTTCGAGGCCTTCTTCATATGCGCCAGCAGCGCCTTGGAAGCCTTGAGGATCTGGAAGCGACCAGGCCAGTTAGAAGACAGTAAAGCTAGCAGGCGAGACTGAAGAGAATACTCGCCTGATTGGGATCTACCAGAGGAGCGGCAGAGTCTGCCCGAGTAACCGCCTTTGAGGAGGCCATCTTGCACACAGTATTAACTTGCGATATGGTAGATCGGGTTCTTTTTTTTAGTCTTGCGTAGTCGAGCTGTAATCAAATCAGAAGTTGAGACTTCGCGTGGGGCAGAGTTTTCCCTCGTAGTGGCACCCAAATACAGGTACGTACCGGAAGCTTATGTAACAGAGCAAGGGAGGTTTGCGGTGCATTATGTAATCGCTCTCTCAAGCAATCACAATCTAGGTATATGTACAGGGGCAAAGTGTTTAGATTCAAGCCAACTGGAGAAGACAATATCTACGGGACAAGGAAGGACAGTAACAAAAATGAAATAAAATACAAGACGTAAATGCAGAATGAGAATATGATATGAGAAGCAATCGACAGCTACACCTACTCGCCGTCTTGTGCGCGGTTAGAATTCCGCCTACCATACCTATCTAGGTACCTGGTAGTTTAACCGTGAGTCCTCCATCTACCTCATTTCTTACGGCCCAGTAATGGAGCCGCGGCAAATGGCCGAAACATTCACAGATCTACCTACAGCTTAGCCCAGTCTTTGGAAATAAAACAGAGATTTAACGTCGAGGGGATGTGGTTCGAAAAGAAATCAGGCAAGCTCTCTTACACCGAGTCGTGAGCAGGTACCTATACCCGCGCGGCTTACAGTAGCGAAGACATCTATTGGCCGCGTCGCGCTCAAGAGCTGGACCCTAGAATTGTTATAGCTACGAGCGGACCTTACTATCTACTGACGTAGTCTAATACTCACTTGTGTCATTCTCTAAAATCCCCTCTCTCCCACACATGCCCTGCATTCGGCTTCTTCAAGCCTCAAGCTCCTCCTGTGACTTGCAATCGTCTCCTCAGAGCCTAAAGTTCACTTACTTCCAGGTAACTCCCCGTCCAGGCCCGTATCGTCTCCGTGAAAGGGCAATGTTGTTACCATACGTGACATTCGTTCCCCCCAGCACCACCTGACTTAGGTAACTAGATAGGTAGGTATTACGTCCCTCGGTCAGGCTGGGCTTAAATACCAACAACTAGAGGTAGGTAGGTGACTCAGAGTAGTACACTTATTACCTATCCCGCAAACTTCCTGTGGCAAGCCCTCCTAGGTATCCGACACCCGAGACAGACGACTTGCCTGCGTACTCGCTCGGGAGCGGGAAGCTCCATAGGTCAGTAGACCAAATCCACAGGTAGGTACCCGTCGCGGTTGGGGATCCACGCGCTCCCGTCTAACCATCTCTAGAGCTTCACCTGGCATCGTTGACAAATACCTAGCGGGGCAACGCCCATCTCGATGATCTATCTCTTTGATCGTCGTCGCAGCGGGTCAAACCCGATCGTCGTCTCTATCGGCCGAGTCTGCTCGGTGCCGGCCGATCGAACGGGGGTGGCAGGGGGGGGAGTAAACACTCGGACCCCCGAGCTATCTTTATTACCTGCTCCCTCGATCCCTCCCAGGGCCGAAACACGCCAAGCACGCTCGTGACGGTGAGGACGCGCTCCTCCCTCGTAGCCCAACGAAACGTTTCGACCTGTCATCCGGGTCCCCCCTAATGGCGCAGCGTGGCAGGGCAAACGAGAGCGGAAGAGAGAGAAGAAGAAGAAAGGAAAAGATCATCCTACCACCCCCAAGTTTTTTGAGTTTTGTTTTCCCCAACGCGAAATCACGTTGTCCGCGGATATGGCCGTGGAGCCCTTCTGCAGGTCTTCCAAATCATTATCGACGCCGCCGGCACCGCCACCAATACCACCGCTCCGCGCCCCTGTCGAGACCCAGAGAGATCCTACGCGCGCCCGCGTCGCCTTTTCCGAGCACCCCCAGCTTCGCCGCTCGGGACGCCGTCGAGCCGGGGGCCAAGGCGCGCGCAGCGTAGAGTAGGGGACCAGAGAGAGCGAGGGGGGTGTGGGCGAGGAATATGCAGGTACCGGTGTTAAGCGATGTGCGGTAGATAGGGTAGGTATGCAGACATGAACGTGTGCGAGCATGTGCGGAGCCGGGACTCGACAGACGCCGTTAGGTATATGAAATCACTTCGCGTCTACCTAATATCACATCGTGGTGGCCTACCTGAGGCCGGCATTACGTAGGTGGAATCTCGTGTCAGGCACACACGGCAGAGCGAGAGAATCCGTTGGTCCCGTCCCTGCCAAGCGGCATTTGGAATTCTGAAGCTGCAGACTGCAGACTGCACCATGTGCATGCCGTAGTGACACAGCCGACCCGAGCGCGCCCCCGCCGTCGAGGCGTCGGTGTGGTGGCAGCAGCAGCGGCGGCGACCACGACGGTAGCGGATCCAGGTTTCGTCGACTTGATTGATGATCTGCGCAGCTGCAGGTTCTCGGTCGGTCGGACAGGCGCCCATCACACCCACTCGAGGCCGGGGGAGGCGGGGATGGTATGGATGGGTGGACGGGTGGGTGAGTAGGTGGGAAAGGGGAGGAGGGGCGGGGATAACCCACACACGTATCTACATACATAATACATGGCATTGACATTATTGACTCACATATTTGCCGAGCTACTTGCCTTATCGACGCTCGCGGCTCTCCAACATAAGTAGATGGCGTATGACGGAGATGGGGATACCGTCGACGGTCGAAGGGGGGTGAGGTAGGGAAGCCATTGCTACCACGGCAGTATGGAGATGCCCGATGTGGCATCCGCACAAGCTGTCACGAGCATACGTATATAATTGCCTATATATTGAATGACACGTATTGGCATTGAGGAATGTATCCCCGGAGGACAGGTGACGACGTGAGAAAAGATGGGACGAACAAAAAAATGGCTCTCTGAAAACAGGGGTAGAGAGAGGAGGGAGGCATCGAGAGTGGAGGGATCGGTATGCGTTGGCGTCAAGGCGATTAATTTCTAGACAATCGGAAAATTACCAGGGCACTGGGGTCGGCGAGCCCAGCTCGAGAAGGCATCCTTGCCTCTCTGCTCGTCTATCATCTACCGTGCCGATATCTTCATTGCCTTGTCCCTCGGCCAGATTTGACCCCCCCTTCCCCCCTTTTCCCACCTTCGCTTCCCTACCCCCCAGAGCCACAGACGAAGCACGCACAGACTCACCCACCTGCTCACTCCCACACCCCCCTCTCCCGCCGCCTATACCTTCGCCCAGTGTGCGAGAGGTGCTGCCGGCCTACGCAGGCACGCCGTACGGCAGCATCACCGTCCTGCCGGAAGAGGCAAGGTGAGCAAGCGGGTAGGCGGTGGTATAAGCCGAACCAGGCTACCTACCACACGGCCAACCTACTCACACGCACGCACACGTACCTACACATCCTCCATACCTACATGTTCGTACATACGCCTACATTATACATCGAGATCATGCGCAGGCAACCTGGCGCGTGGGCAGTGCGCCCTATACACACCACCCAGAATTACGTACACACCTACTGCTCCTACGAGGAGGAGGTAGGCACCCATACGCGATAGGCGAGTTAATAGTAGCCGCCGAGGAGGGGCCCGGCGAACTGGAAGAGAGCCAGGCGAGGCGAAGCGAGGCAGCAGCGCGTGAGGGAGCGATCCGAGACTCGTGTGCGTCGCAGCAGCAGCGGCCAGGTGCTTAGGTCGCAGTCGACGATCGATCACGTAGCAGGCGGCCCATCTTGAAAGGGGAAGGGGGTTGCCCGAACGAGCGAACACGGGAAAGGAAAAGAGAGGAGGGACAAGGGGCGAGGGATGGCATGGCATTACTAAGGTAGGCAGGCGTCACATATGGAATTTCCCCTCCCTCGTCGACGAGAGCCATGTGACATGGGTGGGAGAGGGGAGTGAGAGGTTCTACGGTCTCTCTCTCTCGGCGACGCCGGTCGAGGGGGGGGGGGGCGAGAGAGTGTGCAGATGGTTTTTTTTTTCTTTGATGGGAGGTAGGTACCGTATGTACGTGCATGGCGTCGCAGACGACGCGACGACCGCGCTACCAGTAGGCAGGCCAATGCAGGTACGGAGAGGCGATGGTGGGAATAGAGGTGCAGTCACCCTTCCTCTGGCAGCAGTTGGCGTAACCGCGCGGCGATACCGGGTTGGCACGGGGGAGAGGAGGAAGAGGAGGAGGAGGCCCGGCCGGCTCGGGCAGGCCTGCTTCGAGGTTTACTTACCCTGACCTTACTTAACTGCCCTACCTACATACACACCTACCTTACCTAGCAACCTTAGCTGTTCCCATGGGGACAAGCGCGTATACCGCGAAGGGAAAGGAGGTGGACGACGACGCAGCTCCCACGGCATCTACCGCGGAATATGTTGGGGCGGATCAGGAGGAGGAAGAGTAAGAGGAGAGCATGGCCCTGCAGGTACCGGAGCTGGGGCTGGAGCTCGACCTGGAACTGGAACGGAACTGGAACTGGGGGCGAGACGCTATAAGAGCAGGAGAGAGAGAGAGAGATGCGAATCCCCTTTCGTCCCATGATGTTGCGTGTGTCATCGAATTCGGATTTGGGTAGGAATCTGTGTCGGGATCCTTCAACCTAGGTTATTTCCCGATTCTGCCATCGGACCAGGTGTACGCGGACCTCGGTATACATGGATATGTGCATATAACTATCTATATTTCGGGTATATATATATATATATATATAGATATATCGGGTCTGCGTATTAGTCCATTTCTACGTGTACTTACTACACGTATACCTACTTGGAAAAGCTAGAGAGTCTCGATATCCGTACAGATAGATATAAACATATCTAAATATATAGACATGAGCATATAAATACGGCTAGATGCTCTATCTATACACATACGTACGCATACGTGTTACGTCGTTGCTGGCTGTCAGATGCTAGGCGTCCCCGTGATGCTCCTTTCTCCCTCACCACTGCTCTGCTACTCATCCACCCCTTACCGCATTACCGACAGACATATTATAGTGCAAATGCAGCCAGGCGTAATTATATAATCACGCCACGGACCTGGGTATTATATAAATACCGCGCACAGCGGGAGATTGGACGCGATACGACACCCGATACTATCTGGGAGTTCTAAATAAGGGCAACCCTCTGGCGGATGGATCGGGGCTAGCGCGTCTATTCACGGTTGCAGCGGCGGCGCAGGATGCTTGTCTCGTCTGGTCTCGTCTGGTCTTATCGCTTACCTATTATTAATAACTCAAGCCCCAGCGGTTTTTGTTCCCTCGACACGAATACAGCAAAAAGAAAAACAACAACAAATTCCTCACGATAGCATGTTGCATCAGCCCATTAGCCCGCTGCTGGCCGCGTAGAGTCTGGCACAAGTAGGAACAGGTTTAGCCTCCCCGCGCTAGGACCTGGGCTAGGTTGTTCGATCGAGAGACAGCGAAAGGGAGAATTACATACTCCGTGGTAGAGAGCGACAGAACGTAACCACATCCGTATTTTGGGGGAATGAGGGGAGGGGGGGGGGGGGTGCTTGTTGATAACAAGTCTCAGAATCGTTTGGTGATGGATCCCCGACCTTAGCACGGCGCTTCTATTGAGCGTTCGTCTGTCAGCTATACACAGTTAGGAAGAGATCTGCGGAGTGTCCGATCTCGAACAGACAGTAGCTGAATACCGTGCGTCAGCGACGAAGACCAACCCCCCCCCCCCCTCCGAGTCGACGACGAGAAGACAAGCCCGGCAAACCCTTAGGGCCTGTCAATCCTTTGCCGAACCCGAGCGCCATCGACGCGCGCTTGTTCAAGCCGGACTTACTTAGTCCGCCGTCGGTATGCATGTAGGTATGCTGCGCTGCCTTGACCACGATGGGGCCCGATCCTGACTATGGACGTATGTAGCTAGGCCGGGTCGCCAGAAGGTGGGATGAACAAGAGTCTCGGAGTCGCCAGCCGAAGGAGGCGGCTCGCTCGGCGCGGTCTGAAAGAGATGAATAGCGACGATCTGGTTGTGCCAGAGAATGCTAACCGCCCTGCCTGGTCCGCATTCCTTCTGCGACGGTCTAGCGGGAATGCCAAATACTGCCTGCTCTGCGCCTATGTCTGTAGCGTTTTGCCTTCCTTTGCCCAGCCGCCACGACCGGGAGGAGGAAGAAAACAGGTATGTGCTATATGAGTATACATAAATGAACTATGGATGTAGGTAGTATATGGAGCCGGTCCAAGAGATACAGAATCCTCACTTCACCTGCCTGCGTGCATACCTCATAACCTACCTACTATAGATGTCTGCATGTAGATGTGTATGCACGACTACGCTGCGATACGACCCTATGCTTAATGGTCCTGGTCTGGTGGATGCTCGCCGGCCGTCTGATTGGCACAAGACACCTTTAAGCTTGGAGGGGAGAGAGGAGAGACAGCTCGTTACATGCAAGCTTGTCCGGACAAACGCCAAGCAAGGGCGGAAGCAGGAGGAGGAGGAGAAACAGCAGGAGGAAGAGGAGGAGGAGGCGGTCTGTTGAGAGGTGCGCCATCAGCGCTCCGTGTTTCTTCTTACCCCATCCGTCCTCTCTCACAGCCAAAGTCGGCTACCTACCTGCCTACCTACCTATGCGTATACATATATACCCAGCAGAGGAGGAGGAGAGGGTCCTAGGAGAGCCCGGGATGTTTCGATAAGTGCACACGAGTTTCTGTAGGAAGAGGCTGCAGTACATGTACGTGTGAGGTGGGTGGGGGAGGGGAAGGGGAGGGGGGTTAGTTTGGCGGCGCTGCAGCAAGGGCCCGTGACAGAAAGGGAGATTGCCAGTACTGGGGTCTTCCATGCTCACCTGGGGTGAAATTTCTCGATGAAAGAGAACCTCTCGGTCTCATCTATGTATGTACGTACGTAGATCGGCCAGCTCAGCGCATACGCACATGCGACATGTAGGTATGTATGTGTGTGGATTGTACGACTCCACACAGTCCTGTGCATTGCGCTTCCGTGGATGCTGAGCGGCCGTCACGGATCGTCTACCCATCGTCTACGTGTAGAGATGATCGGTGCGGAAACATGGTTTCTAACGTCTCCACGAGGGTGTGGGCTAGCCGCTACGAGCTTCCACTTTTGAACTTGAGTGTATATCGGTATATCTGGTGTGGGAGTATGCATGTAAGTTTGTGTGTGTGTGTCTCTCTCTCTGCGTATGCATGTATATGTATATACATACTTGATCCTCAGGCTGGTTCGTATGGCCCCCCCGTGGTAATCTTAACCCCCATCAGGTAAAGGAGGGTAAGAAGCCCCATGTCGGTTCTGGACTTGCTTGGGTGCGCTGGTGACGACACTGTAGCTCTTTTGGTTTATTATAGGTTTCGTCCGCCTGCTCGATCCAGACTTTTCGGGCGAAAGCAAAGCAGTCCTACCCTCCCCTACCTGCCTGCTGTGACCGCTTACTGCCATCCATCCCCGAGCACAGGATATATGTGGACGAGACCGCACCCTCTTGGGGGATATGCCTGATATCTGTGGGTGGTCGCGACTTAACACCACCACCATGGAGTCGCTGTGGGTGCCTTCGCCTCAAGACTACTCGGGACGTCCTTTTCGGGCGTCCGAGACGCTAAGCTGGATGATCGAGAGGTCCATCACAACCGACTGCATCACACTCGGCAATTCGATCGCCAAGGCTAATCTCATACTTTCTGGATTTGTCCGTGACATTCGCGAGGCTCGTTCGGACGTCGACGCCGTCTCGCGTGAGCTATACTCGCTACAAAGCGTTCTAGACCTCCTGAGAGAGGACGCCGGCCTATTCCCTCTCGAGTTGGCAGAGCGCATTCCTGCTGTACTCGAGCATTGCTCCGGCTTGGTGAACCAGCTAGATGTGGGCATATCTTCGCTTAGCAGTAGCGATCTGCTGAAGGAGGACAAGCGATCCCAGTGGCTGTCGATAGGCAGAAGAGAGATTTCCAAGTTCAAGACAGCCTTAGAAGCGCACAAGGGCATCATAGGGCTGGCATTAGACTTGGTCGGAGCGTATGTATTACCATGACCAACGGCCAGGTGAGTGTGACTAACACGGACCGACAGGACGACGATACGAGATGCTACATCACATGTAGTGCCTCGTAAGCGAGAGACGATACAGAGGCGTCAGAATAGCGTTGACATCGTGGAAGATGTGTCCCGAGTGCTGGTGGAGATGGACCGGCTTCGGCTGCGCTTGCCAGGGGAATTCGAAAAGAAGGAAACGGAATTCACCCTTTACGATTATATGGCCTGCCTTGTGTCCTACGCCGAGCGCATTATCAGTATCAAGGAAAGCGAGCACGAGGCTCGGCAGCGTGGTGCGATTCACCAAGGTGCCCGGCGAAGTATCGATCAGGGCGCGTTCGTGGGAGAAGACGAGCTATTCGGAGCATACGTTGGCGACAAACCGGATAGCGCGATTGATGTCAGCGACGAGCCCATATACAAGACGATCAGGGACGCGATGAGGACAGACGATGATAGTTCGTTAGAGGAAAGCATATCGGAAGAGAGCATACCGGAGGAGAGGATACCGACCATCGAGGAGTTGATGGCCACTTTCGACGGCATCCCTAGTCGAGCACCGACGCCGCCGCCAAAGGATGCCAAGAGACTCGAGACTGCTCGGAGTTACATGGTCCCACCATTTGAGGCGGTACCGGACTCCCCGACTGTCCCGTATGGCGTCGTCGCCGAGACCGGCTCCCCGTACCAGCGAACGGAATCACCGTCTTCTTTCACGAGGGGCGCCAAGGGTCTCGGGAAACTTCTCGCGCCCATCAAGAACGCAATCTCAGACAACCGGCCCCAGACGCGGTCGACGAGCTCGTCGGCGGAGGCGGATTCGCCGACCGTACCGCCGATGATCCAGGCGAGCCTGGTAAGGAGAAGCAGCCACCGGCTCTCCGTGTCCTTCAAGAGACTGCCGCTCTGGAGTCCAGATTTGATCGTTGGCGAGCTCGACGGCCCTCAGTCGAAGCCCAACCCGATCTTCGGCGTTCCACTGCAGAAGAGTATGCAGGTGGCTAAGGGGAGCTCGAAAACGCACCACACCGGTAACGGGGGCTCATCGCGGCGAGACTTCCCGCTCTGCATGCAAAAGTGCTGCTTCTTCGTTAAGAACGAGGGGGTCGAGGCGCCGGACATCTTCGCGGAACCGGGCGACGGGTACCGGGTGCAGAAGTTGAAGGAGTTGTTCAGCGCCGCGCCCACGTTTGGCGAAGATATCGACTGGAAGGACTTTAGCGTCTACGACGCGGCGGACCTCATGCTTCTCTTCCTGTCGGAGCTGCCGAAGCCGCTGGTCCCCGAGCCGCTGGCGAAGCGGTGGATCTCGCTGTCGCGGCAGTTGACGCTCGGCGGCTCGCACGGCACCCGGCTCGACCAGTGCATCGACTTCTGGGAGGAGGCGCTGGGCGGTCTGCGCGGCCCCGACCGCAGCCTGTTCAAGCTGCTGCTCAACCTGTGGGCCGACATTGCCGTCGCCGAGGACAAGAACGACATGACCGCCGAGCGGCTCGCCGCCGCCGTCATCAAACCTCTCATGCAAATATCGTCGGGCAAGTACAAGACAGACTACATGCTATCACTCGCCTTCCTCATCCGCAAGAGGGTAGAGTACATCGACCTGCTGAAGAAGGATCAGAGCGACATCCGGCGGATCAGCCGGGCAGCGTGGTGATTAGAGGGAGTTGCGTTCACGTAAACAATGACAAAGTTCTCTTGCTGCCGAGGAGAGAAAGAAGAAGAAGAAAAAAAGGCACCGGAACTGAGCATTGTAGCCTGGACGAGGTCGAGGTGACTCTGGTGTCTGCCTTCTTCCCTCTCATTCCCCTTCGAAAAGTTGACATTAAGCGTTTCCGACAGACAGAAAGATACCCGGCACGCCCTAGGAAAGCGGCCTTTTCCTCCTTCGTTTTATTGATTCATTTCTTGTTATCTGGAGCTGTTCGGTTGCCTGGCCGCCCGACCCCTTATGTCTCTGGGCCCGTTACATAATGCATCCAGGAGAGTTGTCGAGCGATCTTGATTGTGGGCGGAGAAGCGGTGGGGGCAGCGTGCCCTCGGAGTTGCAAAGAGTGGAAGAGGTTGGGATGATGCACGAAGGGACGTGTGATGTCGACCACTTGCCTCATTTCACCCTAGCGAGCAGCATTGACCTCAGCCGGTGGCGACGAGGAGGCGGGTTTCCCATGAGCGGCTGGGTGTGTAACGGCGTTCCCGCGCCTATTTGGCGGATTTCAAACATGTTTGTCCATGATACCACGCAAGGCACGCCAGAATAATTCCTCTTTATGTATAGTTCTTCTAGTTTAAGCGGTGGTGGAGAGAGTGAAGTTGACGATGAGGGTTAAGGTTGGTATTGGTGTTAGTGTCGGCGGTAATATATACGGACGGTGACGGGCATTCTTGGGTAGTAGCATAGCGTTGCTTTTATACGTCTTTATTGTTGGAGAATTAATAAATCGATAATTGCCGACAGCTGACCTTACTAAAGCCTCTGTGAATCGGAGCCTCTCTTGTTCAAGATATCGTCGTCTCTCTATGCCCTGCTCAGCACGCGTCGTCAATGCACCCGCAAATCGTACGGTACCTGGCACAGTGCCCCTCGTAGACTCCGACCTTTACCCGTGCGGTCCTCTCGAGGCTGCCACAGCTGAGCTCAACGCTGCTTAACCGCCCGCCCGTGGAACGCGTAGGCAACTGGGCCACGAAGTAGGGTATCTGCCACCTCGACGTGCTGGCTGCACGCCGCTGCCGTCAGAGAGGAGGCGTAGCAGGAGTGGTAGCGTAGTGGCACTGATACGAGCGAGTAGTAGTACATGTCATATGGGGATGCCGTGCAAAAGTCTTGGCCTACGGATGGGAAGCGGATTATCGATGCCCGCACCGGACGGGGATGCACGTCATTCGAGACATGATCCATTCCTATGCGTCCAGGCAAGTCTAGTGTTCGTCGAGCGGTGAGGTCGTGGGAACTCGACGGCCAGACGGGCTTCTCTCGATGGTCATCGTATAAGCCCGGACGGGTGGAACGATATTGTGCTGTTTGCCTTACATGCACGGAGGTGGAGGAGAGGGATGGATGGATATGAGGGATGAAGGGATGGGTGTATGCGTCTGCGAGGAGGTAGGCAAGCTGCGGGACAAGATATGAGGCAGTGATTATGAGTGACCAGGTACGATTATTCAACTGGGTTAGTGCTCATAGTACCGTAGGCTCGGAGGTAGGTAGATAGGTAAGTAGCACCCGAGATAACTGCTATGTAGGTGGGTGGTACATAGGTATCTCCCTCCCTCTTCCATCCCGTAGGCATTCCTTGCCAAGTATTCGGGGGGTATTTGTAAGAGGCGCGTGTCGTGACGGCGAGACGAAGACGCGCCGCAGACATGGAACGAATGTGAATGGGGGGACAGCCTGTTGCTTATGCTCGTCCCGATGTAGGCTGATGGGTATGGGTTTATGAGCAGACGTGCCAAACATAACTAGCCTAAGGTACATATAACGCCTGCCTACCGTACGTACTTACCCAGGTAGGTACCTAAGTAAGCTACACGTCTATGCTATATCCCTACATGCCTATCTAGACCTCTCTCTATCTCGTATATAATCATGCCGACCTTATGTGTTCATATGATTCATATGTACGTAGGTATACTTATCTCCTTACGTATAATATAGATATATATACCTACCTCCTAATGTAAGTGTATGCATATGTATTTGGCACGTATGCATATAGAGGGACCGCGTCGTGCACCCTGCCGCCCACCGCGGACAATCAAGATGAGGTGGGCCTCCGCCAGGGCAGGGCAGCTAAATCCGACCTGGGCTGGGGATCAGTAAAACCCCCTACTGGACTCCGTACCTGGTATCTCCCTATTGATTGTGCCGCGTAGGTGTACTTCGTGGGTGCTTAGGCCACATAGACCCGCCCCGGCCCCAGCCACGAACCTCCCCCCTCTCCGCATGCCCGGCTATAAGGTACCAAATACCTAAGCCGGATCTCAGGAGGTCAGCGGTCCTGGAGCAGGTGCTACAGCCTACGGGTACCTGAAGGTCGCCCAAAACGGGTGTTTACCACAGGTACCTACAGGAGGTATGTACCTATGTGTAGACCTGCCTGATCTCAGGTACCCAGGTACATACTGTTCAACACGTACCGTTAGGTAGGCAACACCTACTAATAATAAATATAAGTACCTACCCATTTCGTGGAGGTACCTTTAATTGAAGCAGAACGTGCTATGCAGGTCTCTCCAGCCCATCACCAGACCGGCTGCCCCCTTCAGCAAACGACCCGGATGAAAGACCAAAAAGAATAAGAATAAAGACAAAAACGCCCAAAGCCGAATGGGAAATAATTAGCCACGAACAATCCGCATTGTCTCGTGGGAATAATTATATGCTAAAGACGCCGGACGTGTTTGCCCAGGTGCGCAGCCGGGCTCGCTTCGCCTAGGGGTACCTCCAACGTATCATGGTACTAGGGAGTTGTGAGCAAGTGGAGAGCGAGAGAGGGAGATTCCCAGCCAAAAATTTGAGCGTGTCTGGACGCGCATCGCGAATCCAGGGACCCGTTCCCAAGACGCGCGCAACAGAGGAACCCACACCCGTTGCAGGGCGTACGTGATACAGCCAAATTTCCCAAATCTCTCAAAACCGTTTTTTTCCCATTCTTCCTCCTTCCAGTCTCTCCTCTTTTCCCCAATTCCTTAATCCACTTCCTCTACTCTACTTGACTTCACCTCAATTGACTCCCCCCCCCCCCCTCCCCTTTCCCTTCTCTACCTTATAACCCCCTCCCCTCCTGTTAGCCCTCGACCGCCAGTCTGATACGGGTGGGTTCTTCTGCTATGTACGCTGGCCTCTCGTCGGCCTCGTCATCATCATCATGGCGTCCTCGCCTGTCAAGAACATCGATGGAGCCAGTGCAGAGGAACCTACTCTGCCTCCTGCCTCCTCTCTCTCCGGCACCGCGTCCATGAAGCGTCCTGCTCCCACTCTGCTCCCCCCGTTCGAGCCTCTCTCGTCCTCGCCGGGCTTCCCACGGCCGTCGAAGAGACAGGCTCGGGATAGGACTATCGGATCGAATGCTTTCCTCAAGTATCCTACGCCTATCCCGACCTCGAGCACCGGCATCCTGTCGTCCTCTCCCCCGCGCGTCCAGCCGTCGCTTGAGGGCCCGCAATCGGCCGTCTCAGAGAGGGCACCGCTCTCCGCCGTGCCTTCGGTCGAATTGAACGAGAACGGCGAGACGCTTCTCATGGGTCGGTCTACCAACTCGTCTCACTACCAATTATCTGCCAATCGCCACATCTCCCGTATTCACGTCAAAGCCCGGTACATCCCAGCCTCGACGCCTCTCGAGCCGAACAAGGTGGAGGTCCTATGTAACGGCTGGAATGGAGCAAAATTGCACTGTCAGGGGCGGACCTGGGAGCTGGCCAAGGGGGATTCGTTCGTGTCTGAGACTGAGAACGCTGACATAATGTTGGATGTGGAGGACGCGAGGGTGATGGTGCATTGGCCGAAGAGGGATCGGCGCGAGTCTATCGCGAACTTGTCTGACTCGTCGTGGGATGAGTCGCCGCGATCCCGGGGCCGGGCTAACGGGCCGGCATCGGACTTCCTGCAGTCGAGCCCCCTTCGACGCCAGACGCGTATACAGTCGCCCGAATCTCCCACCCCGGCTAACAACCGGCCCTCTAGCAATCTAGATGACCTGTTGCTAGCCAATGACACGAGCGAGCCGGTCCAGATTTACGAGGATGCAAGCGGGGACGAACACGAACATCTAAAGTCCACGCCGGCTGTAGATGTCTCGTTCGCCCAGACGGAAATCGCGAATAGTTTCTCGAGCGATCTGAGCGATCCCGATGATGATGATAACGACCCGGACGAGGAAAACGATCCCATCGTGCACTCATTTGGCCCCTTCGGAGCCAACCTCTCAAACCGGCTGGCGGCTTTCACGGCTGCGTCCCCGAAGCAGCCGCGGCATAAGCTGCTCGCTGACGTGTCGGCGAAGCCGCCGACGGGACAGGAGCCGGAAGAGAAGTTCCCGGACCACGTCGACGCGGATGCGGTCAGAAACCACGTCGTGAACCAGCTGGCGTTTTCCCGGCTGTCGTCCAACCCCTTGTCGGGAATCTTGAACAACCTCCCGGCGGAGGAGAAGAAGGACCTGACCAAGCCCACGCTGCGCAGAATCATCGAGACCACGCCTTGCATCGGCGTCATCGCCCGCCAGGGCAAGGATGCGGCGGGGCAGCCGCTCGAGAGCGAGTATTACTACATCTCCGAGCGCGACACGGACGAGTCGCGACGGGTCGCCGTGACGGACGGGCTGCGGAAACCCAGCCTGCGAGCGTGCAGGAAGCAGCACAAGGTATTTTCCCCCGTCCGAGAGTTGATGTCGGGGAACGTGGGGTGTTAACTGCGAGCAGCAATACTATTGGAAGCGACCGAAACCGTAGATCCCTCCCGCCTCCCCAACCGAGCAGCCGGCTGCCCACATTCGCATTCAACTGTTAATTCCCGCCCCCCCTTTAAACTTCGTTCGGAGTGGCTCTCTTTTCTTCTTCTCTTCATACAAAATGCGGACAAAAATACCCCCTTTTCCCTTATTCCCACCGCATTTCTGCATTTGGCAACTAGATGCGCATCGTTGCTGAGGCTCGTGCATAGCTGCCGGCGTTAGATGGTCATTCTATGTATAATTCTTGTGTTTATTTTATTTTTATTTTTTCCCTTTTCCTTTTCCCCAGGGGTGTTCATGGTGTCTCGACTCGGCTACTGAGGGGGCGTCATCATGAGATATCGTGTGAGAAAAGGGGAGCAAAGAGGGGCATAGGGATAGGGGACCTGCGTGCAAATGAGATGACTGATGCGACATCGCCCGCTACAAGACACGTTGATTGTCTAATGGCATACGGTATATGGAGAGACGGCGATGCGTGAGACTGACTGTATGAGATATAGATGCCGGGTTATGTAAGAGATAAATGCCAACGTTTTTTTTTTGACCTCCACACCGTCGTGGATAGGCCCGGTTAACCCTCGCTCGGACGATTGGAAGCGTGCCAAGAGCGGAATGTTTCCCTGAGTGATTCTCATTGGGTGCTCACCTGCCTCTGTTTGCCTATTCGGGTAGACTCGATGCCGCTGGAGACGGCATCCCCTCGGCGACTTACCCGGCCGGTCGGTGAGGGCGAGGCAGTATGGTGTTCGGCAACGATGGTATGGGGTGGATTTGCCGGCGAGGTTCGGGACCCAGGCTGGTCAGGTGAGCTCGCCCTGGTGATAAGGCCGATAAGACCCGATAGGGCTGATAAGCGACTCTTTGACTGGAGCTACCCCGCAATTTGAGTCGAACCCCCCCTTTCCGCCTCTTCCGCGCCACCACCGGCTCGTCGAGCTCGTGATCTGATTGGGTCTGGGCCTCGACGGCGCGTCCGGAACTGGTGATGGACACCTCTAGGTCGAATGCTTTGCGGCCGTCTAGACTCGTCCCAACACGAACCGAACGTTCTACAATCGAGTGGTTTCATGGCCGAGTCTTGTATTATAAAGGCCCGATAACTCTTCCCTACCTTCCTGCTTTCATCCTCTCTGTGTTGTATCAATCCTACATCGCTATTATTTACCATACGACTTTCGGGTCTATACTAGCTACCGCTTACCGCAGCTACACACTGCTACCAACACACCTAACCCATCAATCCATCAACTTTATTGGTCAATTTAGACCGGCATTCTACTACTATACTCGTCTGCTTACATCGATACGGAATACTACTACCCGCTGTACGTGGACAAGAAAGAGAGAATCACCATCAACTCACCACCACCACCACCACTACTACTACTATTACTATATCACTCGGGGTTATCACATCCACAGATCCCCGCCAAACAAAATATCGACAGAGACAGCCAGCTCCATGTCGATGTACAAAATGTCTCCTCAAGCGACCTTTCCGCTGCAGATCGACACGTCCGCTCCGCCGGTCACCGCGCCCTACGGCCCCGCGAGCCCCCAGCACGAGAAGGAGGCCATGCGCGCCATCCGCCGGACGAACAGCTGGACGCCGTCCTTCAAGCGACAACCCAGCGTAAGCGCCCTGCTCTTCTTCTCCCCGTCTCTTTCCTCCTCTTCTCCCTACCCCTACCCCATTCCTATCCTCCCCTCATTACCTCCCTCTCTCCCTCGCATGCCGCTTGGGCAAGTCTGCTGCCTATCCGTATCAGACTTGTCTCGAACTTTTTAATTGTCCTCCCCGCCGCCAGAATCAATTTAATCCCAAATAAGAATGCAATGCACAATTGTCTGGCTACAGCATCCGTGCAACCCCCAGCACGGCGAGACATCTGAGTCTAGATATGCTAACACGACCATCTCTCCCCCGCAGTACCATCAAGAAGACCAGAAGCACGCGCTGCAGATGCGCGGCGTGCGAGACGTGAAGGAGGGGCCCGGCTTCAGCGAGTGCACGAGCACCGCGGCCCGCTAAAAGCTGTCATCCGCGGCCTTCCCCCCCCGAGCGTTGCTCTCGAGCAACTAACTTGCAGTCTCTCGCTCAACTCTCTCCTCCCTTCACCTCTCGTATCTCGGTGGTTCTGGAGTTTTTGTGTTTCAGGGGAAAAAAAAGAAAAAAAAAACCTCGGGCCGTGGACTCGCGCGCTACTTCCTAGGCCCCATCCTCCTGTCCGCTTTATCCGCTAAAAAAACTAGGTGCCTATCGGAGCCGCCCACGTGCCTCGGCTCGCTCTCCACCTCCTCGGGCACCAACTCCCCCATATTCTCGAGGGGGGGAAAGAAAGGACGGGAGGAAGGGCGGGAGAAGCGGCATAGCCACGACACGGCTTATCTTACTGTTATTATTACCTATGATCATTATTATGATCTCGTTTTCCGGACTCGGCGTTAGGGCGGACTGGGATGACCCCCCTGGCCCGAGGACCTCGGGCACGCACATCCGGGGAAACCGGAAGGCAAGGAGGGGGGGAAAGGAAAACAAAAACAGGGTTCTCGGTTGGGTCGGCTCGTTGGTTTACGGAATGGAACGGAACGGCACGGACGGACGGCACGCACCGGGGCGTCATCGCCGTCACTAATGGATTCACCACCGTCGGCGCGCGGCGGGGAAACGCGACCTAGATTGCACGCAACCCACCGCCGCACACTCGTTCCCCCCCCCGCGTTCCTCGCGCCGCCACGGCGAACCCGAGGAGGCTCGGCGAGGGACCGCGGGAGGAGCGCGCAAGGGGGGGGAAGACACAATAACCCCCCAGGAAGGGAGACTGTATACCACGCATGATACCACACCACCAGCCTGCGCGCGCGCACACACAGCCACGCGTCCGTTAGGCAAGCCGGCCCGCTGAGGCCGTGCAGATAGTGCTGCATTCTACGTAATTTTGTACGTTATATATGTGTACGACGGGCGGGGAGGGAGCGGAGGGGAAAGACTGTGTAATACGCAATATTGAACGCGCCCTCGGAAACCCCTCCTTCTCTCCTCCTGCGGCCCCCAAATCGAAAAAGTCTGAATAGGGGGCTCCATCTGGACAATGACGATTCGACAGCATAACCATCGCGTATTCGTGAAGTTAGTCGGCGGGTATAGCTTGGCAGCATAGACACGCACGCCTTGGGCCCTAATTCGCGCCCCGTCAATGCCCGAGCTGCGCGGCGGCTGAACCTGTTGGGTGTCGATATACCGTACCTACTCAAGGCCTAACGAGCAAGCGAGCAAATCGCATGGCGATCACGAAACGAGAAGAGGTAACTTGACAGCAATAGTAGTAGGTATACCAAGTAGGCAGTTTTTCCGAACTCCTATAGCTAGCTACTCTATATAAGAAAACAATAATGCAGTAGGTTGTGGAAACAAAAGGGACTTTGCCAACGAATACCGTGTGCCCGAAGAGAGAGACGAAAGCCCACCCATGTTTACCGCCAATCCTGACCCAAGGGAAGTACGAGCTCCGTTACTACCGCGTTATGATACACGCAAAAACCCCCAAAAACCCCCCAAAAATCAAGAAAAAACTGGCCAATACTCCTTATTTCCGTCGTCGTAATTCCATTTCATCTCACGGCTGGAATAGGAATACTGTCATAACGTGAACCAATAAACTGCTCACCCTCGTCCCGTCTTCCCCCCCATCATCGCTGCACTCCAAGAATTCCCTCAAAACCCCGTCGGTCCCCGACCATCGGCACCACCCGTCGCGAAGTACTCGCTCACCACGCCGATCGCGTACGAAATCCCGGCGGCCCAGGCGCCACCTACGAGCACCCGCTTTCCGAGGTTCCTCTTGCGTTTCGGCGGTGCCTTGGGGCCGCTGAACACGGGCTCCTCCCTCCTGACGTCGATGCCGGAGCGGAAGGGCGGCGCCTGGGCCACCTCCTCGACCTGCAGCGTGTTGTAGTTGACGAATCCTGTCGGCGACGTGAACGTTGCCGCGTTGGGTAGCGCCGTCGGCTTGCCCATCATGTCGATGGGATTGACTGGCACGGCCGCCGTCTGGTCTGCCGCTCTCACCCTTCGGACTTTGCGGAAAACCAACACGTCTCCGCCGCCAGACACGATCTCGAAACCCTCGGCTTGAAGTGGTGCAAAGTGCGGGAAGAATTTTGTCGGGTTCGACAGACGAAGCAGCACTTCGGCCGGTGTCAGCGGGGCAGATTGGTCAGACACTATCGACGTAGTCTCAGCGACGTCGACCTTCTGCATGGTGGGGTCATAGGCTAGGATCTTGTATATCGTTGGCTCGGTATTTTGGGTTGACTCAGCCTCCGGGTCTGATATAGACGGCGGAGTCAGCGGCCGACCGTCAATCTCGGGGTCTCTGCCGTACAGAGATTCGAGGGAAGGCATAGCTTCGCTAATTTCCTCCATCGCCAATGGAGATTCATGTTTTCCTGTCTTCGCCTCGCCCCCATATGTTTTGCTAAAAACTTGGGATTGATCCTCGGCACTGCGCTCCTGAGTATATGACGTTTCCAGGCCCCGGGGTTCTTTCGAGTATGGATCGGCCTCCGCCCGCATTTCCAGGCCGTGACTCACCATTCTTTTTGGTGTTTTCCCCTCGAGCCGATCCAGAGCGGACTCCAAGATTGGTTTGGCCTGCTTCCTATCTAAACTAGTCTCCAATCTCGCAGCGCTAGTAGCCTTGGAAAGGTCTTCTGAGTATCGGTTTTCGGCCGCCTGAATATGTGTCATCCTTTGGTCGAGCTCTTTCGGCGTCGAGTCGGTTATGGGCTCGGAGATAGAACCTGAGCCTCGGGAACTCCACGACGCGGAGAAGTCCTCAGGAAAATCTCGAACAAAGTTACCTGATAGTTCAGCGTGGCCATCTCGGTTGTCTTGCGCCCCCGCTTTTGTGCGCAACTCCTTGACGCTCACGCTGGCGTCCTGATCCGCCGCGTCAGACGCGGCAATGTGGTGAACCATGGATTGCTCGAGAACATCCCGGGATCTCGAGTCCCCGGTCGACGATTCGTCACTCTTCTTCGAGGGCGGCATTACTTCCACGTGGGGGTTCGACGAAAGAGTCCTAAACTGGTGCAACCCGAGTGCTTGAAGCTTGTCGAGGGGACTAGGCCTGGGGTCTGCACTTGAATTCAAATCATGGTACTTTGTATCATACTTCGTAGGACTGTCCACGACGATTTCCTGTTCGAGAGCAGACTTGCTATCGAGCTCCTGTGACTTAAAGGTCCGATACTTATCGAATCCACCATATTGCTGGAAGGGTTGGTCCTCCGTGGTAGAATCTCCGAAGATGAACCGATCGAACTTCTGAAAATACTCACCCTTGGGAGTAGAATCCTTCGTGGGCTCGACATTGTCGCTATAATCCTTATATTTGTCCAGGTCGTCATACTTGGGAGCAGGCCCGTCTCTTTTTACGTCCTCTTGGTATTTGTATGGTCCATATTGATCGAGATCATCATACGGCGCCGTCTGGTTTTCAATTTTCTTATTCTCGTTGTGCATATACGGTTTGTACTTTTTCAATTCCTCGGAGTGATGAGGTGCATCTGCGGCAGCATCTTCTGCTTCCCTCGGTCCATATGTCTTGTACTTGTCTAGGTCGGTATAGCTCTTGGTCGGATCCTGAGCCTGGGCTTGCTCGCTGAGCTTATCATGTTGATATGTTTCATGTCTGTTAAATGTTAATTATTATAGCTGTCGTTGAGGTACTTGAGGGAGGGGGATAGGTTGACTGAGTGCGTACTCTTTACTTTGCGAGGTAGAACTACGGGAAGGCTTTACGCCGTCTCCAGATACCGCTGCGGGTACTTTATCGATATTGACCTGGCTGTACTCCTTGAGCTCAGCTAGGGGAGGTGGCCCATTTGAGTGTACGGGGTGCGGCGGAGTGGACGTAGCGAATTGAGCACGGTATGCCTTGAAAGAATCGGCCGACGTCGCATCCGTGTCGTTATACATGCCGTAGGTGCTCTTAGGAACCTTGCGGTTGGTGATGGGGTCGATTATGTAGTCCTCGGTAGAAATAGAATTTGTGAAATGTCCGTTCTTTTGGGTCGGCTCGGCACTTGCCGTCCGAGGCTGCGAATGCGCATGTTCATCGGCCCGAGAAGTGGTTTTCGATTTCGATTCCGTCCAGTTGTTCATTGCCTCACCCATATGTGATTTCCATGTGTGGTAACCATCCCATAGACCAGGAGCCCAAGACGTGTTTATCCGTGCGTTCCTGACGTCGGAATCGCCCCGACCATGTTGATGCGGGTCATTTGATTCCTGATCGGCAAAGTGTGGGGGGCATCTCGCCCGAGACCGATACCAATAATTGCGGAGCATGTACCTGAAGATAGCTTTCGGGTTCTCATCGAGGTGACGCTGGTCCCACGACAACTTCCGTTTGAGTGCCTCAGCATACCCGTGTCTCAGCATCCGTTGGCGGTGTTGGAGTTCCCTCTGCAACTGGGGGTCGAGGTAGGAGGACCACAGGCCGAAGCGAAAGGCTCGAGTCTGCTGGTTATGGCGCGCCTTTGACAAGAGGGCGCTGGTAGGTCCCAAGGCGGTGGACGCGGTGGCTCTGGCCCGGAGCGGCATCGCCCCGGAACCAGTCGAACGAACGGCGCAGGTCAACATGCTGGCTGAGCTGTGGGCAAGGCGCGCATCCTATTCCACCTATTCCAGGAAAGATGAGATCGTCAGCACAGTTCATCTATAGAGGGATGGAAATGAAGACTTCGAGTAAGACACCACCGCTGGTTGGGTCGGCGTCGTAAAGGGGGCCGCCGTTGGGTAAAGCCACATACTTAATAAAGGCTCGAGAGTTGCCGATTGCGGAGGCGACTACACGATCTTGTAGCAGTAAGTTGAGTGGGAGAGGCGAAGAAGAGCAAAAGAGAAGCGTTAGGCAGACGGGTTACGATACCTAGGTAGGAGGTATGTAGGATATGGCGTACTGACGAAGGTGACCTGATTTCGTGGGTATTTATTCCACCAGGAGGGAGGAGGAGGGGTCGCTTGGGCGCGGAGAGGTAGGTGGATAGGGTAGAGAGTGGAAGGTTAGGCTAGGCCGGGTTCCAGTTGACGACGTGCTTTCATAGCTACCTTCCCAGGCTTGCAACCTTGCCAACTCTCGAAGCGGGGAGCGTCGGAGTGGCATTGGACCGGGTAGGTGTGCACCTCCAGCTGCCTGCCACCTGCGCCTAGGACTGATGGGGATACCTATCTTCTTATCGCTACCTACCTGTTTCCGCCGAGCAACCATGATGTGCCCTGTTCTGTGGTGGGATTCGCCATCGGGTTTCCAGACCTGACAGCCGCCTGTGGGAGTTACCAAGGCTCGGCATAATATGGATGCTGCAGAACGGTCACTGTGATGTACTTCCGAATCGGGTACTGACATGTACATATCCTCATCGCTCAGATAGTACATGCGGGGTAAGCGTGGGAGGCGTGGGAACCGGCCCTGGAACCGGCCCTGGCATTCCCACCTGGAACCCGCCGGCCTAAACCTACTAGGTACCTAGAACGTATCTCTACCGCCTTGCCCACTACCCTACCCCCTGAGAGGTACCTAAGGTACCTATCCCCAGCATTACCTCCTACACAGGTACCCCTCTGATACTTCGCTTCGGCGTTTTACTATACATCCATCACGAGCCATCAACCACGTCCCCGAGCATTTCCCATGAAACACCGCCCACAATTGAGACGTAGGTATCGTTATTGAGCCACGAAATTTTTATATGGATTTTATCATTATTAAAACGTTGGGGCGTTGTCGGGGCCCTTCGTTATCTTTCTCATTTGGGGTCAGCTGGGGGAGCCGCAAGAACTCGGGAGCTTGTACGTAGGTAGATGTACCTACCTCGAGAAGAAAAGCTGAGGCTTCGTTCGACCCGCACCTTGATGATACTCGGCCTGAGAGTCACAACAGGCCGGCCTCCTTCTTCGCTGAACGTGTGACTCGTGCCTCAGGCAGCAGAACGCAAGCGTGTTGCCATCACGCCTTATGTAAGCCCAACCCCGCCGTGGGGTTGAAATCTTCATATCCTTTGCTTCCTGGTCTCGCAACACCATCTACTACTCTTTCCATACCTACCTACCACCAAATGCCTACCGGACAGAAGGGCGTGATTGTCAGCTCCGAACAGTAGCCCGCCGCAGACTCTCAGTGCACGCAGCATTTCAATCCACTCATTGGATACTTCGTCGCCTAGAGAAAAACACGACCTACTTCCTGACCATTGCTTCCCTTCTCCCCCCGCGCGCTGCGAGGGCGTGGTATTTCCGTATGGTCTCCGAAACGAGACGTCTCATCTCGCGGCCATGAGTCGTAAGCCGGCCAAACCCCGTGCCTCTGCCGGCAAGACATTTATCGGCTCTGGCTCCAGCTCCTTCGGCGCCTTCTCGACCTCCTCTGGTACCGACCTCTCCTATTTAGCCGAACCACCCGATTTCTCTCCTATATCCGATTCCAATGTTATCGTGTCCCTCAAGAACCTGCAGAAGAAGGATGCTACCACCAAGGCAAAGGCCCTCGAGGAGCTGGTCGCCTACGCCCAAGCCCACCCGCACGAGCGAGATGGTGGTGCGGAGGAACCTGTATTAGAAGCGTGGGTGCGCGCAAACCGGGCTGATCTCCATCGTTACGTTCGCTTACTGACAACCATGTGTGTGACAGGTCCAGCTATACCCTCGCATCTCGATAGATAATTCCCGCCGCGTCCGCGAGCTGTCCCACGTCTTGCAATTCGAGTTTATGAAGTCCGCCCGCAAGCGTATGGAGAAGCATGTACCCAAGATTGTCGGCTCTTGGCTTGCTGGTACGTTTGACAGGGACCGTGTCGTAGCTCGTGTGGCTACCGAGGGCCTATCTTCGTTTCTTACGACCTCGGAGAAGGTGACACACTTCTGGAGGCGATGCCAGCAGCAAATCCTGGATTACGCTTCCGATGCGATGAAAGAGACTACGGAAACGCTAAGCGATAAACGGTCGACGAGCGCCGACGATGCCGAGGCTAAGTATTATCGTGTCTTGGGCAGTAGCCTTGCGCTGGTCTTAAATCTCCTACAGAAGCTCGATCCCTCGGATATTCAAAAGTGTCTGGACTCTTACGACCAATTCTTCGAGCAGGATAAAGTCTGGGCAAGCGCAACGATTAGCGATGCTGCTGTTAGGCGGCTTGCGTGCCAGCTCCTGTCCACGTGCCTAGAGAAGCGATCAGATCGGGTTGAAGCGGACCTCCTTCGGCTTGGTAAGACGTTTGTCGCCGAGGGCTTGAAGTGTAGCCAAGCTGGCTCTGCCGCAGATTATATCAGCACGTTGACTGAGCTTACCGCAAGACACCCGACGGTCTGGACTTCTGATTACCGTGGCAAGAAGACGCCCACGTCGAGACTCAAGGGTTTTTTGGAAAAGGGTTCTCAAGGTACTACCTCGCAATTCTGGCATTCCCTCGACCGCATGCTCGAAATTATACCCAGTGGCATACTTCCGGAGGACCTTAGCGGAGCTCTGGAGTTTCTAGAATCTATGAGGTTAGGCTTGACTAGTAGAGATGAGCCTCACAGCAATGCCGTTGATGGTTGGTCAACCTATCTCAATACTACTAAACGTTTCCTTAAAACGATGCAATCTGGTGAAGACCGAGGCAGGATAGTTCAAGATAACATATTCCCGCTTATAACCCACTACCTCTACCCGACCCCGGAAACGTCAGCGTGGGCTTCGGGGAGCCACGTACCAATCCTAATTAAGGCGTACACCTCGACAGCAATGTCGCCCTTCGCAGATGTTGTGCAGATGACGAGCGTCGTGTGGAACAAGTGGAAAGAGGAATTTAAAACCCGCATGCGCAATTCGTTGCCGGAAGCATCTAGAGAGCACGAAAGGTCCCAGAAATCTGTAGCCGACGAAGGTTACAGATGGTTTACTTTGACGGGAATTATATCAGACGCTCATGAGAGGACGCTTAATACGGACCGCCCAATCCCAAATATGCCGGCAAAGGATTCCCTCGAGTTGCTCCATGAGGCCCTTGAGCTGCTAGAAACTAGGAATTGGAAACCCTTCGGAGCTGCCGCAACCGTGGAGTCGGCCTTCAAACAATCCCCAGGCCTCTTCCGACACCCCTCGAATGACACGAATAAAGTATTCGAGTTTTTAGCGGCCTTGTTGTCGAGGGGCAAGACCGAATTTCTGCAGTCGAACGCAGGACCCTATATTTTCTCAAGCATCAATCTACTTGGCGGCATTCCCGAACGACAACAAGAGTATGAGACAATTTGGAAGGAGAATATTACAAATATCCTCGAGCATATCGAAAGCCCTGCAGCCTTGCCGGCTCTGACAACGCTGATATCCACCGAACACGCCAGTCCTCTCGCCCATCGGATCCCCGCACTGCAGGGGGAATTGGTAAAATTATGCCTCGTGTGTGCTGTTGACACCACAGAGCTAGGGTCGGATTTCTTCAATGCCGTGATAGCATTTGATACGTTGACGGACGTCGCTTCGAAGCGACTGGTACGAGAACTTGGTAACCGTGTTACAAACAGCTTGGGACAGCCAAACGAAGGCGTAGTCAGAAGTTTACGTCTTATAGCAGAGAAGAACCCGGGACTCTTAGTCAAGGATGAAGAGGTTCACATGAGCCTGATGGCCAGCCTGCTGAGTTTGTCTGAACGATTCCATGACATTTATGATGCCGCTACGCTTAGGGCATTGATGGAGGGCCCTCCAACCACCGGCAATTCACGTTTACTCGGGTTGGTGCACCAAGGTATCTCCAATGCTGACCCGGGTTCACTCTCGTAAGTAACACTTCTGTTCGGCTTCTTTTTTAGACGTCACTAACGGCAGTCTAGCGTTGATACTCTTGTTCAGCAAGCTATGCAAGTCTACGGTTCACTAAATCCTTCCGATACCGACACAGACCAAACGGAACAGCTCCGATATTTAATACCGGATGTGGATGTGTGGGAGAGGGAAATAAATCTTCTCCTACAAGACACGCCGAATCCGTCTCTCTCGATAGCTAGTGTCCTTGGCGGGGCATATTTCCTCCCTACATTATCGCCAAATACGTCCACTATATCCGTACAGAGGGACAGGAGTGGTTGCTCGATTCCCGGCCGTATGGCATTGTACATTTCCAAGCTTCTCTCCGCAGGATTCCAGCTTCGTATTTTACCAATCTCGAAACGAGTGGAGATTTTGCGGTACCTGAGTCTGACCGCAGAGCTTACGGCAGACCAGTTAACAGTTATGAGTGGGAATAAGATATGGACCTCACTTTCCTCCGAGGTTGCTCTATCGGACGCCGAAGGTCTTATCTCGTCCTCGCGAACGATTATCATCAACATGGCTGGTGGTGCTAGCGGCTGGAGAGAAGGTACCGATTCGGACGAGTCACAAGTGATCCACCGCGTCGTCAATGCATTTATACATGAAGCAAAGTCCCTAACACCGCAAGGCCTTTACTACGCGCGGGCCCTAAGCGAACTTCTCCGGGTATTGGCAGAGACTCACGGCTTCCCATCTAGCGGCGAACAATGGCTAAAAGACCTGGATATCCTGAAGAGTGGCTCGTCGACGGTTCTTCCTGCTGTAGCAATCCTGGGCGGCTTAGGAGAGACGATATCGGTCTCAAGAGTAATCAGCAACTTCTGCAACCGGCTAGTCAGTGATATTTCCGGGGCGAGCTTCGGCAAAGAGAAAGATCTCATTACCCTTGTGCTTCTGAACGCATGCATGCAAATATACGAAGCCGGGGAACTACCTGCGGCCAATAACCGATTAGTATTTGCGGCCAGGCAACTTACGTCGTGGATGGAAACCCCTGAAGACCTCGACTATCGATTCGCCGCCGAGACTTGTCGATGTCTCCAGTGCCTCCTCCCATGCATAAAAGACGTATATGGGTCTTATTGGGAGAACACCATAGACTTTTGCACATACCTCTGGGCTAAGCCTGCAGTTCAACCCCTGGACCTCCGATTACCCGAGATTCACGCTTCCCTACGGTTGATCAACGCGCTACAGTCAATAGAGGACCCCAATGACGATCTTATCGACAGCCTGAAATCATCGGCGGAGAAGAGATCGACTGCGTTGATTGAGCTTCTCAAGCTCCCCAGGGGAAATGAAACCCAGCCTCTGGAGATAGTAGACTCCATCATATGCCGACAGGTCGAAAATATTCCCATAGAACACGTACGGGATCTCTCCGAGCTCTACGGGCTGGTTGCTAGTGATTCGCGAGCCATCCAAACAGCTGCGTTTACCATCCTTCATAAATCGCTCCCTGCCGTCCAAGAGAAACTCGCAGTGGATGTTCTCCTGGACAAGAAGGATGCTCGGCTTCCCGACGAACTTTTATCTCTTCTCCTCGATGCGCCGAAGCTCGAGGATTATTCAGACGAAGCCCTCGCTCGTTTTCCAAAGGCAATCCGCGCCTACCTCCTCTCCTGGCTTCTGGTTTTCGACTCTCTTAAGGCCGCATCTTTCAAAATACGTAGCGACTATGCCGAATGTCTCAAAGCAGGAAGCTACATTGGACCCCTAATGGAGTTCATCTTCGACGTCTTGGGCCATTCGGTATCTCATCCCTTAAACCTCGCCAAGGCAAACTTCACTGACGGCCACATCCAAAAATACGATTTGAAGCTTGCGGATGCCGAGTCCGACGAGAGAAACATGCAGTGGTTGCTTATCCATATATTCTATCTCGTGCTCAAGTACGTGCCTACTCTTTTCAAGACATGGTACCTCGAATGTCGATTTAAGCAGACAAAGATCGCCGTTTCGAGCTGGATGACGAAGTACTTCTCCCCGATAATCGTATTGGAAGCTCTGGACGACGTCGAAAAATGGAACGCAGCTCGGGAAGCCCCCACGGGCGACGAAAAGGAGTTGGTCGTTCGGGTCAGCCGCCCCGCGAGGGAGGTCACGGCTAGCTACGAAGTAGACGACCTGGACGCCATGATCGCGATACGGATCCCGCATGAATACCCTCTGGAGAGCCCCACGGTGTTAGGGGTGAACCGCGTCGCGGTCAATGAGAAGAGGTGGCAGAGCTGGATCATGACGACCCAAGGAGTAATCACATTTTCGGTAAGCTCTCCCCCCCTCTTTCTCCTACGTAGCCACCGGGAGGGGAGCCATCAGATTCATCTCGACTAACTTGACATTTCTTTATTTTTCCCAATCATTAGGGAGGGAGCATCATCGACGGCTTGACAACGTTCCGGCGCAATATCGTCGGCGCGATGAAGGGGCAGACGGAGTGCGCGATTTGCTACAGCATCATCAGCACCGACCGGAAGATGCCAGACAAGCGCTGCCAGACGTGCAAGAACCTCTTCCACCGCACGTGTCTGTACAAGTGGTTCCAGAGCAGCAACCAGAACACGTGCCCGCTCTGCCGCAACCCGATCGACTACCTAGGCGCCGACGTGAGGGCGAGGAGGGCCGTCTGAGCGAGCGGACGACGGCGCTAGAGATAGGATGGGGAAGAGACTTTGCGTTTTCCGATCGGAAGACGAGGAAGAATTTCCCGGCACTGCGAGGTGCTGCTTGCTTGGTCGCGGGTTATTATTAGTACCGAGCGGGAAAGTTCGAGAGGGGGATGGTTCCAACTAAGAACAGAGGATCGACTAGATGGGATCGCGGCAGCGGTCTGTCAAGCAGGACGAATCCGCTATCGAGGGCCAGATAGCAACCAACCATCAGACGGCGTGTCTCGAGAAAAAGGAGCGCGGCTAGGTAGGTAGCACCCACAATATGATTGAAAAAGAAGGAAAAATGGTTCTCTGATAGCTCGGGGTTTATCTTCTCTTTCATGGTATCGTTGGTACTTAAGAATACCACTCGTACCCTACTTCTAGCTAAATAGCGTGCTGTGGAAATTAGGTGTGGAAGGCATCCGGGGTGGAAAAAAAAAGGGGGAGGGGGGGGGGGTAGCAATGCGCATAATCAAATTCTTCTGCCAGTCGACCGTTGGTTCCTCGTCCGTATCCCCGTCGTCGATCCTGATATAAGTGTAACGTTGTATCATCGAACTTTGGTACAAATTGGACCTTTACGATGTGTAGGGAAGAAAGCTCGTTTATCCTTGTCTAGACATACAGAGCTTACATATTAAGTAGTCCCCTCTGGGTGCCAAAGTTCCTCGTTTGGCCTAGTATTACCTACCTATCTACGACCCATTCCACTCTCGAAACGCTTTCTCCCCCCCGTGTCTGTCGAGCGAGTAGCCGTAACCTGTGAAGGCATAATAATGGCGACACAAGTTACCGCCGTGCCGCCTGTCTCTCTCTCTCTCTACGAGGCCCTTGCGCTCCTAGTACGAGTATTCGTCTTCTGAATCGCTCTCCTCTGCTACCACTGGCATGTCGAGGCACGCTTCCGCCTCCCCGGGGCTCATTTCCAGCTCGTCGTCTTCGTATCTGGCGTAGTCTGCGTCCGAAGCCTCGGAGGCCCCAGAAATCGTGGCGACACGCAGCAGGTCCCAGCGGAGCCGGAGCAGCTCGAAACTGGGCAGGAAGAGGGGGTTGTCGGCCCGGATGGAAAAGACCTGGCCCGTTTCGATGGCCACGCCGCTGCTGCGGTGTGCGAGGCCGCGGCCCCATTTCTGGTCGACGAGACCGGCTTCAGCTAAGAAGTCGTCGGTAGCTAACCGCTGCTTGGGCTTCAAACAGGCCCGTTTGAGCCAGTGCCACTGGACCACCACCTCCTTCTCAGACTCGCGTAGAGGCTTCAGGGCAAACCTGGCCTTGTCCCACCAGAAGCGCAACTGCCGGTTGAGGTAGACGACATTTTTGGGAGACTCGAGAACGCGGTCGTCCCGGATCAATTTCTCCCAGGCCCTGAACGCCCCCTCGCCCCAGAATTCATGGAGCATTCCGTTTAGGCCGGCCAAGTTCCCTTTGGGACCGACCGTGGTAGGGAAAATGTTTGCAGCCTCAGGGTCGGGCAATCCAGTAATGGCACACGTATACCCATAGCAGTTGCGGTGCTGCAATGTCACAATGTTGGCCGTATGCTTCTGGTTTGGTCGATAAGGACTACTCACGAGTCTATGTGCAGTTTCCGCGTTGAGCGTGTCCAACGCGAATCCCGAATGGCGCAGCCCGAAATACGGGTTAGACATCATCACATGTCTCCTTTTGGCTGGGGTTGGTGTCCCCGAGCCTTGGTAGACAAGTATCGACCTTCTCGGGCTATTGTGGCCCTCGTCGTTGGAAAGATCTGACAGGGTCGATTAATCTCTGGGCCGGAACCACATGCTCTCTTGGTGGACGTACAAGCCCTCACTCCAGCCACCGCTTCTTTGCAAAGAACGTGGAAGACTCCTCCGAAGCAAACCGCGACGTCGCTTAGCCCGGCGATGTTATTGAGGACCATCCTGAGCTGTGAGATCGGGGCCACCATGATTATAGCTAACGCCGTCGCGTTCAAGTCCCACCGAGGAGGACTCTTCATCTGATCGCACTCGCTTTTGAAATGGCGGAAAATCCCGCATCGCGCTTCCAATTCCGTAATGTAGGGGAGGATGGGCTCCGCCTCGGGGGGGATGTCGTCGAGGAAGTCTCTGAGAAGGACACGATGGGTTTGCGAAGCGATGGCCAATTTTGGCAGCAAGTTGGTATCTATCCGGGGTACCGTCTGCCTTAACTGTTGCTCGTCTTGTTTGATGTCCATGATGGCCTAGATGGTAAGGAAAAATAATAGGAAAAAAAAAAAAAGAAATCCAGAGTCGGATTGGATGGCTGCTGGGATGGATGGCTGAACTGGTGGGCGGAGTGATGGTAGGAACGGGGTATTTAAATGCCTTCGGGTCGTAGTTATGAACAGACGAGAGATAATGTGCTGATCGAGAGGCGGTCGCTTCGCCGAGGGAGAAGGTTGGCATTAATAGTCGCCGTCCTCGCCAATACCTTATTGGGCACATGGTTCGTCGCTGCTAAGGTGAACCGAACTCAGCTTCGAGGTAGGTAGCTCGGAATAAGACTCCCCCCCTTGCGGGTGGCCTCAGCACGGCGTGGAACGGGCGGGATCTTACTGCATAGTGTTCTTGTTCGGAAGCGCGGAAACGAACTGCTGCGTCGTCTGTCATATTTACGGCGGTTTAGGTTCGGGGTAGGAGGCAGGTGGCTGATGGGTAAGGAGGCGTGGCCCTGCCATCCAAGGTGCGTATCCAAGGTGTGTATCCAAGGTGCCGCACTCTCCTATCCTCTCCTCCCCTCCCCCGCCTTGCTATCCTCCAAGGAGCGTGGTGGTCCCGCTAGGTCCGTCCTCGTCCTCCTCGCCGTCCGCCTGCGTCTCGTCACGATATGCCGGCAGAGCCTACGCCTCCCCAGAGCGAGACCGAAGTCGTCAGGGCCTGAACGCCGAGCGTGAAATGAACATGTGGTATAGGTTGGGAGAGAACGGGGTAGATGCTAGACAGATGCCGTAGGCGGGTAGGTACGTACACTGCGTAGATATACGAGGTAGAATACTACCTACGTCATCTTGAACAGTCGCGCGCGCCTCCGCTTCTCTGACGTCAGGCCGGATGGTGGAAAAAAACCCCAAGTGGTGACGCCGCTCGGCGTAAGGGCGTCAGGTACTTCCGTGTTTCCTCGGTGCCCTCTCGGGAGTCGTCGACGTTGTCAGCGACAACTCTCTGAGACGTATGTACCTAGCAAGTACCCTACCTATAACGCCCAGGTGCCTGAGAGAGTGCCTGAGAGAGTGCCCGAGAGAGGCCGCGGGCGAGCTGTAGGTGCCTACCTACGTCTCTTAATGTCCCTACCCTGCCGTCGATGGGCTTGTTGGTTGCGAGCTGCTAAAAGGTTTCCCGATCACCACGCAATTCGCGTCCACTTCCCAAACCGGCCGGATGCTGGCTGCTGCTCGATAAGCCGGCTGGGTTTCTCTCCCTTTGCTGCCATCCTCCAAGTATGACGGAACCGCGCGTCCATCATCCGTGTCCTGGGCGCGCGCATAAATGTCACATAAATGTCATCCTGCGTCGGAGGGTCTCGTTTCTATGCAACCAACTTGATCTTGTAACTCCTCCCCGCAAGACCGCTCGAGTACACACGCATACACGCACCCGCGCACACGCTAGAGAGGCCTTGTTCGTATTCTCTCGCTGACATCCAAGTGCCGACATACCCAAGGCGCCGGGTAACATACCTACGTTATGTCCCTGTGTCCGACACTGGTGCGGACGGTTTCCCGTGGCCGCCCGGTCCGCTTTTGCTCTCGCCTATGTCGTCCTCAGCGAGCGGCCGCGTTCTTTGCCCGCACTCCCCCCACTACCCCGACGCACCACCGTAGGTCGTTGCATTATTCGCCCAACCTCTTCATGAAGCCGACGAACCCGGATCCGGGGGAGAACCCAGCGCACGAACTGGCGCCCAATAGCGATGTTAACGTCGGTCGGAAGCGGCTTGCCGATTTCGATCTGAAGGGCAAGGTCTTCGTCGTGACCGGCGCGGCGAGGGGCCTGGGCCTCGCCCTGGCCGAGAGCCTGGTGGAGGCCGGAGGAAAAGGTGAAAGCTCGTCATATTTTGATAGATATTTGCCCGACTTGGTTGCCGCAGCTATACTCGCACCACTTTGCTAACTTTGCGGACAGTCTACTGCTTGGACCGGGAGGACGAGCCTGATGAGCACTGGGCCGAGGCGAGGAGGAGGGTCGTTCCGGAGTGGGGAGGGTCGCTTCATTACCGACAGCAGGACGTCCTGGACACGAAGGGCCTAGACAAGACGATCACCGATATCGCGGACGATCACGGCCGGCTCGATGGCGTGGTTGCCGCGGCGGGCATCCAGCAGGTGACGCCGGCCGTCGAGTACGAGCCGAACGACGTGGCCGACATGCTGGCCATCAACTTCACCGGCGTGCTGATGACGGCGACGTCGGCCGCGCGCCAGATGATGAAGTACAAGACGCGCGGCAGCATCTGCCTCGTGGCAAGCATGAGCGGTAGCGTGGCGAACAAGGGTCTGCTGTCGCCCGTCTATAACTCGTCCAAGGCGGCGCTGATCCAGCTCGCGCGCAACCTCGCCATGGAGTGGAGTCCGATCCAGAAGGACGGCACGGGCGGCATCCGCGTCAACTGCATCAGTCCCGGCCACATCCTGACCCCTATGGTGCGCGACATCTTCGACGAGATCCCGGGCCTCCGCGAGCGGTGGGAGAGGGAGAACATGATGGGCCGCCTAGCGGAAACGACCGAGTTTAAGGGCGCCACTCTATTCCTCCTAAGCAACGCAAGCAGCTTCATGACCGGCGCTAATCTCGTGATCGACGGTGGACACACTTCGTGGTAGCTTTACCTACAGGCGTAGCGTACGGTGAACGGCGCCACCTCCGCCACCCGCTCGCTTCTGAAAGCTCAGAAATAAAAGGAATACACGTGTGTTGCTATTTACTATACATGGTGCGGTACATACCTGATATACGTAATTACATTTGGATTTTTGATACGGTAATTGCAATTTTTCACCGCCACCGTTTCTTGCATAGTTAAGTCCTCGGACTTGCTGCAGCAGGGGTTGTATACCTAGCTTCGGTGGAGGTTAATGCTTAATTAAACGCAATCGTCCTACTCTGTAGATTCGGAGTCTTAAGATACACCCCTTACGCGTTTATTTAGCAGCACGAACACCGGCGGACTGTCAGATGCTGGATTCTCGATCGACCCGTTCGTACAGAAGCGTCTCGTTCGTCTGGCAAGGGGACGAGAACGATAGGTATACCGTTGCGTCGAAGATCGAGACCTAACACCCACTACGCCACGCGTTCACGAATCTCGTGAAAGCACGGACTACCACCCCGTAGCGCTTGCCCATAGGCTGCCTAAGTCGTTAGCAGAATGCTCCTTTTGGCTATTAAGACAGTGCTGCCGTAGAAATGAGATGACTTTTCTACTGCTGATCCCTAGATCGTCGCCTAAACGTTGGGTGTTGTCCAGACTATCAAGGGGTAAGTCGGCGATGACTTCATGGCTTAAAGGTGAGTACGAGGGTATTCGGTTTCTAATGTCCCCACAGGTAAGTGTCCATATATATCACGTAGATCTAGGAAGGAGCTAGGTATGGTGCGAGAGCGCGCGCGAGGAGCTATCTCACGGGCAACGGGAGGAGGAGCAAAGGAGAAAAGGTCTTGTTCTATCTAAGAACTAACTGAAGGAATGGAAGCAATAGGAGCGTATATATATCGGGGCTCCTGTTGCTGAGGTAAGCAACGAAGAGGCGCAAAGCTAAGGAGCAACCTCTACGTGACAATATAATATATCGTCACGTATCTAGCTTGAGCAACGCATCGTAGGCTAGGTTGAGTGCAGAGGGAGCAAGGGAACATATGTGGGTAAAGGTGTATTGACTGACTAGCTACCTAGGAAGGAAATGTATGAGAGAGTGCGAAGCTAGTCTAGATACACCTACCTATATACGTGCTCAACTGGCTTCGGTGAGCTAGGTTGTTCTCCGCGCAGATGTAGCTCTCGGTAGAGATGGGGCTACTAGAGGCGTATGCCTGCGTGACATATCTCGAATGGCGAAACCCCCAGCGGGTTGACGTATCTCGCGTTAACTTGAGCCATCACGTCAGAAACCCGGTTCGATGGTTCACCAGGGGCCGCTGACGGTGCCGGGTTGGTGGTTTTCTTTAACACCGATTGCAGTATCCGATTGAACACTTCTACCAGTCCGACTGACCTCGACTTTCGTGTGGGACCTCACAGCGTGGTTGGATGTGGTCCAAACTGTCATATTTGAGACAGATCCGTTCGCCTCGCTTTAAAGGCCTCGAGCCGTTCGCGATCGGATGCTTGGAGGCTTCTCGATCTGGAAGCTTTTGATAGGCATTCCCTCCAGGGAGTCTTCCGGCAGTTAAAGCTCCCTCTTGTAGGTACCATAATTCTGCTCGGGTTTGGTTAACATAAAGCTATCGTAAAGAGTAGGGACACCAACGCCGTCCAAATATTGGAGGATGATACAACCCCTAAACACCCACGCTAAATAAGACGAAATCCGTTACCTCGGAACGTCTGCCGTCGGAGGTGAGCAGGTAGAGACGACCTGCGCCAACGTTATGAAGCAGCCGTCTTCGGGGACGGAGCTGATCCACCAGCTTGCCGGAGACCAGATTGACGTCGCTACCCTGGTCTGCTTGGGCAGTATTCTCGGGGAGGGTACAGGACATGGCTGTCGAGTCACTGTCTCATACAGAACGATCGTACTAGTTTGAATGGGAACGGGTCGACTGCTATTGGAGCTGCCTACATAAGGATCGTGGTATGGTAAGGCATAGTCGGTTTCTGCTGTCTTCTGTCAATTTCGAACCCAATCCTTTTTTGAAAAAAGCCAGAAACGTCGGAACGACCTCTCCCAGACCTTTCACCTTTATAGTCAACTACTAGACGCTCAGGAAGTTCGTGTATTCAGTCCCCAGTTGGAAGTGGGGTCCTTCTTGGGAGCGGTTGGCCATTTTGCGCCGATAAATCATGTTAGATGAAGGTAAGGGTGTTAAACCGCCGTCTGGGGATGTCGGCTTTGTGAATGACAGCTGATCAACAGGAAGCGACGTTGCCGTGGGAGAGAGTAACAGGACTCGGGCGGCCCCAAGAAGTGACGGAAACGTCATCACGGCTTTGCGGCTATCGGCATTCTGGGCCGTGTCGTGCCCATCGCTTCCAGGCCAGCAACAAGGATTCTGCCATCTCCATCCCAAATTTCTAAGCAATGGTAATGCTCCACATGCAGATGGAACATGCTTAGAAGGCCAAGTAGGATCCAACCGCCACACAGGACCGACTGGTGGCCGTTCCCGCCGTGTAGCCCCGTTTTAGCGTCTGCTTGCGGCAGATATTGCTGTCAAGCCGTCTGGGAGATCGTCTAGGCCTGGGTGGGGAGGCAAAAACATGGCACCCAGGGTGGCTCCGCTCGTTCCCATGTCAAATGTTCCGAATCTTATCTGATGGCTCGGGCCGCAGTCGTAGAATATGTGCCGGCGGAAGGCCGTTGAACGCATACCAAGATGCCTCTGCGGTGTGGGAGAAGCCAATCACCAACTTGTCCTTGACAGGGGAAGTCTCCTTGCTGCATGAATATCCACGAATTTCTGGGGCCCGAGCCCAGAATGCTCGCGGGTTCGGGCTTTAGGACGGGACCCGAACGAGAACGGACCATTGACAATGGCCTCTCCACGTAAAGTCCAGAGTTCTTGGCTGGCGACGCCCAGTTCCCCCCGTCCAACCAGCCTAACGGACGGAGAGTCGAAATATCCAGACATGACACCTTGGGAGTTAGAAGCTCGGGCGTCGGTGAACAAGAGCTGGCGAGTTGGCGGTGCATAATGGAGCTGCCCTCTTGGGAGAGCCCCGGTCTTGAAAGGGGGGAAAGGATGGAGGACCGATAACCGGTAACCGTCGCCTGAGAGGGAGGGAGAGGTCCCCTTATATAGCCAGCGACGACCACCCTACCTATCAAGCACGTAATAGCACGCAATCCTACAGGATTCTGTTCATTCGAGAGTCATAATCAGGTAGCTTATCTCTCTACGGCAGCGATGGCGTCCCGATACGTCGATACACTCCCAACCCCGGCTCACGTCGAACTAAAGAAGCTGATAGTGCTGAGCGCACCTAGGTGGGCCATCAACATACACACAGGAGTTTCAAGGGGGGCTGATGCCCCCAAGAACAGCCACTAATCGTGTGCTCGCCGTAGAACCGGGACGCACGGGCTTTACCTAGCCCTCAAGAAGCTAGGCTTCAAGCCTTACCACATGGTTGAAGTCATGAGGACCGGGCCGTCAGCCGTGCGGATTTTGAACGAGGGACTCGACGCCGAAATATTCCACCGGAGCAAGCCATGTAAGCCCGCGCAACACTACCGCCTCGAGAATACGTGGCATGCCTCTATACGGAAATACAACTAACGGAGGCCCGGAAAAGACGGTCGGGCGGAGTTCGACAAATGGTTCGCCAACTACGATGTGAGTTGTGCCTAACCACAAGCCCACCCGAGAGCTAGGCGATATCTGACACGACAGCTCGGCGGAGCGAGCGTACGCGCGCGATAGATCATCATCGAGATGCCCTTCTTCATGATCCACTCGGTGGTGCAGGCGTACCCGGACGCCAAGTTCCTGCTGACGGAGCGGGACCCCGACAAGTGGGCCAAGTCCTTCGTCAACACCATCGGCCAGATCACCGTGCAGTCGGGGAGGTTCCCCATGGCCGTGTTCAAGCACTTCGACGGCTTCGCCTCCGGCATGTCCGCCATAGGGAGCAAGATCTTGGGCTATTACACCAACGGCTACGGGTCCTCGCCCGAGGGCCAGCGCTTCCTCGCCGAGAACTACAAGAAGTAGTACGTTAATAAACTTTCTTTTCTTTACAAAAAAAGAAAAGAGAAAATGGCATCAGAACGAACATGCCCGCCTAGACCACCCTCTCTGCGCCGCGGCGAGACAGCTAACGGACAAACGAATGGACTGGACTGGCTGGCTGACATTTTTGCTGGGAACGGCGTAACAGCATCGCCGAAGTGAAGCGGATCGTCCCGCCGGAGCAGCTCAAGGTGTGCAAGCTCGAGGACGGGTTCGGGTGGGAGCAGGTGTGCCCGTACCTGGGCGTGCCGGTCCCGGACTTCGACTGGCCCTCGCGCAATGCGCCCGAGGAATTCTTCGAGATCACGGGCCCTAAGATGAAGGTGGCCTTCCTCAAGGGGCTGATCGGCACTACGTCCATCCTAGCGCCGCTCGTCGCCGCCGGCATCTGGTACCTGCGCCAGGGCAGGCCGTCCGTGTGAATTCGCGGCGGCGCTGGTGAGGGATGGGTCGAGCGCAGTAGTAGAATAGGCGCAGGAGAGCCGGCCCATCCCCCCTTCTTTCCGTATGGAGTGGCGAGGCTGGGTGGGAAAGGGACTGCCGAGCGGCAAAGCATATGTTGAGTTCGCTTATGATTCATGACCACCAAGTTCACGAGAGCGGCTACGCGCTGAGGATCGGACCGGGAGGGAAGAGCCCGGCTGCACGGAATCTATAAGTGTGCATAAAATATCTCGGCAGTAGAGTAAGACTTTCAGGGTACTTATATATACACACTGAAGAGGCAGAGAACATGCAAATCGGGGGTGACAATTCATTGCTTAGTCTAGTCATGACCCGGATGGTCCAGCATGCACTTGAATTTCAACGCCTACTTGTCATTAGTAGTGAGACAGACCGGGCTCAACGACCGATAGATGCTTACCTGAGACGCGGTGGCCCTGGTGTTAGTGTTGTACATCACCAACGCGGCAACGAGTTCGCGGAAATCCTCATCGACGTCTGGCAGGAGGTCCTCCCAGGCGCGCCCTGTAAACACCTGATACATGTCGAAGGGGGGGGTCCGGAAACTCTCGGCTTGGGGCCAGGATTCCCGGGTGGGGCTGCCGATCGTCTTGAAGATGCTGAGGATGAGGCCGAGCTGGTTGCCGTCCTCGTGGACGGCGCGGGACTCGAATAACGGCCGAGGCCAGGCACGGCAGCACTCGGCGAGCATGGCCCCGGCCGCCCACATGTCGACCGAGGCGCCGTACGACCTGTCACCGAAGAGCGCCTCAGGCGCGCGGTACGGACCGGTGCCTATGTCGAGGATCTTGCCGTCGCGGGGCTCCGACGACGTCGACAGCTCCGGGTGCCAGGCGGTCCCGAAATCTGAGAGGTAGGCGGGGCCGTCGGGCGATGCGAGCAGGAGCGCGGCGGGCTTGACGTCGCGATGTATTATGCCCTGCTGGTGGAGGTGGTCGAGGGCGTCGAAGAGGTCGGCGAATAGCTTCCGGATCCGGGGGCGCGGGATGGGGCCCTGCGCGGCGAGGCTCCCGAGGCTGAGGGGCAGGAAGGGGAACACGAGGACGAACCGCCGCTCGCGGTCCCGGAAGGTCTCCAGGAGCGGGATGCACGGCTTCTTCAGCAGCTTCAGGATCTTGGCCTCCCGGGTCGGATTGTGCGGCTCCGTGGGGCTCGTGTCGACGATGACTTTCAAGGCCACGGCGCCGGACCTGTAGACGTCGGCGGTGACACCACTGTCGACATAGCGACAGTCGTGGTAGTGGCCGATTGTTTTAGCGTCCGGCGACTCCGGGCGAATCTGACTAGCGGGGGGTGCCGGTGGCTCAAGCGAAGCCGCTGGCGCCGCGGGCGCCCCTAGGCTCAGTACCGCCTGGCATGCCTTTTCGTATTCTTCCTTGTCCTGCTGTTAGCGCTGGCGCGATGGTAGATGACGATATATAGGTAGGGGAGCTGCCGTACCCCAGGGCTATGGACGGGAAGACTGTGGGTATATATAGATGTCTAGCGCCCTAGCGGCATGTCCGAGGGTAACTTACACGTGATGCAGAGGCCTGGTATGCCTCGTTCTCGATTTCGAAGGCGGTCTTCTGCGAGGACAGATCCTGCGCATCCGATTTGTCCAGGGCAGCCTTTCTATGCAATACCATCAGGACATGATCAATTTGATTGCGGTAGCGGATAAAACCTACTGACCTTCTCGGCGAACTTACATGGCCTGGATAGTGTCGTAACGATCGGATGACGTGAGGGAAGCCTTCCAGTCGGCGTCGGGAGCCATGGCGACAGTCTCTCGGCCGGTCTCACCCGGGATCGTCTGGCTATCGGTGAGGCGTATATGCCAGTGAGTTTTGTTGAGTGCACCCGTGGCAGGAGGTAGATGGACAGGTAGGTAGTGAAGAGATCACGGGAGGGCGAGATCGGATGGGGTGTGCGTGAGATGTACGGTGGACCCAATAATCGATTGTTGCATATCTCGGGTCGAGGGAATACCCGCATAGAGCATCATCATTTGCTTGGGGATGCCGAGTTAGCATCGAATATCCCGCAGCCTCCGCTATGCGACGTGACGTAGGTGGGTGTCTCGTCGCAGTTCCAGTAGGGTGAGGTACCTGAGGCTAATGATGGCTATTTGCATAACATTAGCTTCTCTAGTCGCATAGGGAGCTCCTTAGCAGCCAAGAGGATGGACGCGTCGATTTCCACGACGTAACCCAGTCTCTAAGGGTTCATGGGAGGTGCCCGTCGCCACTTGGCGGGCCTCGTCACGGGCCGCCAATGCTTATAGCCCGACCGACAACAGGTGGAGCAGCCAAAAGAGGAATAGACGAGCCCGAGCTATCCACATACGTTAGGTACCTAACCTACTTGTAGTAATGGTTGGGGCCGACGCCCACGTTCGACTTTATGCCCTTTATGTACGGCCCTTACCTCGACGCCCTACCTTCACCTTCTATCCCCCCATCGCCTTCGCCATTATCGTCACGTCTTCTCAATCCCTCTATCCCCTTCACTTCCCTTCGCTTCCCGTCTCCTCCTAATGTACTAGTAAATAAATACCTAATTGCTTCCTGCTCCCCTCCTCTCCTTCGCCCCGTATTTATATGTCTCCCTTTCGCCCCTCTTCCGTATTTAGTCCTCCACCTCTACATGACCGCGCCCGCAACTACTAATCGCGATGGACGATCTCTCGAGAGCTGAGTATCCGGCCATGCTGGTACGCCTCCGCCTCCGTCTCCGCCTCCGCCGCCGAGTCTCCCCATCCATCCTGTTCCCCTCCCAACCCCCTTCTTGCTATGTCTGCACCATGCGCTCGCACACCGCTGACCCTGTCGAATTCTCCAGGCTAACCTCCAGCCGAACCAAGCTGTCCACGCGCTCAGCGACCGGGTCAAGCGCATATCCAAAGTCAACACCGAGATCGCCGATTGGTTGCAGGTATTGCTCACAATTTGCCTCACCCCCCTCCCCGTCCCGTAGCTAACCTCCTCCCCAGGAACGCCGCAAGGTCGAAGAACAGTATGTCCAGGCTTTGAGGAGGCTGGCCCAGTTCCGCGTCCCCAACACGCAGTCCGAACTCGGGTACGTACACTCAATCTCCCCTCGCGGTACGCCCGTCGCAATTTGCTCGTGGCGCGCTCCTGCTTCTGTGATGTTGACAAGTATTCCGTAAAGGACCTTCCAGGCCCAGTGGGATAAGATCCTACAGTCCGCCGACGCCATTGCCATGTCGCACCACGTCTTCGCTACCAAGATCGAGAAAGATGTCGAGGCGCCGTTGCGAATCTTCAATCAGAAGAAGGAAATGGCCAACATGCAGACCATCCAGAGCAACCTCCAGAACATGGCGAAAGAGCTGGAAGATGCCCAGGAGAGGTCTGACAAATTGAGCAGAAAGGGCGGGAAGGCCAGTGCCCATAAGGTCGATTTGGCAGCCGGAAAGCTAGAGTCGGCCACTCAACAATGGGAGTCTCAGGCGCCGTTCATCTTCGAAACCCTCCAGGCTCTGGATGAGAGTCGGATGAACCAGTTGCGTGACTGTCTTACCCAGTATGGCACCTACGAAGGGGAACGCGCGCAACAGCAGCAAGCCGAGGCCGAGACGGTGTTGAACAGCTTGCTAGACTACAGCACAGCGAGCGAGGTTCAGCACTTCGTGGCCAAGACGACGGCCGGTCGGCCCAAGATCGAGAAGCGAACACTTACGACGCGACAATCTTCCAGCTTCAGTACCGGGAATGCCTCGCTAGCGCTCCCCTCCAGCGCCACGATGCCAGCACCTGACGATCGTAGTGACCATTCCGTAGGGCAGTCCGAAAACAAACTCCGTAGTCGTATCGGCACCATGCTCGGCCGGAGACGACAGAGCATACACGGCGGATTCGGGCAGCTAACTCCCGCGAAGGGCCCCTTCGGAAGGAACATCAAGAGTAGCCATGGCGTGTCGCCCAGAGCTTCGTCAAGCAACCTCGGGGATTCGACAAACAGATTGGGATCATTGGTGGAAGATCCGGATACGGCGACAGACACTCCCTCGCGGGCATCTGAGACGAAGGAGAAGTCGAGCCATGACGGTACGAATGGTCTGGGTCGAGACGGCGATGCAGCACAGCCGTCGACGGCAGCTACGGCGTCGCAAGTCAACGGAACATCCATTCCTCCCGGTATCGCCGATGTTCCACCTCCGCCAGGCCCCCCGCCATCTCACAGGGAACCGGAAAAGGATGCAGATGGTTTCAACGTGCCGGCTCCGGCCAACGATCCCATCACGCAGGCAGAGAGGGAGGCTGCCGCTCACGAAGCGGAACAGCTATTCAAGCTCAACATCCAGAAAGAACCCGTAGCCGAAGAAGATCCAGAGGAGAAGAAGGCGGCCCTATCCAACGTTGCCAATAGCCTCTCCGCGATGGGGATGTCGGCGCGGAGGGCGGGCACGGTCAGAGGCCGGAGAGATGTGCGGAATACCATTTACGTACCGGCACCCGTTTCCGAAAGCTCCGCGGCCGACAACGCGCATCCCCTCCCGCCATCATCGCATGGTCTTACGTCTAGGTCTACCGGACTTAGTACTCTCGCCTCCGAATCTAGCTTCGCAGGTACCTCGGACACGCAGTCGATCCGGTCTGGCAACTCGCTAAGCAGCATTGTCCACGCCAAGCACCCCGAAATGCACGAGCCAGGTCTCAACTCTTCCGTCATGGAGACCATCTCGGCAACCTTTGAGCATGGCCAGGTCCAATCGGTAAAGGTGAACGGCGAGGTTGCCTTCTCCTACAACGCCACAATTACCCCTGCTTCGTCCTGTAAGTTTGGTAACTGTTCACATGACGGGACGAGAGAAACTAATGACCCAACAGCACACCTACCTATTCGTATCAACAACTTCCCGTCGCTCGAAGTCATCGGTCCTAATCGTATTTTCGTTACCAATGATACGCCCGAGCACCCAGATCAGTTTTCCTTGGATCTTTCACACATTCACAAGACAACGATTGGTTTCTCATACAGGTTACACATAGATCCGGCCGTGCCACCTGCGGAGCATGTGCCGATTCTCGTCTCCCCTGCATGGAAGCCTCAAGGTGACAAGTTAGGCCTGTTGCTGCAGTACAAGCCTAACCCTGCGTTCAAATTCTTCAACGCGGGTGTGCAGCTTCATAACCTAGTCCTCTTCGCCACCTACGAGGGCAAGGCGTCGGGCGCGCAAACCAAGCCTTCCGGAACGCATTTGAAGGACAAGCATCTTGTATACTGGCGCATTGGTGACATACACCTCACCCCGGACGCGGACTGGCAGAAGATCGTGTGCCGGATAATCGGTGACCAGGGTGTCGAACCAAAGCCGGGCACCATCGAAGCCCGATGGGAATTCAGCCCGCCCCCAGGAGCCGAGGGCGCGAACGCTATCTCGGTGTCGAGATTCGAGGAGACTAAGGGCAAGGAAGTCGAGCTCAGCGAAGACGACCCGTTCGCGGACGAGACCGCCACGGCCGACGAAGGCCGATGGGTAGACGTGCCCGTGATACGGAAGCAAATAAGCGGGAAGTACGAGGCGAAATAAGGGCGCAGGAGGAGTGCGCGCCGCCCAGGAGAGCAGTCAGGCTAGACCATACTAGCTCAGGGGGTGAACCGTACAGAGATACCGCAGGAAGAAGGAAGAACCGGAGAAGGGGGAGTTCTTTTGTATGTGTTGGAAACAGGACGAATGGTCAGCCAGAGAGGTCTACCCGATAGGGCGAGACTTTTGATTATGCACGACGCAGAATATTTTCTTCCCGGTTTTTTTTTCGCCATTCCGTTTGTAAGATCAGATTAGCGAGCTGTTCTTTCGAGGAAAGGAAAAATTCGAGGGCGGGGAGGATTTTATTGTCTTTGTTTTGTATAACTTCCTTTCTACATACCTCATTTCCTGTAGCTAACGGATTTTGCAACCGTCCGTCGTCCTCGTCCTCATCACCGTCGTTCGACGTCTCTCCTATGTCCCCCACCCCTTCTGTATGTAGGTATGCATGCATGGCCGCTCCCCAACACTTACTCTAGCGACAACATTTTACCCTGCACGGCGGCTACGTACTACTGGCGCTGCCGGTATGTAGTACTGTTGGATTCTGTTATACCAATTTACTACCCATGACTACGCCTCGCCTCGCCTCGTATGCAATGGTATCTCTATCGCGGTAGGCCGGCTACCTGGTGTGTTGTGTTTAGTACGCAGAGTGATGTTACGTCGTAGCGCCGGGGGAAGGGGGGGGGGGTTGAGGGGGATGAAGGCTCGAAGACTTGATATCTAGAGAATGTACGAGAACACAGGCGAGTCGCCGTCGATTCGAGCCTTGGGCAGGTTGTTAATTCAACACATCCATCACATTAGAGGGTAGCGGGAGGCTGGTCGTAGACACACACCTCCCCGCACTAGCCAGCCCCCCGGCGACGCCTCAGCCGTCCTCCCGCCCTCTGGATCGATTGACCCCGAACGTAGTCTATGGTACCAAGACTCCCCTCCCTCCCCCTTAATGAGCCAAGAGGCTGCCCCGCCCGCCGTGCATGCGTGCTAGACAAGAAAAATACTATCGCGTCGTACATATCGTGTCGCGTCGTGTGTAGATACAGGGCGAAAGGGAAAGAAAGGAAAAAAAAAACAAGAGCCAAGAAAGCGCCTATATCGCTTAGCCCTAGAATACACGATTAGCCACCTCCGGAGATATCTCTTTCTATTTCTCCCCCTCCCTCCGGCATCTGCATATTCGATTACGGCCGGGCCGCGACCCCTTACCGCGCAGCCGCGGGCGCGGCGGCGGCGGGCGGGCCGGCGCGGGTGTGCTCCTCGTAGAACTCGAGGGTGAGGGCGGCGAGGAAGCCGGGGATGCAGCCCTTGTCGCGGACCCAGAACTGGATCTGGTCGGCGATGCGGCGGGCGAAGGGGCTGTGGGGCCCGCCGGCGACCTTCATGGTGCCGCGCTCGCCGTCGAAGACGATGCTGCGCTCCTGGTCCTCCGCGCTCGCGCTCGCGCAGTACACGCTCTCCACCCGCATCTTGCCGCCCGGCAGGAACGTCACCGTCCACCCCAGCGTGCTGAAGATCGCCTCCTTGAACTCCCGCGACTTCGCCCCCCACACCTCCCGCAGCCGCCGCGCCGTCTTCTGCGCCGACGCCGTCTCCCGCTGCGCCTCCTCCACCTCCCGCCGCGCCGCCGCCAGCTGCGACGCCGGCACCACCGCCGCGCTGCCGCCCCCCCGAGCCCCCCCCCGCGGCTCCCGCTGCAGCTGCGCCAGCAGGTCCCGGTTCTCCTGCTTCAGCGCCGCCAGCGTCGCCGTCTTGACCGCCTCGAAGTCCGACGTCGGGTTCGACCGCAGCGACAGGATCCGCGTCTTGGTCGCCGCCTCGGCCGCCGCGAGGCGCGACTGGAGCACCTCGTGCTCCTTCTGCAGCACCTGGTGCTGCGTCTGCAACTTGGCCAGCTCGTCGGCCAGCTTGCGGCGTTTCCGGTTGAGCTCGCCGAGCTGCTCGCTCTCCGACTCGTCGGAGCGGCCGCGCTTGGAGCCCGTGGCGGGCTGCTGGCCGGGGTCGGCCGGCTCGGCGGCGGAGAGCTCCTTCTGGAGCGCCTGGACCTCCTCCTTGTACTGGTCGACGAGCCGCTCCAGCTCCGAGATGCGCGCCGCCTTGCTCTCGTCGAACTTCCCCGTGTCGAACGTCTCGTCCTCCGCGTCGAACGTCTTGAGCTGCGCGCGCAGATACTCGACCTCTTTCAGCGCGAGAGCGCGTTGCCGCTCGACTCGGGCTTGCGCCTTGCTCGACGACACGGGGGCCGGACTGGCCTTGAGCTTCTCGATTTGCGCATTCAGGTTCTTCCGGTCGCTCTCCAGCGACTTGATGATTTCGTCGCGTTCTACGATCTGGGGCTGCATCTCGCCGAGCCTCTCCAGCAGAGACGCCGAATTGTATCGTTCCTCGACGAGCGCACGGGCGACGGCCTCAGGGGAGTCGAATTCCATCATTCCCCCGTCCGCGCTAGCACGTTGGAGGTAAGCAGTCCAAGCCAGCCGCTCGTCTTCTAACCGTTGCCTCTGCACCCGGGCCTCGTTCAGCGCCGGCTCGAGGGCTTCGGCAGCCTCGAGCCTGCGTTGAAGCGATCGCTTCTCCTCCTCGACAATCTCGACGGCTTTGTATACTTGGCGGAGGTGGCTCAGTTCGGCGTGCTGCTTGGCATTTCGAGCTTCGAGGGATCGAATATGCTGAACTTGCTCGGTGAGTTCGCGGCGGATAATGGCGATGGTCTCGGCGTCGCCCGTCTGAGCCTTGAGGCGCAATACGTCCGCCTCCAACTCGCCGATAAGCTGGTCCTTCTCGGCAAGCTGTTGTTGGATAGTTTGCACCGATGATTCTCGCGCAGAGTTGTCTTGTTCGAGCTCTTGAATCGTCCGCCGGAGATTTGCAAGCTGGGTATCCACGTCGGTGGCCTTCTTCTGCGCCATCCTGTCTCCCTCTTCCTTGGCGGCGGACAAGTCCTCCAACTGCTCCTTGAGCAAACGGGCCTCGTCTTCAGCATCGCGTGCCTTCCTCTCCCATTCAAGCTTTTCTTTCGTCGAGGTCTCCTTCAATTCCTGCAATTCCCTCTGGATGTTATCGTATTGCCGTTGCGCCTTGCTCTTCTCGCCCTCGGCGGCTTGCTTCTGTTTGAAGTCGTCCTCGGCCTTACGTCGCACGTCGCGTAACTCGTTGTCGTGCTGCAGAGCCAGCATCTCCTTCTCCTGCTCGTAGCTCTCCATCTTGTAGCGCATCGTAGCAACCTCGGCCTTGAGCTCCTCGATCCTCCTGCGCTGCGTCTCGTACTCTTCGGCGTCGGGAGGGGCGAGGTTCTCCTTGGAACTTTCGCGCGACAACGCACGCTGGGAGCCGTCGGCCTCGTGGCTCTGTCGCGAAGAGTGCCTGGCATTAGGGGCCGTCGGCGCGTCTTCGGTGCCGGTGAAGAGATTGTAACTCGGCTGGGTTGCCTGCTGGAGGGATGTGCGAAACGAAGTCACCTACGCGCCGTAACTCAACATTGGGATCATAGATGACGAGTACATCTCGGGATCGGCTGTGGAGGCATCGGTTTACTTACCCTCGACCGCGAAGGCACACCGCTCCCGGTGCTTTGGCGAAATTGGCCCGTCATGATGCTGCGCCGACTGCCAGAACCCGGCGTATGGGCACCCATTGTGAAGGGCCTGGTGATGGTGTCGAGGGTGTTAGAGAGAGACAGCGGCCGTCGGGAGGAAGGGCGCTGCTGTGCTTGGCGTATATGTCTTACCGGTATGTAGGATGAGTGGATAGGCTGGTGTTGTTTTCTGTTGTTTCCGGCCGGCCCAGCAAGTCATGGAATGCCGCGAACGCCTACGTCGCTTTGTTTCGTGATTGGCCTAGCTAGTGCAGCGTTGTTGTCGCGTGGGAGGAGGCAGTAGGGGTGGCCCGACACCTGTCAACTATTTCCTGCCACCTGGCAAGACGTGTAGTCGCGAATATAGGTATCACGTGCCGAACCGCTAGGTACCCGTAAACACCGCCCCCACACCAGGTACCCACTCATCCTCTCTCATCACTTTTAAGGTTCGCATGCAGGCAGCTGCAGCACCTTTTCCCGAGGTATCTCCCGCCTCAGCGCCAGTCCGCGACATCGAAGACAATTTCGCAGCTACCAACGATAGCCGGCATCTCGAGGAGGGGAGGGGGGGGGTAGAAGAGCGCAAAAGGGAATGAGAAGATCTCGTTTAAAAATTTTTTCTCCTTTTTCCCTTTTTTTTTGAAGCAAGTAGGTAGATGAGTAGGTTGGTGGACCGCCCGGTATGCAGTAGAGAGAGGTACCTATACTTTCAGCAGGCCAGCGGTCAGCAGTGCTGCACGTACCGACGGTAACCCGCCCAGCAGTGCCGAGCCCTAAGACGGTACATCGATCTACGCGGACATCCCCAGTGGGCGGTGTACCCGTCCCCATAGAAGACCCGGGAACTGGCGCGAAGGTGACATGGCCATGCACACGTCGAGGGCTATGGCAGTGTATATATTAGGTACCTAGGTAGGTAGCTGTTGTGGGGGAGGCCAAGGTCGCAGGCTGGGGCACCTTTCTTTGCGGGCGCTGACGTTGCAAAGGCCTGGCTTGGCTGACAGAACCCTCTGCATCTTCTCCGTGGCCTGCATCTGGCCGCCCGCGCATCATCGGACTCCTTCATACCCGTACACCTCTACATACGCATGATAAGAGGGAGTGTTCCGCGGCGGGAAGAAGGAGACAGCTTCCACTACGCGGCCTGTGCTGACTTAGCAGGGCCTGATTCATCGACGTGAGACGTACACCCGTCCGTCTGCTGCCTATACTTCTAGGTATCTTCTGTCCACCTCCTCCTATCCTTTCACCCACTCTTGCTTCTTCTCCCTCTCCCTTCCCTGTGAAGCCGCCCTGCCTCTCCCTCTCTATCCCCTCCTCCCCGTCGGTGGACCGACGAGTTAGATCATGACACCTCGAGGTCTCGACGCATATGGATCCTCGCTTTCGGTAATCCATAGTATTGCGGCTTTTTGCTGCCGTTGACTCTAGAACTCCCTCCCTCTCTCCCCCTCCCAAACTACATAGCAATTCTCGTCGACTCTGCGTCGCAGCCCCATATTCTCTCTCGACCCTTCCGACTGCGTTCAAACGGCACCATCATGGTTGGACCCCCGATCCCTCCGACTCTCGGCGCTCTCTTAGCACCCGGGACGCGTGCTGTCGCTCCACGACGCCCAGTGGCTCCTCCGATGCGAGGCGCCGGGCTATACTCGAGACAGGCAATCCGACTGCAGTGCCGATCGCACCACGGCTCCCTCATAACTTCTCGACTCTCGCCCAGTGCCGGATTGCATCGCCGTCCTTTTACGTCCAGTACTCCGACGGCAGCGGGACTCGAGGGGGCTAAAGCCGCTCCCAAGAAGGAATCCGACTCAGATTCTACCGCGAGCACCGCGAGCACCGCGGGCACTCTAGATGGATCCCATCCGCAATCCCCCTCGCCCGCCACCGAATCGTCGGGGTTCGATTGGGAGGACCAGCCCAACTTTCAAATAAAGAAATTTACCGAACTGCCCTACACAAACTTCGGGGTGAACCAGCACATGATCATAAACCAAGAATTAAAGGAGGCTCTGCGTCAGCTGCTGTGGAGATTTCGTGCTCCGATTCGGTATGCCTTCGCGTACGGTTCCGGCGTCTTCCCCCAATCGACGGGCAGTACGGCAACCGAGGCCGAGGTAAAAGCCGTCCACCCAAGAGCGCCGCTAGCCGTCCAGAGGGCCCAGGATGGCTCGCCCAAGATGATCGACTTCATATTTGGCGTGTCCCACACCCAGCATTGGCATTCGTTGAACCTCATGCAGCATCGCGACCACTATTCCATGCTCGGGTCCTTGGGGTCGGCGGCGGTGACGGCGGTGCAAGATAAATGGGGAGCCGGTGTTTATTTCAACCCTTACGTCACCATCGACGGCATATTAATCAAGTATGGTGTCGTCAACATCAATACTCTGTGCAGAGATCTGGCCGAGTGGGACACCCTGTATGTTGCCGGTCGTTTGCACAAGCCGGTGAAGATCCTCCGAGACGATCCCAGAGTTCGCCTCGCCAATCAGATCAACCTCCTCTCGGCCCTGCGAACGGCTCTCCTACTTCTTCCTCCGACCTTCACCGAACAAGAGCTATATGCGACGATTGCCGGCATAAGCTACTTAGGAGACCCGCGGATGAGGTTTCCCACCGAGAATCCCAAAAAGGTTTCCAATATCGTCAACCACAACATGCTAAATTTCCGACGGCTTTACGCGCCTCTTGTCGAGGCTCTCCCCAACGTGGTGTATGATGACCCGGCCTGTAGCGATCCAGACTGGATCGAAAACGCGGGTTCCGTCTTGAAGCTCCAGCAAGACATGAATCCCATCAAACGTGGCAATATGGTGCGCCGTCTGCCCAAGGCCTTCCGCGCGAAGCTGTACTTCGAGTACCAGAAGAAATTCCAGATTCCTCAGCTCGAGTTCGACAAGATGATGGAGGAGAGCAAAAACGAGGACGCCAACTCGTTCAAGAGACAGCAGGGCGGCGGGTTCGAGCAGCGCATCGCGCAAGACGCGCCCGAATCCCTCCGGAGCCACGTCCGCGACGTCATCAAGAAGACGATCAACTGGCCGGGTACCACGCAAAGCATCAAGAGCTTCTTCACGGCCGGCGTCCGCCGAAGCGTCCGCTACCTGAGCGAAAAGGTTTCCAAGTACCGGGAGGGCGGCGGCGCCGAGAGGGACGACGAGAAGTTCCCTTAAGCTTCGCCCTTTCGTGCAAACCCAGCCGGGACTGTCTGGCCACACGCGTTCAACATCGCGCCGCCTTGAGCTACCAGGCCGAGCAATGTCCGTTCGAGGCTAGATGATTCTCACCATAATTTGTGTAATAATTACGGTCTATGCGAGCAGGCCCATTTTCTTCCCAAATTGGGGAGAAACATGACTTAATACAGAGGTATGAGAAAGGACTGCGGTTCGAGGCCGTCGACGTGACATGCGTCTCCGGAATCCAGGTTAAGATTTACGGTCAACGTCACGTCCCCTCATAATCCAAAAGGGGGAGGAGGGGAGGTTGGGTCATATTCAGCTTGGCCAGGTTAGAAGTCGGCGAGACGAGGACACGGCGAGCCTTCACCAGCTCGCACATACATGTTGAGGGAGGCATAAACCTTGTAGCACTCCATGCCAACCCCCCTATTGCGCAGGTCGCTGGGCAATTGCTCGCGGCGCAGTGGATATAGATGTACGTACGTGTATACAATATAGACGGCTACTACAGGTAGCGGCAGGAGTACCCGCCCAGAGGGAAAAAGGGGAGATAAAAAAAGGCGAAACAGCATGTTGAATCTAAACTACCCATTGCATAGTTCTCTAGTGATTGCGCGGGGAAGCGAGTTTCTCGTTGCGTACTCTCTATTTTCCCCCTTCCCATAATTAGGGGTAAGGGGATGCGAAATGATTTCACGGTGAGGGGGTTAATGCTTCGAGGAGAGAAAAAAAATAGAAGGAGGGAAAAAGTCGGGTAAGCTAGACTACGCAGCCAGGGCCTGGCTAATTGTTGATAAGGTTTGTCGACCGAGAATGGGAGAACGCATCACACGAAGGCACAACGCCTGGATCTTCGGATAGGCGCCAGCACTACCTGTGTGTTCATTACTCGTCTCCCCCGAACCCAGCCATACCGCTCATAGACAGTGCACCCGGCGAGCCGACTGGAGCAAGTACGCCACCCTTTTCAACCCTTTCCATCGCTCTACTGTCCCGGGTCCCACACCTCGCACTCCCGAGCCACGTCTGGGGCATCTAGGTAAGGGGGGCTAGCCGTTGACGACGACGCCGCCGTTGCAGTGGATGGTCTGGCCGCTGATAGCGGAGCTCGCTGGGGCGGCGAGGAAGACGACGCAGGCGGCGACCTCGGAGGGCTGGGCGGGACGGCCCATGGGGGAGGTAAAGTCGCGCTGGGCGGCGGCGGTCATGGTGGCGGGGACGAGGGGGATCCAGACGGGGCCGGGGGCGACGGCGTTGACGCGGACGCCGCGGCCGACGAACTGGTTGCTGAGGCCGCGCATGAAGGCGACGACGGCGCCCTTGCTCGCCGTGTAGTCCAGCAGGTCCGGCCGCCCCGTGTACGCGTTCACGCTCGCGTTGTTGACGACCGCGGACCCCCGCCCCATGTGCGGCAGCGCGTACTTGCTCAGGTAGAAGAACGGGTGGATGTTCGTGTCGAAGGTCCGCACCCACTGGTCCCTGCGGGAAGGGGGACGCGGAGGGTTAGAGGGGTGAGGTTGTGGACGACGCTGGTGTATAATATTACATATGCTTACTTACCTGTGCTTCTTTTTTGTATTGAGGGAAAAAAAGAACAGGAAAGAGCAGAAAGAAGGGGGCGCGGAGGGGAGAGGGAGGATTCGCGGCTTACTCGCTCAGGCTGTGGATGTCGTCGGTCATGTTCTGGTAGGCGGCGTTGTTGAAGAGGACGTCGATGCCGCCCGTCTGGCGTAGGGCCTGGTCGACGGCCTGCTTGCAGTTCTCGCGGCGGGAGAGGTCGGTGGCCATGAGCCAGCACCTGCGGCCGCGGGCCTCGACAATCTGCTTCGTCTCGCGGGCGTCCTTCTCCTCGTCGGGCAGGTAAACGAGGAAGGAGTCGGCGCCCTCCATGGCGAACAGGACGGCGGTGGCGCGGCCGATGCCCGAGTCGCCGCCCGTGATGAGCGCCTTCTTGCCGTCCAGCTTGCCGGCCGCCTTGTACCGCTGGTACCCGCCGCCCTCCGTCGGCAGCTTGTCGTACTGCGCCTGGAGCGGCATCTCGTGCTCCTTGCCCGGGAACTCCTGGTGGCTCACCGGGATGGCGTGACCTTCGCTCGCCGCACGACTTAGCAGAGGTCGGCGTTGTGGCCGTCGCCCGCACGCTGGTCCTTAACCGGGCTGAAGGGGGCTATGCTTGCCCTCTTTGAATTGCGATTCCGCCATGGTGGCCGGGTTGCAGCAGCTAATATGGAGAAGTGACGCTCGGTCCTGGATGGTGAGTTGTGACATGAACCGATTGTAGGGGTCCGGCGTGTATTGAAGGATATAGGGCCGACCTCTCCTCTATACGAACTGAGGCGGATTAGAGGCTAACATTCAGGGAGCAGGCTAGCTGTTATCTATGGTGGCTGTAGGATGAGACTACACCCCTCGTGCCTTTTGCACATGGCTATAGGAGGTAGGTAGGTGACGAGGATTGTGGAATCCACATCGCGACTACGAAAGCAGCACAAAAGCAGCACGAATCATGACATCACTGTCGCTGGTGACTGTCCGCGCTTTGCCTAGAGCCGGTTCTACACAGCTGCACTCATGATGACGACGTCACGGCGCAAACCGCCACCTCCTCTCTTCCTCACCAATGCCCACGTCATTAAACCAAGTGCATCCTCCCTATAGGTACGGAATATTACAAAAACCACCTGTCTATCTCAGATCACGAGAATTAATACCACGAGCGCCTACGAGCATCCTGCAGTCCTCCTGCCCAAAGTCTCTCATTAACGTGACCTTGCAGGTGCCCGGCCTGGTAGAGTCCGTCGCTGATGCGCGGAGAGCCTCTCCACCAAAGTAAACGCATTCGCATCATACAGGACGGAACCCCAGGCGCAGTTGGAACAGGGAACCAGGTACGTGGTGGCTCCTGAATCAATCGACGAAGAACTTCCTCCCCGTGGTGCGTCGAGTGCACGGGGCTCAGTTAGACGCCTGAACTCTCTGGCCGCGGCCTCGCGATCTGGGCGGCGTCTAACTCGGGACATGAAGCTATCGAGAAAGGCATCCTCCAGGGCCCCGCCATAGTTGCACCCAAATGGGTTTGTTTGGTCACGGGCTGCCAGCAGTAAGTCACTATGAGGCATGCCTACTCGCTACCACCAGTACCCCATAATTACAGCTCAAGCTGGGCTTTGGGTCTCGCGCTTCTCCTCTGTGGTATGCGGTAGCGCTAGCGATTTCACGTAAAGCCGTTGTCGCTGCTGCCGAAATAGGGGTAAGGGGGGCGGGATTCTGGGTATATTATGGGGGAATCCGCGGCATCATCCGGCTCGGACCGCGAAATTGGAGCCTCCCCGGGCCCTCTAAGCACTTGGGGGTAGCGATTGGCGTCCGTGGCTGTCCGGGGCGTTGACTGGGCCGTTTTTACCCCATTGCGACGTCCCGGGGAATAGGGGTTGGTACTCAAAGGTCGAAAGGGTTCTATATATATCTTGGTCAAAGCCACATCCAGACAATACCAAATAGTGATAAAAGAAAATACACAATTTCCCCTTATTAAAAATTTACGAATGAGATACTATTTTGATTTTTAACCAAGGAGCTTTAAAAATAAATCCTCCCGCCTTCGTCTTTGACGCTTGGAGGCATTGTTGTTATTGTGGGATAGTTAGATCGCTTTAGCGCTGCCATTTGGGTGCCTATCCGGCTTTGGTCCTTGTTCAGACCCAGTACTGGCTCTGGGATAGGTAGGCATCATTTCCTCGCTGTCACCTAACGCGAATCAGCTGCTTCGGAACGGGGAGGACGGGAGAGGGGGCAATGCCAGGTACCGGCTGATTGGTATCACGGAAACAGTCTCCGCTGAGGAATTCTTGGTTTTGTATTTCGCCTTCTGCAGGGCATACGTTATATTATCCATCACGAATATCGGTTATTCACGTGGCCCTATTCTCGGTTCTATTTACATGCCATTCAGCCTGTAGCAGCGGGAAGTTGCTGGCTCGACTTGTCCCAGTAGATCCGAACCGGTTTTCGGCCCCTATCAACCCGCTCTCCCGGAACTTCGGTGGGGTGGCCCGGCCGGTCCTGCAGCCGTCCGACGACGTCGTTTTAAGGCCATGTTACATCCCGGTTGCCGAGCCTCATATCTCTCTGTCTTAGACTAGCAACATGGCAATCTCGTGGCTCAGCCGGCGCGAAAAGGGGGATGAGACATACATTACCGTTTGCTGATACTACAATCCTACTTGGGTGCCAGTATTACCTCACGGACATGTGTATGAGGGGGAGCCTTCGGGGATTGCCTGGGGCGCACTGGCTGTCACAAGACTCGTCTCGATGGTCGATAACAGATAGCATTGCTGCTATTGCCGCATATAGCACCGATGGCACAGGAGGACAAGACGCTTCCGTTGGGAAGAAGGTCACTATAACTAATAATGTATCCTCACCCTGCGTCCAAAGTGAGGATGGTACCCTGTCGTTCGTCGGATCTGCTTGCTCGAGTTGCCGGTGTTGGTAACACGTCTTCGTGCATTTATCGCAGCCAAACCTTCTAGGAGCCCAGTCTGTCGCAAGGCCCCTATACCTTTTCGAGGTACGTAGAAAGGACAACTGCCTACGCCGATGCTGTGCCTTTCACGTTCTCGTTGGTAATATATACGCGTTGTCTAGGGGTAAGTCTGGGGTACAGAAATACGAGGACTCGATGTCAACGGGAAGACAAGGGTGTATTGAAGAGGACCTGTACAAGTAAGGTGTCACGGTTGCAATTATAAGCTACAGCTAGCTGATCCCCAGGGCGAAGGCAGTTTATTTGGGACATTCATGTTCGTACAATGCAGCTATCAATCAACATCCGTCATGCAAGCGATAAGACTGGCGCCCCAGAGATCCCTCGGAGATAATTAATGCACCCATTTTCCATCATAGCAGGCTACAAAGAGCCAACAAGCAAACACCTAGTCTACGCGCGGTTTCAAAAAGCAGTCCATCTCGATCTTTATCTCGACCCTGGTTCGCGCAAATACTCGTACATATCGCCTCCCGGTCACGAAAACGCCTGGCCACCATTAGGTTATTGGAGGGCTGAAGGTCTGATTTCACATTTCGCGACGGCTGCCACTCTCCTCGCCTAAACCATCGACCTCTCTCTTTCTCCTTCTGCCCTGGGGCGAAAAATAGGATGTGGATTCCGAGCCGTAACGCCGATGTCCCGATAACCGTGCAATGCATGACAACTCGAGGCTGCCGTTTATGATAAGGCGATGGCGCCCCGTCGGTCCTCGCGCATGTGTAACAGGCCTTGACAGCCGCAGAAGACCAGGAAAGCCTGGACGCAAACGACGCCGTTTGTTAGCTCCTGTAACCTCTCCTGACGCAAACGAGGACCCGTTGGCGTTTGCCCGAACGGCGAAGTAGGAGACGACTGAAGCAAGGGAGTCACGGGGGGGACGGGAGAACTCACCGCATATACAATCACCGCGGTAAACAGGGTGCCCGCGACCGCCTGGCCGTCCTTGGGATCTCCTGCGCCGCCCATAAATTCGTGGTGGTTGCGCGAGAAGAGGCCGCCGAGGATCGAGAGGATGATGATGGCGAAGACGGAGATGACGACGCTGGGGGTGACGAGGCGGCTGGTCAGCGAACTGGATTCGTCGAGGTATCCGTCGCGCGTTGGATGCGTCTGGCACGGGAGCAGAGGAGGGGGGACGAGGCTCACCAAGACCATGCTTGCATCGCACCCACGATAGGCTTCATGATGGGCGATTCGTTGGCCCGGCGGGCTCGATGGTGCTGGCGGATTTCGTTTGGTGATGCGAAGGTTAGCCGGCCTCTGTCCGCGGCCGGATGGTTCGTTTGGGGGTGCTTCGGGTCTGGTGGAGTTAGAGCGGTGATTGGAAGGCGTCTCTCTCTCTCTCTCTCGAGGATGATGTCGTTTGTTGTTGGCGTCGATTTGACGTGAGACGATCCACCACAACGCCAGGCCAGGCAGACCGGGCTCAGGTACAGCTGAGGCTGGAGCACGAACTTGGGGCTGGAATTGGGGCTGGAGTCTGATTACATAACAGAGTGGTGAAGTGACCAACATTACGAGTCACGTGTAATTATGCAGGTACTGTATGTAGGTATGCCTTACATATGTACATGCACAGTTGAACCCCACAAGTCCTAATATTCTGTTATCTACAACAAATTCATGCATTTGTTATCTGCAACATACTCATATTCATACTGCGATCTGCGGACAGCACTGCGAGCTCATCTTCTCTTTGCCCTGTTACGGCAGCGAGTTGCGACTTGTTCGATTAGACGCTGGAAGACAAGGTAATTCCGCGACTCCCAGTTGTCCGAGCAGCGACTATTCCACCGAGAAGTTTCATTTCGGCCATCGTAGAGGTTGGTTCATGCAGGTCCTCGAGAAAGCATATCGGTACTACTGCCTGCTTCCTCGCGCAACCGCAACAAGGAGCAAGCCAGCAGAAACGTCACGAAAGTAAGTCCGGCTGGACCGAGGCGGCGGCATCACACCGGTCAACCGAACTCCCTAATTGGTCGCCAGGGGAGTTTGGCTAGCCAAGGTAGGGCGACGCCACCGGTTGCCGGCATGCTGGCGGTCATACCAATGTATCGCGGAGGTTGGGCAAATGCGTAGCGCGAACAAGTTCACGTTGGGGGCGGGTATTATTTCGTATTGGCCTGGCTGAGGTGGAGATGCCATGGATGTCTCTTTACGAGGTCCTTGTGCTATGGCCCCCAACGGCTCTGCCACATTAGCCGGCAAATTACTACTGTGCGTGATCGGTTGAGTGGCTTGCGATCTGAGACGAAGCTATTGCGATGCAATTGCGACGCAACCTACGTACGTATGCGCTCGCCACCACCGCTCTGGGCTGCTGCTACCTAGTATGTACGTATGACGATACGCGGCTTTCGTCGTCTGCGAAGACGGGCGAGTGGAATTGACTTGCTTCGTCGACGACTTTATTGTGAAGGGCTGGCTCTTGGTTTGGTTGGAGTACACACCGTCTGTCGTCAGACGACGGGCTGCCTTGGTGTACCGTGTACCGTGTGCGCCTCTGTCAGGGTTCAGCCGTGGGGGGGCTTGAATCGCGGAGTCTCACCGCTGACGTACCTTGTAGGATGGGTCACGGTCGCTCTAGGGTGCGCAACAAGGCCAACAAACTGCTCTGATTCTGTCGGCTACGGTCGACGGGTTTCGTTTACGGGGTGTGACGACGATTGCAGTGAGCTGAGCTGGAGAAGAGGGCTCCTCCGCGTTGTCGACCAATGGGGCCGGATGCGCGTGTGTGCGACGAGTCGAGTTGACCAGCCAGCAAGAACAAAAGAACGCCAGAGCCGCCAGACGCCGACGATGGCCAGCCTGAGCCCTACCCGGACCGTCCAATGGCTATCTCGCTCCCGCCTGGTCCAACGAGATTCCTGGCTTTGGAATCTCCCATACCCCTAATGAGGATAGCCTCTAGGCGCGAGACCGCCAAGCGCACTCTGGTGGTTTGCGCCGGTCTTCCTTCCGACCCTCACGATCACTTCAAGCATGGCTGTGCACTTATTATTGTGTTATTCTTAGAACAACACTGTCGCACGTCCACACATGCGCACTTCCAGAAGCGCGGAACACCGGGCCAATACGGCGACACGGCCGAGGACGAGAGAGAGCACACGCCTAGAGTAGGTATATGTAGCCCCGCCCGTAAGCGCGGGCACAGGCGCCTCCGCCGTCGAGAGCTTATCGCGGGCTTGCACCGTAAGTTTGCACATACTCATATACATACATATAGCACTCGTACGTACGCGGTGTATGGACCAGTGGCGATTTTCAAAGCCCGAGTGACGATGACGCCGACGTGAGGGATAGCTTGGGTACGACGGTGATGTGATGGCAGCGGCTAGGCAACCAAACACACGATATCTACTCGATCTCCGGTGTCCACGCGAGGAAGCACCCAATCTCGCCCGGGGTGTTACAGATACAGGAGCGTGGGCGAAGTTTGGAATCATCGCAAACTCGATCTGGTAGACGGAATCACGGTCGACTAACAGATCTAGGGGGAAGGAGGGGAAGAAGAACTGCTGATTCAGGCAGCGATTGACAGATATAGAAAAAAGTTTCAGGTGTTTACGGGCATCGTCTCTGCTCCCGCCTCTGCGGATAAAGAGCTTGGCCTCCTTGGCGTCCCATGTGCTCCCTGTCGTCCGCGACAGCGCAGCCGGGCCAAGACCTGGGCTTTATTGGACAGCGATCTGCTTGCCCTCCGCCAAACCCTGCTTGTCTAAATTGATTCGTCGCGCAACCCCCTTCCGCCTCTGAACCAGCCTTGGGCGAGCCGTGATGGCTGCCCGCCACTGGACACCGGGGCTCCTAGCAAACCCCCCGTAGCAAATCTCTGCCGGACTCTGGACACTGTAGATCTCCATGTAGCCAACCGAAGAGCCGGCCAGCGCTTCTCCGCGTCGTTTTACCGACAGATAAGAGCAGGGCCGGCCTCGCTGGTTGGTTGTACAGAGGGCGGGAGCAGATGACGAGGTGATGAAAGTAAGTAAGTAGTAACACCCTGCCCGGCCGACGAGGGGACGAGGGGCAGAAGGTGTACGTACAAAGGTTGAACGAGTATAAAAACTGTATATTCTCGACCGGCAGCCTGCCGCCTCCTGGCCACTTTCTTTGATACTCGCCCTGGCTTTCGGCTTCCCGCAGATAAATACAAGCCACGATCAGTCTAATTCGAGTCGCCCACCAAGAACTACCTAATCCGTCGTGGGTTAGCAGCTACCTACACGTATACGCCTAGCCTCGCTATACTACTGCCGGAACACACATATAATAAGCTGACCGCCGCTCGTATCGACACGACCGACAGATCGATACACACATATACACATATATACACACGTGCACACACACACACACACGCTCTGCAACCGATATATGCACTGCAGCCCCTCATCAGTCGCTCGTTCAGCTCTATACCCCCCACAGCTTCACAAGATGCGTTTGTCTAGCATCATTTCCGTCTCTGCCATCGGCGTATCCGCCGTACTCGGCCAGACCAACGTCACCGTAAGCCCCTTCGCCCCTCCCCCCTTCTCCCCCACGCGCATCACGCCGCGTCCCATAGGTATACTACATATACGGGTAGCTAACTGGGCGGTTAGAACGTAGGTGAGGCGCCTATTACCACCCACAACCCCGAAGGAAAGTCTGCCATTGCCGCGCTGCCGGAGCAGCCGTTCTTCAAAGGAGGCCTCGACGGCAACGTCAAGGGCTTCATTTCCGTCAAGTCGGGTGCAAACGGCTACGGCGTCGACTACGAGGTCTTCTTCACAAACCTGCCCAAAGAGGGTGGTCCTTTCAGTATGTTTGTCCCTCCCTTTTACTCGAATACAAAACCACCCGACACAAGCACAGCACAAGCATAGCCCCCTTTTTTCCCCTCGTCCCCTTTCTCCACCTCGTGGGTCAACCTAGAACAAAACTAACCCCCCTTGTCTAGCTTACCACCTACACGTCGACCCTGTCCCGGCCGACGGGAACTGCACCAAGACGCTGGCCCACCTGGACGAGCTCGGGCGCGGCGAGGACCCTGTGTGCGACCCGGAGCGCCCGGCGACGTGCCAGCAGGGCGACCTGAGCGGCAAGTTCGGTAAGGTCACGTCAGACCCCTACTCGGCCAAGTTCCACGACCCGTACACGTCGCTTCTCGAGGGCGACGGCGCGTACTTTGCCAACCGCAGTTTCGTCTTCCACTTCGCGAACAAGACGCGCATCTCGTGCGCCAACTTCACCGTCATCAGCGGTGACACGAGCGCGCCGCCGCCGCTCCCCATCGTGCCCAACCCCAGCACCTCGGGCTCCGATTGCAACGCGTCACCTGCCCAATCCGTGCCCCTAGCCAGCACCCCAACCGGCAGCAGCAGCGTCATCAGCGCCCCTATCAGCACCGGCACCGCCACCCCCGTCCTCAGCAATGATAGCATCACCAGCACCAGCGCCGTGCCGACATCCACCCAGACTTTCGTCCCCGTCGCCGCCGCGATGGGGCCCCTCAGCGCCCTCAAGAGCTTGGCCATCGCCCCCGTCGTCGTCGGGCTGATGGCTCTGCTGTGAAAGGGAGAGGGGGCAAAAGGAAGGGGAAATCACGCGCGAGCATATGTGAATTCCTAGGTGCCTAAGACCGCTTCAAACGGAATCGGGGAAAAAACGGAAAAGGAAACAAACGTTGCATGATTGACGTGGTCCGGCAGCGGCGTTTAAGGCGTAGCAATACCATACTGGGTGGGCTGGGCCACCGCAGCTCCCTCTCCCTCGAATTCTCGGACGATACACAACCAACAAACCCTTAATAACGCCGTCTTCATCGGTAGCCAACAGAAATAAATGTGAGATGATGGGGGGCCACGGCCGGAGTGATATTAGGTACTGGCGGCGGCGGCGGTCTCGCGCTATTTAAGTGGCACTGGCTGGCGGGCAAGCCTTGCTGGGGGGAGACAGGGAGGGGGGGGGAGAACGGATTCGGTCATTTAATCCCGCTTAACTTTTGTAATTCTCTGCACTTTTACTCATCTTCGCTTCTTGTCTATTCTTATTCTAATACGATGCCTTTCGTTATTCTCTTCTACTCATGCGCCCATCCCCGCGGAGCCGGGGCGTTGGTGACAGCCAAGAGTCTAGACAATTCCCGTCCAAGTGTCCGATTGTAGGTCCTGTGCAATTCTGAGAGAGCCTGGCGCAATTTCACGAAGCCCGCCTACCCGGGCGTGTCAAAAAAATACGATGCTTCGGGAAATATATGCAAGCCTAGATACGCAAGTCAAGTAAGCCAACTCGGGCAAATCAACTTGTTGACCCGCCGTTTGCCAAGGGGTGTCAAGATAAGAGCGGGCGCGGGCGGGAATGACAAGATCCCTCTATTTGCTACGTAGTCGATCCCCCCCCCTCCTCGCGGAACGATCTATCGAGCCTCCAATTCCGAGACACGAAGGCCATTACTGTACTAAATAGACGATCCCCGGCCCTCTCAAGCCTCATTAGAGGCCGCCCACCAAGAAATTCCTCGCAGGCTGGCAATAGTGCCGAGCCTGAAAAGATGGGGGCTCCTCTGGGTAGCTCTGGTGGGTATTCTATCGATCCCGGAATACGGGGCGGTGCGGATGCTTACTTTTCTTCTCTCTTTCCCTCCCTAGGCAGCAGAGCAGCTAAAGACGGGCCACCGCCAGTCACGCCGCCGCCCCTACGTAGTTTATCTGATCCGCGCATCCCATGATAGCGAATAGCTCATACGGATGTGCGCTGCTGGGCTCCATGTGAGCTTGTCGATCTCCTCTCCCCTGGCACGCCCGCTCCCCACCTGAACTGGGAAGCGGGATCTACTCGGCAGCATCGACGCCCATCACGTCGAGAAATTAGGGTCACGGGAGGATCCACGCTGTCTCTCCCTCCCTCCCTTCTCCAACTCCTCTCTGACGCCCTGGAGCCGGAGACAGCTCCGACCGGCCGTAGGCGAGCCGGGCCAGAGGTGGACATTCGGTCCGAAGTTCACGGACGGTGTCTTCGATACCTCGGGTCGTGCTGGTTTTCTTTTTTCCCCTTCTAGTTTATTTCCTCGCGAGGTCGTATTAGGGAAGCTGTTTCAGCTCTCATCGAGCGCCCAGGATATCCTATTGGCCTCTCGGGACGTTTGAGAAGCGGCGGATGGATAGGTTCCTAGCTAGCGAGCAACGATTCGCCCTAGAAGTGACCACCGCGGAGGCGCAGGACGGCCACAGTCGGATGGCCTCACCAGAGAGAGACCCTGATCAAGGGTCCTGGACCGACCTATCACCGTAGGTATATCACTCATACGGCCCAGAACCTCGCCACCAATCTCTGCGGTGGTCTGATTTACCCTGCTATTCTCCGTCCCGTACACTATCGTAGGGAGCAACAGGGGGAGAAAAAGGAACCTGTAGGACACATCCCCAGCCTGGATGCCGAATCAGTAATATGAGAGAGCAGCCAATGTCTGCTCGTTAGGGCTGATGATCTACAAGCTACTTTACCTTGTGATCGGTCACAGGAGTCCATGTCTCTCCCGCTCTTCCACTCACTCCCGCAATGGCTTACCCGGTTACGACCCCAGAGTGCAGAATCGGCCTTGTCTTTGATGTTTTAGAATGTGGCTTAATACTTATCGAGTCGTTGGAGCCTAACCCTTCGATTCGTCGCCCTCTGTAGATATCTAAGCGCTGCGATTCCGAGGTGACACCTCAAGATTGGTCCCCCCCCCGCCAGTAGCGACAACTGAGTCTGTGAAGCGAAGCAATTATCGAGTGACCGACTACGAGAGTTGATCATATCCAATTTCAATTTCTCTGCCGGTGTGAAAGGCTAATTTGGCTCTCGTGCAGGTATGAGGATTCTCGAACCACTTCTTGATAACTTGGAGAGAAGAGGGGTGGCCAAGCTATATTGCAATTGTCACATTGTCATTTCGACACCGGTATTTATTGTCTTGTTCACTGGAAGTCTACATGGTTACCCCCCCCCCCCTCTCTCCCTCTCTCCCTTGCACCGTTGCTTCTTCCGGCGTGCCGGGCTCTCAGCATGTATGTGTGAACGCTGGCCATATTGTCGTTTGCTCTCCTGGCCGTCCCCAGAGACTAATATTGATGCTACGTAGCAGAAAACGGCATACGTACATGTAGGTTATATCTGATGAAAAGCAGCACGCTCATACGGGACCGGCTTCCCCAACGCACGGCCCCCCGTTCGGGGGCGAGGCATAAGGCAATAATATACCGTGACGATGCTCAAAGCAGTTATGGGTGGCGCCCTTGGGTATGCTACCTGGGAGACCGAGCGTGTGCCCTCACCTGAAAAGCATATGCCTCGAAGCAAAGTGCATACGGTACACATCGTATTATTGGTACCGAGGTGTGGATAACGCGACGTCGATGAGGCTTTGCGCCATTCCGTCTGAGGAGATATTGAGCCGGGCGTTACGTCCGGCGTGTCCCTCGACGATAGACCTCCGAAGGTGGCTGCTCGTTCACCAGGAACGTTCCTAAAACGGATGTGACTTTGCCAGTCCCGACCTGTTCTTGGTATCGCTCACCCGAAAACGGTAGATCCTCGAGATCTTACATATGTTGTGCCTGCCAAGACCAACTGGGCTTTTCGGGTACACAGATCTGGTGCGGATGCAGCCCGACTTCTAAGGGTCCAGTCCGTTCCCCTTACATACATACGTACGTCGCCACGGGATGGTGTCCCAGGCTTCCCAGCCCTTCAAGGATGCAGGAGATCTGACCCTACCGCGTGCGCGCGCGATGGGAGCCGGGGTAAGCTGAGGAGGAAGAGGAGGAGGAGGGGTACCTTTGCACGTTCTCAGGTCGCGGCTGAGGTTTCGAGAGGGCCAGGGGTGTGGCATCACTACTTGGGTATCTCGCCCCCAATCAGGTCGGCGGACTGAAAGCTGAGGGCGAGGGGGGCCGAGGGATAGAGCTACATGTAGGTATATCGCCGAAGGAGTTCGGACGTTTACACCAGGGGAGGGAGTAGGAGGGAGTGACGGGCTGGTAGGGGATTCGTAGCCTGGCAATGCGCCCTAGCTGAGTTGCCTGAGCCTTAACCGACATGATTATACCCACGCAGCCTATAGGTACTCTAGCGATCGACAGATCTCCAAAGATGCAGAAGGCCAGCCTTGTCGTGCTATCTTCCTAAGCAGCATGGCCCCGGTTCTCGAGCGGGAGGCCTATGTAAGTCGGTTCCAGCGTTCATCCAGCAGCTGAGGGATGATGTCAGCTAGCATAGCGGCGGACAAGAGAACCAGGATACGACTCGGGGTCTTCTCCTCTGACCTGTGCGAGTTCGCAGCGACAGATCTTCGGGGACCTTCGGGGTTCTTCTGCACTTTCCAGCGCTTCCGAAGAGGTCCACTATAGCACAGCATAGGGGACACAAGTGCACCTATCTCGTATCTCTGGTCACCTCGAGTCTCTTGGGGTTGTAAGGATTTGTGGCTCAGAGCGCTGCCGTGTTCTACGAGGAGGCAAATGCGAGATGCAATCCGTTTGCTTAGCAGAGCAGCTGTTCCATCGCAGCTGATCGATGCAACACACCTGCAGGGCACATCAAAGCTAAGCTTCCTGACAACGAGTGTAACTCAGCCACACATGCCTCGATTCGCCCGAAGCCATTGATTCACTCGTCCGCCTGTCACGACGCTAGTACGTCCAAGTCGATGGAGACAAAAGAAACAAAACCAAAAAAAACCAAACCGGTGAGGCTTGTGGAGAGAGAGACACACAGACAGGGAGAGAGAGGGGGAGGGGGGGGGGGGCAAGGTCATGCGTGACCCGACGGCTTTTTCACTAAAAGTAATGCAACTCTTCGGAACTCGAAACGGACGAAATGTTTGAATCTCAGATTGCGATAGGCACTGATGGCTCTCGTGGTCATAGCTGGCTCAAGCGGAGTTGCTGTATGCCCCTGTTATTGGCCCAGGGCTAGGGGTATGAACTCGAGCCTCGTGGGCAAATATTGCCAAGGGCTTTGTATTATACAGCTATCGAGTTCGGGGGGGGAGGGAAGGGTTGCATGACCTGGGATTCTGAGAATGGGTAAACCCCCTAAAAGAGACTGCGAAGGGAAGAGACGCTCCAATAACTGCCAACTGACTGGGTTGGGCGTCCCTGGACTCTCGAATCCGCGGGAACCCCCTCGCATGACTCGCTCTCTTTGTCAGCAATGAAACCCGGCCGGGAAGGTGAAGTAATTAATAACACCGTCTGCTAAGTCGATCTTCTGGCCTTGGCGGATCCTTAGCAATGGGGCCTGTCCGTGATGAAGTCGCCGCAAAAATTCTACCTACTACGACAACCCTGACTTACACATCCTCTCGCCGGGTTCCACGAACAACTTCCTCTCCCGCTGCCGGGGAGCTCAGAGGCGCAAGCGTATCTGTTGAACGTCCCCCCCCCCACCTGTCCCTCTCCGGTAAGCGCCCCCATAAGATTCTAGCTGCTCGAGGCGGGATGTAGCAGTGGCAGTGAGACCACACACGGGTCGGCGGCGGCGGCGGTGGTGCGGGCCTCCCTCGAAGATGTGTGCTCGCTTGCTGGCTCGCTCGCTCGCTCGCTTGGTCTAGACGCAGTGACTTGCAGAAAGGTTGTGCCCATATGACGCACACCCTCATGTCCTGAGGTCGCCGACCATTTTCTCACAAGCAGCAGGGATCGACTTCTCTAGACGACTACGTACCTCGGATACTCCCTCAACTCGTACTGGGGTTGGGATCGATGGGCTGTCTATGGGTCAATACGCGGCATAGTCGATGACAGCTGCAGCCAACCCGCCTGAAGTACGGAGGGCTCGCAGCTCTTGGCCGCATTTTCGCGGCAAACTCATCCCACCCCCTTGTGGCGATTGGGGACCGAGTGTGTGCGTCCAGATACCGAAGCCGTTGCAATCGTCTTCTCCCCGCAATGCTTGCCTGAGGGAGGCCCGAAAGAGGCCCCCCGTCGACCTATCTAAGCTCGCGAAGGGCGGCAGTCCACTAGGCCTCTGCCAAATAGGATGGCTCCCCTATCTGAATCCATGTCTTACATGACCCTTGCAAGTCGTAATAGCGTCCGCATACTGCCCACGCCTCTGCCGTGATCGGTTGGGGCGTGCCTAGTCCTGTGCTGCCCAGAGAGAGCCTCCTCGGTACAATGATGAGGTCAATTTGGACATCGCTCCAACCTCGAAGTTGTTTCCCATCGTCGTCGGACAGCAATTTGAATAGCAGTCTTACCGAGTACACCGTCGACCTGAGATGCGCAACAAACTGCATAGTTCGCCCGATGTCTTCCAATCATGCCGTATTTGCTGTCCCTCTCTCTCTCACCCCCCTTGCAGCTGACACACGCGTCTCTTAATCTGATTAAAGTGTGTGAGGGTTCACTAGCGTACGTCAACCGTCTCCGAAAACCTCGTGTAGAAAAGTAAGCTTCGAGCTATTCTCCTCCCGCTCTCGCTTCTAGTCGGAAATTTTCCAGCAACCCACAACCTACTACCCGGCGGGACGGATGTTTTCGATCAGCAAGAGAAAAAAAAAATCCCGGTACGTATTGGCGTCGTTTCTCCGAAACGGGAAGAGCCCAGGTGTGTCAGACCGATCGAGGATCCAATAGTCTCCCTACCGAGCCCTCATTATCAGATGCCTGGGAGGTATCCCTGAGGGAACCGTCTCCAGCTACAATGTATCAGTAGATCGCAGTCTATAGCGTACGGTGTGCTGCGCCTACTCTTTCCTTATCGACTCGCCAAGATGCCTGTACGGTCATACGCTTCGTGCTAGGCTCTTCCAGCTTCCAGCATGTCGACACGACCAATGGTCGACACTGAATGACTCTCGCACACCACGCCACTACGTCGTTGCTGACCCGTACCGGCAAGAAGATGTAGGGCGGGTATCACCCCACGTCCTTCCCCGTGCTTTCCGATTTGGATTCCGAGTGTAGCGAGAGAAAGGGGGGAGGGAGAGAAGAGAGAGAGGAGGGGGGGGGAGGGGGGTGGAAGAGGGGGGCCGAGACTCGAGTATAAGACCCTCGACTGGATCCAAGATGGCAGGAAGAGAGGACACTCCAAAGGGCGCCACATACGAGATCATTCCTAACATAAGAATCACTCTTGACCATCTTAACCTTTAGTGGCTAAGGGGCTGAGGCGTGTAGTCCTTCTTGGGCCAGAGATCTTCGTAAAGAAGCCGTCCCCCTTTTCTCATCTCTCATCCCCACTAAGGGTCTTCGAGGAACACACACAAGTTCTGAGAAACCAATGTCACCGATATCACTACCCAGGATGTCGAAAGGGTATAACAGCGACGTGGAGGCTCTGCGCCAAAAGGAATATCCACACATGAATGATGGTATGTCCCTCCCTACCTAGTCAGACTTACCCGTCCTCTCACTCATACGGAGAAATAGGGGTCTATCTAGACCACAGCGGAGCGACCATCTACGCGAAATCCACCATCGACTCGTTCTGTGCGAAGATGGTAACCAACCTATACGGCAACCCACACTCGGAGAACTCTCCTGCGAAGCTCTCGGGAGAGGTCGTCGACGAGGTTCGGGAAAAGACGCTCAGGTTCCTCGGAGCAGACCCCGAGCACTTCGACCTGATCTTCGTAGCAAACGCCACTGCTGCTATCAAGCTCGTCGCAGACTCGTTCAGAGACCTGTCGGAGAAGACCAGCGACCAGAGGTTCTGGTACGGCTACCATAAAGACGCGCACACGAGCATTGTGGGCGTGAGGGAGTTGACATACGGGCAATCCTACTGCTTCCGGAGCGATCTAGAAGTCGAGAGATGGCTTCGTTCGCCTGACGCGGGCTTCGTCAACCGCTACCGCCCCAACGGCCTCGGCCTGTTTGCCTACCCCGGACAGTCCAACATGTCTGGTAGACGACTGCCGCTGACGTGGCCAGCAGCCATACGGCAGTCTGAGTATCTGCAGGGCACCTATACCCTCCTCGATGCCGCGGCGTTGGCCATGACATTCCCCATGGAAAATGTCTTCCAAGACGTGGACCGGGCGCCCGACTTCACCTGCCTGTCCCTGTACAAGATCTTTGGGTTCCCGGACGTCGGGGCGCTGGTTGTCCGGCGAGAATCGGGACACATCCTCACTCTGAGGAAGTACTTTGGCGGCGGAACCGTGTCGATGGTGGCGACGTTCGGCAAGAACTGGCACCGGTCGAAGGGCCTCCAGGCGCCCACCTACAAGCTCCACGAGGGCCTCGAGGACGGCACGCTCCCGTTCCACAGCATTCTCGCCCTCGGGGAGGCCATCGACGTGCACAGGAAGCTCTACGGCTCGATGAGCAGGATCTCGGACCACACGTCCTACCTCGTCGCCCGACTGTACCGGGGCCTGAGCGATCTGCGCCACGCCAACGGCCGCCCGGTCTGCCGCGTCTACAACGAGAACGGAGACTTTGAGGACTCGTCGAAGCAGGGCTCCGCGATCGCCTTCAACGTGTTGCGGGCGAACGGGCACCACGTCCCGTACTCTGACGTCGAACGCTCGGCGAACGACGCCAAGATCTACATAAGATCCGGGGGTACATTGTTTCAGAAGCTCTCACCCCCCCCCTTTCCCCCCCCTTCCCCTTTAAGCCCTGGGTGACTCGCCGGCGACGTTGGCTAATTTCTGTAACTAGGGGTCTGCAATCCTGGCGGCATTTTCACTGCCCTCGGTTACGAGCCGTGGATGATGGAGCGCGCGCTCTCCGCGGGACATCACTGCGGCTCGCATGGCATAAGCATCATCCACGGGCTTCCTACAGGGTACTTGACACCCGATGTTCTCCTTCTCCCCCCCCCCCTCCCCCTTTTTTCTAGTGTGCGCATAATTCATGCCCGTAACGCCTGGATACTGACGCGGAGATGGTGCAGGATCGTTCGAGCAAGCCTCGGGGCCATGTCGACGAAGCAAGATGTCGACACGTTGGTGGACTTCTTGCGCGCGGCGTTCGTCGAAAAGGAGCCGGACTGGGCGTCTACTCGGACGCTGGTCGAGGCCCCGCCCGCCGAGCGCTTCTCGCTGGATCTCCCCGGCAACTACACGACGAGCAGCTTTCCCGACGTGCGAGAGGTCCCGCGCCCCCGTCCGATGCTGCACCAGTTCTCCGCGGCCCCCGAAGCTACGCCGAGGGTCGCGCCGTTCGCGATGCACGACTTCATCCACGGGCTTGCCGCCGTGAAGTAGGCTTACAGGAATTATCGGCCCTCGGCGAACACTCGTGCTACGGTAGATTGTATTGAGAAGAAGCAACAGGGTTTTCCTTCTCCTACTTTTTCCCAGTGTATGTGACTCTTGGTTAATACGGCATTGGAGCAAAGGGGCGATTTCAACTCGTCCGCGATGAGTACGAAGGGTCACACATTCGATCCTCAGTTAGTTAACTTGGCTATTGGCGGGATGGCGGGAACAGTCTCGTTTTGGGCAAGTCGGGGCAATGTCTCTCATGTCTTTCCTTCTACCTAGGCTCGGAGTTGGCTTTTGCGCTGCAATTCCGGAGGAGATACACCCTATAGTAATTTGGCATTATGTTGGAAATATAAAAAAGTCTTTAGTAAAGTGAAGAATGCCCTTCACATGTGGTATAACATCTCCGAGTGTCTTCTTGCCCCTGCCCCTTTTTTTTCGATCCTCGACCTTATCGCCACCAACGCCCGGCCCGCGACCCCGCTGAGCCGCTTATATGACTGCAGACAACATCGCAAGTATCCCCAGCTAAGAGTTGCCCTAGGAGTAGGGTAATGGTGCTCTCTGTAGATCCCTCGCCCAGAACTCTGACAAATTTTCTCCGATGTCTGTCAGCCTGTCAGCTCGTCCGTTCCAACACCCCCCCTTCCCCCCCCATCTTACCTGTATGACAAAATCCTCTTAATAGGTTATATTAATACGATCGGAGAGTGTTTATCGCGTTGTGGCGGGCCTTATGTCAGATCTTAAGCGTCCTGTCCCGAAACCCAATAGATTTACACCATCCGTCCCCATTTCCGTACTGCCGGCGTAACGCTTTGCAGTGGATATGCGCACCCCGCGAAAGGAGTTGGATTTTTAAATTATTTTTCTCGTGATTGCGACGTGGGCAAGGCCCGCATCTACGCGAGTCATCCGTACCTCCATCCTTTCTCCGTTCGGGAAGGATGTATGTATGTGCGTGCGAGGGTATGTTATGCATTAGGGCCCAAGATGAGAGGCAAGAATCGGGCTTGTGATGTGGCACGTTTTCTGACGGCAGCCTCGCAACCCCCTTTTTCTTCTCCTCGGCATACCTACAATCCACCCCTTACGCCTAGATAGAAGCCTCTCCCCTATACCTTTATGAAAGGCGGTTCTAGATAGCCGCCAGCTCTCGGAAGGTTGAGTTGGGAATGCACAACATAAACATGCAGTAAGAGAGTTGTGAGAGTTATAGTGACTCGTTTTTCTCCGAGTGCTTGGCGGCTCCTCGGGCCACTGGAAGAGCTGCCCCTCTCTGTAACGTAACCGACAGCGTCTCCGGTATGGTACAGCATTGCCTAGCATCTGGTTTACGATTGCTCCCGTCTACGTGGCATATCTCGCATCTCACGTTTAGGCGCAGTCGTCTCGTCGAATGAGGAGCGGCCTCGTCATCGGATTACTGTATTCGTGACCATTGTGGCATTCTGTCAATAAACGACCGTGTCTTGTGACTGGGTTTCGCAGAGTGACACGAAGAGGGTTGGCTGCTCGCAAGTTCACCGCGCATTGCAGGGCCAAGTATGCCTTGACAGATCCAAAGCAGCAATTGAGGGGCGGGCTTGATCATGAACTGAATCGCCGCGGGGCAGACCAGCTGGGGTAGCACCGAGATTGTTGCTGTCCTCGCATGCCGTTGAAAAGCCGATGTGACGATACACCGTTGAAATGGCTAGTTACCCGGCCATGTGAAGGGAAAAAAAAAAGGAATACACTGTAGTAGTGAGCTTGATTGAGCCCTCAGGTGGTGGTCCCTTAGTTCACACTGCATTATGCGGTTTATTCCTCGGAGTTGTGACCCATGGGACGGGCATCTCTGGTTCGACTCGCTTCTTCATTTGATGAAAACGTGCCACTATGCCTCTTGAGAGGAGACAGTATCATCATGAGCCGTGAGTGCCCTCAGAGTCTCACCACGAACTACCTACCGCAGGGGGCACCATTGCTACCCGACCCATTTATTGACGTATACGTAGTTGCACCCAGACATTATAACTCGCCATTATTTACAATAACGTGACCTCGGTGTTGTTATTACCCAGCTCGGTGCCATAACTGGTTACATGAGTAAGTTGAGGCTCTTCAACATGCAACTAGTAGATGATCCTGGGTAAATGAGGACTTGTTTGGTACTCCCTGTCGAAAGATGGCTTCACGAGCTTGGGGATATAGCATGGGTTGAACGCCTATACGAAACTTCGGCAGCAGTTATCTAATATCAATGTCATTTTGGGCATCTCATTTACGAACCCTCTAGGCAGTTGCTATGTACGGGGAAAATATACAACAGCGCGGGTGCGACACATCCTCAGACGACCGGGTAAAGTCTCTTGGTAGTCGATATCGGCGGCTCGCACGAGATCAAGTCATATATTACCTAAAATGCAATATAAAGTGAGAAAACCCATGCGCCCAAGTCATCTCATATACGCGAAAATAGTAGACTTTCTCTCTCTTATAAGTTGACCGTTTCTCGAGTCCTTTTTGTGTCACCACTTTCACGCAACGCTTCCAGAATCGTATCCTAGGGTTCAGTAGCCCAAGTATAGTCATACAATGCCTTTCTCGACTTGGACATTGGCGCCGAAGCTAGATTTTCGAGGTAGGTGTTATAATGATACTGTGTTTAGTTCCGCTTGCACAGGTAGTTATGGTGGCATTGGTGCATGGACATCACGCGCATGGGCAATCTGTCGCGAAGACCTGCGGCCGTCAGTCCCATTACAAAACACGAAGCACAAATATACTCCTCTAGAGATTCCGTGAACCTTTCTATGCCTAGTAGAAAACAAGGCCGTTTCAACCTATATCTCACTCCATGCCTAGCTGTCTGTGTCCGCCACTAGCCCTTCCCACCCGCGAACCTTACCACCCTTCACGATTTGAGATCGAACCTATCAATATTCAGGAGGCCTATCTACTAGTAGCTACGATTATACATGCGACTTACCCGCTACCGGACGTTGGCTACGCGCTCAATTCCTTCTCGTCCCATTTTCACCCCGTCTTGTTTCCATGATTCGGGTGTTGTGGTCGTAGAAAAGTCCTTGTAGTAGCATAGAGAAACACCTTTAGACTTAATAAAAACCCCCTATAGGGTTATCTAAGACAGCTATAGCTATCACTTGTAGGCAGAGTGAGACCTGCATTTCTTGATAGCGTTGTGTGTGTAACCTGAATGCCACCTGATAGGTAATTATAATCATCATCGCTTCTTATAACTAAGGAGAGAAGCTGCCTCGGAAGGACAAACCAGGGCCACGCTGTGTGTAAATCGTCATACGGACCCCGGTAGACGACGTGTATATTGATTAAAGTCGGAGTTTGCTATTGTCCCACGGGAGAGCGTGGAGAGAAATCCTGTAGGAGGCGAGCTATCTTGTCTCATTACATTGTTTCAAGCATCTCGTACAGCCGAGTCCTGGCAGATCGCACTGCATTGTATGTCCACGTAGGGCTACCCACCGGCCTAGAAATGTCGACGGAGGCTCCAGACAGGTTGGCTGTCGCACGGGAAGCTAGGAATACACCCAAGCCCTGCTTAACCAAATAAGGAAATGTAGACGTCTACGCTCCCCTGCGACATTCGATTAGGTACATAGAGTAGGTAAGACACAAGTTAAACGGATCTTGCTGTTCCCAAGTTGGTAATTCTGAGCAGGTGAAATGAAACTGAGACCTCGAGCGCCACGGCTCAGCGCCCGCGAAATCAGAACGATCGCGTCCACTCTCGCTAGATGCTTCGTCAGCGAAACAGCAACCTGAAGAAACGCCGCCCGCACTCTACGCCCCGCCAGAGAGTGGGGGTACGCTGCCGTCTCGCCTCTCGCTTCCCAGAAGTGATACCAGGCTACTGAGATTCTCCGAGGCGCCCTCGTCAGGTCACGATCGTAGCGGATATCTTGAGGCTTCCCCTGTCAATCACACTGTACTACATGGTAGACATGATGGATTAGCCAATCTAAGAGATCAGATCGGCTGAGACACTCTGTGAGAGGGCTATTGGATAGGTAAGACATCACCCCCTTTACACGTGGCCACCTCGACCACGAGGTATTATAGCTAAGGTCAGGAGGGTGATACAGAGAGTGAGCCCATTACTATCTCCTGGTGCCCAGCACGAGGAGGTTGTGGTAGCAGCCCTTGTGTATTTTGAACCAACGTAGACGACATGTCGTTGACTGAAATGCGCAATAAGACCCGAGACCTAGATAGTTGGTTAAGGTGGTTTGTAGAAGCAACCCCTATTAGAACCAACACTACGGCTGAGAAGTGCCATTCCCATTCGACGTCTTGCACGGCGCCCGGAGGCTTCTTCAACGCAACTACTAAATAGCGTCTAGCCCTATAGGGTTATCATAGCTAGGTACTTCGTAGGGCTTGAAACTCTCCTTGAGACTGTAGAACCTTGTGGCGTATTGCGGGCTTGAATGTCGGAGTAGAGGTCGCCCGTTCTCATGCCGGGGGCCTGATCAATCAATTCCACCTCGAGAGCCTTTGGCCTCGGCAAAGCTCGCAAAGCGCCGAATCCTGCTGAGCTGCCAATGGTTGAAGTTCGAGTGTATCGAGTTAATGAGATGGCACAAGGAGCCGGTTTCCCATGCTGCTGCCTCACGGAGTTGCTCTTGACCGGAGCGCCAATCTTTCTGTCGGGCCAATTAGCCTTTCCCTCTCTCCCTCTCTCTCTCTCTCTCTCTCTCTGACTTCGACCTGGAAGTCCCTTTCCGACGGACCCTTGCCGAAAGAAAAGAAACGAACACTTGGGTTGGGCATAATTCACAGCTTATTAGGCATCATTGGTAGCCATGTGTCATACCTCGAAGCTATCAGCCTCAAGTGACCGAAGAAGAAGCGAAGGTATGGTATTAATAACGCATCCTCCCTTACAAGAACGATATACCCCCATGTCGGGCCGCTCACCGATTTCCCGAACGTGAGAGGTGGCAGGTAAATGGAGACTGAGGATGGGTGAAGGCTCGTGGCATTCTGGCTAAAAAGCAGATCAAACAACAGGACCGTTATCAAATATGCGGTTAGGTGGGCTCGTAGACCGACGGAGATAGATGCCACCGATGCGCGTTGGGGCTGTCGAGGCGCTTCTATCACGTCACGCATTCCTGGGGAGGGGCCAATAGACGACCCGGACGCTTTTCGAGATCTCTTCCGTTCTATAGAATGCATCAACGTCGATGCAGTCAGCGAGTCTCCGCATAATGTGTGTGGACACGATCCTGACTCCTTGGCTATGCCATGTGATCCGCTAGAAACCAGGCTCAGAGACGGACAGGTGCAGAGATCAGCCAGATGAAGGCGGTCACTTAAGGCTAAACAATGCGCCGCGTTTCTTTGCGTGCGCCATTAGGCATAGCGCTGGGGCATGATCATAGGAGTAGCGAGTTGTGGTTGGCGTGCTTGGTGATGAAACATGAGAAATCACAGAAGAACATCTCACAGGTGAGGAGGAGACTAATAAAGCCCCAGCACATCGTCGAAATTGGAGAGCGGAAGGGTGCGCGATGGGTGGCGTAGGACGGGGCCCCTGTTTAGTGGACAGTCGACCCCGGTGCATTGCGTGAGACAAGCATAAGGGGGGTTGAGCTTCGTGCCACGCATGAATTCCTCGATTTCCATACTATGGTACTATACAGTACACCGCCAGCCCAGATGCCCTAGACTGCGCGGTCCGTAGTAGGGTGTGCCCACCCAAGGGTTATCACGTCCTGTCCTGTCCTGTCTACCGGGCGGGGAGCGACCGATGGTGATGAGATCGAAGCAGAGCGACTCTAGTTCCGGGCTCAGATCGCGGGCCGCCCCTAGGTCAGATCTTACCCGGCTCCGAAGCCGATTGTGTCGAGCCGTGCTGGCGTGTGGGAATCTCTGTCCGTTGCCGTTGTACGTAATATAGGGTGGTCTTCCTGCGAGCGACTCCGTCTCCGTACCCCCATCTCGAATGGCTGTAATATGAGTAGATATCGATATAGACTGCGAGGCCGCTAGCAGAGTAAACAAACGCGTAGGGAAAATAAGATAGTTAGGTAGGCAGAGGGAAGAAAGCCATCCATCTTGTGGCATTGTACGTAGACCCACCTGCCTAACATACCCCTGGCGTACCAAAGCCCCCAATACCAAGGAAAGATCGGTAGATTGTCTATCAGCTGGTTCAGCTTCAGGTCGGGTTTGATCTCCTCGATGTTGTGGATTTCGGAAGACTCGAGCAACGATCCTTCGCCAGCGTGTACTCATAGTCGATGTCATGTAATCCATCCCTGTCGATACCTCTGTCAAGGCCATCGTCAGCACACCGGTATCCCGAGAACCATCCTAGCAGCACATCACTTCTGATCGACAGGTAATGATGAGGATGCATTGTCGTCCCAAGGCATGAATGAAGCCGACCTTCCCTAAATAGATCGGGTTCGTCCTATCTTGCTCGGCTGAAAGGGATTACCATACGACAACTGATTCTCTAGGAATGTTGTTAGCTTCGGCAAATCGTCTTCTACGACCCTGGTCGGATTGAAATTCGTCAGTGTGAAGGGGCTTTAGTCCAAGCTGAGCGCTCTGGCCGGGTTGAAACAGACTACCAGTTAAACACGTCGCCTGAGCGGAATTCATCGTCGGCTAGGCCGCGAGCTAAAAGCTTTCACCGGTGGGGGGCCATATCACGACTACTATTATATGACAAGACATGCCAAGGAGTAGTCGTTGTTCGAGAAGGAGAGAGAAAGGTAGGTAGCCGGAGGGGCCCGGGCCACCGAGGGTACCATGCCATGTAAGTACGTGGTAGCGTTGCATGATGCGAAAGACTAAGGATCTTCTCCCCTTCCCTTGCGTCCCTGTCTTCGTTGGTTAGTTATTTTACCGGGCTGCTGGGACTGCTCAGGGCTGGTGTTGATCCGACTTGCACATGAAAAGCTTTTCGGAGAGGGAGAAAAGAAAAGAGCAGCAGCCATCACGATGGCAAAAGGACTCCACAATGCCCATGCCAGTGCAGGAGGGGAGCTAATAAGATGTCTCGAGAGGCTGATCACGAGGAGAGAGAGATAGAGAAAAGAAAAAGCGAAAAAAAAAAAAGAAAAAGAGAGGGAAAGGGAAAAAAAAAAAAACAAATTTGACAACGTGAGGAGGAGTGCTATGCGGCCACTGCCTGATGTCTTGTCTAATCCTCCCCCATAACCGGGCCACATTATTACTACCTAGAATGTCCAAAACGTGCTCTTTGGCGTGGCCAACTCCCCGGGGTGAGTAGCGTCATCGGGGAGTCCTAGTCGGTAGCATTCCCTCAATGCGACGCTGATTCCCGGGTCTCTTGGCCGAACGAGCGCGTACAGGCTCACCAGATGGAGGGCTATGAGCAGCCTGTCGGACGAGCAGCTGGCATTAACATTACTAACACATGAGTAAATAACGGAGTTGGGAAAAGTTAACAGTTCCACGGGACGGGGCATAAACTGTCAAAGTGTTTCCCCTTTCTGTCCTCCGTATCGAGCGAGACCCAGTAACATTGTCGCCCTTCACTTCAACCTCGCTCTCCTTGCATTGCTCTTGCTTACCCGCCGCTATTATTGGTCTCCATTTTGCCTCGGTGGATGGGAGGTGGAGTTGGTAGCTCGTCTTGTGCAAGATAGAAGAGAGCATCCGCGGCGATAGTATTGGTTCTGGCTCGCAACAGGGGGTGCACCGCTTTCAGGCTATCGCCCCATCCATGCTCGTGCTTTTGATGCTTTCTCCTTGCCGGAAACCATAGGGATACATGGGGATGGGCTGCAGACGTGTGTGCGTAAGTATGTACTGTACTGGCGCCACACCGATCTGCTTCGATCGAAGGTGCCAACATAATGCAAGCCTAAAAGGGTAGAGGGAGAGAGAGATACACAGATGCCCGGAGATCGATGGCCACTCCCGTCGGACCCCCTGTTTACGGTATTCCCCCAGTATGACCTACCATCCCACTATGTATGCGAACGGTGAATCTGTGGCAATGGTCCCAGAAAGCCGGTTGAACCGTTCCATTATGGCGATGCTACAGATACATTGGCCGCGATTCGTAGTTGTTTGCGGTGATATGCATTGCGTCCAGGTCAATAGATCAATTCGAGAAGCCCTGGAGGTGGAATGCCCGGGATACCTCTCGGGTCCACGACGGCGGCGGATCTTCCTCGGGGCATGGTGTATCCGCTCATCGACGTCCAAAGTACCCTCTACACCCGCCTCGCTCGCTTCTCCCTTGACATCGGAGCTACAGCCTGTGCGCCAACTGGCTATTCTGGAAATAACGGTACGAGCGGACTCGTACCTGGGCGGCCGTGGAGGGTTATCCCATGCCTCGTCGGAGCACACTTGCAGTGCATAACATGGAAGTCGGCTAACCCCCCCCTGGGCACAGGATTATCCGATCAAGTGATGGAGGTTGAAATAGAGGCGGACAATTTGGGAGTTCTGCTAGACGACATCCGTCTCATATTCGGCGTCGAGGAGGCGAGGGGATAATAGGGATTGCCAACGCAAGATGGCCCAGGTTCCAGATAGCATGGCCTTTTTGCCAGCATCATGCAGAGAAAACCCATAGTTCTTTTAATTGCGCGTCGGACGAGACGGACGTGTTCCTGTTGGGTTGTGCTCCTTTTTCTTTTCTCGCTCTTGCCATCAATTCAGTCTAGAAGCTCTACATAGCATCGCTTTCTCGCGGAAAAAGTAGCGAGCTCGCCCACACATCTTAAAGGCTAGGGGGATCTCCTTTTCGCTCTCTGCAGATCACCCTGAATGAATCCTACGCCACTCGTCGGCTGGCTTGCTATAGCCCCTGATATATACTCAGGGTTTGCCCCAGAACGATCTTCTTCCACGGTTGCTTCCCGTGCCTGATCTTAAACGACCTTTACCTTCTGTGGCTACCCGTCGACGCCGAGAGGCAAGAATAATGCGGCATTGCCCTTTTTTCTCCCCCATCAACTGTCGTCCCCTCTATAGAAATTTCCCAGATCCGTTGCCCGTGCTTACGTTCGATCATAGCTTCACCTCTCAGCGGTGGCGTCCAGCTATAGCCCGTTCCGACACTGACGCATTTGCTGCCTCCTATCACATTGGCCAGGTTCTCGGCATTATCCGAAGAAGAGGTAGCACGCCCCCTGGGCTGTATCGAAAGAGTAGGGCGAAGGGGACGCGGTTATTAACTAGAGCTTCATTAATCGTCACCTCCCTCCTGCATTAAAGGCAGAACGTTGGGTTATGCCGTACTGCAAGGACGCTTCCCAAGTACCGCCGAAGATACCGGTTCGACCTCGTTCGGACACCAGGCCCTGGGGTTCCTCTCCGGAAACGTCGTGCACTAGTTAATCTCCCCGAGCCAGATTGTCGGTTAGACCCTTGCTCCCGACCTGGAGAGTTGCTTCAGGTATAGAAAGCCGGTAGAGTGTGGGCATCTGTATACGTTGTCCCACCACGCACCCGCTGTGCCTTGCTAAACAATCGTAGCCGCGGCGGACCTTGGATGAGGGCTAGGTGTTTTATGGTCGGACCGCATTATCTGGTTCCAGTACCGCAGGCGTTTGCGGAGTCGATTGGCTCATTCGTTACTCCCTCTCTCCACTGATCCCTTCTATCTTCTTCCGGGCCCTGCTGCTTTCTTCGGTTTATAACGGCGACAAGGAGCGAATATCCGGCCCTTATCGAGAACTTGCTGAACGGCCACTGTATATTATCCACCCGGCTCCTCGGCTTGCGAGAGGCCACTCGACCCGGACGGCCCTCCCACCTCCTATTTAAAGGCCATCGCAGACCGGCCGGCCCTTGGACTCGCCCAGCCTCTGCTCGAGTGTCTCGCGGACAGCCAGCGATACCCGAAAATATCTCCCGAGCGGGCCATCCTCAGGGGTACCATAACTATTCGGACACACCTACGCCCGCCCAAACCGTTCGAGTCAATGATAGGCACCATGCCTTATCAATACCCGTCACCGCAAGACGGGGCAGTAATAGATATGCCGCATAGCGGCTACGCGGGCGGCTATCCGGTACCAACGACTTCCGCCCTAGAGGTAAGATCCGTCCCAGAATCCCGCCATGCATAGTCTCTCCGCCATCGCTCGTTCTCCACTTTACGGACACATCGGTTCAGGGCAAGCAAGTTCCGCCAGCCCAGTGATGAGTGTTCCCATCTCACAAGATTTTCCACGCTGAAGAGACGCTTCCGAGCCCCTAACGAGAGGTCACAGGAGACACACGACATCGATCATGTACCTTTTGGCCTGTCAAACGAGAAGAAAAGGAACAAATTGGGGTATCATCGAACACCTATTGCTTGTGGTAAGCACCCGCCTCACCCAGTAGCCCCCAGTTTGATGCCCCAGACGTTCGCGCCGGGACTAAAGAGCAGCTCGGTATAGGGCACTGTCGGCGAAGAAAGATCAGATGCAAGCAGCCGGAGATTCCAGATGTCTTGGGAAGATGTGAGAGTTGCATTAGTCTGAAGAAAGAATGTGTCTACCACGCAGTAAACCAGCCGCCGCCTCCGATACCCCCGACAGGGCAGAGACAAGGGACGAAAACATCCAATAGTTCTGGCCTTGAGTCCTCTTCCACGTCGCCGGCGCTATCGGCGGGACATTCGGGGGAGGCTCAACCAAACACGCCCTACCACCAAATGGCTACGATGCCAAACATGGGTCAGCAGTCTATAGGGCCGAGAGGGGGCGAGAGTTACTCCGTTGAACCCAAAGGTAGGTGTCAGAGGCGTCCCTCCTAGCATCTACGACGGCGAGGGCGTATGCTAAAAGGCTTCAAGTTCCACCCAATGCGCCCAACGGCCGAACGTTCGATTACGCCCACGGGATCGGCAGCTGGGTGACGACAGAAGCGAGTGCTGGCGTCTCGAGGACGTCTAACGACACAAACAGTCAATGGACGACGAATTTTGCCAACGGGATGCCGGAACCCTCCGATTTCCCTCAATATAGCCCTCACGCGCCGTCGCCGTCGATGACCTGGCCGGCAGCGCTTGGAACACCAGGCAGAATGGACGCCAACGGACGTCTAGGCGATACGTGGAAGCCATATTCGCCGGCGGCAAGATCAATGTCCTTTAGTGGCGATCAATCCAGCCAATACCCCCCATCGACGAGGCCGTACGAAAGGGCGCAGCCACCGATGGCTCCCCACGTCAAGATCGAAGGCGTGCCGGAAATGGCGCTCAACCACCAGAACGGCTCTCTCTCGGCCGGTGCCGAGCCCCATCCGTCATACGGAACGTGGCAGCAGCCGTACCCGTACGCCAAAGCTGGCGAAGAGTACGGCGGATGGTATGGAGGAACCGGAGAACATCAGCCGGGAGCGCACGTTTCATCGGTGGCCGAGGACACCTCCGGTATGTACTACGGCGGGAGATGACGTCTAACTCGGACCGGATGTCGCGTCGAGGTCAGACTACGCCCGCAACTCCGACTTCGCGTGTCCCTCGTATCCTGCCGTCGTCCGGATGTTCCCACCCGAAGAGGAACTGGACGAGGGAAAAAGAAAAGCAAAAGAGAAAAAAAAATGGTTCAGAAAAAGGGGGGCCGACTTCAGAGCAACCAATCCAAAATGAACACCGAGCAATCTACTTGCTTCCCCACCCTTTCTCACCGGACAATTGTACAATCGGGGATGCCGATACGTTGTGATAGAAGAGGCGAAAGGTGGCCATGGAAAGGCGGCCATGGAAAGGCGGCCACGTAGGCTGGAGTGAGCGGGAAAGGGACATAGAAGGGCCATACCGAGATGTGGAAGATTGGAATACCGGAACCAAAAAAAAAGGAAAATGAACGAGAGAAGTCCGAGCCACCGCGTTGCCCTATACGCACCTGGCGAAGGGAGAGGATTTGAGACACATATCGCAAACGCATTGGAAACGCCTCTCCTAGGGGGGAGGCGGCAGGCGAAGTGGCCAAGGGGATAAAAAGAGAAAAGGGATCGACAGCAATACGCCATCCGCCCCCCCCCCCCCTGGACACGACAAACGTTGAACCCCCCCCTCCCCTTGTCCATGTTGCCGTCTTGGGCGGCATGCCTGGCAAAACAAGACATGGCTACCTACCACGTCGAGGCAATCGCCAGAGTTCACGTTCCCGACTTAGCGAGAGCAGGAAAGCGGGCCCATGCGTTCTCGCCTCTTGCTTTTTTCCCTTTCCCCTTGTCTGTCTTATCGCCGCGGTCTTGCTCTTCGTCCTCTTCTTCTCCTTTTCTCGTCGACTTCCGCTCCCCCTTCCACTTGTCCCTCGTCTGCTTCCCGGGCTGAGACCGACCTGCCCGGACCGGCAGCGAAACGCGAGGGCGAGCCCGGGATCTCCTGGTCGAGGCCCGATGTTTTCTGCTGCCTGCCGCCCCCCCCTCCCTGGCTGCAGCAACGCGCTCGGAGAAGGCGGAGGAGGGCACGAGAGGAGCGAGGAGAGGAGCGCAGACCCGGCGCTCTGCTTTCAGCCCCCTTTTCTCTCGCTCGTTCTTGCGTTTTCACTGGGGGGAAGGGGGACCGGAGTTTCCCCCCCCCCCCCTCCTTTTCCCAATTACGGCTCGCTGTATGTGTGTATGAGTTCGCGCGCGATTGGGGCAAGATAGATTGGAAAGATCCGCTACGACGGGGGGGAGGGGAGTTAGACTTTTTTTATCTCCTTTTTTGGTTCCCTTCCGCCTTTGTTGGGCCTCTAGCCGATGCAGCCTCGACGGCCAGCAACCCTCAAGGTCCACCCGTTCGCGTGCCCCCCCTCCCCCTCTCCCCCGCCGTCCGCCGTTCCGTACTCGGGGTGGCTTCTGGCCCCGTTGTCCAGAATTACGGTGTCCCGGCAGGAGACGCGCCCTCTTAGCGCGGAGCAGGTGTCGGTAGGGAGTCGAGGAGGGGAGGAGGGTTCCGCTGGGTTAGGCGAAGGCCTTTCGTTTGTTCGAATCTTTGGCCGGATGGGGCTTGGTTGTTTTCGTCTTGTTGCGATGTTCAGTGTTTCGGCCGCTTGAGCATTTCCTTCGTCTGGTTGTATATCCGTGTGCCGATTAGAATTTTCTTGGGTGCGGGAATTGGAAAGAGGACCGGAAAGGGGGGGGTGGTAGGGTTGGAAAAAGAATTCCCTCAAGGCTGTCGGGTCGTTATAGTATGGGTGTGTTCTTGGGTCTGTTAACCACGGTATATCTGGTCTTCGCGGAGAGGAAGCTAGAATTTCTCACGAGCGTCTACGGGAGGCTTTGTTAGGTCACCTCTAACGTCTGTGTGTTTATTCAGGGGGATGCCTCTGAGAGGCATGCCCACAGGTAATACAGGGCGTGTGCATGTATCTGGCTAGCTGTCTGCATATCCATATTCATTCGTAAAAGTAGCTGGTACCAACCGATGATGCGAACGTCCACATTATCAACACGAGCTCGGGGAAGAGTGTGTGAGCCGTTACACAGGAATATAGATTACGCGCCCAGCCTGTCCCATCTGTGCCGAGCACTATGTAGTGGCGTGGTGCCCGTTCGCCCTGCCCATCGCCCGCTGGGTTGTCCCGCGCTTGTTCCCACGGCACTTGGGTATATCAACCACGAGCCCGCGTGAGTAACTGTTACACCTCCATACGGCACCCTGAGTACGACGTACAACTGCCCAAGTGACCGGCGGCTGTCCGTCTTTTGAGAGACCCTGGGCAGCCCAAACGAGCTGATGCTTTCGAGGAAAGCTACGGCCTGAAAATCTCGTAACCAGGAAGCAATGTGACTCTCGAGTAAAGCGCCATGGTGCGACCCCCTTTTACGCCTCCAGCTGCCATGTTAATACCATCAGGCCAACGTAGGCTCCTATGCTCAGACCGGTAAGGAGTAGAACGCTGTTTCCGCTGGTACGGAATTTGTTTCTCGCCTCGCCGTCGTCGTCTATCATGGTGAAGAACTGCTTGTTCCCCTGGTACCGACGGTATATTGAGCAAAGCAGGACTGCGGCACCGTACACGGCGAAGAGAGCGCCGATTGCGTAAAACTCGGAGGTGAAAATCTTCAACACGATCAAGGAAAAACTGAACTGCGAAAGGGCAGTTCGCATGTACGCTCCTTCGAAAGTCCGCTGGGCGGCTCGGATCTCCACTAGTCTAGACGAATCAAGCGACGTATTAGCGTCGGCGAAAGTGACGATGCGAGACGCAGGTAGCACATCTGAGGCTCATCATCGCGACGGACCCACAGCAGCGCCCTCTCTGGTCGGTGTAGGGTACGCTGGTGATGGCATGGCCCTAGACTAAGATGGGAAAGGGGATGCGGTGCTGATCGGACTGAGCGGTTACGTGAGAAGTTATGAGACCTACTCTTCAGTTGTCAGGACCACGGAGCGGGCGCGGTGCGTCCGCAGGTGAAGACGGTCTTCTGGGTTTGGCTACGGGACGGGCGGGTCAATAACTGGCCACGATCACGACCGCAGACGACGAGGGGGAAACGAATAGAACAAAACGGACCTGAAACATGGGGGGTATTTTTTTGGGAAAAAAAAGGGGGGGGCTCAGCAGCCGAAGGGAGTCCTCTTTCCCCTCTTTCTTTTTCAATTAAAGGCACGCATAGCTGGGCTGTGCAGGTTGTAAATGCTGGTAGACAACGAAAGTAATGGGGGTTGGTGGGTGGTGTAGGCAGGTTATGTAAAGCGAACAGAACAAAGGGGGCACCAGGTAACGACCCCGCCAATTTCTATGGTATGAAGTGCTATTCCACATGTACATATGTACACGCTTGGCTTAGGCGCCTCAGATGTGCCTAGCGTAAGCCACACAGTGGCTGGTATGCAAACTCAGCATCTACGTGTACAGGTAGTCAACCTTGTGTAGGCATTTATAGTCGAGGTAGTGCGTGGCTGCATCCGGGGGCAGGGGAGAAAACCTTAGGCGGTACCTACGTACCTACCTACTTCAGACATACAATAATAACCCCGTGGGAAAGGGGAAATGCATCATCCGCAATGTCAAAACTTCTCATTAAACAACAGGTGTGCTGGAAGCAATCTATGTCTCTATATATATGTGTGTGTGCACGTTTTATTGCATTAGGCAGTGTTTATTTTAGCTGGAAGCGAGCATGCCTGAAGCGCACCTGGATCCCTTCCTCCCGATAATCCGACCTGCCTCTTACAACTACAGGTAGGTATCGTAGGTAGCGAAGTGAGCCGGCATCAGACCTGTCCCGTCCTCGTCGAACCCCAAGGCCTTCCGCCACGTGCGTTTGAGTCTGCAGCGTTATCATCTTCATCTATCGTGAGCTGTCTGTCGTTACCTACTATGCAGGTTAGCATGGCACCCAGACCAGCCTACCACTAGTTCGGAAATCTAGCACCGCCGCCGGAATTATTTGCCATGCCTCCGTAGCGTGACGCTGGGTCCCGATATTATCGTGGCCGAGCTGGAGCGCATCCAATAATCAGGCACCCGTAATTTAACACCGCATGTATGGAGCTCGGTTTTTACACTTTGGATCGATACCGAACGATATGAGAGAGAGACGAGTGAGAACTCGCTATGAGGTACGGATGCGAGCGAGGACGGGAAGTGGGAAGTCGGGGCGCGTATGCAAGATGTCAGGCGGCTAGGATGAGCAACACACTCTGTTGTAGGCATCTTTATGTGTGTCAAGAGGTTAGGGCTATCCCGTCACCCCAAATTGGTCCGATTAGGTCCCCAAGGTAAGCACTTAGTACCTGTTCCCTCAGGTACCTTAGGTACCTTAGGCAGACCCATCCGAGGTAGGGTTTAGGCTTACCTGCATGTACCTGTCAAGCGAGGTACCCCTACCTGCTTGGCAGGTAGGTAAGTTAGGTACCCAACCTAACTTCTAGCGCTCGTTAGGTAATCAATCCACCCCGTCTTCTTGAATCCATCAACCTCTCTGGAATCCTCGGATGCGTTGGACGCCAACTTGCCATCCTAACGATCTTGACACTCGGGCGATGCAAATGCATTGCGGCACAGCAAATGCCCTCAGATCCCAGGATTCTCTAGCGCACGCGATGGTGGTCTTACTTCCGGCGGCGCTAATTCCCACTAGCACGCCCAGCTTATCCGTCGGCTTCTTCCTAAATCTGCTAGCGGGCGACGTTGCGTCGCGCTGCGCGGTTAGAAGCAGGTTGGCGCTGTGCCGTGCTGGGACCCGACAAGAACCAGCATGGTCGTGGGCCACGACCGCATCCTGCCGCGCTTGCTGGATTCCTCCGCAGCGTGGATGCCCTTCTTGCTGAGACAGGCGCGCGACTCGGATGGCTTTGTAGCTTGGGGATGCCGTGTCTGTCCCGATGCGCTCGCGTTTGGGGATCGACCAGTGAGTTGGTCCACTCGCCGGTCTTCCGGCTATTCTCATCGACGAGTTCCTGTGAGTACCTGAGGTATGTAGTGCCGTTTCCGCTTACCCTGGTCCTGTCCCTGTCCCACGCTCCTTATCTTGATTTCACCTCAGCTGTGTCGCCGCAGCCATGGCTGTGCTCGGTACCTCGGTGGGTTGTTACGGATGGTAGGTAATCGCACTACTGCAGCCCACCCAGACGCGGACCGATGTCTTCCCCATCGACCATGACGGCTGTGAATGCGTATTAAATCAAGTAACTACCTACATCCTCGTACGAAGCAGCCGGCCAGCCGGCCATCTCGCCAGAGACCCCTCCTTATATCCCTCTCGATCACGGAAGAGAGCGACATGTATGTGATGAGTGCCCGTTCCTGTCGAGACTGGGGTGCTGGTGAGGAATCCCGCTTCAGCTAGCGGCTATTTCATCAGCTCGTGTTACAGTAGCATTCGCGGGCATCCGTCTTTCCCCAGCGAGACCCGCGAAGGCCCGCGAGGCTCGTAAGACGGCCAGTGAGACAAGTGGTTGGGGGGATGGTTATCTACTTTCTGCTAGCATATTGAGACACGCTGTGCGGCTGGAAAACAGGAAAGGATACGTGCGACACGGATTCGGGGCCTCTGACACTCCCATACATACATACGTACGCCCCAAATCTCTCTCTCTCTCGGAGACCTGTTTTAGGCCTTGGTGAATCATCGATACCGCCACGGAGCGTTTCCGTGTATAGATGATCGTGGAGGCGCGGGTCGGCAGATGCCATCATCCTTTTGCGAGTCACATACGTCCGTCATCCGAACTTGGCCGACTACATAGTGGGCTCACCACGGTGGGGTCTCCCTTGGGGCTGAGGAGGAAGCGGAGGGTGCCTTACCACCCCTGCTCGCTCACTGCCAGGACGCCTCGCTGGCCTGGCGATGACAAAATCACGACCCACGACCCAATGAGACGGTCTATCGTGCTGTCGAAGGGGGGGGGGGGGGGGGGTGGAATGAGAGCCGCAGTAGTGCGCGAGCCCTACCGTCGATGTGTGTCTGTATCGATCCGGCCAGAAAGTTGCCTTGCCTTGTACTGCCCTTTTCGATCGCCCTCCTCCACCGCTCCCGCTTCTCTCTGCCACCTCGACGTATTCAATCCACCTCCTTATCCCCCCCCTCCTCCCCCAGCCCACGGAAATATTAGCTTGTTGAGCCTTCGATCGCTGCACCGTCATCGCCCCGGTGTCTTTTGCACGGCCCCTTGCAACGCTCCGGCACAGGTTTCGATCCGTTCCAGTTGTCTTCGACGAAGGAGAATACCGTAAGTAGTATTTCCATTTGGACCGCAGTCTGGCCTTCTCCACTTCCCGTAAGCGCCGCTGCAGTCTCTTGAGGTACCGACCCCCTCCCCCCCCCCCTCTCCCCACCTCAGCACCGAATTCTAGCCTTTCCTCCAATCCTCCAACCCTTGATTCATATCTTCTGATAATCGCTCAAGGATCGCATTCATCCTTCCCGGGTCGCCCTCGCCCTGTATAGTCAGCCATCGAGAGTAATAGTGTGAAGAGCCAGCGACCGAGCGTCGGCCCGCGAAGACATCGGTTGGCATTCAGCTCGCGAGGCTCCCCTCTAGTCGATTGCCTGATTGTCACACCAATTTACCGTACTAGAGCATGGTCTCTATCTGATCAGGTTTACAAGGAACCGCACGGTCCTACCACTATCGGGATCGACTAGATATATGTTATACTAGTTTCGGGCCGCCTGTCCCCTCTCAAACTATGACCATGAATGCAGGATACACAGTCTCGCCCACGCCGGTCGAACTTCGCGATCGCCTGAAGGATCGAGCGCGACAACCTCATGGCAACGTCCCTCATACCTACAGTTACAATCACAATCAGAAGAGCCCCGTTACCCCGATCGAATCGCATCTCCTGTCACCATATTCCTCACACGTCCAAAGCAACTCTGCCTCTCCTACGGGCAATTTCAACACCCCCGCAGACACCGTCTCGTCCATAGATCCGTATCAGCAGAGTGACTTCAGTAGCGATTTCGGCGACCCATTTTTGGGGGTTGACTTTAACGACGTCGAGAATGGACTACCCGGCTTTTTGGAGAATTTCAATATAGGAGAGCCCGCGGGTGAGCAGTCGCACGTTCTAAACTATGGTGTCAGTGATACCCAGTACCCTCTGAGTCCCGATCCGACACCCGCTATACCGTCAACATCGATGTTCAACGGCGGGCTTGACACCAACGTTCCGCACCAGCCGTCAGACGAAACACGACGCTTCGCGAACTCGATCAATACAAGCCAATTCGCGCCGCAATTGACACCAGATACCAACGGCGACGGCTTCTCAAGTGACGGCAGTCTCGCGCCGAATGCACTCGCGATGGCTGCTCAAAGTCCTCGTGTTACCGTATCCATGTGGAACAGAGACGAGGAAGCCCCAGTGCAGGGCATCGAGAGGTCTTTCGCCTCGGGCGCCGACGGCTCTCAAACAAATCAAGCGTCGATTAGCCTAGCCGGCGATCTGGCAGGCGACCCCGCCCACGAGAACCTAGTGGCTGTATCCCGAGATGCGCATGGCGGTTGGTTGCCACACTCCACCGCGGGTTACGGGGGTCTCGCTCCCGGAGATCGGCCCACTCAGGAGGTCCCGAGTATCAATCAACAAGCTGCTAGTCGAGAGCGCGACGAGAAGAACAAGGAGGTTTTCGAATGGGCCGCGCGATCGACTGGCTGGTCTGCCGATTTCACAGGCACCTCAGACGGCTCTTCCAACAAGCTCGCAGAGAGGCGAGATAGCGAAGACAATATACCTCCCGGGGAAATCTCCCTGGGGGATGCCACCGAGAACAAACATATCCCCGGTCAAGCATATCTTCACGTAGATGGGTCGGGCGGGGCCCTCACGCAGACCGACTTCGACATTATGCGACAACTGCGGACTTGGGGAGACGCGCCGACTATTCATGCCATCCAATCCGGCTCCCGGTATCAACCCCTGACATCGCAAGCCGCCATCGAAAAGTTCAATCGGCAATGCCAGGACAACGAGTCTATTGTTTCGAGAGCAGCAACGTGGGGGACCCGTCGCCGTAGCTTACCTAGTATTGTGGACATAGAAGGCATCGTCTCCGGCAACTTCTTGAAAAAGTTATCGATCAGCGGGCATTCCCGCCGCCCAAGCTTTATGAAAAGGATCCCCAGCCTCGTGCGGAAGCCTAGCGCTAGCCAGATCTTGAAGCGGAAGGGGAGCAATGCTAGCGAGGTGCCTCCAGAGGATGTCGAGGATCAGGATCGCCGATCGTCCAAGGACACCCTAGCGCCCCCGTCGCGTACTTCCAGCTGGGGGATTAGTGGGATTACTAAGAAACCAACTCCCAGCTTGAATACTGCCCTGGTGGGAATCGCTACAGGCGCTGCTGCGATCGGGACCACACATGCCCGAAGTGGTTCGATCAGCGCAACGCCCATAACTTCTCCCAAGAGTCCGTTTGGATCTCTGAGTGTGCCGCCCATGAAGAACGCTCTTAGGAGATCGAGGAGTAAGACCGAGGTTTCTAAAGGTCCCAACGTGGAGGCTATCTCGCACCCAAATCTGGTTGAGATGTTGAAGAAGCAAGGTGGACCACCAGTTGCTTCACTGTCGAGAACTCAGCCGGTGGTAGAGCAGGATGACGACGACGACGACGACGACGACGAAGGATACGACGACGTAGACATGAAGCCAGAGCCCCAGCGGCTGGAGAGCATAGAGCCGACTCCCCAAGGCTTCCGAGAGCATATTCTTCGATTGAACCCCGGGCTACCGAGAGAGAACGGTTGGCTGGTTGATCGCATCGCCCACCAGATGATTATGCGTTACAAGCAACTCCAGAGCGCAAAAGTCAAGCACCTGAGCCTAGTTAACCAAGGAAAATGCCCCTGCGGGACTTTATGTGTCGCGCTTGGTGGGTCGGCCATTTCCCTAGACGGCAAAGGGGGCGAGCGGGGTGTCGACCCGTTGTCGGCGCGGCCAGATTCTTCCGATGGCGACACCACACCTCTCGAGGGCGGCATCAACTCGGAGAGTTTTCCCCTAGGTATTCCTATGCCCCCGACCACGTCTCTCCCGGCAGAATTCGAATGCCAGCTATGCTTTACAAGCAAGAAGTTCCTGAAGCCGTCCGATTGGACCAAGCACGTCCACGAGGACGTCCAGCCGTTCACGTGTACGTGGGAGCGGTGTCGTGATCCTAAGATGTTCAAGAGGAAGGCAGACTGGGTACGGCATGAAAACGAAGGGCATCGCCACCTCGAGTGGTGGACATGCGACGTTGAAGACTGCCGGCACGTCTGCTACCGACGGGACAACTTTCTGCAGCATCTCGTTCGCGAGCACAAATTCGCGGAGCCCAAGATCAAGACCAAGGCGGCCATCAAGAAGGCTGGCGGTGTCGACTACACGTGGCACAAGGTCGAACAGTGCCACGTCGAAACGAGTGCTAAGCCTTCCGACGAACCCTGCCGGTTCTGCCGTAAGACTTTCCCAACGTGGAAGAAACTCACGGTCCATCTGGCGAAGCACATGGAACACATCAGCCTTCCGGTCCTGAAGCTCGTCGACTCGAAAGAGCTTCACGCGGACACCATCATCAGCCCAGTGCAGGATCTCCCCCGTCCCAATTTCCCGGTGCCTGTAGTGAAGCAAGAATCGCCGATGTTTAATTCGCAAGGCCCCAATACGGTGCCGAATCCGATCCCGATAGGATTTATCCCACAGGGAAACCTCGATTACGGTATGGGCGCGATACAGGTGCAGAATTCCTTCTACGGCCAGCATCAGATGACGCAGCCGTATACCGATATATCGCCCAACCCGGGGTCCGGCAACGTGATGATGGCACAGAACTTTACCAAGCCTCAATACCACGCCCTCCCCGTTACCACGGGACCGTCTTACAACACGGCCGCAAACGCGTATATACCCTTGCCGATCCAAGACGGAACGGAGCCCTTCCCCCAGTTTGATCCGCTCGGTATCCAGGACGCTGCGGGACCATTATACTACGACAATCTCACGACGCCTAGTATGCAGCCTATGGAGCAATATGGCAGCCACCCGCCGTCGTCTTACAACCACTCGCCGCACCAAGGCCACGGTAACTATTTCAATCAGTGAATGCTGGCAAACTATGTCGTTTCTGTTTCGCGGTTTACCTTTGCAATTCCCTCCCCATTATGGCGATACCCCCTTTCGAGTTGGAGTTGCAGGCTGACCTGGGATTGGATCGCCATGGTCCTGATGTTTGTCGAGTCCGGCCCAGGATGCGTGATCTGCGATATACCACGGCGTTGTGTGGGCAAGACTATATGTTTATATAAGCATTTTGTTTCCGATCGCTCTCTAGAGATCCTTCTTTCTCTTTTCTGGTTTGGTCATTTGATCACATCCCGGGTTACGGGGTATTGATTGGGCTACGCTAGCAACACAGTCGGGTTTCCCATTTATGTATTCACGTTTCGCGACCTGTCCCCCTCGCCTCTTATCCGGAATGTTATGTTATGGGAAAGCGTTACGGTTATCTTTTGGCACGATATGACGAGCGCGCGATGGATGGGGATTCGAAATTCTACCTAGTGTATAGGACGATGGTAACGAACTACGCGCATACGCATGCATAGTCGTCTGGTTTCTCGTACGGGACACCTTTCTTTTATTTTGTTCTCGAGTCGTCTGGGTCTGAAGACGGGTTGATGTGGTTTCCTCTAGATTCTCTCAATAGACGTATTTCGCCCGAATGTAAATCGGTCTAGAATTGCGATCGCCCGTGTTTTCCGGTGACTCGCTAGGTCTACGTTGCTAGCCCGAATGCGCGCACGGGATTTCCACGCCTCAGGAGCGATCGCGGCGAGATTTCCGGAGGCCTCTCTGTGTGTATGTGACAGCGCACTTCTTCCAGTCTGCCTATCTGTGTTCCCCCCCTTCGTCTTGTATTTACCTATTTATTTGATCTGGCACGGGCGGGTCTCGGCGTACCATGGAGCGGCGTGTGCTGCGAGTCCGTGACAGCTGTTCGTCAATTTCCCACCTCATCTAGCGTACCAGCCTTCGCGTTCTACGTGGTCGGCCCCATGGCGTTAGAGGCCGGGTGCGAAACTCGCAAAGACCAAAGGGCAGGAAAGGAAAGAGGAGGCGGGAAAAGAGAGAGACAGAGACAAGAGAGGCTCCATGCTCTGCCACCTGCTTTGATAGACACGCGACCCTCCTTGCGTGATGGTAATTGTGGCTCGTCGGCGGAGGGACGGGAGGAGAGCAGAAGGAGGAGGAGGGATGGGGATGAGCTAAGGCAAGGAGGACGGCCTGACTTGGGCCTGCCACCCCCTAGCATAGGTACCTACGGTTACTGCCTGTAGTGCGTTTAGCACATAGGGGGTACCTTAGGTTACTCATACAGGCACATGTGTATTGTGTAGGTATAATCCTGACGATGTATATATGTATGTCTATGCATGCATACGCACACGATACAAGACATGCAATGTGTTCATATGTATGTACATGCAATCCCGTCCACACCTACAAATCAATACCGACACCAACACCGCCTCCTTCATACCTACATTCATACATACATTACATACCGTTCGGCCTCTCGCAGCCGGCGGAATTCTTCATTGCGACGGCGAACCCGGTCGCCTATTGCGCAGCCCTCGCCCCGCGGCGTCGACCTCGCCGGCATCGCTCTTCGTTGCGCGATCTCGGCGCGCGACGCGCACGCAAACCCGGCCAGAGAACTTGGGGGTGCCTACGCTGGCGATCGGTCCCGGGATGCCCAGATTAAAATTTCCGTTTTTCGCTCGAGACTGCCGCCGCGCGTTGGGGTAGGCGAAGGGCAGAAGGAGGAGCGAGGAGAGGATAGTAGGCTCCTTTTTTTTTCGTTTGCTGAGAGTACTTGTTTCTATTTTGCTTCCGTTGCGACGTTGGCTCGACGGATCTACCTAGCGTCTAGTGCGTGCCGGCGGCGGTGGTTGGCTCCGGCTGGGGAGACAAGAGTCGGCTCGTTCTCTGGTCTTCCTCCTCGCCCTCCTCCGCCTCCTCTCGTTTCAGACGACGCCACTCGAGCTCTCCGTGCGGCATAGCGTGAAGGGGGGAGGAAGAGGGGCAAGGGAGAGCGGGAGAGGAGAAGAACGCGTGTGTACAGTAAGTCGTGTGCGTAAGTATCGATGTATGCGTGGGCAGATGCCTTTCCTTTCTTTTTTGGGTTTCTTCTTCCTTTCTGTGTACCAAAGCACTATGGCAATGTTTGAGGCTTGACGAATGGAGAATGCCGAGGCGTTGATCAGGCACGACGACAAGTGATGATGCTCCCTGGGCCGATATGCTGGCGGTTCGCCCCCGACGCTACCGCTGTGCGCTTGACGATGAGGGCAATGATGTGCACAATGGCATTGTGGCATTAAATTATACGGCCGCGTCCATGCCCTTTTGGCGCGCCCAAGTCAAGAAAAGCTTCGCCATATGATATCACGGGTGTCCGATAATAAGATGAGCTCATATCAATGATCCCGGAAGCGAGGACGGGGTCAAAAGGAGGAGGAGAGAGATACGATCGAGGGGAGCTTTCTCTCTTCTTCCTCTGCTTACCTGGGTTCTCCATCTGTCTCTGCTTGTCTCGCCATCGTCACCTCGTGTTTACGGCCTAGCACGGGCAGCGATTTGCAAACAAAAGCCGGGATGGGAGGGCGCCGGTTGGTCAATCGTTTCCCTATTCCCTCGCGCTCTTCCAAGGCATCGCACCGAGCATTGAACAGTCCCCTGTTTTGAGCGTGGCTTGGGCGTTGGCGAGTCGGGATGCTGGCCTGGCACGAGGCGACCCTCCCCCTGGAACAGGAAGAGCTCACATAAACGACTCCCGGCCAATCGCGCAATTTCTTCCCTTGCCCTCTTCCACATCCAGTCGATGATGGAGTCCCTGCTGCTCTTCGATGGCAAGGCCGCAGCAGCACTTTTCTTGGTCGAGTAATGAAGCCCCTCTTTTCTTCGACGATCTTGCTCTAGAACCGATGCATTATGCCTACATACATACTCATATGTGCGGGCTCTACATCAGGCACATACATATAGTATGCCTAGACATGCGTGCATCTGTTCATGTGCGCACACAATGGTGTCAATACATACGCCTAGGCATGCAACCTGCCGGTGGCGCACATGCACGTTGTGTGTTCTAGGAGGCGGGCTGTCTCTCATAATGGGACAGACATCGTACGCAGACTCATACTACGTACGATATAATTAATATATATATGTGTATGCGTGTATCAGGTGCAGAATAGGCAGCTTGGTGCGAGCAGGAGAATGGCGAGGAGTGGCAGAAGACGGAAAAAGGAGCAGGAGGAGGATGAACTGGAACTGGAAGGAAGGCAACCCAATTCTTCCCTCTTATTATTACATCCTCGTCCGCTAGCCAGCTCGACTACGTTTCGCGATTCACGAAGCTGACCTTGCGGTCTCTAAAACTGGGCTAGGCTAGCCGTAGAAGTTCCCCAGCGTCCAATCGTCCGCCAAGGGAGTCATGGTTTCGAGTGTATTAGGTATACTCCTAAGCTGGGCCTTGCACACACGACTCTGGCTGGGCTCGGGCTCCACGACGATGGGCACCGAACAGGGGGGCGGCTAGACTGGGGTGCTAGACCTCGACTTTACCCACCCGCATGCAAGGGGTAAACAGCCGCCTTTTGGATCCTGGAACCAAAGATATCTCTCGTCAGGGGCATAGGACGGGGTTGCATCTTCTCTGTGTTCTTGGCTTCCTCGCTAACCAGACTGTGTTCAATCTTCACCTTCTTTCCTCTCCAGCCTGACGCGTTATCCCTCTTTCTGCTTGGAGTCGTCTCTTGGTATATTCCTTCCCACACTCATTTGCAAACCCTATTATCTCCTAGCCGTAAGTCTCGTTTCATATGCGTCGACTTCGCCAACCACGCTCTCTCATAAACATCGTCAACCGTGCCGTCATCCAGAACGCCCGTCCGAGGTTGACCATCTGCTACGACAACCAACGCTCCTGGTTACCACCAACTCTTCCGGTCCTTCTCCCGAAGGCAACTTGCTTGCCCTTCTCTTCTTTCCATAGGTTGACCCTTGGCCGTCTTTGACTTGCATGGTTTTTGTTTCCTTGAGTCGAACCGTATCGCATTCTTTGGTTGTCGTGCCTGTATGTGCCATTTCTCCCCTACGAATTCAACGTCTTCTTGAGTTTGCCGAAACGAATTTACCTACCCAATTTCGAAACACCAAATCTCGGAACGACGGTCCATTCCTCGGGACAAACCCACTCCTTTTTGAATAACCGATATATTCTTTTTTTAATAATAGATTCTGGCTCGAGCCAAAAAAAAAAGGGGGGGCTACCCACGGCTTGATATCCCGGACAACATCATCTAGCGATTGATTTTTTTCTTCTTTCGGGACAGCACATAGCCAGGTTGACCGCGCTATTCATACGCATATCTCCGGCGAACTAGCACGCCTGTAGACAACGAACATTCCGTTTCCCGACGGTTTCACGATTTCCTTGGACTCAACACGGCATAAGAGAGAAAAAGCGAAGCTGAGCGCGATGGCGGTATCGAATTCGAGGTGGAACGTCCGGCGAGCGGCAATATGGGCCATGGCATTGGCTACGGGGGTTCTAGGCGACGACCGACTGGTCACGAAAGGGTTTACCAACTGCGAGGCGGAGAGCGTCGTCAGGATCCAGCAAGTAGACATCTCTTTCAGCAACTCGGACAAGATTGTGGTTTTCGACATTGCGGGTGTGAGCAGCAAACGACAGAACGTGACGGCGACGTTGGCCGTGAGTGCGTACGGCCAAGACATTTACACAAAAAGCTTCAACCCTTGCGATGAAGCTACGTTGATCGCAGCTCTGTGCCCCGGTAAGCCTATTTTTGATTTCTACGTACTCTGCGGACTGATCGACCGTCGATTCTCTCTCCGTCACTTCCGCCACGAGTTCAGTGGTAGGGCTAACGGTACAAAATAGCCCCGGCGGGAAGCTTCTCCGCGAGGGGTTCGCAAGCGGTCCCTGCGGAATATGCTGGCGCCATTCCCGGAATCGCTTTCCAGATGCCCGACATCGTGGCACAAGCGACGCTGAAACTGAAGAGCTTAGACGACGGAGCGGAGGTGGGCTGCGTCAGGTGCCAGATAACGAACGGGAAGTCCGCGGTCATCCCAACGGTCGCATACATCGCTGCCGGTGTAGCGGGAGCAGCCTTACTCGTGGGTGGTGTCGGAGCCGTCGGTGCTACACTCTCCGGAGGAGCGGGTGCGGGCGGCGGTACGATAAGCCCAAGCTTCACGGAGATGTTGGGCGTTTTCCAGGGGTTCGCTATGAACGGCATGATGACCGGCCAGCTACCGCAGGTATACCGGAGCTTCACGCAGAACTTCGCCTTCTCCTCGGGCCTTATCCCGTGGATGCAGATGCAGATCTCGATCGATAACTTCCGCGGTGCCACCGGTGGAAACCTAACCAGGGATAGCGTCGAATACCTCCTCAAGTCCAACTTCGCCTTCCAGAACGGTTCCGTCACGAGACGCTCCCTCGATGGCCTCTCCCTGGCCGCACGCGAGATCGAGACCCAGGTCAGCGGCACAACCCCCAGCGACGAGAGTTTCACGGCGGCAGCCGAGGCGACGATCCGCGAGGCCGTCTCCGGTATCAAGCAATACGCCGAGCAACTATCCGTGCCTCAGTCAAACACGTTCATGACCGTTCTACTAATCGTCGCCATCGTCGTCGCCGTTATCGTTGTCGGTATCCTGCTCATCAAGGTCGTCCTCGAGGTCTGGGCTCTGTACGGCAATTTGCCCGCGTCCCTGACCGGGCTGCGCAAGCACTACTGGGGCTCCATCGCCCGCGCCCTCACGTCCCTAGTCCTTCTCCTCTACGGCATCTGGGTCCTGTACTGCGTGTTCCAGCTCACGCACGGCGACTCGTGGGCCGCTCAGGCGCTCGCCTGCGTGACCCTGTTGCTCTTCACGGGTATCCTGGCCTTTTTCTCGTGGAAGATCTGGACGATGGCGCGGCAGCTCAAGAACACGCAGGGAGACACGTCGGCCCTGTACGAAGACAAGAAGATCTGGTTCAAGTACTCGCTGTTCTACGAGTCGTACAAGAAGGATTACTGGTGGGTCTTCGTGCCGGTCATCTTTTACATGTTCATCAAGGGTTGCGTCCTCGCGGCCACCGACGGCCACGGCATGGCCCAGGCGGTCAGTCTGCTCTTCATCGAGGGATTGATGCTGGCCCTGCTCGTCTGGAGCCGACCGTTCGAGCGCAAGTCGGGCAACGTCATCAACATCATGATCCAGGTCGTCCGTGTCCTCTCCGTGATCTGCGTCTTCATCTTCCTCGAGGAATTCGGCCTCGCTCAGACGACGCAGACCGTCGCCGGCGTCATCCTCGTCGGCATACAATCGGCGCTCGCCGTTGCCCTCGCCCTCCTCATCGCCTGCAACGCCATCGTGGCCTGCGTCAAGCAGAACCCGCACCGCAGGCGCAGAAAGGAGATGGGTAAGCAGTTGACCTCCACCCCCACAATATTTATCAGCGCACTAATTATGATGTTACCACAGAGAAAATGCAACGCGACCTAGACGATCTGACGCCTCTAGACGCGCGCAACTCGCTGTTGATGGAGCGCAACAAGTCTGGTGAATCTATCAATTACCTGGGATCCTTCCCCATGGACAAGAAGGCGTCCCCGGCTTACGAGTCGTCGGGCGACCGGTATATCGGCGTCGCGATCGAGCCGGCGAACCCATACGCGGCGGTGGCTTTATCGCACAATAGGTCGTTGACGCCCGGCGCACGAGACCAGGGCCGCGAGAGCCTCGTGTTAAACGCGGCGCCCATGGGGCAGGACACGCGCGGAGGCTACTGAGAAGTCATCAGCAGCCCACCTGCGGGTGGGGAGGGGATGACGAAAGGAGTGGTAGAAGAACAGAATGACAGTTGGGAGAAAAGGTAAGCTTTTTTATGGGGGGAGGCAAGGGCGTCAGGGACGGAGGTTAAACCGGATGATAGAACTTCTGAGGAGGGAAGAGGGAGAAAGAAACAAGCCACTACCCTAGTCGAGTCGGCAGAGCTCGATAAACACGGGTTGGGTATATATATACCAATACGTAACGTGGCCACGAAACGCTGTATAACAGACGACACAACCTACCTATACTAACAACCCCGTAACCACCCAACGACTCTCCGGGCGATCATGGCCACGGATGGATGAGGGCGGAGAGGAGGGGTTTCTGGATCAACAATACCCCCCTTCTTTAGCCATGCCATGCTTGGCCTACTTAACCGACCTAACCGGCCTGCGCTCGCCTATCCATCTATACATAAACATACCTTTACATAGACGCAACAACATCATCGTATATCCCATTTATTAATAACCAAGGCAGGGCCCAACTTTCTCAACCTAGTCAGTATAGACCTATACAGCTGCTAGCAGTAGTGAATTGTAATGATCACGGTGGTGTCTGGCGTGCTATTGTGTGTCTTGTCGGCTGCCGGCTACCTGTTCGTATGTATCGGCTCGCGATTCCTTCAGACTATGCCGCCGACGGTTCTCGAGGTACTTGTTGTTCCCTTTGGTTCTTACGTTGTATGTGTGTGGCTAGCTGGTATGGCGAAGAATAAGGAAGAGGGAGGAGGGAAGAGGGAAGAGGGGAATGCTTATGTTCTAGGCAGCTTTAGGGAATGCATTTAGCCGAGCCGAGGGGCTGTGAGATTCTAGTATCGTGTCGATATTGACCCGTTATGGAATATCAGGGGTTATTATGTAATATGCGACGTACTTCTCTGCCACCGACGCGTGCGACCGAAGCTGCCTTGGAGGGGAGCTCCGGCCAACCACAACGTAACCATTCGGTCTTGCCTCTATCGCCAACCGTCAAGTCAAGTCGTCTTGACTCTGACCCTCCCGTTCTTCTTCTTTTTTCACCCTCTCTTTTACAACATCTCTCGCAGCACCTACACGCTGCTATCTCCATCCACCCAACCGACCTCCGACGACGCCAGTATCGCCCCTCACGCCATTTCGGAATCCCCTTGCGAGAACTTGCCGTGCTCAATCCAGGTATCGCGCCCCGCTCCCACCAGATCCCAGCTATGGATGCCCTCGTAGCCAGGTACAGCCGTCCGGCTACCCTGCACCGCGAGACGGTTGCGGAGGACCAGCAAGATGAGCTTCATAACGACATGGCACCTGCCTTATCCCTCAAATTCGCCATGCCTCCCGTTGCTCAGGTGAGTCCAGTCGGCGCCCCAGCGTCCCAATCCGCCAAAGAGAGAGAATCGAGGCGAGAATCGGCCTAAGCTAACATCGGCTTTCCGAAAACCAGCCCTCAGCCTGGCTCCGCGCCATGACAGATGACCGCTCGAACCCCGACTGCCCCATCAAGATCGCCCACGGCACAACTACCCTCGCCTTCCGGTTCCAGGGCGGCATCATCGTGGCGACCGACTCGCGAGCGACGGCCGGCAACTGGATCGCCTCGCAGACGGTGAAGAAGGTCATCGAGATCAACAACTGCCTGCTGGGCACCATGGCCGGCGGCGCCGCCGACTGCCAGTACTGGCTCGCCTGGCTCGGCATGCAGTGTCGCCTGCACGAGCTGCGGCACAAGCGCCGCATCAGCGTCGCCGCCGCCTCCAAGATCCTAGCCAACCTCGTCTATCAATACAAGGGCATGGGTCTGTCCATGGGCACCATGTGCGCCGGCGTCACCAAGGAGGAAGGGCCCGCCCTTTACTACATCGACTCCGACGGCACCCGCCTCGCCGGCAACCTCTTCTGCGTCGGCTCCGGCCAGACCTTCGCCTACGGCGTCCTCGACGCCGAGTATCGCTACGACCTCTCCGAGGAGGACGCCCTCGAGCTCGGCCGCCGCAGCATCCTCGCCGCCACCCACCGCGACGCCTACTCCGGAGGGTACATCAATCTCTACCACGTCAAGGAGGAGGGCTGGGTCAAGCACGGCTTCAACGACACAAACCCCATATTCTGGAAGACGAAGCTCGAGAAGGGCGAGTTCACCAACGTCACCAGCCAACTAGACTAAAGTCCCATGTTCTTTACTGCTACTTGCCAGGGGGATCCCTTCGGGAGGGGTAGGGGAGGCGGGAGACGGGGCGGTTTTAGTACAGCGCTGAAATACCAACGGCCACTACTCTCGATATAAAAGGGGCTAAGGGGACAAGGGGGACGCCTCGCCCCTGGTGGAAATCGCGAGGGCCTAACAAGTAAAACACAACGCAGGGCGGCGGAAAGTGGAAAAGAGCTTGATAGACTGGCTGGCGGTTACTGCTACATTTAGCCGTCCAGGCGATTCCCACGCGCCTCTCCCTCCAGGATTCGTCGGGTAAATGTACAAGAATTGAGCCATCGATGTGGCATCTGCGACCGAATGCGCAATAGTAATCCCCCCCGACTCTCAGCTAAATGCCCTAACGCCGGTCTACATGCATAATATGCCGTGCCGTGCCAACCGCCAAGTGGTATTATAATCGTACAGTAATCGTAGGAAACAAGCGTTTCGCCGGCTCTATAGTGGCAGTCTCCATTTTCAGCGGGACGGAGTTAGCTCATCTCTCCTCCGTCTCGCTCTCGCCATCCTCGTCCCTCCGCACCCAGCCCTCGGCGCCGAGCACGCCGCCGTCCTCGGCGGCCGGGTCGAGCGTCCAGCGGCGGAGGGCGATCACGTCGGGGCGGCTGCGCCAGCCGGCCTCCCACATCTCGACGGCGGCCCAGGCGATCATGGCGGCGTTGTCGGTGCACAGGCGCGCGGGCGGCCGCACGAGGGCGACGTCGGCGTGGCCGCGCGCGTCGAGCGTCGCGCGCAGCACCCGCATCAGGTACCCGTTGCGGGCGACGCCGCCGGCGACGACGACGGTGCGGACGCGGCGGCAGAGGGCGGCGCGGTCGTCGTCCCGGGCCTCGGCTTGCGCTCGGGCTTTCGCGCGCTCGCTCGCCTTTTTCCCTCCCCTTTCCCCCTCTTCCTCCTCCTGCTCCTCCTCCGCCGCCTCCCCGTCGCTCGCAGGGCTAGCAGCAGCGCCAGCGGGAGGGACGCGCCCGGCGAGCGCGAACAGCAGGCGGCTGGCGAGGTGCTCGAAGGCGAGGCGCATGGCGTGGCGGGCGAGCAGGCGGCGGCCGGCGACGCCGAGGCCCGGGTGCTGCTGCAGCACCTTCTGCACCTGGCCGTTGAGCCCCGCGAGGTCGTACCGCATCGCGGACGTGCAGGACAGCGGCGGGGTCAGGAACCAGCCCTGGCCCGAGTCGAAGAGGCGGATCTCGTCGACGCGCGCGCGCGGCGGGACGTAGCCGTAGTCGTAGTCGGTCAAGCCGTTGTCGTCGTCCTCGCCCGGCGCCAGGGAGAGGCCCGGGGGCGGCGCAGAAGAAGAAGAAGAAGAAGAAGAAGAAGAAGAAGAGGGGGGGGCGTCGGGAAAGGCGAAGCGCTCGAGCAGCGGCCCGTACATGGCGCCGTCGCCGTCGCGGGCGACGGCGGCGATCTCGGAGGCGGGCACGATCGCGCGGCCGCACTTGTCGAGCATGTCGCCGACGGCGATGTTGTCGGCCTCGGCGAGGACGGCGTGGTCGGCGAGGGCGCGCGAGAGCACGAGCAGGGTGTGGCCGCCGGAGACGAGGAGCGAGAGGAAGGGGAAGGCGGGGGCGGGGGCGGGATCGGGGGCGCGGCCGGGGCGGTCCCAGGCGGCGAGCGCGCCGACGAGCCGCGGCGTCAGCGCGTGCGCCTGCATGTGGTGCACGGCGACGAGCGGCACGTCCCAGGCGACGGCGAGGCCCTTGGCCGTGTTGAGCCCGACCGACAGGTTCGACTGCATGCCGGGGCCGCGCGTGACGCCGACGAAGTCGGGCTTGCGCCGCGCGCGCCCGCCGGCCCAGAGCACGTCGCGCGCCGCGTCGCGGGGGCCGGCGGCGGGCAGCGCCGCCGCCGCCGCCCGCGCCATCCCCGCCAGGTGCTGCGAGTGCGACACCACCGCCTCCACCGGGTGCACGCCCCGGAACCGCCGCTGGTCCGAGGTCAGCTTCCGGTCGAAGAGCAGCCGCGCGGCCGCGCGCGAGGGGTGCGTCTCCAGCACGGCCACGCACGTGTCGTCGCACGAGGTCTCGATGGCTAGGGTGACTAGGGTGGCGCGCCCCGGCGCCGACGCGGCACGCGTCGCGGGAGGGAGGGCGAGGCGGAGAGGGAGGGCGGCGCAGAGGCTACGGCGCGCCGCTCGTAGCGCGCGGCATGGCCGCATCGGTGTCGACCACGCCGCGCTCATGAAGACGGTTGCGCGCGACGTGCGAGGTGGGAGGTAGGAATGCGTGGTGATCGCCGAGAGCTTGCGAGCTTCGTCATTGTTGGCGGGGCGAGAGGTTGCCTCTACCTATCTCGATCACCTTAGACATGGCTTTTCTTTTCTCCTTTTATTTAAATTTTTTTCTTCGTTGAGGTCCTTTGGTTTGGCCACGCCCCGTAACGGCCCGGTTCGATATTACTTGGTTATGGCTTGTTGCCTGCCTAGGTATGGCTGACAGCTGATAATCTAACAACCGGCTGTCCTTCCATCGCCTCGAGGGAGCAAGTGGCCACTGGCTATCGGCGCTGTATCACCTGCTGGCCACTGGCAGCTGTCCCTGGCCGCTTCGCGGTTGACAGACTTGCTATCGCGAACCACCACCACTGGAACCACACCACTAGAATACCCACGAAGAAATGCCCTGTCTACGTCGCCTAGTGCTCAACCCGCTTATCCTCATAATAGATGTCTCCTGTAATGCGACTTAACTAGGCTAATACGTAGATCCTCCCGTCCGCGCTGCACAGCATTGCGTCGTGATACATTCGATGTTCGACACTCCAGAAAATAAATGTCATCATTGAGGTGAAATAGCTAAGGGTCCGTATGTACCACCGGCCAGGGATTCCCTCCCCCTCTGTCCTCCCCTCCCCTCCCCCCGCGCGTACAATCCATAAGAAACTAGTAGGATATACGCTATTCAACCCCCCCACCTCCCCTATTACCCATCCCAGCCTCGCCAGTCTGTCGTCATCCCCTTCCCCGTTACAGCGCCGCGAGACTCAGCATCCCGACAAGACCCGCCACCAGCGTCGCGGCGAGGGCGCCGCCGACTCTGGCTCCGTCGCTCCTCACCGGCGTCAACGGCTGCTGCTGCGTGTCGCTGTTCGGCAATCCCGCCGACGCCGACGCCAGGGCCGCGGTCGCCGTGTCCGTCGGGTTCTCCGATGCGTCGCTGCTGCCGTCGGTGCTAGTGCCGGAGCCCGATCCCGATCCCGATCCGGAGTTGTTGCTACCGCTGCTGCTGCTGCCATCAGTGCTGCTGCCGCTCGAAGGCAGCGGCACCAGGGCTCCGGGGGTGGAGCCGCCCGGGAGCGCCACCAGCGTGCCCGTGGGCGCGGCGGCGCCCACGTTGGGCAGGGCCACGAGTCCGGCCCCGGTGCCGTTCGGGGGCGCGGCCGTGGCCGTAGCCTCGGGGCCGAGGGCCGCGGTCGCGTTGGGGAAGCTGCCGAAGCGCGACGTGGCGAGGGCGCCGCCGCCGACGAACGCGGCGCTGCTGATGCTGCTGGCCGACGCCGTGGCGACCAGCGCCGACGAGACGTCGCCGCGCGTAATCGTCTGGAAGCCCTGCTGCGAGCTCGCCACGGAGGGGAGCGCGATCAGCGCCGGAGCGCTAGCGCTCGAGATAACCCCGAGGCCGCCGCTGCCGACGACCACAGCCGAGGTCGTAGCGACTACCACCGCGCTCGTCGTCGCGGCTCCAGGCGGGATGATCTGGAAGCTCTGGATGGCGCGGGAGGTCTGGGGGAGACTCTGGAGCGGGGCCGCCGAGCTCAGGGTCGGGAGCGCGACGAGGGTCTGCCACGGGAGGTTAGTAGAGAGACGGGTGGGCCTCGGGTCTAGAGCAGTCGACTGTACCTGAGACGTCGCGATTTGGACCAGCGAACTCGATGTCGCTACCACAATGGCCTGCGTGCTGGAAGATGTCTGGAGCGCTACGGACTCGAGCACCGCGCTGCTCGTGGCGCCAACAGCCACGCTGCTGGTGCTGGTGCTGATGGCTACGCTGATGCTAGTGCTGGTAGCCACGCTGCTGACGGTGCTGATAGCTACGCTGCTGACGACGGCAGAAGTGGCCTCGGTGGCTGCAGCATCCGTGGCCCCTGGGAGAGCGACCAGCTGGCCGGAGGTGATTTGCGCTCCCGGAAGTTGTACAAGCCCAACAGCTGAAGAGGCATCGGCGCCGCCGGCTTTCTCTTGCTGGCCCTGGGCGTCGGATCCGGCTCCCGCCCCGACGCTCGGGAGCGGCTGGAGAGGCTGGAGAGAACGCAGTCCTCCTTCGTTTCCCTGGGGTAGAGGGGTCAGGTTGGCACAAACACCGTTCATAGTCGTGCCGAGTGCAACGGCCAAAGCCGCAACTAGACGTGATTGCCTCATTTTTTCCCTTTTATTCTTCCCTTTCCGAATGCCTGTTACTTTTGCGTCTCTCGACGGTCCTTCTTCCCGTCGGCGTTGTTGATCGTAGGTATCGAGTTACGATGCTAGCACAGGCCCGGGCCGAGAGCGTATTTACTTTACAATAGGGAACCAATAAAACGAAGGGTCTAGAAGAAGGAATGCGAGAATTATAAGAGAACGTAAGAGTGAAAGGACTGCTCAACAGTATGTGCTGACCGGCAGACGACGAAGATAGCTAAAGAACGGCTGTCGAAAGAACGGACGGCCACGAAGAGACTGCGGATAGAGAGGTGAGGTGGGAGGAGGGTATCCAGCCCCGGAAAAAAAGAGAGAAGGGACCGGAAGAAAAGAGAAAGAAAAAAACCTGGAATGACACCAGCAAGCCAGGGGGGATGCCGCGATTCACTGTGGTCAGACTACGTGCATATATCATACATAAGGGACATAACCACCTACACCCTCTACGCATACTACTACGTACCTATATAATTAGGTAGTCCTCCAAGTCCCAAGCCCCAGACATCTCATCATCATCTCATCTCGCTGTTTGACATCTCTTGGCTAGGCCTATACCTCTCTCTCCCTCTCTCCCTCTGCGCCCTTCCCTGCGAGGACCCATGACGAGCGACTTCACCTTGGCTGGCCATCGTGATCAAGACGCAAGATTGCCTGCCCTAGAAACGAAATTAAATTAACCTTACATAGCTCCCCCTCCGCCCCCCCCCCCTGCCGGGCCAGGGGTGCAAGGGGAGACGGCGGGCGGGAGCCGAGGGGGATGCGTGCCTTGGCGGACGAGCTAGGCCTCTGTAGATGATGGCACTGGACGCTCGCATACATATATGTCTGTACTCAGTATTTATGTATGTACGTGTACCACGGCCTTCAGCGAGAACTCGCTCGCCCGCTCGCAATACTCGACGGTTCCGGAAGCCCAGCGCCCAGCGCCCAGCGTCCAGCATGAAGACGGAAGAGAGGGAGGGGGGGAGACTCGAGACGACGCCCGCGGCGGCAGAAACCACGCGATCGTGCCGTTGGTCGTTAGCAGTTCTCGACCCAGGCGCTTGCCGTGCGCATGCCAGCAGCGCATTTACCCGGGGAGGAGGAGGGCTGGTTTGGGGCAATCGGGGGGGAGGGGGGGGGGACGCGATCGACGGGATGGCGTGTGCAAGGCGTATGATGTGCAAGAGGTGCGGCGGTGCCGGGAGGACGCAGGACGCGGCTCTACAGGAAGCCGGCCGGCCGTTGCACCCCCTCTCCATCCGGCAGTATGGGTGGGTGTGGGGATGGCAGTTGGGCGTGCCCTGCCATCTCAACGACCAGCAGCCGGAAATCTCGCCTGCCCCTCCCTGGCCCTGTCTCGCTTTCATTCAGGGCAGGGGAGCGGTGGAGGGGGCAACAGCTCATTTGCGCACGTAGCCAGGGGCAGAGGGGAGGGGACGAAGACGGGACGAAGACCCCTTCTTCTTTGCCAACTCTCCCTCGCCCGGCTGAGACGAAGCCCTGCCGCATCTGAAACGCCGGCCCAGTAAAGGGGACGCAGGCGAGAGACTTCCGGTCGACCCCACACCTCGACGGCTTGGCGGCACACTCGCGCTAACCTCGTCGGCGATGAAGTCATTTCTCTCTCTCCCGCGCCGCGGAAGCGTGTACGTGCCATGCCTACCTCACGGAGGCAGAGAGGCAGAGAGAGAGAGAGAGAGAGTAAGAGAAAAGACCTACGGCCTACTACTGGGTCCCGGGATGGGACTAGTCCCACGTGTGGATGACCTCGTTGAAGCGGGCGGTAATAAACGTGGTCTTGCGTTCCCGTACGCGCGCATACGTACGCTGCCGACGCCGACGACGAGACTTGCTAAAAGTGTGATAAATAGGTGATACCGATAAGTCTTTTATTCTTCACACGTCCCGTCCCGATATCGCGGGCAATGCGATACAATACACAGCACGACGTGCGCTGCGCCACGCCGTCGTGGATTCAAGACTCCCTAACGCCCCCTCGAATATTTCTTTCGGCCGAGCCTGCAGTTTCTTTTTCGTCCCAAGCGAATATAAATAATATCTACGCTAGGAGCTTGGGACGCCCCTTAGAAAGAAGCGAACGCATCCCCCATCCTCCTCCCCTCCCTTTTCCCACCTCTATTTTCCGTTTTGGGTGTTCGGACGTACAGGAGCATGGAGTCAAGGTCATTTGGGCCCATGTCCTACATGCTGCCCTCGGCTGGCGTACCCCCGGATTGCTGTGCGTCGACGCCGTGTAAGGCGTCGCCGAACGCTGAGTCTTCCATGTCTAAATCTAGGCCCTCGCCAAGGTCCCCGGGCGTCCCGCCAAATCCGGCGAGAGCATCCCCTGCCGTATCTAAATTATCCAGCGAACCAAAGTCGGTTTGGTCACCGTCGAATCCGGCCGAAGGCGTCCCCGTCGCCGAAACCGGCTTGCCCGGGGTCGCCGCCGCTTTCGGGGGGTTATTTGCGGGGGCCGTGTTTGCGGGCACGTCCGGAGCGACGCCGCCCTTAGGAACCATGACCCAATCTCCGCTCCCCGTCCCCTGATCCGGGGTAGTTCCGGTGGGCAGTTCGACGGCTCCGGCGCCTTCCATCTTCACGTCACCTGTATCATCCTTGGGGGCAGGTTGGCGCGGCGAAGGGGCATTATTCGGGTTCGCGGGCGTAGCGACGCTGGAATGAACCGCCGAAGCCTGCGGCTGCGGCGTCGGGAAGTTATTCATCGGCGTAGAGATCGACGACGCACCAGTTCCCGTGTGCATTTGATCGAGAAGGCCGGCCGCCGTTCCGCCCATGTCGATGTCGGAATCCCCCATCATAAATCCACTATGCCCACTATGCTGGGAGCCCGCGTGTGACGGCTGGCGGGACATCGGAGTGTCACCGTTAGGGGGCCCATTCTGAAGCCCGCCGACAGCGGGGAGGGGAGCCGGAATAGGTTGGGGCGCCGGCTCGGGGGTGGGTTCTTGATAGCCACCGTCTTGGATTCGCCTAAGCTCGTAGATGACCTCCGCCCTACGGCCGAGATGTGCCTCAACCTGGGATACGATATCGTCGACTTTCTTGTTGTGTTTTAACGACCAACGATTGGTGCCATCTTCATTGTCCTCAGCTCGGCCTTCAAGCTGCAACGCGTCCGAACCTGGCTCGTCCACAGCGGATCGTAACTCTCTCTCGGCGGTAGTCAGCAGAGAATTATGTTTGAACTTGGTGACTTTCTTGGCGTGATCAGCTTTCATCTTCTCGATGTCTGCTTGGGTAGACTGGATCCGGTCGTTAACCCGCTTGCGAAACTCGGATGCCTGGACGGGGTCTAGGCGAGCAGTGGCAGGCTTTGAAGGCGACTGCGTGGCAACGTTAAACCCGTGAGCCTCGAAGAGCCCGTCGGTGAGGCCCGACAGCTCGCCTTTGAGACCCAGTCCGAGGTCTGAAAACCCGATCTGGGCCATCCTATAGGGAGACGACAATATCTCCTCCATCCACTCGTGATTTTGACGGTATCTAGCTAAGCTAACCTCCCGCGGCGTCAGATGGTCGAACATGTCGCCGCGGGACGTATCCTCCTCGTCATCGTAAGCGCTATCCGGTGGCGGGGGGGCGGCGATGGCGGGCGGGACTTGACCCTGGGCAGCCTGGGCAGTTCGGGCGCGTTTCGATGGCGGTCCACTGCCAACGTTAGAGGGGTGAGGCGGATATGCCATCGTCTGGGGGACTCCACGGGGCGCAGGATACATCGGCGGCCGCGACGTGTCCCTGGGCCAGGCGATCTGTGGCCAATTGACCCTATCACCGAGGATGAATTCCTTCCGCTGAATCTGTCCACAACGCATAAGGTAGGCGCGGGTCTCGAGGATAGACTGCATTCGAGGATCTCGCGGGAGCATCTGGGAAGGGACGCGCTCATTGTTGTCGAGGGGGCCGTAGTGGACAATCCAAAGACTGGGGTCGACCTGGGGGGCGTTCGGGTTGTGGACGCTGGGGGGGATGAGGCGAAAGCGACGCCTCGAACGCGTTGCGAACGGCTCGCCATAGGAGAATCCGGCCTTGTGGAGATACATTTCGAGGATCTGCGCGGGTCAGCAAGGAAAAATGAACCGTGACGACACTCGAGAAGCGGCCAAGCGGCCAAGCGGCCAAGCCAGACATACCACGCCGTTTCCCACTTCTTGCTGCAGGTACTGCTCCTGAGGAGGCCAGATGTACCCGTCGCTGGCAAAGCTGGTGCCCATCTGTTGCAACGGCTGCCACGTCAAGTAGATAGCGCCGTCGCCAGGACGCTCGATGTATGTCCAGTAAAATGGAGCAGAGTCGCGGGCGATCTTGGGGGCTTGCATCAGCCAACTGGTGACTTCAGAAGGGTCGACGCGAGCCTTGACGGGGTGTCGATGGGTCGAAATCAGATGCACATGGGGAAGCTAGAGGCGTATCTGTCAGCAGGCGTCGACGACGATGCGCAATGGATATAGGCAGGTTAGCAGTACCAGGTCTCTGTGGACCCCGAAACTGGGGTCGCCCATCGCCGACATGGTGCTTGAGAAGAGCAGGGCTGACTGTTGTTCGCAATTATCTCCGCCAGTTCGAGACCGGTTTAGTTGGGTGTGCGAATTACAATATCCGCCGGCGTTGTCGAGGATGGGCTGGAGTTGCGGCGGGAGGGTGGGAGAGGAGCGCGAGGCGCAACAACGACTTCGGAAAAAGACGGGGCTGCGCGGAACTGGAGATTTCGAGTCGCGAAGATGCGCGACGGAGAGAGAACTAGGCAAGACGACGCCTTGGAATTATTTGTTAGATTTGTGGCTTAGCTAAACTGTGGCTTCGACTATCGCACGGGCCACATTGTTGCTCGGAGTGGCTCTCACGTGACAGGTACCTCCTGATGGTACATAGGGGTACCTCCTAATGTAGCATCTCCCCCAACTCCTTGTTCCTCTTAAATCTAGCTAGGTTTTTAACCACCTACGCTTTGCCTCACAATGGGGGGATATCCATCCCCAAGGGGACTCCCTGCGAAATTTCACCAAGGTAATAAAGCTGCTCCCGATCTCGTGCTCTCTACAAGCACCTGCTAGCTAGCGTCGCGCGTCGGAGATGCATTATTTCTTATATTCATTTCTGTCCTTCTAAAAGGGGTGGTGGGGTGGTTGGGGGGGGGGCTATGACACGTCACAGCATGCTACGTCCGCGAGTCTCCTTTTTTTCCTTCTATCTAGGAATGTGTCCATCCGTATGCCAACCGTATCATCGCCGGGCTATTATATCCCACCCGGGTGGGCGCTCCTACCTTATGCCTGGTATGTGGAAGCCGACACGTTTCCTCCCCGACCGGTCCAGTTCACGTGGGTATACTTGCCCACGGGGTATTTCTCGTTGGCGTACTCGGGCTTCACCAGGAAGGTGTGTGCTCCAAAGTAGTCGCGCTGAGCCTGCAGGAGGTTAGCGGGCAGGTCCGCCGTGCGGTATCCGTCGAACCACGAGAGAGCAGTCGAGAAAGCGGGCGTCGGGATACCAAGCACGGCAGCCTTGGCGACGACGTCTCTCCAGCCGGGTTGCGCCTTGTGGATGGCGCTGTTGAAGAAGTCGTCGAACAGCAGGTTCTCGAGGTCGGGGTTCTTGCGGTACGCCGCAGTGATGTCCTTCAGGAAGACGGAGCGGATAATGCAACCGCCTCGCCACATCAACGCGATCGAAGGCTTGTTCAGCTTCCATCCGTACTCTCTCGCAGCCTAAACATTACCTGTTAGCAACATAGTTCCGCAGGGATGTGGAAGGGGGGAAGCTCCAGACCTCTTGCATTAGCATGAACCCCTGAGCGTAGGAGATGATCTTGGAGGCATAGAGGGCCTGCTCGAGGTCCTCGAGGAATTGCTCCTTGTTACCCTCAAACTTGGTCTCGCGGGCAATGTATTGAAGCTTCTTCGAGGCCTTGACACGCTCATCCTTGATCGAAGACAGGCAGCGAGCGAGCACGGCTTCGGCAATCAGGGTGACGGGCATGCCCAGATCCAGGGCGTTGATGGCGGTCCACTTGCCGGTACCTTTCTGGCCGGCCTGATCAAGGATCTTCTCGACGAGGGCCGTTCCGTCATCATCGTTGTAGTACATGATGTCGCGAGTGATTTCGATCAAGAACGAATCAAGCACACCCTTGTTCCACTTGGCGAAAACGTCCCCAATCTCCTTGTTCGACAAGTTCAGACCCCTCTTCATGATATCGTAGGCCTAGTAGGATGCGCTTAGCCTCGTCGCCGCCGAAGGCGCCGTTACGGTCGAGAGGGGGGAAGGCAAACCTCGCAGATAAGCTGCATATCACCGTACTCGATACCGTTGTGGACCATCTTGACGTAGTGACCAGCACCTTCGTCACCGACCCACTCGCAACAAGCCTCACCGTCACTCTTGGCAGAGATGCTCTGGAAGATATCCTTGATGTGGGGCCATGCCTCCTCGTTACCACCCGGCATCAGAGAAGGGCCGTATCGGGCGCCCTCCTCGCCACCGGAAACACCGGAGCCGACAAAGCGGATGCCCTTGCTCAGCAGGTACTTAGTTCGCCGGTTCGAGTCGGGGAAGTGCGAGTTGCCGCCATCGATGATGACGTCACCCTTCTCCAGCAGCGGAAGCAGAGTTTCGATCCAGTCATCGACGGCCTTGCCGGCCTGGACGAGCAGCATGACACGGCGGGGCTTCTTCAGCTTGGACACGAACTCCTCGGTGGAGTGGGCACCGACGATGGACTTGCCCTTGGCCTCGTTCGCCAGGAAGAAATCGACCTTGGAGACAGTTCGGTTGAAGGCGCAGATGGTGAAGCCGTGGTCCGCCATGTTGAGAATCAAGTTCTGGCCCCTACGACGGGTGAATACGACGAACACATAAAGGGAGACATATTGGGGGAAAGGGGAGGGAGGGAGGGGAAACTTACATGACGGCCAAGCCGATGAGGCCCAAATCAGCACTTCCAGAATGGTTAGCATGGCTCTCAGGCACAAGTCTGCAAGGGATTCGGCGGCGGTGATGGGATGGAAGAAGAAGCTCGCCTTGGGCCTCCTAGAGAGCTTGTTATGTTGGTAATACGAGCTCTGGAGGGCCCTCGAGATGGTTTTAGTTAGGTTTGTAGCGAAGGTAGTGGAACGCAAACTCGGCAACAAGGTGACGTTGAGGTGGTGGGGTAGTAACCATCGTGGCCTGGTTGTGAGAGAAGAGAGAAAGGGAGAGGGAGAGGAGGAAAGGAAGATAAAGAGAAGGGACATCGAACTTACACGGCTCCAGACATGATTGCACTGTTGCTTGTTGGCAGTTTTGTTCAATTGAGACAGGAGAGCGGTGGTCGTCGACGTGATTTGTGAAGTTTTCTTACGGTTGGAGGAAGAAGGACAGAAGGTGTAGAGGGAATAATCAATGCAACCGAAGCCGACGGGTGTGGGAGTGCGGTTACTTTTCTATGATGGCGTTGCTAGGGAAAGGGGGGGGGGTCAAGGGGAGGGAAAAAAAGTGGATGGAGGGGTCGTAGTCAGGGTATGTACCTAGGAGGGGAGAGGGGGAGGGGGTTAAGTCGACGAAGCAGAGCAGGGAGGGGGCAGGTAGCAATGAAGCCTGCGGCATGGCGGGACTGGCACCTCCCTACCTCAGGTAATACCTACCTACCTATAGCCCAGGCGCCTAACTACCGACCTCGGTACCTACCTCTACAGGTAGGTAAGGTACCTAGAAATGCATTCCTCCCACCTGGAAGTTAGTGTGCACAGGCTCCTGACACAGTGTTTAAGTTACCTAGACCTACCCGCCTTACCTCCTCTACCTACCTGGGTAGGTAGGTACTTACTCAGGTACTTACTCCCTTGCTAAGCTTGCATGTGTATACACGCTCCATGCCCTATGCGCCTTGGTATTAGCCACACCCTTGCCCAGCTATCTACACGTATCTATTCGTGCCTCCAGCCAGCCAGAGACCGTTATGTGGGAACTCACCTTACTGGTATCACACCCAGCGATCCTATATTACCTATCCCAGGCGCCCATTCATACCCGATGTTGGTTGGCAAGTCGGAGGGGCGAGTTACGTCGTAGCACGGGATCGGCTGCATGGAGGGCACTTCTTCCATTGGGTCCCTGGCTAGAGATGGAGTGATAGCTACAGAACTACGACGGGAATCTTAACCCTCTACTATGGATGCCCATCAACCAGAGAAAATAGTAAAAAATAGCACACTCCGGTGGGGCGCGGGCTTACTCAGGCTTGTCTGTTCTCGAGGGATAAGTTCCTCTGTCGGCCCTGCCAGAGCTGTTGCGGAGCGAGGTCCCTCGCGGGTGTCTCGAAGGAATGTTGTAGGCCGTAATAGTGTATTAGGACTTACTACGAGGCAGTACATGGATGGTCGGTCTGTATCGGTCGTGTCGTGTCAAGTCCCCCGTTACGCCCAACCAACCCTCAGTACCTACCTATCTCCGAAGAGTCTTTGTCGACTTGGGTGCCTTTTGGCAGACCTCGGAAGGAAATACCTCCATGATCATCGATCACAGTGCCTAAAAGAATCATATTTGGTATGGGGAAGGCCCCCTTTATGCCTTATTCCAGGGTTGATTTCAAACTCCCCCATGTTGCATCAACCACGTTTCGTAGGGGAACCCGCCTAGGCCTCCACGTTTGGCTATTCACTAAGTCTCCACATGCAAAATTGTAGAAGCTCCCTCTTGCCCACCTAGCTAAGAAATACAACACGTTTCTACATATATACGTAACCTTCCAGGGAATTTCCAGGGAATCCGAACCCATCTCAGCTTGTGTGTCAGCCGGATCTCTTCAGACCCAGCAAGGCTGCTCACTAGATGGGGCCTTGGTGTCCTCCGCGAGCGGACATGACTTCGCTCGAACACGACCCGGGCACCAGATGGTACTGTCGGCTAAGCTAGGAGAAGAACGCTAGGGTGGTACTAACGCGTCAATAAGTGATTCCTGCACGAATCTCTTCGCTTACCGGAATGCTCAGGAATTGGCATTACTGGCAGCCGGGGTAAGACGGCCCACTAAGCATTCGGCTCTTCGTGGCAAGGCGACAGGTGAACCGTACGCGGCGTAGCGGTACAATCCTCGCTTCTCCTCGCGATACCTGTCCTCCTATGCCTAGCTACCTAGAGAGCAGCCAGTGAACGTCCTCAAAGTCCATATCCCCAACTAAACGCGCAGGCGTAGCATAACCTCGAAAGCAGCGCTCAGACCGATACCACGTATATACGACCCTGTGTAGATGATACGTGACTGGCACAAAGCGCTAATAGGAAACGCAACCTACGAGCGCTCGGCCGCGGGGCAACGTGCCGAGCGTGGAGCAAGCAGCATCGTCGTGACCCGTGGCCCACGGCCCGCGTACTGGGTACCTACCGCTCGACGCTAAACTCCTATCGCCGTGAGGCTGCAAAATATCTCATAGCGAGGAGAGGGCAGCGAAGGAAGGGCCCAGAGCCAATCGCGTCGTCTTCCTTCTCGGCCCTTTACGCGGATTCCCGGGCCTCCTAGATTACGGTCGTTAACACCCCGACACAGGCAGGGCCTGTTGTCATCGTGGGGCATCTGACCGAGACACGGGAGATACGGCGAAACAGATTGAGGCATATTATATGGCGTACCTATGTCGGAAACTCGAAGGCATTGATAATCAGAAACCAGGAGGATCCAGTCCGGAGAGAAGTGCGAACCCCTCCACCTTGTTGTTACCTACCCGTCAGGCGCCGACCCTAGGAGAGCCGTGGGAGATCGACATGTACATCGGCAGAAAAGCAGCATGACCCCCGATTCCCTGTGGCGGGGAATACCTTGATAGGGTACCCAGCTTTCACGTGATCCCGACGCGACTGCGCCACATTTTAGCTTGTACCTTTTAGTTTGGCTTGAGTGCCTTATGTAAGGGACTTACCACGTATGGGATTACGTAACAGTGGCGGATACGAGGCGGTTTGACGCGACCTGAGAAAGAGAATAATTAGGCTGCAAGTTCACTGACCAAACATGAGCTGGGCGACCTTCATCAACCGAAAATTCCACCACTATCACCGCCATCGTCATCACCAACCACGGCACGCCAGGCCATACGTACTATCGTATAGGCGTATCGACCGCATACATAGATACTCGCGCGAGCCGACACCAGTCCTCGGAATAGTAGAGTCACCGCGAATCCCTGAAGGAAGAGAACAAACAAAAAGACCATAGCTAGATCTGGCCTGAACCCGTACTTGGACTCATAGGTACGTGTTGAACCCGAAGAAACACACCAAAAAAATCTCTCTCGGGCGCACAGCAAAATTCATCATGTCCTACCCGCCTCCTCCAGGCTCGAGCACCTCGTCCCTCCCGCCGCGCCCGCCGCCGTCGAGGGCCTCCGGCTTCAAGCCCGCCTTCTCCTCCGCGCACGCGCACGCGCACGCCTCCGCCCCCGGCACCAGCGCCGCGCCCTACGCCGCCTCGAGCTATGCCGGCGCCCCCAGCTCCGCCGGCGCCGTGCAGTACGGCGCCGCCGTCCCGCCGCCGTCCTCGTCTTCGTACCAGCCGTACGCGCGGTCGGGGCCCGTGACCGGCGGCGGCTACCAGCGCCACCAGTCGCACCACCAGTCGCACCACCAACACCACCCACCACCACCAACGAACCCCTACCACCACTACCCGGGCGGACAGCCGTCGCTGCAGGGCTACCAGCAGGGCTACTACGGGGCGCCGCCGGCCCAGGGGCCCGGCGTGACCGCCGCCCCGCCGACGTCGTACGGCGCGCCGCCGCAGATCCGCAACCCCTTCCCGGCGCCGGCCCAGCCGAAGAACGACGACTACGACCCGGACATGGCGGCGCAGATCGCGCAGTGGCAGAGCGCTTACGTTAAGGACCCGAGCAAGGAGGCCACCGGCGCCATCGCAGGGACCGGCGCTGCGGTGGGCGGGCGGGCGGGCGGGGGCGGCGCCAACGGCGCAGTGCCGATGACGTACGGCGGCGACCCGAACGCGGGCGGCGCAGGCCCCGCGGCGGCGGCGGCAGCGGCGGCAGCGACGGCAGCAGCGACGGCGGGCGGCGCGGCCTCGGCGGCGGGCGGCCCGCCGGACAAGAAGAAGACGGTGGTGCGGGCGGGCGGGGGCCAGAACTGGACGGACGACACGCTGCTGGAGTGGGACCCGTCGCACCTGCGGCTGTTCGTGGGGAACCTGGCGGGGGAGACGACGGACGAGTCGCTGTACAAGGCGTTCTCGCAGTGGCGGTCGCTGCAGAAGGCGCGGGTGATCCGGGACAAGGTGACGAGCAAGTCGCGGGGGTACGGGTTCGTGTCGTTCAGCGACCCGGACGAGTTCTTCTCGGCGGCCAAGGAGATGAACGGCAAGTACATCCAGAGCCACCCGGTGGTGGTGCGCAAGAGCACGACCGAGATCAAGCCGACCGTCGTCCGCACCGGCCACGGCGCCGGCCGCAACAGCCACAACAAGAACAAGAACAAGAACAAGAACCGCGGCAACGGGGCCGGAAGCGGCGGCGCCGCCGGAGGCGCAGGGACAGGTGCCCACGAGCCCCATCTCGGGCCCGCCGGCGGCGGCGTCCACAAGCCCGGACAGAAGACGAAGGGCGGGCTGAGGCTGCTGGGCTGAAGCGCCGGACGGGGGAGGGGAGAACGGCGGTCGCGTCGGCCGTGTGCCTGGCGGCGAGCAGGACGGCCGGGAGGATAGGGGATGGGCGGCCCTCTTCGAGCAGCGGCAGAAAAAGAGATGTCCCCTGCCTGCCTACCTGCCTACCTACCTAGACCACGCACCGAACCAGGTCGATCTGCAGGGAGGAGGAACGGGGGGAGCACTACCTCTTTAACCAGACGCTACCGCGCGTGCCTAACCTAATTCTAGTATGTACATAGAGAGGAGGGGGGGGGGGGGGAGGCACGGGACGTGCATTGTATTGTACGAGCGCGCTTAATAGACAGTCTCCCACCGCGAGGAGGTGAATTGTGACAGACCGGGAACGCGACGAGGGGGATGTGCAGATGGGGAGTTGATCAGTGCCTGGCCCCTCCGCGGGTTGCCCGTGCGCGGGCAGGAGGGGTAGGTAGGTAGGTAGCCTGCCCGTCCAGCGCAACAGAAGCCCTACTAGGTACCAGCAATGCCAACCCCTCGTCCTCCCCGTCGACCCTGCGGCGCTGGATCGGCTCTGCTCCTTCGATTCACCCCTACGAACTGCATCTGCTGCGCTCGACGGCAGCGACCTGGGTTGGGAGAGAGACGAGGGTGTAAACATCTATACATATATATATACATACATATGCGTGTGTGTGTGTGTGTGTGTGACAAGTATATATAGAGAGAACGAAAAGACGATACCCGTCCCACGAACCGCGCATACACGCATCATATATCTTCGCTTTCCTCTTCCTTTTCTTCTTTTCGAATAAGACCGAGTTCGGCCACAAGAGTCTATAGACAGAGGAGACGGAGCAAAAGCATTTACGTATCTATCAATCCCTCTCCCTCTCTCTCTCCCTCCCCAAACCTAAGAATTCTCAACTGCCCAACGTACTTACTCGGGGGGTATCTCTTGTGTGCTGCTTGCTTGCTTGCTATCTACTTCGCTTCGCCCGCATTACCTGCCATTACCTCGCATTGCCTTGCCTAGCTTGGATTGTCTTGTCCCTCTCGCGGTTCCCCCCTACCCCCTTCTCTTAAGACTAGGGCTCGTCTTTCTTCGTCTGTCCTCCATCTTGTAATAATCATTCGGATCTCGTCCGGTAGTTTCCTACATCTTCCTCTTCCCCCTCTCCCGATCTGCGTAACCAATATTGTCAGGTTAACTTGTCGAATCTTCCACCTCGTAGGTAGATAGGTAGATATACCGGCTGGCACGGACTGACCCTCCTGGCAACATCCCCCCTCCCCCCCCCCCCCACACACACACTAGGACGAACCCTTTCGCTCCCCATCACGAGTCCCTTGTTACCGGTCCTCCTTCTGCCTCGAGGAAATGAAATCGATTTCCCTCTCTACTCCCGTTCGCCCGCCTTGCCGTATCCACAATCCGAATAATAAGCCCCCCCTCCCTAAGGTATTTCGCATCCCTTGACGATGTAGTATTTTCCGCGTTAGATAGATGTACATAATAGGTTTGTTGCTCTGAACCGGCTCCGCACTTCTATTTTCTTTGATCGACCCTACCAGAAAAAAAAAAAAGTACTCGTGATATTATTACAAGTAGAGCTCAGCTTTCCCGCGTGCGCTCTGTCCGATGAGGATCTTCCGAGTTCGGGGATGCCGGTTTCGGCGTGCTGTCGCGGCTGGGGGCGAGGAGACCGTCCTCGGCGCTGCTAGTGTCATCGCGAGCCAGGAGTCCTGTTTCCTCTTCGTCGGAGTCGCTCCCGCGGTCGCTCGATGAGCCGGACGGTGCCTGGCGGTAGCTCTTATTGTGTACTTCCACCTGAGCGTCGCTGCGCATCTTGGACAGTTTGATCCAATTGTACGCGCCGATCGCGAGGATTGTCACAACCAGGCCCGATATGTTGACGGGGGTGAGCTTGTCGTCGAAGACTAGCGCTGCAGCCGATATCGTCACCACTTCCTTGAATATGCCGGCGATGGAAAGTGTGACGACGCTGCTTCGCTGCAGCAGAGCAAATTCGCTGGCCGTCATCAAGAAGGCGATCGTTCCTGGGAATAGGAGGATCAAGGGTGTCCGGACGGCGCCCCACTCCTCGCTCAATACTTTGAGCCCTTCGACTAACTCGAAGAAGCCTTCCACCGGCAAGGCAATCGATATGAGGACGAGAAACATAACCGGCGCTAGGAAGAAGATGCTGGAAAATGGGTTCGAGGTGGCCGGGTTGCGGAGCAGGAGAATCTGGGTGAGAGCCCAGCGGAAGCCGGAGAAGAAGGCGGCGGAGATGACGAGGATGAATCCTCCCAGTCGGAATTCGACTTCGCCGGTGACCATCATCACCACGCCTGCAGTCATAGTGCCGATGATGGCCACGAGCCTCCAAGTAGGCGTCTCGAGGCGAAAGATGAAGGCAAAGAGGAGCACAAAAGCCAAGGAAGAGGATTTGCACATAGCTACAGTCACGTCAGCCTCACGCTCGTCGCGATACGTTTCCCAAGGGGTGCGGTGCCACTTACTATAAAAGGTGAGGGTGATGAACTTTAGGGAGGTGTTCCCTAATCCGATATCCAACCCGGTGGCCGCAGCGCAGGGCCCTATCCTCGTCAAGTAAAACATCTTGGTCATGATGGGACGTTCGGGCCCAGCCTCGTGTCTCGACCGGCCCAGGTCCGAACTGTGCGTCGTATTGCCGGGCCGCAATGAAGGTACGAAGTATAATACCAAACTGGCTAGGGAAAATTGCACGAGCATGTGCGTGGCGGTGGTAAATAAAGGAAACGCGAAATTCAATTGGCCCGAATCGAACATCCACTTGTTGTACTGCGAATCGGGAGTCGGGTCAGCGAGAAGGTGGGGGGGACACGGTGGAATTCGGTAGCCCGTCTCGACACGCGCACGAGAGGGGGAGGGAGATCACTTACCAAGGAGATGGACAGCGAAAACGTGTACCAGAGCCCGATCAGGGTGGCATTGATGGCCAGCTTCCTGAAGACGTCCTGGTCCGCCTCTTTCCGTTCCTCGTCGGTGATCTTGTCGCGTGCGATCCTCTGGTCTAGCCTAGTATTCCGCCGCCGCTTAGCCCGCTTCCTCCGCCTCTCCTTCTTGGTCAACGCGGTCTCCTCGTCGTCGTGAAGGTCCTCGTCCGATAGACTTTCGTCGTCATCGTCGCCGCCGTCGTCTCTGTCGTCCGACCCGGACGCGTTCCGGCTGTGGCCCTCCTCAGAGATCTTGGGATCGACGTCGCCGGAGCCCTTGACGCTGGTGGAACGCGGGCGCGAAGATCGCGAGTTGGAGGGCTGGATAGGGAGAGGATTGGTAGTAAGGGTGCTGCGACGGCGACGGTGGCCGGGGGGAGCTATGGAATCCATCTCGATGTCGTCGGGGCGGCGACCGGCGGCGTTAGCAGAGGACGAGTCCGCACCATCCGGGGACCAGTCGACTTGGAAGCTGGTGGTGGCGGAAGATGCTGAGGAGGGAATGGAGAGGTCGATGTTGGTGGAATTGGGTGCCAGCACGCTGTTAACCGACAGGGTCTTCGGCGGGGAAGAAAGAGTGGACGGGCGGTGTTGGAAGGGTTGCTGGTTGGACAAAGGAGACGACATGTTCTAATAAGCGGTAACGCGTGTGGGCAGCGAAGGGGAAGTGATAGCAGATAGACCAGAAGCAGGCATGGTGTACGATCGCCTCTCCCCCCCCTGGGAAATCCCTTGAGCCCAGGCCGTCCAACGGGTTCGGACACATAAAACCAGGCTTGGACCGGCCCCCCCTTTCCCCTGCTGGGCCCTTGTGATGTGCCGGGGGGGTTGCTCTTGGCGGGAGAGCGCTGCGGATCGGAGTGGTCAGGCACGCTACTATGCGGGCAAGCGGCGGAGGGGTGGCGAGAGACCGGTTGGTCGAGTTCGGTGGGTGGTCGATGACTTGGTTGCGAAAGAGATGAAGAAATCCGGGATCCTCCCATCAATGACAGCCGGGGGAGGGGACGGAGGGAGCGCAGAACACAGACGGTGGGATTCCATGGACGTCAAGGATAATTTGCACGACTGCACGGTACCTAGGTACATTTGGTTAGGAGGTGGGCAGGCAGTTGCTGAAGGAGGTCTGATGATTCACGTTAGACGTATGCACGAGGCCCCAGCTGGACGCAAAGTACCACCTCCGTATCCGGTGCTGCGTAGAGGTACCTGAGCTAAAAAGAGGCCCCGGGACGGTTCCGTAGAATCTATAATTATGAAGGAGTAAGACCTACCTAACCTACCTAACCTAGATCCATACGGTATAAAGGCAAGTATAACTTACGGGTATGTACGCGTATGGATTTATGTAGGTCAACCGCCGGACACCTTATACACCGGGTAGATGCCCAAGTCGCGCTACCACGATCCTCCCAGTCTGCGCAATTAGGTACTCTGTCAGAGCTACATTTTATAATACCAATACTCCTACATATGAGAGAGAGAGTGTGTGTACACGTACATTCATATACCAATATCATCGGTATTGGGTACTCTATAAAAATACGCTCCCTCCGGCTAGGTACCCGAGGTGTAAGGTACCTATGAGTACAGCCAAGCGTCTTAATCTCAGGTGCTGCAAGATGAGATACCAATACCTTGGGCGATATTCGGCGTAGCATCCAGGAGGCAGCAGGGTGTTGTTATGTTCGCACCGACAGCCTCCGAGCATCCGTCCCCTTTATCTTATTGTCAAATTTGCCATTTAGTCAGATATTCTCCGGATTCCCACATGGCACGCGACGACTTTCCCTCTCTGCCTGGTTTGTGTGTATTTATGGGCACTACCTATACTATATGTATTCCGCCCCCCGTTATACTGTGCCGTTTTCTACGAGACGTAGATATGTCCATTCACGCCAGCATCAGGTAGATGCATGCCTACTACGTACTATAGGACATCGCAGGCGTATAGTAAGTAGAACCGGAATGCAATAACAAGTAGCGGTGAGCTTCTCTTGCCGGAGGTATGTAGGTAGGTAGGGTATTTAGTCCGGATTATTGACACTTCCCCTTATGTATCCCCCTTTGGAATTGCCTCTCTCCTTCGTTTCCCCTTTCGCTCCCTCTCAGCTGCCCACAAATGCCAAGCGGCCATCCTCGGTCGTTCAAGCAGACCCAGCGCCCGAGGGACACCACTGAACCACGAACCACTCAGGGGCGCGGCGCTGTCTTCGCTTTTCACGGACCCGCCCGGACCCCGAGGACATCCCGGCCACCTCCCCTCCATTCAAACACGATACCTCGTGGTGGAGAGGAAGAGGAACAGAGAGTGTATACATCCACACGTAGTCTAGAGGCCGCCATTGGAGAAGTAGACCTCTACTATACGTGCGTGTACAGGGCCGTATGTAGTGGTGGAGTCCAGCGGATATATATATTACATAGGTACGCATATCAACATCAGCACATCAGGTACTAACACTGAGTGTGCATCCTCTTTTTCTCGGTGTTTTCTTCTGCTTCCTCCCTTCTTCCACGAGCGGCCTGCATATAGAATACTACCAGGAATTCCTAATGTGTCGCCGAGTATCGAGAGAGAGAAAAAGAGTGCCTAGGTCGCTAGCGTTTCATCCTTAGAAAGAGAAATAGAGGCTAAGCCCCGCGGGATTCTCTTCTCGGGTGATTTTTTTTTTCTTGGAAAAAAAACCCCCCAAGTTACGAGAGGAGCGAGAGGAACTCAGACTAGTAAGCGCTTTACGACCGACCCCGTTAAATGTGCTGTCCGTGCAAGGGAGCGGGCCATCTCGGCAGTTTGTCTAGTGTAGATGCAAACCCCCGTCTCGGGCTTTCGGCCATTCGTATTTTAAGGAAATTCGCCCAAAATAACGCGAGAGACGGTAGGTCTCAAGATGAGTCGGATCCAGTAACTCGGTATTTACGTGACATGAAACTACAGATGGCTACGACAAGGAATTCCTAGAAATCTAGTGTCGAGAAGCATGAGAAAAAAGATAAAGGAAAAGGTACAAGTCTAGTGGTGATCTCTTACAGAGCAGAAAACGGGTATGATGGTATCGTGCGCAAGCCTAATTAGGTATATCAAAGAAAAGAAAATAGACACAGGAAACCTCGAGAAACCATACACCGCGGCGCGTTTTATCTAGGACAATATCTGCAACTCCTCCCTTCTCTCGGGGGCGAAGTCGTCTTTGTACCGATCCCATAGTTTTTCTAGTTCGGCCACGTATAGCTCGTGCAGCCGGTTGACCTCCGCCTGGTCCACGACGGCCGACTGCGTCACCTTGATCGGAGCCCCGACCACCACGTTTAACGGCCGCCGGTACGGCATCAGGCCCACGTCGTAGTTGAAGATGCCGCGCCCGTGCAGGAACGGCAGGGTGAACTTCCACACCTTGAGGATGAACATCTGCAGGTCGTGGACGAACGGATGCTCCTTTGCCCGTAGTTGGTCGTACAGGTTGTTCTCGCCGAATGCTAGCACGGGGACCAGGTCGGCGCCCGTCCGGATGGCGATCCGGACAAAGCCTTTGCGCTCCTTGAGAACCAGACGCAGCTGTCCTGGCTGCGCCTCAAGCGACTCGCGAGCTCCGCCGACGACGATGGTCACGCCGCGGCCCATGCCCTCGCCGTTCGGCCCACCCCTAGTCAGGATGTTGACGATAGACTCCTTCGACACCGACCGCAACCCCGCGGCTAGGATATACTCGCGGTATAGCGGGATGCGGAAGTTGGAATCCAGGGTCAGCAGGCTGTTGGTGATGCCGGGGAACTGCTCGGAGAAACCCAGAGCCTCCGTTCCGAAGGCTGCCCACGCGCCATGGGAAATGATGCCGTGGGGGTGGTAGCCAAAGATATACTTCCGAGTGGGTGGAAGGTCGTGGGTCTTATGCAGCTTCGCCGGGAAGTAGGCCGCGAAGAGACGCCAGATGTAGCTCCTGCGAAACCATTCGGACCGGTGTCTGAGCGACCCGTCCGTGGCAGCTTTCGAGCTTAGCACGTACAGGAGGTATATGAGGAGCAGGGGCCAGGCGAAGGGGACCGCGCAGAGGGCGAAGAAGATAGAAACTGTCAAGACGATGGACATGCAGTGCATAAGCACAACCAGCGTCTGCAATCTGCGCCCGAGGGGGACGTTCCACGGGGCCCATCGGATTCGACCATTTCTGCGTCGCTTAGGCGCAGGGCGGATTTCTTCGACCGTCATGTCATCTAATTCGGGGTACGACTCGTCGTCATCTTGACCTTCCAGGCCATACTTCAAGGCGGGGGAGTAGCCCACACCGTCCTGAACGATTTCATGCTCGTCCGGGCCCCCCACCGTCTTGTCGTCGTCCGCCGTGTTTTCCAAGTCAGCAGTCCAGCTGTTGCTACGGTCCCGTTGGATGAGGTCTCCATCGCTGTCAACTTGCGGTGTAGGCCTATCGTCGGGCTGGGCATACGACTTGCCGATTGGAATCGTTTCTTTTGACTCGATCGACCGGGTTTCTAGGGGTACCTCCGACGAGAGGGACTCGTCTGCAGGCCTATCGTACCCCATGTTTCCTGTCTCGTTTATTGTCTTGGAACGCCCGCGTTTGAAGACCCGATGCGGGGGCTTAGATTTGAAATTGAGGTTCTAGTCTGGAGAAGATATATGGGGTCGTTACACCAGCCAACGCGGCCGTCAGTGCTGCGGTTCTTGGATTTTGCAGTAACGAACGAGTCGTAACGCACGAGCGCTATCGCCGACTACGCGTAGCGCGCAGGCTTGGGAAGATGTGAGGCCTGCCGTACTCCGCCTCGTGTAAGACCCAGATACGTCGCCGCTTGTTGCGGAGTTGTTTCGCCTAGGCGACGCGGACGATTCTTGCAAATGGGAGCAAGATAAGCGATGCTCGGCGAGCCAGAACCTCGTCGTTTAGCCTCCCAGCAACCGGAGATTTCCGCGTCGTATGTGATGCCGCTCGCTAGGTTGTTCCTCCGAGAGAGAGAATCTGAGTCGAGATCAGCATAAGCCATTTACATAGGTACTGTATTGGCGGCCTCTTTGTTCGAGGGGCAGCCGGCCGGGGTCGAGAGGGGACATACCTTGGGCGGGTAAGCAAGCAGGCAGACGCGGGAATGCCAGGCGAGTGGCTACACACTATAGGATTGCTCTGGGGGCGTCTCCAAAGGCGCGAAGCTACCGATGAGCAGCAGGACGGGATTTAATCTTTTCGCGATCGCGCACAACCTACTATGACAGGATAGGTACCTTGGCCTGGCGGGTGGCAGAGGCTGCACCGCAAGCGGCACCTCGGTTGCCTCGGTGCGCAATAAGGGGGGATGCGAATGTATGGATTGGGAATTTATCTCCGGGACACGGAGGGGAACGAGATCGCGAACACGATAGAAAACGGGGTTTGTATTTAGGTGGGTATCTGTAGAATACCAAGAACTGAAGAGGAGAGAAAATAGCAAGGAGAGAAGAGAGAAGAGAGAAGAGAAGGAGAAAAAGGTAGCGACAGGAGGAGGCAGAAATAGCAAAGAGCGACAAGAGGGCCACGGGAACTATCTCATATGCAGCCTAATTGGAGGAGGCTTTGGGGGCAGAGAGTACCTAAGTGAAAGATCCGGGAGACTGGGAGCTGAGCTGTCGCGGGTTAGCGACTGTGTATACCCGGTACATGCCTAAGCTAGGTGGATACATACAGATAGGAGGTACCTACAGGCGCGGAGGTACCCTCTAGCCCTCTCCCCTTTTACTTCCGCCCTACGACCCCCTACCGAGGCCGGCAGCTGAAGATACCTACCTAAACTATGCCCCTACAGATTCTCCAGGCGGGTGTATGAGTACTTTCATGTATGATGTAGGTATGCGTCGCATCGCCTTCAGCGGCGTCCACTGGACCCTTACTCCAAATTGCATAAAATTAGATGCCGAGGTACGCGCTGCAAGGAGGTAAAGATATGAAGCTCCCGAGGATCCAACGGGTAGGTACCTGGCTGGTAGGGGACCGTCGCGGAAAGGCAGGCGACGGCGATGACCTCATTGAGAATACACCCATGTGAATAGCCTACTACCTATATTAGGCAATATTGCTACATCATGCCTCCTGTAACGCTACCTAACATCCTCGCTGCTCACTTAGCTGTAGCTAGGTATATGAATTTGTATATAAGAGGTCGCCTCCTCTGCGTCGCCCAACTCCATCGAATCGGCACTGAAAGGATACCAATGTGTCACTAGGTAGTTATGGGGCCATCCCAACCCTATTAGCCATACGCCCATCTATCCTGTAGATCTTTACGCCTCGGTGATGCTACCAATGTTACCCTCGCACCTCTAGATTCGAACAAAGTTGCTATTCGTACAAGCCAGAAACATACCCAAGTAATGCGATGTTGGAAAGTAGATAGAGAAAGGAGAACGAGAATGAAAATAGAAAAACCAAGAAAACCCGATGGATGCGTTATTGCTTCAACTGCAACCTCGCATTCCAGCCGACGATGCACTTGATGACGTCCCAGTCGCCGTCCAGCCCGACCCAGTCCGTGATCACGACGCCGGTGCTCGCGTCTCCGACCTGCAGGCCCGCCGGGCCCTTGCCGTGCTCGCCGTGGCGCAGGCACAGGTACTCGACGATGGCCGGGTTCGCCTGGGCGGCGATCTTCTCGGGCCAGCAGTTGGCGTTGAAGAAGTTGCTCGCGCTGAGGAAGTTGAAGAAGAACGGCGGCGGCGGCGCGTCGGGCCGGTAGCCCTCGGACCCGGGCAGCGGGCACACCGGCTCCGCCGCCCGCTCCAGGTGGCTGCGCGCCAGCTCGATCTTGTCCGGGATGTTGCGCGGGTGCTCGACCTCGTAGAAGTCCTGCAGCCGCGCGATCCCGCTCCCCAGCATCGCGTCCGCGCAGTTGTCCGGCCACACGCTGCCGTCGAGCCCCCAGCCGCGCCCGCCCCACTCCCCGTCCAGGCTCGGGTCGTTGACGTGCCGCCGGAGCAGCACGATCTTGCCCCGCACCTCGCCGACCTTGGGGATCCGCGGCTCCGTGTACCACCGCGCGCCCTCGTAGAAGTGGTCCTTGAGGATCTTGGACAGGTCCTGGTCGGTGCCGCGGCCCGTGCCCTCGCGCTTGACGCTCATCACGAGCGCCTCCGACGGGTTGGCCTCGAGGAAGCTGTAGATGACGTCGAGCATGTCCTTGAAGTACCTGGTGCCCGTGAGCGAGACCGGGAAGGCGCTGTGCACTAGAGGCATGTCCGGCGAGCCCGGCGAGACGGACACGCGGATGTCGAAGAACCGCACGCCGTTCTCCAGCTGCTCGCGCACGTTGACCGCCTGGCACCGGACGGACGGCAGCGCGACGTGGTAGGTCGGGCTGTTGTGCGTGCCGGGGATGGACAGGGCCGACAGCGGATACTCGTCGTGCAGCTCGCGCATCCAGGCCGAGAGGTTGGCCGAGCTGAGCACGGTGAGACAGCTGCCGGCTGCCACGTAGATGGCCGTGTACTCGTTGGGGCCGCCGTCGAGCTTCGTCATGACGGTGCTGCGCTGCGAGGCGCCCGTGACGTCCACCTGGTACCGGTGCCCGCCCGACTCGAAAGTCAGGCGGACGGTTTCCTGGCCAGGGACAGCGGCGCGAACGTCGGTCGCGCGGGTCTCGAAGGGCGCGACGGCGAAGGAAACCTCGCGACGGTCCTTCGCGTCGGGATCCTTCGCGTCATCCTGGACGCGCAGATTGACAGTCGATGAGCTCGAATTGAAGAGACCTCCGATCCTGCTCGTGATGTTGCAATTGAGAATCGGACAGCAGGACGATGGCTCTTCTTCTTCTTCTTCGAACCGCTCCACGAGCGTGAGCTCTAGGGGGGTGGCTGTGAGGTTGCGGAGGACGAGGTCGGCCATAGAAGCGAGGCGGGCCATGGTATCAACTAAGGATGTTCTGGATGAAGCGACAGTAGGTTAGGAAGCCACAGGAGCGAGCCGTCGAGGCCTGCGCAGCTATAAAGGGATGGATGAGGCCTGCGATCCCCGTGCCAGTTATTCATATTAAGCATGTGAGGACTTATACACGTGGATGTTTCTTGTGTGTATCCCGTGGGCCGACCTCTCTTTCTAGGCGAGGCGCCGAGTTAAGAGAAAATGGGATGGGCGGCAAGGGCCAGGGCTGAGCAGATCAGCGCAGGAACCAGACGCGGCAGAAAGAGAGCAGAAAACGCAGCAGAAGCTGACTTTGAATCTGCTATTCTTTACCCGGGGTGGTTGGCTTATTCTTGTCATCCAGCTTTCCTTTGTTTTATTCTCTAGTAGTACTGACATACCAATTTGCATACTGGCTTAGGAGTCGGCGCTGCCACCACAGATCCCACCCATCTCTACCTCCCTAATCCCGGAGAGCGGTGCACGTCTCGGACGAATACGTGCTAAGAGCAGATCACGAACGAGCCTATAGTGGTTAATACAGATACCGACCAGCTCCGACTTGGATTCTCTAGTTGCCTACCTACCTCCCGATCCTCGACACGGCATCAGAGGTGACCTTCGGTATAGGCAAGGTGTAAACAGGTAAGAGGTTGGGCCTGGTAGGTCGCTAAAATTGGGCAATTAGAGGTATATCCACAGGCACCTAGAGGAGGAGGTAGGTACCTGACCTAGGTACCTGACCTTACCTTCATCTTCAGGCACCTAATTGAACCGCTTGACCCCTCGCCGTCGTCAACATTCAACAGCCATGACTTGAGTCTCCGAAGACTCCGTAGCCTCGTGGTATAAGTCATGAGGCCCCGTATTCCTAGTCGCCGCCTCTCGACTCGCCATCGCAATTTCTGCGCGAGACAATTCGGCGGCCAACCCGCAATCCCTAGGAATCTTAGCCTTGCGCTGACTACGAAGGCTCCGAAGGTGAGCGAGCTCGCCGCAACGATCCCGAACACGCACTTATCTCGTCCTCACAGCGGACCGTCATAGAGGTATTAAGCCGGCATCTTACAGATTCGCCTAGGGAACTCATTGGTGCCTCTGGCGCAAACGGTTCGGACTACGCGGCGGCCATCTTTGCTTCCCGAGACGTCGCAACCTGGTTGCAAGATGAGACTTTTATCTCCACCCTCTTGGGAACCCTCTTCGAAGCAAATGCGGGCGGACAGATCGGGTCGCGTAACATAAATGTTATATCTGCAGCCGTCGATGGCCTCACGCCAAACCGTCTATTTGGTAGTCCCCGAACGGGGTTCTCGATCATATATGGCTCAACCAGTATCCTTCCAGGTCTCTGGGATGCCGGCGACTCCGTATCGAACCGCCACCTGGATAGGGAGTCATCCGTGTCATTCTTGTCTGCTCCCCTGGTCGGAGACACCAGGCCGCTTGAAGTCACGTTGCCGCTAGCAAACACGATCTTTCAAAACGGAAGGCAGTCTACCTTGTTTGCAAGCAAATGGCAATCCGACCAGAGCGGGTATAAGATGCTCGGTACTACAGAGAAGCAGACGCAAGTGATACGTCCTCATGCCAGTCCGGCGGACCACGCGCGGGCGTTCATCCCGCTCATACCGCTAACCCCTCCGAGGAAGATCGTCGCGGGCCTAGGTAATATTGTTCGACAAGTCGAGGTCAACGGCTCGGCGACGCCCGCATCCAAGGAGTTGGAGGGTATCATACCCAAAGTCTTTGATACGAGATCCCAACGAGATGGGTCGTACACCCCGGGACCTATCGGCGTGTGGTGTTGGGTTCTACCGCCACATGTCGCAGAGGAGCAAAAGCAAAATCTTCTGAATCTCGGGGTTTTCCAGGGCGATCCGTCTCAATCAGAAGCCGACCTCTCTTCCAAAGCCATGGGTGTCTTCTCTGAGTTAATATCCTCTGGGTGCCGACTACATAAGATTCGTACGTGATGTGTGCCCCGATCCCGAACGCGTCTCGCCCATACTGATAATTGTCTGCCTACCTACCTATACAGTGAGCGGAGGCGGCGGCTGGGGAACAAAACAGGGGTTACTCTCTCTCAGTCCCGAGACGACGTACTCTCCGTTAGAGGAAGAAGACATAGAGACGTTCATCAGGGCCTTTCAAGAGCGTAACAACCCAGATTCATCTGAGGGCCTCGCGGCCCCGGGCTCGCATCTGGTGTTTTGTATCGAGCCGCACTGCACAGAGGCGGAGGTTGGGTCTGGCCCATGGATCGCGCCCACAGCGGCCGTCGGAGTCGCTCCGAGCGACGATGACGGACCGGGTCTCGCAGGTCTGTCGGACGGGGTCGAAGTTATCGACGGCCACTTCGGCGTGGCGTCAAAAGCAGGGTTGTTTCTGAAAGCTACGACGTTACCGCGCCTGGCGAGCAGCAGCGGCGAGGGTGAACCCGCCACGCCACGTCGCCCGTTCACCACCAAGGTTGATGTCCCGCGGGCTTCCCTTCTGTTGTGAGGGTACCGTAACAGGTGCCCTAGGACAGAATTCGAAATTCGCCCACGGCGAGTAAACACACACGTAAGGGGATTGGCTCGACAATGTAGTTGACCTTTTCTTCTTCTTCCCTTTTTAGGGTTGTCAGTCCTGTGAAGAACACCGTCCGGCCGATGGCCTTGGGATCTCTGTCTCTTACCGTGGCATACCTACGTGTCTATTTACCTACCTGCATGATCGGGAGATGTTGTGTTGTTTATGTAGGAGACATGCTTGAGCCGGCATAGACGAACTGCACTGTAGTAACATCCTGCTTTCGAGGTGTTCGATGCTACGCGAGGTGCCTCCGTACCGCGCCGTTATAACTGCGGTCCAGGCGACTAAAAATAGCCAGTACCTGCTTAGGTGCTTGTAGATACCTAGTAGTGCCAACCTCTAGGTTGGTTAGGTACCTACCTTATGGCATGCAGTAGGCACCCAACCTACCTACCTAACCTACCTACCTTGCCTAAGGCCCCTACGTAGATAGGTAAAGGTAATCAGATAACTCCCACCTAATTAGGTACCTAAGATCAGTCAGGTCAGGTTCCCACGTCCTTCCCGTGCCTGTGGCGAGGTGCAGGGTACCTGAGGTACATCACTGCAAGTACCGAACGTCCACCTGAAGCTCCATAATTGGAAACAGCCTGCTCTTCCATCACATCCTTCGAGGCCGCCGCGTCTACACGCTACCGATTCTCTCTCTCCCAAAACATTGCCTCCACCAGCATCGTTAGAATGGACCGCAGCCTCGACGAGATTGTTGCTGAATCCCAGGTATGTAATCGACGCGTAACAGTGCAGATTGCGCCGGCTACGGCTCCATCTCAACCCGCCCGTCCGCTCACCAGAACCCTAGCAGCGAAAGCGAGGCTCTAGGCCTCGTCGAGGAGGTCGGACCCCTCGAGAACGCGAGCCGTACCCCCGCGACGGCGTTAGAAAGGTAGCTACACACACAAGGCATCCCCTACGAGCCGTGCCGTCAAGCTAATTGTGTCCCGTCGCAGGTGGATTCTTCTTCTCCTTCCTCGACCACCTCTCTGTCTCGGCCGGCCCTCTTCCTCCCCCCAGAGTAACCGATACGCGCTCGATGCCCCGGACTACGATCTGGGATGATATGCTCGTTGGGTGACACGCGCTAACTACCAATATCCTTCTGCGGGACAGTCAACCAGAGATGATTCAAGGAACTTGGACTCGTGAGTAGACTGGCTGGACCGCCGATAGGTGATGGGCAACCGATACTGACCGGCACGTAGGGAATGGGTTCACGATAGATTCGATGACTCTAATTGTAAGTCACGCGCCCTCTTTGTCTGCTAGTTGTGACAACTGATGGGATCTTAGCTCGTGACCGTCCACGACAAGTGAGACGACGACCGTCTCCCGAGCGAGCTCAGTCCGTAGTAGCCCCGTCTTCTATACAGAGGAGCGTCCCTTTTAACCTTGATAGCAGAGATGTTCGTGGCACCAAGATCAAGGTCGAAAATTTGCACTACGAGCTTACCGAAGATGATCTTGACGTAAGGACAATGCCTACTCGCTAGGAGGGCCTGGTATGATACTGACCGGATTTTAGGGATTGTTCAACAAGATCGGTCCGGTAACCAAGCTTGAACTGTTGTATGACCGCGCCGGACGTTCGGAAGGCGTAGCATTTGTCACGTACGGGGTTCGCGAGGATGCCCTAGAGGCAGTCAAGCAATACGACGGTGCCAATGCGAAAGGTAAGGATACCGTTCATCCGGTCCCGGCATCTTCTCAAAGCTAATTGGACAGGCCAACCTATCCGGATGACAATCGTGGCTTCGGCACCCCGACGAAATCCGTTCGATACGGCACATATGCCTAGTCGACCGCTAGCCGAGCGCATTACTCGACCGCGTTCCCTCTCGCCTAGACGACGCCCCGATAATGACAGAGGCATTGACCGCTACGTCCCAGGAATTCGCAGTCGATCGCGTAGTCCCCGCCGCCGTGGCGGACGACGACCCGGGATTCGACGTGAGGGAGATGCACCGAATGGGCGAGAGAAGGTCAGCCGCGATGGACGACCTAAAAAGACCCAAGAGGAACTCGACGCTGAGATGGCAGATTACTTTAACCCGGGAGGACCTAATGACCCGGTCCCCGGCCCGGTAGCGGCGGCGGCGGGCAATGCCGATGCTCCGGTCGGTGGTGACGTGGATATGATTGAGTAACCATCTTGTGTCGATAGTTTCGAATCCACTGGTATAGCATGGGGTTGGCGTATAACGACTTGTATAACCCGGAATGAATAAAATTGACCTTGTTTCCGAGTTTGTGGCTCGAGGTTTGCTAGAGCAATCTCAGACCTCTCGTGTTGAAAAATGTGCCAACTACCCCTTTTCAACACCAAAACATGCTCGATCAAGCCCTGGGGAAAGAATCCGGGGAACTTGAGAGCCTTGCCGTAACTTGTGATCTAATATCTATCGTCATCGTGTCTTGGTCTAGTAGTAGTCCCAACCATCGTTAACTAGCAGTGGGGAGCCGTACCCCTCTCCCCCTTCTCTGTCTATCCCTCTGCCTTTCTAGCTCCACTAACCAACCAGCCACTCATCCAGAGACGAACACGGACTAACCATTCGCTTCTCTCCGCCAGCTGCCTCATTCCTCCTTCTTGCGCTTCTTCGCCACGCCCTCGACGACAGCCGCGGCCACGTCCTCGACGGTAGTTCCGCGGGAGCGCTTGCCGATCTTTTCCTGGCCGAGGACGGTGTCCTCGGCGACGAGGCGGAAGAGCTCGGCGGCGGCGTCGAAGCCGCCGCCGCCGACTTGGAAGCCGCCGTCGTCGGCGAGGGTGCGGGCGATCTCGCGCATCTCGGCGACCCAGCGGTAGGCCTTGGGGGGCATGGCGACGACGCCGCGGACGGCGGCGGCGTGGTGGTGGGGGAGGACGGCGGCGAGCTCGGCCTCGAGGGCGGGGAGGACGCCGAGGGCGCGCGCGGTGGCGAACGACTGCGTCGCCAGCGCGATGAAGCCCTTGCTCACGGCCGCGAAGCACATCTTGAGCCCCGACGCCGCGCCCACGTCCGCGCCCACGGCCGACGACGCCAGCACCGCCGCCAGCCGCGGCCCGTGCCCTGCGATCGACGCCAGCCCCCACGGCCCCGACGTCGGGATCCGCGGCCGCGTCCAGGTCTGCTCCAGGACGGCGGCGAGGTCGTCGTCGGCGACGGACGAGGGGGAAGAAGAGGAGGAGGAGGAGGGGGCGTCCGGGGCCGGCGTCTTGGGCGCCGGCGGTAGGCCCAGGATGCACCCGTCGACGAAGCGCACCTCGCGGGGGCGGGGGCCGGGCGCCTCGGCCGCCACTGCCGCTGCTGCGCGGGGCGCGAAGAGGGCGGCGATGTCGCGGACGGTGGACGGCGCGACGGCGTTCAGGTCGGCGAAGTACAGGGGCTCGGGGGGGCTCGGGGTCTCGGCGTCCTCGGCGTCGAGGGCGGCGAGCACGCGGCGGGCGATGGCGTGGGCGTCGCGCGGCGGCACGACGGAGAGCACGAGGCCGCAGGCGCGGACGAGGGCGCGGTCGTCGGCGAGCAGCTCGACGCCGGCGGCGCGGGCCCGCGCGACGGTGTCGGGCCCGCGGCCGCCGCAGTTGGTGGCGACGGCGAAGCCGTGCGCGCCCAGCAGCCGCGCCAGCCCCGCGCCCATGTCCCCGATCGAGAGGATGCCGATCTTGACGAGCGGGCGCGCGGCGGAGGCCATGGCTGGCTTTGGGTCGTGGTGCGATGGATGTGGTGTGGGAGCACGGGTGACGGCTTGCTGCGGTCGAGGTGAGGTGGTTGGAAAGGATGGGGGGGGGGGGGGCGAAGGGAAGCGAAGGGAAGCGAATGCGAGTTAGAGGCAGGGGAGGGGTCGAATGCCTAGGTAGATAAGGATGCGAGTAGGCGCAAGGAGGCAGGTAAGGAGGGTAGGCTACGTGTGCCGTCTATCGCGATGCGCAGCCATTCCGATGCAGGCGCTTCGGTTTCCGAGACCGAGAGTCCCCTCCTCTCGTTGTCGTATTGCCATGACGAGCTTTGTCGGCGCGATGATGAGCTGGGTAGAAAGGTACTGGCTTTCGCTCTGATCTACGGCTATTTCCAGCAGGGCGGCATGTACTGATGCGTATGCGTATAGCGATCCAGCTTGCGCATCTAACACATGTAACCTATGTAACCTATGCAACCGTCTGTATGCATGTATTTTGCGTGTTCAAAGGAGGCAGCCATGGATAGAGAGTTGCGATATCTGTAGGTATATAATTACCTTCAGCTCCGAAGATACTTTATGTAACTGGCGTTGAAGCTGTAAGTACCTAGGTGTGGTCTCTTTTTCTCTTCCACCTACCTCTACCTACGTTCATCTACGACGCTTGTAGACATCCAGTAAACATCCAACGACGTGACATCTGCCTTGGACCTCGCTGCATTCTGGTTGCTAGATTTGGTGCTCCTGTTGGTCGCAAACTCCTACGTACCTAGCTCTAATATACCTACCTACTCGCATGCCCCCGACAACCCCCATGAAGGTGGTCTGCGGCTAGTAGCTTGAGGCACCGTAGATGGTTAGTAGAACTCGCTCGCTTGTTCGCTTGCCCACGATGGCTCCCTACCGGCCGGTCGGCTATACGCAGGTAAGCAAGGTAGACTAGTTGCCTGTTACTGGCGTACGCGAGTATGGGCAACACGCCATCGTCGCTACGTGACCCGAAGCTGTCGCATGCCCTGCCGGGTTTGCGTTGTCAAGTGCCCAATCGTAACCTTTCCCGTCTTGGGACCATTCCAGAACCACTCGAGCAGCTAAGTCGTGAGCCGAGGGGTGTTACGTATGCGCACAGGTATTGCATGCCCAGATAGGCACTAGGCGCGCTTGCGGAGGATTACCTCGACTCCTACGCGTAGAGATCTTGCTCGATCTGACTGACAGGTATGCCCAATCGAGCATGGACTTCGTCGACGAAATGCCCCGTGCTGGACGATCCCCAAATCTTCCTCCCGCCAATTGCATCCCGCGGGCGCCGGGAGGGTCGCACAACGATAACAGAACCGCCGCCTCCAAATAAAAAACCTTCCGAAGACGACGTGTTTATGTACAGCCCGGGCGCGGTTCATAGAGTAGATTCTGCCCCATCGACATCGCCTCAGTCTGCAAACTATCCGACTCCGACTGCCTGATTATAGTCCCACGTTACGGCGTGTGCGAGGCTAGGTAGGCATCACAGCTGATGACGATGACGGCGGCGGCGGCGACGCATGTATGCGTACGTACGTAGGTATATAATATACCTATCATTTATATAGCATTACGCTGTGTCTATATACATGCGAATACACACTGCACTAGAGGAGCCAAGCTGGTCTGTACGTGTTATGTGTAGGGACCATATGAAGTACATACCTACTACGTAGTATAAGAGACCAGCCCCAGCTAGCATCGGTTAGAAACGAGCGAATGGTGGGAGAGACAAAACCACTGACTTCCACTAATAGCTATCGTCCCCAGGCGTTGCACCCTTGGTGGGCTCGTGGACTCTTCCCAGAAACCGAGAGACCCCTGTTTGGACTGCTTCTACCAAGTTAGCCCGTCGGTCCGGCTGGTCGTGTCGTATCATGGGTCTGCCCAGGTAGGTAGCGGCGACGCACGGTTTCACTCTTCTCCCGCTCCGCAGATCAGATCTATCCGCTGCCCGTTTTTGCAGACATACACCTGTATATATATATATATACCTATCTAACCTACCTACAGAGACAATTAAGGTATCTGGTTTATCATAGTAATCACGATATATAAGGGCCGCGTCGACCATAGCCACTTCTACTTCACCTTCATCTCCACCGTTGACTCCTTTCCCTCTACCTTGCTCAGCGAGAGGCGCACTCCCAAGGCGAAGTTCGCCCTCTCTGATAACCCCCCCCCCCCCCATCTTCCTCTTGATCTTCTCCCGTCGTTTCTGTGGACATAAATGCTTCGTTAAACCGTACGCCTAACTTACTTGTAGACCTCGAATCGTCCAGCCTACCATCAACCTGTTCCCTATCGGTTGGGATTCGTCCCTGCTCAGGAGGGGTGCTGTTCGCAAGGCTTTCGGGAACGCACCGTACGAAGGGATCGCACTACCAGCTCCTGGCCCCGATCTTGAGTGATCCCTTTTTTACTCAATTACCCAGGCCTTCTAGGCGGAAGTGTCGCTTCGTCGATAACTACCTATATTAGCTCGCGGGGCTATCACTATCGTCACTCTGAACAGGGCGCTGTTTAGGTCCTTTTAAGAGACCCAACCCCCGCTGCCCCCCTCCATTGCCTCACAATCCCGGCTCTCGCCCCTGAAACCCCTTTCATCTGTAACTCGCGAGGGGCCAACGTCGCCTCCCGCCCTACCCAGTGTAGCCGCATCACACCTAGCAGTTCAACACCAGCCTCATCGCTAAGGCACCGGCTCCCACCATCACCTACACGCACGCACGCAACGCATACTTACCTATAGGAGTTTTACTACACGCCTGCGATGGCGATCCTCTCGTGGCGGGCCGTCACGGTCATCTCCCTCGTTACGTCCTACCTGGACTCCTTTTTCCAGCCGTCGTGGTCCAAGTCGCGGCTCTTCGGCGTCTTCGTCGGCGCCTGGGCCTTCCAGTTCCTCCTTTATGCCGCCTGGAAGGTCATTCTATGGCCCAAGGTCTTCTCCCCTCTGCGCCACCTGCCCCAACCCAAGGGCAACACCTTTTGGCTGGGCCACTTCGGCAAGATCAAGGCGGAGCCGACCGGCATACCTATGAGAGAATGGTAGGTGCTATCCCCTAGCACTCCAACCCCGACGTCTCCGCTGACACGCGCGCGCTCCAGGGCCGCCACCATCCCGAACGACGGCGTCATCCGCTACCTCGGCTTCCTCAACCAGGAGCGGCTGCTGCTGACGAGCCCCAAGGCGCTCGCCGATGTGCTCGTGACGCGCAACTACGACTTCCAGAAGCCGGAGCACATCCGGTTCGGGCTGGCGCGGCTGGTCGGCGACGGCATCCTGGTCTCCGAGGGCGACGAGCACAAGTTCCAGCGCCGCAACCTGCTGCCCGCCTTCGCCTACCGCCACATCAAGGACCTGTACCCCAGCTTCTGGCAGAAGGCCGACGAGGTCGTCGAGGCCATGACGCGCACCATCGCCGCCGACCCCCTCTCCCTGGCGGACCTCCCTGAGGGCGTCGCCGCCGCCGCCGCCGCGAGCGGTGGCGGCCCCACGGCCGTCATCGAGGTCGGCGGCTGGGCCTCCCGCGTCACCCTCGACATCATCGGGCTCTGCGGCCTCGGCCGCGACTTCGGCGCCGTGCAGAACCCGGACACGGAGCTGAGCCGGGCGTACCGCGGCGTGTTCTCGCCGACGCCGCAGGCGCAGCAGCTGGCCGCGCTCTCCCTGGTGATACCCGAGTGGGTCGTCAGCCGCATCCCCGTGCAGCGCAACAACGACATCCTGGCGGCGAACGCGACGATCCGCGGCGTCTGCCGCGACCTCATCCGCGAGAAGCGCGAGCGGCAGGCCCGCTCGGCGGCGGAGAAGAAGAGGCGCGAGGCCGAGGGCGGCGCGGCGCCGGCCGAGGACGCCGGCCGCGACCGCCGCGACCGCGACATCCTGTCGGTGGCGATCGAGTCGGGCGCCTTCTCCGACGACAACCTCGTCGACCAGCTGATGACGTTCCTGGCGGCGGGCCACGAGACGACGGCGACGGCCATGACGTGGGCCGTGTACCTGCTGGCGCGGCACCCGGAGGTGCTGGCGCGGCTGCGGGCCGAGGTGCGGGCGGCGCTGCCGGCGCCGGGGTCGGGCCGCGGCGTGACGAGCGTCGAGGTCGACCGGCTGCCGTACCTGACGGCGGTGTGCAGCGAGGTGCTGCGGTTCTACGCGCCGGTGCCGCTGACGCTGCGCGAGGCCGCCGTCGACACCGAGATCGCCGGCCACCGCGTCCCGCGCGGCACCGCCATTATCGTGTCGCCCTGGGCCACGAACCTCGACACCACCCTCTGGGGGCCCGACGCCCACCTCTTCAACCCGGACCGCTGGCTCTCCCCTACCGCCGCCGCCGCCGCCGCTGCCGCCGAGCCCGCCGCCACCGCCAACGCGAGCGGCGGCGCCTCTAGCAACTACGCCTTCCTCACCTTCCTCCACGGCCCCCGCAGCTGCATCGGCCTCGCCTTCGCCCGCGCCGAGTTCGCCTGCCTGCTCGCCGCCTGGGCCGGCCGCTTCGAGTTCCGCCTCCGCTACCCCGAGGAGGAGGACGAGCGCAAGATCGACATCAAGGGCGGCGTCACGGCGCGGCCGCAGCGCGGCATGCACGTCTACGCGACGGTCGTCGAGGGGTGGTGAGGTGCGGGCCAGCTACTTAGCGTGCTGGCTCGCCCGATAAGGAGGGAAGGGAAAGGAGTAGCATGTACGGAGGGGAATGGGATAGCATGTGCGGACAGGTCATATGTAGACGTGGGAGGATCGGGCGTTATATTACGGTAAGGAGCGTTCTGGAACGAATAAATTACTCTTCTGTGTACTCTACTATAATAGATCCTACGAATCAACTAGTGCAATACAATACGGAAACATTATCCCCGTGCCTCTCCTCGTCCGCCGCGACCGCCTCCGCAAGTCCTCGACAACCACCGAGCAGTGGAACGCTCGCGTGACGACAGCCTCCCTCGACACAGCCCAACAACACCCGCCCTAGCTAAGCTCGGCCGCGCAGCCAGCGGCGGACCCAGGCGGCGCGGGCGGCGACGGCGGCCGCGTCCGGCGCCCAGAACCCGGCCTTGCTCGTCCAGTCGCCGCGCGGGCCGTCGGGCGCCAGCGCGCTGAGGTCGAACGCGCCCGCGCCCGCCGCCCCCAGCTCCGCGTCCGCCTCCAGCGCCGCCCGCCCGACCCCCCGGTCGCACGGCCACGCGTCGCACTCCTGCGCCTCCGCCAGGCACACCGCGCCCCCCCAGCCGCGCCGCCGCCGCCCCCCACCCCAGCAGCGTCGTCTGCAGCGCCCGCCGCAGCGGCGACGTCACCACCAGGTCCACCGCCCCCTGCAGCTCCCCCAGCCTGCGCGCCAGCTCTGCCGCCTGCAGCCGCCCCAGCGGCGTCAGGCGCGCGTCCGGGACTGGTGCGGTTTGCCGCGTTCGCGCGTTAGCGTTCGTCTGGCGAGCGGTGTCGTGTGGTATATATATATGGGATCTAGGTATATGGGGAGAGAAAAGGGGGAGAGGCAGGGATGCGGCGGAACTCACTGCTGTAGTCGCAGTCGACGTTGTGCTCGGCCTGCGCGTGGCGGACGAGGATGATGCGCGAGTCGGGCGCCATGGCTTGCGCTTGCGGTGGTAGTATTAGTGAGGATAAAGCCACGAAGCCAGGCGAGATTAGAAGGGGAGGGTGTAAAGGGAGAAGAACACTATCGGGAGTGATATTTTGATGTTTTGTAAATTTTGTAGTCTCTATGGTCTATCGACGTTGCCCGCTTTGTACAAGATATGTCTTATTCTGGAGGGAGAAGGACAAAAAGGCAGGCTGCTTTGGACGTCACAAATAGTTGTGGTCAACGGGTGATCCGCCAGCAAGTTGGACAGGCTTGTCGCGTCGTAACGATGGCCAATGGGAACGCCACGCCGGCTTTTCCGGCTTATTGGTATACCTTGAGACACGTTGACTCCCGAAGAAGAGGATCTAGGGCATGTCGCCTTTCCAACCTCTCCATCGAGTCCAATTCATTTCATATTAGGACGGTCTATATCCTGAACATGTGCCACTTGCCAGGAGAAAACTAACACACCCAGCATACAAACGCGCAATCTTTATGATGGGTACTAGGAGGTCGAGACTCGGCAACCTGCAAACAAGAGTACGCTGACGCGTTGTAAAAGCGGAGGGTCCATTTTCGTAAACCAGTAGACGTGAGCCCCCCCCTCTCCCCTCGATGAGTACCTGGTAATTTCGACAAGGGGGGAGTCAAACTAATGGTAATGCGCTTTGGATAGGTGGTAAAAGCTAACGGCCTTAACGAATCGATCCTCGTGGTTTCCTTGATGGATTGGTGGAGTCGTCAGGTTGCTGGATCTAAGAAACAGGAGGCTATGTGGCAGATGCCCCTCGTAGACGGTTGTCTCCAAACAACCACTATTGGGAGACGCCATCCAAGTCAAGCTGAATCGTATAATAACACTATCGCGACGTCGTAGGTTGTGATGGAGTAGCTAGACAGAAATCGAGTGAGTTCTTGAACGCCATTTCGTCGTTAGGTATATCCAGAGTTGTAAAAAGAAAGGTTCAGTTAAGTTTTACGAAAATCGCTTAAATCTGGGTATATCGCATAGAAATCCAAGCCGGCAAGGTCTATCTTCCGTGTCCATCGCGGCGAAAAGGAATTCGGGCGCCGACCGCGAACCGACGGTAAGGAGTACTCCGTGATTATTCTTATCGCATATTACGTCGATGAGTCGCTAGAATAGCTTAAGATTGGTCCTCTGCTGGAGGGTTGTGCCGTTCAGCATGGCCCTATACTTCTTGGGCCGAGACTGGAGCCTTCGGAAAGCTTCCTGGATGTGGCGGGACTCGACCGGCGTCTTACCCTCGTTCGGGGGGTCGAATAGACCCTGGGCGAGTTTTCGCTTCTTCGTGCCCGAGTTCTCTACCCCGCTCCGCTCCTTGCAGAGGTCCTCCTGTTCCTTAATCTTGAGAGCCTCCTCCGTGAGCGTCTGGACCATCTCGAAGGTCAGGAACCCGAGGATGTCGACGATGTCGTCCGACGGCTTGCTATCCGTGACGATGCCGAAGCCGGCCCACTCCCTGAATCGCTTTCCCTTGCGGTAGGTGAAAGAGGCTTGCCGGTATTCCGACCAGGTGACGTATTCCTCCTTCGTCATGGCCTTGGTGCGCTCGTCGGCCTTCTGAAGCCGCTGGAGAGTGATGTAGTTCATCTCCTCTTCCTCCTCGTCCTCCTCGTCGTCGCGTTCGGGGACCTCCTGGCTGTAGTACGACGACGGTTCCCACGGAAGCTTGACCTTGGCCTTCTTGTTTTTCTTAGCGGCCTCCTCTACGGCGGGGCCGCCAGGCATGACACCGCCGGCGGGATCGTCTGCGACCCCGATGTCGGCGTCGCCGCCTTTGTCATCCGAGTCCTTGGCGCTCTTGCGGACATCCTTCCACGACAGGAATGTCCGGAGACGCGAGACCTTGGGCGCGTCATCGCGGATCTGAAATATCAGGTCGTTTATGGCGATAGAGCGGGAACCACGGCGTGCGGCCAGTTCAGTACAGCTTCGCAGCATCTCGACGACTTGCTGCCGGACGATCTCTTCGATCATGGCTGTGGTCTCGACAGATGGCTCACCGGTCTCCCCAGAGACGTACATCATCTGCTGGATCTCCTGCCTGTATTTGTGCTGCTTGTTGTTGCTGTCCCCCATCTTGAATTGAAGCCGAATAGATGCCAGCGAGGGTGTGTTGTGCTGCGAATGAAGATGGATATCGATGATGATGGTGGTGGTGGTGACGATGGTGACGGCGCAGGTTGTTGCCCAGACCGGTCTTGGCAGGGAGACTTGTGAATTTGGGAATAGAGATGTGGTCGTGACGATACTGCGGAGATCAAAAATAATGTCGGGGGTAGGCCTAGAAATCAAAATGATGCCAAAGGGAGAGCCAGCATTGGCGGGTGCGAAATATAGGGACTTGCCGACGGGGCCAAGATGAAGTTGGATCGAGGAATGAGATGGGCGGAGAGTGAGGGCGAGGGCGAGAGATGGGGGGCTCCCTCTAGAAAAGCCTATATAAAGGTAGGTACTTCGCGGAACCGGCCAGTGGCTCGGATTCAACACCGTAAGCGGGTGATTCGTAACCACGAACCTAAAATATACCGTAGAGAGAAAGTAAAAGAAAATAAAAGAATGAGAATGAATTAATAACGTATATTTTTCAGATTTCGTTTTCCTCCTCCTCTCTTCTTCCCTTTCGTATGCTCCTCTCCGGACTTCCGCTGACACCCCGCCGAGCCCTGGCTTGACGGGTCTGAGCCCCTCTCCCTCAACTCTCTAGGGTACTTAAGCTCTAAATCCCCCGTATATGCTATAGCTGGTCCCTGTAGTCCTTAAAGCCACGCAACGGTCGCAGCTCGGGGGGATGCTGAGCTCAGAGACATGTCCCCTCATGGCTTACTGGCCTAGGCAAGGCTATTACGGAGACGATAGAAGATAGTCTCATGAATGCTTTGGATGGGATATTCTCGAGGACCCTACTTTATTGGCGGCGCCCATTCTATGCTCAAAGATCTTGCACACGGTCGTCCTAGCTCTTCCCCTCTGTTAGATCGATTCCCACCCGCGAAACCCATCGCCTCTCCAGCCCCAAACTACGATGTAGTGCTCCGCTAATAGATTCCACTCTTCCACCTCGTCCAGCCCCTCTAGGTTGTCTACCCTCTCCCTTTCCTCGTCCGTGATCCAGCGCTGCCACATCTCCTTTATGGTCACGCTCCTGACGAAGCCGAAGCCCGCCTCTCTAAGCCGGGATTGCTGCTTAGCGGGGTTCTGATAGGAATCCAGTGTTGGCATGCGTATCCGCCGCGCCGCTAGATTGGATACCATCTGCTTGCCGAAGGAGTCGTCGGGGTGTATCGGCTCGTAGATCATGATGGCGAGGTCCGGCACCATCTCGGTGAAGTGCTTGATAACCCCCCGGGCCTCCGAAGGCTCTAGGTAGCAGAGACAACATTCCGAGATCAAGACGGTTGGGACGTCTGTCCGGACACCGCGGAGAGCCTTCACGCCGTTGCCGACTAGGGTCCTCAGATCCAACCCGTGGCACCAATATTGGCAGCCGTTCGGCAAGCTCCGGCAACTCCAGCCGTCATCCTCGGCCTGCGGGTTCGAGAGGATGACCCCAAGCTGGGGATTGGCGTTCACGAGGTGCAGCTTCTTGGCCGCGATTGCCGGGAAGTCGATCTCGTGATAGATGAGGCCGGTCGGGCTCGGCCGAGAGAGAAATCTAAAACATCTCGTGTCGGTGCCGGCGCCGAGAGAGATGATCTGCCGCTCCCCTCGCCCCTCGCTGTTTAGCAGGAAGGCCGAGATCAGCCTGTCCAGCGCCGTAGTCCGGGCGTAGGTGCCTGCCTTCAGCCTTAGCGTTCGCCAGGGTTGACAGGCCCCTCGGACTCCTCACCTCGGTTTATAATGGGAAGTCTCCTGGCGACGCCGTTGACCGACATATGGACAAAGTACTGCGCAAACGGGTCCTGCAGGTAGCCGAGATTGACGGCACTCATGCGCGACACGGAGGCGTCCGTATCTGTGCCCTGGATGTTGGTCTCCTGGCTGGGGGCAGTGGCATGCGAGTGGTCTCCTGCTCGCGCGCGGCCGCGGTCCCGCGGCCCCCCCCGGGCGCCTCGTAGGGAGAGGAGATTCGGAATGGACGGGGCAGACATGGAGAGAGAGCGCCTAGGTCGGTGCTGGGAGCCTGGCCTACCATGTATGCGCTTTTCAATCTGAGATGACTATTCGGCAGCGATGCAGATCGGTCATATAGCGGGCGTCGAGAGACGCGAAGAGGTGGGAGTCTGACGGAAGACCCTGGCCAAACAGGTACCTGCTCACATAGGTCAGGGGCGGATTCCTAATTAGCCTTGGCACGACGCCATGCTGCAGAGAAAGCATCGCACGATGAGGGCTATACCCGGAACGAATCAATAGTACGTGAGATTCTCGGGCTGGGTTGGGGGCCGAAAGGCGACGAGGAAGAGGCAAATGTGCGAAGTTGGGAGTTGACAGAGAGAGGCACTGCTCTTGTCACCTACCTGCTACAGTAATACCTACCTAAGGTAAGGTGGTAAGCGGCTGCGAGTTGGAGAAGTAGAAAAATATATCGCCTTAAGAGGTCTACACGTACCTAGCAAGGTACCTCATAAGGTGCCTCGTAGGGGGCAGTGCAGCCTGTAGCTGCCTAGCCCAAAGTCCTACGCAGCCTGTAGCTGATACCACCTTGTCAGGCTGGCCTACAAGCACTGTGTACAGGCACTGTAACTCCGGCCTTCCGAGCGGAGGAGGAGATAGCGGATGCCTAGAAGGCTACCACATAGTAAGGCGCCCTGTAGCGGCAACTACCAGTCGCTAACCCGATATCTCCACCCCCCTCGTAAAGCACAGTGCGAGACGCCACTTGGGACTCGCTGCAGGCAGGCACTGGCTCTGAGCCAACTCCCCTGTCGAGATCCTCCCAGCCAAGCGGTCCTCTCCCGCTCTCGCCATCATCTTCTTCCCTCTCTCTTTCGCGTGCATTTCCCTTCTCTCTTCCTCCCTCCCTCAACCCCTCCCCGACGACCAATCCCCCATTCTCGAAACTATCCCTCATTGTCTTCCCAACCCACTGCTTCTAATCCTTTGTCCTATTCTATCCTGACCTCGCTCATCGAAGACGATTCGTGCCGCCCACGATGTATCGCGACCTCGCCCACGCTGTCTACAAGCGCGGGGAGTCCGCCACGAACGGCTATGAAGTGCCCGCCTGGGGATGGGGCGTTCTCCTGCTGGACATCGTGCTCTTCTTCCCCTTCATTCTGATAGTACGTATTTTGCCTCGCAATCTACCACCCGTCAACAGGCCAGGACTAATGCCGCGACGCTTGTTAGGTCAACTACACTCTCCAGCATGTGTTCCCGACGCTCGCCATCGTCGAAGACCCGTCCCCTCCGGCCTACGAACCCGTGTCGCTGAACGAGGACACCCAGTCCTTCGCCGAAGGCAACGCCCCGCTCGCCGACGAGAGCGCCGCCAGCACCCTGCCGCATGCCATTACCTCGTCTCTCCGCAGCACCTACCGTACCTTGAAAGCCATCAGCGGTTGGCGCTCCCTGTTCCGGGGGTTTGCTTGCTGGATAGCCATCACCGTCGCTACCAGTTTCATCTACGGAATTACGGCTGGTACTTTTGTGCCCGCCCTCGTCGCTGCACCCATCTCTGCCGTCGCCCTCGTTCAACTCTACACGACCTGGACACACATCGTCATCTCGGCCCCGAGCTCCAAGACTTTCTGGCAGCGCCTCCCCCCCTTCAAGAAGGCATTCCAGGCCACCGCTCTCCCGACTTTTATACACTTCTTCGCCATTGCGCTTAGCGCCTTTGGCCCCAGGATGCTTGCGTACGGCATCGGCATGAACATCCCGAACCCCAAGCAACCCGGAGTCGTCCCCGAAGCCGACAAGAATGACATCTGGAAGGGAGTCTTGGTGTTGCTCCTCGCGATCGCCTTAAACGTCCTCCTCGTTATCCCCACCAAGGTCATCCTCACCCGCGTGCAGGCCTCTCTTCTTCCCGATGAGGACGACACTATTGTTCCTTTTGACCGTTCGTTCCAGGGCAGGGTGGAGCCGGCCGTCGTCGGCGGCAAGGGTTTCGTCACTATCAAGGACGCGTGGCGCTCGTTCTCTCGCGATTCGTGGGTGCGCCTCGTGAAACTCTATGTTAAGATCTTCGCGGTTGGGATCGCCCTTTCCCTCGTCTGGCTCGCGGTGATCATCCCTGAGATGTTCCTCATCATAAGCCATAGCAAGAAACTCGAGTAAGCGAGGGGAGCCTACTGGCTCAACTAGCGCAGCCCACGGCCTCGCAGTTGTCTTCGACATCGGCTACTTCGTTCTCCTGCAATATTGCCTAGGTTCCAGTCGACCTAGCCTGGACCACGACGGCTCGGGCTTCCCGGATCGGCCGGAAGGGGTGGAATCGGGTGCGGCGTTTCTAGTGGAAGCAAAGGGCAGATTGTATTTTATCTCCATCTCCTCCGTCAACGATCCCGTCTTGCTAAGATCGAGCGGCGAGACGACGAGAGGCCTGGCCATATGACGGATTTGGATTCGTTCAAACCACGCACACCGCAAAATCTATATAGTCTTTTCAGTTGCAATACCTATAATCGGTCGGAAACGACGGCGTGTCTGCCCTCTTGCACCCGTCTTGGCGTGCGTCCACTCGAACCCAGCAGATCCAATACAGACAAGTATGGATATATGCCGACATTGATGGTGCCGAAGTTACACTTACCATGGCGTTACGCTAGTCCAATAGAATCTATCTCTCGAAGCATAATGATTTATTTAACTATCAGTATTTCAGAAGATCTTCTTTTCTACCTGCGCTCAAGATACTATCCATGCATCTATGTACTCGCTCGTAGAGCTGTTGCCTAGTCGCATGCTTCGCGCTTTGCTATCCCGGAATCGCACTAGACGTTACGTCATCCCTCTTACGAAAGCTCGCCCCATCGCAGCTTTCGAACCTGAGGACGGTACTCAGGTACCTCCCTGTACGTGTGGGTACCTGGGGTATTTATGTTCCCCGGCGAGTTTTTGCCGAGATTAGGCAGAGATCAATAAGGCTGAGGGTACCTACCTAGGTACCTATATAGAGTGTGGGTCGCCACGTACCTCCTAGGTGGAGGTTAGGTAAGTACCTAGGTACGTACCTATATACCTATGAGGTTCCTAGGTTAGGTACCTACTTCTCGATGTGGATATTTGTTTCCATCCCAGAATTCTGCCGCCCTGGCTGATTGCGAGCCAGGCCACACCGCCCAGCGGCCAGGTATAAAAATCTGCCTCCCTCCCAGTCTTCTCTGATTTTTTCCCTCTCCTTCTTTTCTCTTCATACTTACCTTGTCCAGAGGGCCCTTGCTCATGAAAAAGGGCTCTTAAGGGGGGAGACCTGCATTGCACAGCGCGGCGTATCCCCTCTTCTATTATCCTTCGTGGATCGTAGTGGGCGCAATTTTTGTTCTCCAACTCCTGTTTTCATCGTGGTCCGGTGCCTTGCGCAGCGGCACGAAGAAGACGATTGAGTGATGGAAATGTCTCTAGCGGTGAGCCGGAGCCATGTTATCTCTTGTTGACAGTCCTTGTCTATGTGGCACGTTGTCGGGATCCCCAGCGCGTTGTACGTGGTGACTATCGTGAAGCGTTCTTCCACGCCGTTCCCGTCCCTCGCAAGCTAAGCAATAGCATACGCCTCGTCTCAACATTTTGGCAAGGTAAGCTGAGTGACCCCGTCTGTCCTCATTTTACATTTAGACACCGGATGCTGCACACCCGCTTAGGCCCTAGCCGTACGGACACCAAACCCGTTGAAACCCTTCCCTGAGTCGTCCCTCTATAATAGCGCGCTGCGCTTCCCCGGCCGCGCCCTGACTACCAAACGCGCCCCCCAACCCCCTACCTACCCAGACTGCACGCGACGAAGGCAAACGTCCGCTTCCATCTACAAGCCTACATATGCTCTCGCGGTGCGGCTTCAGTGCGCGCGCCCCAGGCAGTGAACAGCGAAAGCAGCAACGAACGCGCCCTATCCTACCACGAGGAGCAGGTACATAAATAGCTGCCGACTCTTTCTGCTCTTCCCACGGTTACGGTGATGCAAAAGGGTCGGGAGGTTCGGCGGCAAACGGGAGACAGATCGCTGGAAGGAGGGCTGGATACGTATGAGCGACCAGGATGTCGCCTCGCTAGAGAGTGCTAGATTGTAGAGCAAAACTGTAGCCTGTTGGATTGCACGGACCTAGCTTGCCCAGGGAAAGGTCGGGAAGAGGGACGGCCCCGACAACCCTCCGACAATGCGTACCTAGATTGCATTTGCATCCACCTTGAAACACGGTTTCGCGTGTTCGTATGTATGTTGTCCGTTCGTAAAATCGTTTCCATTCGACGGGGCTATGCCATCATAGCCTAGGTGTTGCTATACCCTCGCCAAAATCTATATGCTGCTTCTATCACATACACAAAAGAATCCCTAGCATTCCTACGTCCAGGCAGCGACGTGCGATGCGCAGTGCCGCCTCTGTTCATTACGGGGACCAGGTTTGCACCGGTTTGACAAGCGGGAGCTTCCCCTTCGAGCCATCCTGCTCCTCCACCTTCTCCTTCTTGTGCTTGGCGATACTCTCCTGCCGTCGTCCCTCCATCCGCTTTGTCATGACCCTCTGGAGACTCATAGGCAGATCTACTGCTGCTGCCGTCGCCGTCGTCTCGTTGCCGCCCTTAGCGGTGGTCGCGTCGCTAGCGCTGCTGGCCCAAATACCGGTCGATGGGCGCCTCAGACGGGGTTCGTGGCTAGCGCTTTTGGTGACGGCAGCTATGCCAGTGCTGGCAGTGCCGTGAGAAGGCATCTTGCTAAGCGTGAAACCTCTCCTCCTGCGCACGAAAGTGCTGCCAGATCTGAGCCTGGTCTTCTGGGCCTCTTGGTTCTCGGCCTCGGCAGCGGCAGCAGCCGCCGCCGCCGCCGCTGCCGTCGCTCGGCTCGACTCGCGTTCCTTGATCTTCCGGACGTACTCGTAATACTTGGGGCGCTCGAGCATCCCGCTGCGGAACGCGTTGACCCCAACCAACAGTTTGGCGAGGTCTATTAGTTCTTCCAGGAATTCGATGATTTCCACTGCCGCGCGTGAGGTCAGCAAGGAGATAATTCAAAGTGGTCTGGCTGCAGAAGCCAAGAGAGAGGGGGGGGATCAAATAACAACTTAAAGAAGAACTTACTCATTCCAGCGGAGCTGGCATTCCATGACAGAAAGCTCTGCCGGGCCATAGACCTAAGAACGTGGGCCTGCGGAAGGGTAGAACTTCCCTCGAGGGAGACGGGGGTCTGGGTGCCGGTATCATATGCCGACTTGGGCACACGCTCGAGCAGGAGCTCGCGGACCCGGCTGATATACCTGAGCTGCGCGACGCGGCTCGACGGCAGGAATTGGGGCAGGGGCAATCGCGTTGTGAGCGCTTCGTGAACAGCGAACAGGGTGAGCATTATACTAGCCGCCACATTGCGACGATAGGATAGAACTTCGGCGTTCAGCTCCTCAAGCACGCTGCTCCCGTAGGCTCTGCGAATGTGGAGCATATCGTCCATACGGTCGATAATTTGAAACAAGACGTAGATCATTTCACGATATATCAACGCTTGCCCCTTGAAGCTTCCCTTGAGCCTAGGCTCCGCCAGACAGAATGGTAGGAATGTGCGAGCTGCGTCGAGGGCTTGTTCTGCCTTTTCCTTGGCGTCCTTGAAGCTCTCGTCGAGCGCGTAAGATTTGGTATCAATATTCCGAGGTGAATCGATGCCCACGGCTACCGAGCCCTCCATCTGCGATATCTGCTGAATGCTCGAGGCTAACGATTCAACAAGCCGATCTCGAGTCCGGACGGGGAATAAGAACATCTCGACGAGCAGTGCGACTGTGCCGCCAACGAGAAAACACGCCATCCGTTTGATGAAGACCTGCCAGGGTGCGTCTCCTCTTGGTTGGAGGATAATTGCTTCTCGTTGGTTAGAGACGTATATAGGTCGAGTTGTAAGGTAGATTTCACTTACCAAGTCCAACCACCGACAAACTCGTCGCGGCGATGATCCCCGTTTTAACGTATGGTGTACCGAGCTGGATGTAGGCCGAAGGTATGAGGCCCAGTACGAGAATGACTACGGCAACCACCCGGTTTCCTTGACCAATCTCGTAGGAGATGAAACCAACCAGACAGCCGAATATCACCCCGAATACTCGGAGGAAAAATCCCTGAAGGGAGGTCCCTACGGATACCTCGAAGACGAGAACTAGCTGGAACGACGCCCAGGAACCGCGGATCGAATTATACCACGGGTTGTATGACGGCACAAACGCGGGCCAAGTGATGAGACAGGCCGCGATGGACAGCTTGGTAGCATAGGCGAGAGCATCCGAATCGGCCAGGAACTCGAACACATCGGCAGCAAGCTCGCGCAACGACGAGATGGTGGTCCCTTCAGATTCCCGAGAGCTTTTCCGCATCGGAATATGTCCCTTCTCGGTAGTGGTGGCCTTTCTCGAAATATCGCGACCAGCCTCTTCATCATTTCCCCGTTTGGACGGTTTTGTGTCGCTATCGCTCATGTCGCTGTCATCAGGCCCCTCCGGTTCCTCTCGTAAGCCGTGACCTGTTCTTGCCTCCTTTCGGGCCCTCTCTGGGAGAGCGTTGATATCGGTCTCACCGCCGCTCGTAAGCCATTTCTTCCAGCCAATCTTAGGCCAGTAAAGCCTTCGATGGCTGTTCCTGGCTTGTCTGCGCTCGACAAGCGCTCGAGAATGCCCCAGCATTTCCATGACTTGAGCAGCGGCTTGGCGGACACTGATCAGGAACGAGGAGATTAGGTGCATCTCCATCTTCGGCATGACATCCCCCTGTATAGTATAAACACGTTTAGCGACGGTGACACGATCTGAAGCTGGGCAAACTTATAGGAACATACCCGTGTTTCCCGACCGTATTCTATGGAGGCCGCGTGCTCGAGCGCCGCGGCGGAGTCCCGATCGAACTGCGATAACGCTTGCGCAAACATGTCGACTCGAATGTCGATCTCCTCCATCCTGATACCTTTGGGCGCTGGCGAGCCGGACGGGAGACGGGCCACGTCGTAGCAGTACCCCAAGGCGGAGCTAATAACGTGAACCGCCGCCCGCATATTTTCTTGCAAGGCCTTGGTCGGGGCGCTGATCTGATCGAGAATATGCTCTAAGAGCTCGATATCCCCAAATTCTATTTGTCGGATCGGTTTCACACGTTTAAGATTCCGTAGATATCTGGACTTTCTCCGGGTCGAGCTACTTTCGCTTTGCGAGCGTCCGTTGTCGCTATCGCTCTCCGACTCGCTGTCCGAGCTAGAGCTAGTGTCCTGCTCGGAATCCTCGCCGTCGGAGTCTTTGTTCCTCGGCTCCTCTGGCTCGTCCTCTCCATACTTTTGTCCGGCGAGCGCATATTTGCTCTCGCAGGCATTGATGAGGCAGATGGTGATCTGAACGAGGCGGGACATCAGGGTCATGCTGATCGGCTTCAACGACCGCGGAGGCAGAACCGCAAACACCAGCTCAAAGTTGCACTCTGCTTGCGCCTTCTTACAGTTGCTAAGCTGGGCTCTTAACTTCGTCTTGTTTTCGGTCAACGCTATAAGCCTAGTACGCAACGCTATAGAGGCTTCCTTTCCCTTCTCCGTGTCCTCGCCGTCCGGTTGCTTGGTGTCAGTCATGAACCAGTCTCCGGACTCCAGGAAACAGTCCATAGTCGCGCATAGAGTTTCTATGGTGGATCTACCTAAGAAGCCGCTCGAGAACTCGGGAAATACCACAATGTTCACGAATACCACGATGCCAACCGCGGCGAGGACCGGGTAAGCTATATTGGTGATCATGGTGGTAGACACGGAAATGTCGGTGGCTGTTAAGATGGTTGTGTTGATGAGTAGGAAGAAGAACACAAACATGAACAATCTAGGCGTCGACGAACGCAGGACGCCGTGGAAAATCAAGGCCGGTACGAAGAAGACGGCCCTGATGGCCAAAGCGACCTCGTCGTTAGCCGCATAGACGAGGCCCGAAAGGTAGAGTCCCAGCGCGGACCAAGCAATCCCAGCGAAAATGCCTAGGACGATGAGTATGAGGACCTCAGCCATCTGCCCGAACCGCTGCCCGGGATAACCAAATATGGTAACCATGGCGCCGAAGAAGGCTGCAGGGCCGAATTTCTCCACCACTTCGGGGATGAGGCCGATGATGATGGTGATAGTGGTGCAAGCTATATTCTTGACCATCCGCCTGCCGAGAGTATTTTTCCGGAGGGTCGACGTGGCCGAGGCCAGCCATTGTTGGCACTGGCGATGAAGCCTCTGCCCCCAGCGATGAACTATGTTCATGGTTCCTGCGATGCTTCCGATCCAAAGCCTAGCCGTTGGCGACGTTTCAACCGAGGCATGGCCGGGAGAGTCAAAGTTCTTCTACTGACGGGCAGGCTACCGGGTAAGGCGGCACGGCCCATGGACAGGGCGACCAGGTAGGCTGGGTCGAGAGGGAGGCAGGCAGGACGACGGTACGGGCTGGCGAATGCGATGACGCCGATAATGGCCGGCGGTTCATTCCACGGAATCGGGCATATAGGACAATGGGGCGGCCCTGACCAACACGGATGAGAAGAGTTGAACGGACCCAGCGTGGTGTTATATTCTCGGAAGCGATCTTGGGGGGGGAGGTGTAAGTGACGGAGGGCGGAGGTGGCGTGGCGTGGCGTGGTTACTGAGGATAGGTACCTGATATTAGGGCCGCTAGGGCTGGGGAGCTTCCAGGTCGAGGCAAGGTTGAGTAGGCCGGGTTAGGCCGCCTGCTACGGTGCCCCGAGCCCACTACGAGTACCCAGTACTTGGGTACCTCAAACAGCTCTATCCGGGGTTGGACCTGGTCCCCCTACGCATTCCTCCACCCAGGCGTCGCAACCGGCCCTAAGGCATTATGCACGTGTCTTGGCACTCCGCGAGTGGTCTCGTCCCGAAGCGACGCCACCGGCCGGCTGCTACGGCTCAAGCGCGTGCTAAGTAGCAGTACCACTCCCTCTAGGTACCTATAGGTGCCCAGGTAGGTTGCCTTAGGTACGTCGACCCGCTAACTGCGCGGGCATTATTCGGCGCGCCGAGCACCTATAGCCTATTTGTATATAACGTCAGGTACCTAATCTATATGCATTGCGCAATGCCTCTTTTACAAAGCTCGTTCCGGCAACGACTCGTCCCTTCAATTTCAAGGCGCGCAGTCCCAGCCTATCCGACGCTAGTGCTAACCTGGTTCAACCTCATCAACGTCAATGCGATTTCGTTATCCCAGCATTCCTCGAACCACCAACTCGTCGTCTACGGGAAGAGAGTACACGAGCCTCCGGGCTGCGTACTGCTAACCAAGATGCCGCCGCCAGCGAACCTGATCGTAAGTCCGCCCGTGGAGGCAGCCTAACTAAACTAGCCTCGTGGTATGTCCGCAAGCTGATCGGCCCCTCAACGCCGCAGACGAAGCTCAAAGTCCAGCTCAAGCTGTCCATCGCGCGGCTGCGCATGGTGCAGCAGCGCGATGAAGCGATGGGCAAGACGCAGAGGAGGGCGATGGCCCAGCTGCTGGAAGTGGGGAAGATCGATTCGGCCAGGATAAGGGTCGAGAATATCATCCGGTCTGACATCACCACCGAACTGCACGAGATCCTCGAGCTCTACTGCGAATTGCTGCTGGCGCGCGCTGGCCTGCTCGAGGGCCACACCTGCGACCCCGGGTTGGAGGAAGCCGTCAAGAGCGTCATATATGCTGCGCCGAAGACGGAAATTAAAGAGTTGCAGCAGGTGCGGATACTCCTGGCAGAGAAGTACGGCAAAGAATTTGTGTTGTCCGCTATGGAGAACTCAGACCAAAAGGTCTCGGAGAAGGTGATCAAGAAGCTCAGCGTCACCCCGCCCCGGGAGGAGCTCGTCCAGGGATATCTGGAGGAGATTGCTAGAGCCTACGGGGTCGACTGGCCGAAGCGGCCCAAAGATCTAGGCGAACCCCCGAAATTCGCTGACGACGACGGCGATGGCGACGGCCCGAGCGGCGGCCAGGCACAGAAGGTCCCCGAACCCGCCCTCCTCGCGGATAGCAAAGCTGCCAAAGAACGGGACGACTTGAGCCGAGCGACGCCACCGCGATCCCTGGGACAGAACACTCCGCTGCACGTCAACCCGCCGAGCCCCTCCACAGACAACCCTCGTCCGAAAGTGACGCTGAACTCGATGGAGCTGAAGCCTAGTCAGAAAATGGTGGACGCCGGCATAGCAAAAGGGGGCGGTGACCAGAAGAGAGACAACAAGGGTGACGGAATACCTGAAATCAACGAATTGGCTGCTCGATTTGCCGCTCTGAAGCGGTAGGTGATGGTTTGCTTGCTTGGTGATGACACCTAGACCTCGGAAGCTGTTGTGAGACGCGTCACTTGCTTGGTTGGCGTGTTCGTGTTTTCCTCCGTACGTTGGCTGCCTGGGGCGCGTGGCAGACTCGTGGCAGCGGCATCTAGCCCCCCGCCTACGACTCGATTCTCCGTATCACTCATTATCCGAGATACCAACCAAATACAGCCAGATAGCTTTCAGTGTCTTTGCAGCAGCGGCAAGGTCTCTACGACTCCTGAAGCTGCAAACTCGGGTACCTACCGTGCCTATACTACGGGGGATCCTGAATGCAGCAGACATGAACTTAGCCACTACTGCTTAGCCATCGCTGCTCGCCTTTGGGCCTGGAGATGGACATTACCGGCGCCCGACCTGCGACCTAGGGAATAGGGGTCGTTACGGAAGGACGGTTTGGCCGCTTGCACGTACTCATATACCTTTGTATAACAGGTACCTCTCACCTAGGTTGTGTGCCTGATGCACCTAGGTAGATACCTACCTAGAGGTACTCTCTACCTGTTAGGCTGGATTACTTGACGGTAAGGAGGTTAGGAAGCAGGTAGGGGTTACCCGATATTTCTTAGCTTAGAGGTAGGTACCCACCTCTCTCTACTTAGACAGGTACCTACCTCCTAGGTAACGTCGAGTTCTTGCAGTGGATGTGATAGAATGTAGGTAGGTAGGTACCTCTATCATTGCAGATGCCCATTGGTAGCAGGTACTTCCGCAGTCTGATGCCAAAGGTACCCCTATCGAAGGCAGGCGGCGCCGCACACGATACCTATATATTTACCTCTTGCCTTATATATCGGTGGTCGCCTTGTGAGCTGTCCCCATGTCTTCGAGTGAATATCTCGTCTCGTAGGGGTATCGAATATACATTGTCTGTTTCCCTTCCATCGTCTACTTGCGTGTAGAAGTCGGCTGTCACCTAACATCGTAGGAACTGGATTCCGTATTTCGTCCTAGGAGGATAACACAGCCGACCGCACCACATTGAGATATCGACATTGTCCTATGTCATATCGAGGTACTGACGGCTCCCGGTTTCGACCCAGACAGTGCCGCGCAGACTCGACTCGACAACACAATCCACTTCAGATATCTGGGTAGCATAGGCCGCCCTCTTATTTCTCCTTTCCTTTCCTTCTTTTCTACACTTCCCGGTCTTCTCTCATCTACCGCCTTACATGTTTACCTGTCTTGTTTTGCCTCCTGCTTCCAGGCAATTTCCGGGTCTCGTTCTATCCTCGCCAACACCCTTTCTCCAGAGAGATACCGCCTACTGAGTTTGTCAACACACTCGACCACGTCTGGGCCTAAGAATCTTAAAGGCTGGACGTATCGGTAAATAGAGGAATGGGATAGAGTTGGACACCCGTCTCTCGGTCGAGGACACAGAGCATAGGTTGGTAGCTTACCGTGAAGCTGGCATCCACTCCCGACCAAGATCCATCTCCGTCATGGACAAGCATCAGCTCTTAGGCGCCATGGGCGTACGCAAGTTGGAGGACCTCACGCTGAAGGAACTTGACAACAAGCTCAGGCGTGCCGGCACCCACAATGTGCCTCGAAAGGTGGCGTTGCAGATTCTCACGGAGTGGCTCTGCGAGTATACCAAAAAAGACATACATGGTTCTTTGTCAGATTTTGTAGACCTGCTACTCGAAGGCACGAAGCTGAAACTGAAGCCATTCAGAGAAATTGAGGTTGTCAGGTGTCTCAAAGAATGGCAGCTCGGAAACCATACGGATTACATGGCAAACCAACGCAGGTATCTCATGGTGGAAAGAGACCTGAAACGGCTATTTGAGGAGGCCAAGCCTAGATTGAACCCACCGAAATCCTCTATAAAAAAGAAGAAGGGGAAGGGTGCCAATATAATCCCACTGGGGCAGCGAGGCACCGGCAGTGGTGCCGAGCCAAAAGCCACCAAAGTGGGCAATGAGAGCAGCCGCGCTAACCGCGGCCAGGACAACGTCGACGGAAAAAGTATCGTGCCTATAGAGGAGGCAGAGTGTGCTGTCATAAGGGATCCGCCGGAGACGGAGCCGGCTCCCTCGCTCGGAAATGTAAACATACCACCCAAGGGATATGTTTGCCGCATCTGCAATCAACCAGGCAAGCCTTCCGAGCGAGTCGATGAATAGCCTGCTCACTGACCTGCAACATATAGGACACTATATCCAGCATTGCCTTAGCCGATGTCGACGAGGCGAGAATCGTGTCTCGAGCCCCATCGCATATTCCCGCAAGGGGGCCGCTGAAGCCTGTGGGCCGAACGAGACCCTGAGAAATTCACCTCTCCTAGACTACGGTGCTCCCTTACTGCAGCCTGTTGTAACACAGCTGAGTCTTGCCTACGGACTGGATCGAGACGGAGTGGCAGAGGAGGCGCTGCGAGATGTGCAAGGCATCGCTGGGAACGTCGCGCCGGCTCGAGGGGATGCCGATATCTTGCTCAACAACCTTATGACCGACCCGCATCCAGGCGCGACGCGGTCCCAGATAGCCGCTCCCGCTCCCGCTGCCAAGGATCCCTCGTCCCCAGACGCCGACTGGTCCGCAGGAGAGCCGAAGATTCATCATGCTAGATGGACAATCTTAGAATCTCTGTCGAACTGCGTCGTGAACCGCAAACCCCAGAGAAAGACCGCTGTCCAGATGATGGACGAGATGGACGGGCGCACAGAGACCTGATGATTGTCTTCTGGAAAGTACCTTCATCTCTCGGTAAGAAGAGGAGGGGGTGGAGCATGACGCCGGTGTTGATGGTGAGGTCGCCGGGCACGCTGAGCACGAGCAGGGAGCATTTGTCCTGGAGAACCTGCGCTGTGCTATTGCTATTGGAGTTGGGTCGTCACAACCCACCCTACTCGATGCTGGGTGTACTGCGCCATCGCTGTGAATTTTCGGCGGCCTGCATTGACAGGCCTTGCTTATCTGGTCCGTAAACGAGGTAATATACGCGGAAGATGACGAAAGAAATATGGAGGCGGCGGGGGTGCCTTGCTCTGAGTCGAACACGCTGTTCACGCGAACACCAGGACAGGAGGAGTTGTGCGGCTAAGCCTTGCAGTTAAGTATCTGCCTTATGAGACTAAGAGAGCCACGAAGTTTTTCTGACTGACGCGTCGATGCCGTGCTAACAGCAAAGGAGACGGTTTCTAGCCTTGCCGTCGAAACGGTCTTCCATCCTCTACACATAGGGCTGAGGAAAACTAGGCGTTTTATACGGGGAGGGAGACACGGAAGACTCGACTCCTCAAGTGTATTCGGTACGGTATCCACCGCGCGTGCCGGGATGGACATCATACTCCGTTCCGTTCTCGGGTAATTAAGTGGTAAGGGTTCGGGGAAGGGAGTGGCTAGACGGAGATGTTAGGTCGGAAATCATGCCGATTACCCTACATGTACACAGACGCGGCATTGTAGAGCCCTAGCTTTCAAATGTAGATGTTGGAGTTCCTGTACGATTATATCTCGCGTCCTGTGGTCCATGTGACACGACTCCTAAGGCTACCGTTACCGGAGAACGCCGAATATCCTCATCCTGCAAAGAGGTAAATATATACTCATCGGCAACCTGTTCGTATATACATGCCGCATGCATCTGGAGGACGGGCCTATATCGGTCGGCCTCGCGGCCCGCCCTAGTTCGCCCTCGCCCTCTGTGGTATCTTCGCGGAGCCGGTCATTAGCGTCCGTCCCTCTTTCTCTCTTTCCTCCCTATCGTAACTCGTCTTCGTTATTCGGATATATTATCGACCCAGCGCATACACACACATACGCACGCGCCCACGCACAACATACGTAGACCTTCTCCTCGACCCTCTGTTTATGCCGTCGAAAAACTCGCATCCGTCCGTCTGGGTATTCGTTCGCTTGTTCGCTCGTTCGCTCGCTCGCTAGTTCATCGGTCCCGCACGGGGGAGGGAGGCAGCTGCCGGGTCACTCGAGCTTGTCGAGGTGCTCGAGGCGGGTGAGGACGACCTGCTTGGAGGTCTCCTCGATCTCGCCGGCGAGGAAGACCTCGTCGAGGATGGCGTAGACCTTGTAGAAGTTGAAGACGAGGTCGAGCTCGCAGACGTTGCCGAAGAAGGCGTCGAGGACCTCGACGAAGAAGTGGATCGCCTCGAGGTAGGCGAGCTCGTTGTCGTTGGTGTCGACGCAGGCGCAGAAGAACAGGCCCGCGTACCGCCGGTACACGATCTTGTACGACCGGAACTCCACAAAGTTCGACTGGTACTTCTGGTCCCGCGGCGCCACCAGCCGGTGCACCTCCCCCTTCAGCCGGATCTTCTCCTCGTCGCTGTACGGCACGTACCACTTCGCCAGCCGCGTCTTGCCCCTGCGAGTCCCGCCCCCCGACGGGCGCCTGGCGTTAGCGGGAGTTCTTTCTCTCTCTCTCTCTCTCTCTCTCTCTCTCTCTCTCTCTCTCTCTCTCTCTCTCTCTCACTATGCGTCTCGCGCGCGTTGTGTGTGTCGCGTAAAGGAGGGACGGGCGGATGGGCCGGTAAGGCTCTGGAGCTTCAGGGGGAGGGGACTGAGGTTGAATTGGACAGGACTTACTGGCGGTTCTGTATTAGTATGAAGGACAACATCCTCGCTGGCGTCGGCGAGTGGGGGGGGGGTTTGGATGAGGATGCGGCGGTAGCGTCGCGATTTGAGGATGTTTCCTGTCTTCCTACACCCAGGCCAAGATGGAACCGGATTGGGAGAGGTTGAAGCTACTGGTTTTAGGGGTCTCGCGGCTCCTAGTGGGGGGAGGCCATACGGGAAACTACCAACACACTGTGCGTTTGTACAGTTTATATTCTTAACTAACACAGTATACCTCAATGAGATAGGTAGGTACGAAGGTACATGAGAAAGGACTGCCAACGTATGAGTACATCCTTAGGTAATCAGAACCAACGTCTGACAGCGAATTCTTACGGCTTTAGTCGGTACCCATCAGGCCATACACCTGGGGGCTATTTATTATTTTTACCCTTTCGTCGCTAATTCTGTTCTTTGCCATTGTCTCGGATTTGGGACACCCTTCGCTACCCTGTCCCTTAGGCAACTTTAGAGCTACTTCTAGAGACTCTTTGCACCTTGGCCCAGAACCAGGTTCAAATCATAATGCGAGTGCACGGTCAGCCAATAACGTCGCTACCCACTTCGACCGCCCTCGGCCGAGGACAAGTCACTTCCACAGCCAACACAATGAAGTAGTAGCCGCCTCTTCCGCCTGGCCGTTTAGAGGGTACTCGAGTGAGAATGCTGGCACTCGCTTGCTTGTGAAGATGTAGCCATCCAACCACCTGCACTCATGGTCCGTCTGGCGGCCCGTCTGGTGGCCCGTCTGGTGGCCCGTCTGGTGGCCCGTCTAGGTGAAACCAAGGGTGGCTAAGCATCTCCTCGGCTGTGGGACGCCTTGTCGGATCGTAGACGAATATCTTTGATAATAAGTCGTATAGCAGGGCAGCTTCGCGCTTCGGTATCTTGGGCAGCGCCTCTAGCAGCGCATCCCACTCATCGTTGTAGCCGGATAGATAGATATTATCTACCTTGACGGCTCTTGGGTTCCATACCATCTTCGAAAAGCATGAGGGAAAAGGTTGGTGCTCGCGTTCAAACAAAATCTTCCGCTCCGGCCTGGGCGTGCCGGTCTGGACGATACGGCTCTCCGGTTCGTCCCATATGTTGCAAATCATATCTTGCAAGGACCGTTGGTCGCCCTCCCACCACTGCTCATGCAATTCGCCCTTGCTAGGGTCCTTAGTCGGTCGTCCTTGAGAGTCCCATAAGGTAGTTTCCTGCCACTTAAGGGGCATATCTTCCCCCAGAGTATAAACGATGTACCTCATCAGGTCCGCCGGGCAAGTAACCTCGAAAGGACTCGAGAAAGGGCCCTCCCCAGACCTAAGTCGGAATATGCAACAGCCAAGAGCCCAGGCATCGCTCGCGGGACTAGCAGCCAGGCCGACTGCGACTTCGGGTGCTAGGAAATCGAGCGGAGTACCTAAAAGTTTCTCTGGTGGTGACATGGCAGAGAAGCATTGGTCGAAGTCGACGAGTTTGATGTTAGGTTTAATGATGTTTGTTGAACAAGACAGAAAGTCTATTCCTCGTACGATATATCGTGGTGCCTCAGGACCGGTCGCTTCTCTAGACTCAGTCTCCAGACTCCCTGTCGTCGGTCGACCGAACAGAGCGTAAATGTCATCTTCTTTAAATTGGCCAATATCTAAAAGGCTAAGGAGAATATTCCCTGTTGTTACATCTAGCATATTGTTAGCTAATTTACTAAATAAAGGCGAGCAGAGATTAACTTACCTCCATGGCATAGGCCTTCTGAGTGAAGATCAGCTACCGCTTTTGTGGCTTGATAGGCAACTCTCCGAGCGAGCTGTGGCGTAGGCCGGCAGGTGAAGTTATACGACAATTCAGACATTGATGGACCAAGGACAGGCAAGACAAGACATAGATGATGGCCATTTGGTCCGTCGAAAGTGAACTGCCGCTGATGCTCCACCACGAATTGTGCTCCTCTGGCTAGCAACTTTGAGGTCACGCGACGGCTCAAGTCGCTCTTTTCGCCAACCGAATTTGAATGCTCAGAGTCAACAATCTTCAGAGCTACCCACTTGTCTTCCTTCTCATCTCGCGCGAGCCAAACGGTAGAGAAGCCACCAGCACCGAGCTTGTGCACAATTCTATAGCGCCCGCTATCGTATCTATCGCCCAGATGAACAGGATGGAAGCCCCCGGGGTTATATCGCTCGACGTCTTCCGTGTCACCGACACCCTGGGGGAGGAGGAAGCGTGTGTCGTAGTCCTCTTCAAAATCTAGAGGGGATGACATGTTGAAAATATGCCAAAGTCTCGCTTCTCGGGAGTATGATCAAGAGGGAGATGGGATAGCAGCGAGAGATGGATGTGGCTGAGGGAGGGACTGTCCAACTTTCAACATGGTGGAACCAACGGTCGTCCGAAGGGGGCAGCCTGTCGCGCGTTAGGCAATCCAGCTAAGCCCCAATTTCGGCGCCTAGTTAAGCTCGACGCATTTGCCCTTGATCTCGGCGGGGATCGTTGCTTTGCGACATGGTTTCAGTCAGTAGCGACAGTTACTTTTCAAACGTAGAGTTTTCGACCTCGCACTCGCTCGACCGGAAAGGTGACGGCTTCATTGAGGAAATGCATACATAGCCTTGAGAATGATTGGCTTGGTCGGAATGGCTGGAAAGCTGACTATGGACGATGGATACGCAAGGGTGTATTGTAAGGAATGCGGATTGGCTATGGGAAAAAGCTTGCAGTCTTGGTCTTCAAGTAGGTATAGTAGAAATTCCAAAAGAGAGCCACTATTGACGAGCGCATTGTTGGTGATATTCAAGAGAGTTTTCTGGGGACAATCTACAGGAGCCACAGATACTTAAAAGGTACCTGGGATAAGGAGGTGGCTTAGGTGCCCACCTAAACCTGCGGTTCCTGAATTAGATAAGCGGTAAGCTCTTGGATGCTGGTGCCAAGCCACAAATTTGAACCCCCCTTGTGGCGTAGGGCAAAGAGCCTAGCAACTTGCGGATTTGTTCCAGACTTCTGACTGGCCAGCCATCTCAATTCATCAACTCGCCCTTCACAGATAAAATACCTAAACAAGGCTACCTGTGGAAGAGGTCAGGTATACAGCCTCCAACATAGCATCTCCCATAAGACCTGAACAGCACAAGCACCTATGAGTATCCCCTTCTTTAGTTAATAGTAAGTATGTGATTAGGGTACCCACTCCGTGTGCATCCTGTTGAATGATTTCTACCCATTCACCCAAGTACTGCGACAAGTTACCCTCTGTGTATCCGTGTATGGCGCTTATATGGACCGTGGGCTTCCGTCCACTTAACTCAAACATCTAGGCATCGATCTCTCCATGGGCCTTCCGACCTCACCTCGATAAACGTCCAGAGGTCCCTTCACTTATCTCCTTAAGAAGCCCATGCTTCTCATCCATTCACTCTGTTCTTTCCTTTTCGCCCACTGGCCGAACAGACCTTTCGACACCCAGCTATCCCTGTTTGGTTTCTCCTATCCAACATCACCTTCCACCCATCTAATATTTATCTTCTTACTGCACGTCGTCCAATACCCCTTCCTGTCAGCCTTGAGACTAATGGGAGAAGGAACTTGCTGTTCCTAACGAGATTTGCCATCTCGCAGAGTTCGTTAGACCAAGGCTGCGGCCCCATACATCTCTGGTCCCTTTCACTGCGACTATTAGCTTTGCGGCTTCAGCTTCTTCCCCTTGTCAAAAGCACCATGTCTTCTTTAACTGGAGATCCCATGCAGTTCGTGGTCCGATGGAGCGATGGCCAAGAATTCCCGGAGCACCGTTTCCCTGAGGAATACAAACGAGATGATTCTGTCACGGCCTCTTGGCTGTCCAAGTTGGGAGAGATGATTCGAGACCAGATGTATCCACAATCAAGTCAGTTGAGCATCAACCATTCAACAACTTAAGGATGCTAATCTGAATCATCTAGGCCGTCGAGGTGTCCTTGTCGAGTTCCCAGCCCACTACCACATCCGTAGACGGCCTCGAAGCGGTACGAGTAAGTTAATCCTCGAAGCTCCAGTTTTCCCTTGTATGTCCTCGCTTATTGATCAACGCCACTCTAGGTAAACGATATGACTACTACCTATATGGTTACCCCGATGAAAGGGCCGACACTACAGCAGCTGAAGCTCCTCAGACGAGGCTGCCGGCTCTCAAGAATTTCAGATCCGCTGCCGAATTCTTTGACCACTTGATGTTTTTGTTGAATGGTCCCCAGGACCGATCAGGTTGTCAGTGCAAACACTGCAAACCCGCTTCCGAATCCAGGGCAGCGTTGTTGAATGCCAGAGCTCCACCACCAGCTAGAGTTAACCCTGCCAATTCCATATTCCCCCGGCTTGGTCCCGCCAACATCGCCACACCTCAAGCCGGTACGGTGAACACCGTCCATCAACCTGCCGTGTTGCAGCCTGTCGGTCCTCAACCTGCCAATCCTCAGACTGTCGCTAGAAGTCCTGCCGCTACTTCGTCCAATGCGCCGACGAACAGACCCCCCTCTGATGTCAGAGCTCAGGCGCAGCCGGTCCCTAGTCGGACTCAATCAACCATGATCATCCCAACTTCCGCTCCAGGTTCGCTCGCAAGTATCGCCGATACCCACCGGACGCCAGTAAATGTATTATTCCCCCAGCCTGATGAGGCCTCGGTATATCGACAGGGAGAGGTCATTTGGTACACGACAGACGGCAGACAGTTCTCCCTAGGATTGATTCTTCGAAACACGCCCGCCGATGCTAGCACTGGCTCTCAGTCAACCAGTCAAATAAAACCTCTCTCGTACTGGCGCCGAAGCCTTCCGGAGGTCGAAATTCTAGAATCGGATATGCGACCCTTTTTTACCTTCAGTGTGCCGGGGCCCCAAGAGGATCTAACCGAGCTGGTGCAGCGACTCATGGGACCAGGCCCGGTGACGCCGGAAATGATTAGTTCTGAGGCTGGGAGAGAACGATCGCTAATCGTTGAGGCATCAAAGGTAGCCGCGTCCCGAGTAGACAAATCTTACTCCCTATTCAACCCGGGATTAAATCAGTACGCAACATCAAAGCATCAGAGCTTCGGTGGCGTGTTCCTGGGTGCCGAAAAGGTTAGCCTATACGAGGCGGTCCGAGTTCGCGTCGACCAGCCCGAATTTGACAACACCCGCCTCGGTGCCGTGATGATTATCAAGGATATCTTCCTGGAGAGTGCGGAACAAGGAGACCAGCTCTGGTTCGAGGGCGACGTCTGGATCTTACGCGAGGTTGCGGCCGCCGAAGCGCAGATGTTCGGCCCTGAAGATGTCACGCCGGCCATGAAGCGCGAGAAGGCATTTCTGAACAAATTACGACAACAGCATGAATCCTACTTAGTGTGGGAAAAGGTTCTCCACGTCGCGAGAAAGCCCGAGACATTCATCCAGGGCCGGTTCTACGAGTCTGAGAAGGTGGTTCCCATGGTGTTTAAGGGCAATTTTGACCACTTTCTACAGACAGGGGATGTCCCATCTATCAGATTGCACCTGAACAGCCGTTTCGACGTGCCCGGTGATTACATCGGCAGGAAGAATTCGCGACTGGATATGCTGGCCGGATCCATCCCCGACGATACGGTGTTGCAGTTCCCGCCTACCCTCGTTGAGTGGCCAGGGGCTGCCCGCCGTACCCCTTTCCCACTGGAGGCGGCTACAAGCCACATGTGAAGACTACCTAGGTCTTACACGAACGTACCGCCTAGCAACTTTGCATCGACGAGTGGAAGGGGTTATGTTGAGGAGAGCAAGTGCCATAGTTTCTCTCCATGGCTATACAGGTTTGATGGAGGGGAAATAGTTCGTCGCCACGTTTGGTGCTAATACGGACGGACTTTTCACGGCTGTCGTCGAGTTTACGCCTGGGAGGCGGGTTTTAACCCCCTTTAGGTAAACGGCGAGCTAGAGTAGAGAGCTTACGCTTCTAAACAACATGCGCAGTTGGGGCGCCGATCTCAACTGGATGAAGCACTCGGCCCTAGAGCCGCTCTCTCTAGTCGTCGCATCCCAATTTATCCCCATGGAGATAGGCAGGCTTACGTTGCTGACAAGCCATACCACTCCCCTGGTTCGGGTGCTCTACGCTTTACGCCCTAATGTCGAGTTTCAGGTCGGTAGACTGCTGTCTACATGTCTCTTGCCTATGTAATAATAAATTGATCGTCACTTAACGTTTAATGAGCTTCCTAGTCTCTGTAACCCTCCGTGTCACCTGGCACCCCGGAGCCCCTGGGGGAAACCAACCAGCGTGAGGATGTAGTTTCTATTTATGGCAGCAAATCTGGGATCGTGACACCACCAGCGGCAACCACCAGCGGCCAGGTCCTCTGATAGATCTGCTACAAGACCCAGGACTGTAAAGGGGGGGGGGGGGGACTGACTACCGTATATGCATGCTACCCTGGGCAGCTCTCCCCCCTCTCGCGCGTGCGTGGTCCCTTCACACGTACTGGGCAGTATCCAGCACCACCACTACGCCTACTACCGAGCCACGTACCACCTCGCGAAGACCAGCCGGATGGATCCCGCCCTATCAAGGAAAAAAAAAACCTTGCTTTTCCCGTCTCTAGCGCAGATTGGCGGAATCCGTAGACCTAACGCCAGAGCTGACTCTCCCAAGACACCTAGCAGAGCAGCCCCTTGGAGCGGTGTAGGGGAGGCTCCCCGTCGATAGGCATACATACACATGCGGCGCCAGAGGCTAGCTGCCCCCCCCCCCCCCTCTATATTCGCACTCGCGACTTAGCAGTCCCCATCTTCTTCCTTGGCCGTGGAGGCAGTCGGATAAGAAAACGACGACGCCTCCCCCCCCTTTTCCAAGCGCGGCGGAGTGTAGGTGCAGACCGCGTCGACGCGTGAGCTAGCAGTCGTCGGTGCGATGTCGGCCCCTATTTCGACGGGCGCGCGTCTGCGCTGCGAGCGAGACGAGACGAGACAAGGCGAGACGAGACCCCCCACGGGGGGAAGGGGACGCCCACAGGCGCCAGCCAGCCCATACACCCATACACACGTGGGGGCAACAGGCCAATCCAGGCCGCGACAGTTCGACCCTGTGGAGACAGCGAAACAGTCGCAGGTCGATGCCAATAGACAGGCGTATTTGCCCGGTTGGCTGGCTGGCTGGCAGCTCACTGGCGGTCTGGGCTGTAAGTAGGTAGGGAGGTGGCAGCTTGCGAAGCGGCCGTGCCGCCTCTGGCGGCGAGCGGGAGGCGCCGCAGGGGACGATGGCAACGGTCGGTATGCCGACGTAGTAGACTGCCCGGTGCTCGTACAGACGTAGGTAGGTTTCTCCTCGACGTGACTTGAGCCGGGCCGTGCTAGCTGCCGTGGAGGGAGGCTGGGAGACAAGGACATCGCCCCCCAGAGCTGCACCGGGCCACACACACTTGCACGCATACACATACATGCGCATAGCTACATACTCGCTTACCTGCCTGCCCGCCTGCCTGCGTACCTCTGCGGTCCCGACGGCCAGGCGAGACAGGCGGGTACCTGGCATGCCGACCGAGAGTCGCAGCGCATGAAACGACGGACGCTGGGCGCATCCACCTCTTCGTGTCCCAACCGCGGCGGGCGGGCGGGCACCGCCACCGGGCCAGGTCCACCGACCGACCGACCGACCGACGCGTCGAGTCCCGGGAACTAGGGAGTAACAAGATTGATTCGACCTACGTTTCTATTCTGCACCCCTCTCCCCTTCCTCCTTTGCCTCCTCCCCCCCTTCCCCCCCTATTATACCTAAACGTACTTATGTACGTCGGCTCGCAGCACCGTACGACCGCGCCACGTGTCCCCCGGGGGAGCGAGAGCCTTGCTCGGGCCGTAATTGCACCACACCCATATATATCTACATTACGTACCCAGTAGCGAGACGTAGGTCTGGCTTGAAAAACTTGGTCGAGGCGCCAAGCGGGCGAGAGCCAGCAAGCCCCGGCGGGGGGGGGCAAAGGGGGGAGGGGGGGGACCATGCAGGCTCCGACATGTCGGTCTGGCTCTGGATAGGAGCGCCGAGAGGGAGGAAGAGGGGGGGAGCAAGTATGGAGCTCGTCTCGCCTGGCCTCGTCTCGTCTCCCATTTTCTCTCTCGTTTCGTTCCCGTCCACGGCGCCGGGATACGTCGTGCCACCAACCACCCAACCCAACCGAGCGGCTAGCCGACCTGCCGACGTACCGAGCCAGGGAATACATACATATTGTGGGGGGGGAGGTGACGGGAACGGGGGCGAGGACGAGCGCGAGCCGCGAGGAGGGACACACACACACGTACCTGACATGTTGTGTCAGGACGGCATAGGCGGGCGACACGTCGGTAGTTACCTATCCCCGGATCGCCTCGCCGCCCCCTTTTCGGGAAGGGAGAGAGGGGGGGGAGCGGACGGCGGAAATCACACACACACATACCAAGATACCCACCGCGAAGACCGGCGGACGGAGTGGAGGGGGGAAGCCAGCCGCCGCGGCTTCGAGCCGATACCTGCCCGTGACGTGCCTTTGTGTTTTTCTTCTGTCTCTAAGCGTAGGCGAGCGAGCGAGTTACGTGAGGGCGGGATGCCAGGGGCAACATTGCTCCGTACAAAGCCATAGAAGAGAGAGACAGATACGAGATTCGGAAAAAGCGAAGCCCGGCCCTGCTTGCTTCGTTCAAGACGAGGCCAGGCCGGGCGAGACGACGACCAGACGCGGCTCGCGGCCGCGGCCGCCTCTATTCGCCCGGCTGGCGCCCCCCGAAACCGCCCGCTCGTAGACGTATCCACCACGCGCGCGAGAGAGAACTATACTTAGCTACGTGCCTAACCTAGCGTGCATACATACCTACATACATATACACATGCGTACGTTTTGCAGATAGAGAGAGCGAGGCGATACCGCGGACTCGGAGAAGGAGGGGGGCGAGAAGGGGTATGGGGAGGGGGACAGGACTGGCCGTCCGAGGTCCCCGTTCCCCGGGCTGTGCCCCTCCCCAGGACATGGACGAGCTGCATTCCACGTAGCAGCCCCAATATGACCCGGCGGCGGCGGCTTTCCTGCTGGACGGGACGGGAGGGGGTGTGGGTGGGTGGGTGGCTGGCCAGTTTCCTGTTTTCGCTCTTTGGTCAGATCGGAGTCACGTATAGCACGGTACGACGATATGGTATGGTGTGTGCGGCATGGAATGTGCGGGTAAGCCCTCTTAAGGGGGGGGGGGGGGGGGGGGGAGCGTCGCTGGTGGAGAGAACGAGAGACAGACAGACAGACAGAGAGAAAGAGAGAGATGAGATGAGATTTCCAAGATCAGCGTGACTTGGTCGCGTGAGATGTGGGTTAGTGCGTGCCGTGCCTCTCACCCACTCACACACAGATACACACATACCCACCTACCAAACACGCCTCTTCTCACCCCGACTCTGACTCTCGCACACCCTCCCGTCCACGGCTATGGGCACGTCGCGGTTCAGCTGTAATCTGCCCAAGCAAGTCAGACAGTCCTTCCTTTTGGGCAGCACACGCAGAGCGAATGCGACTCACGACGGCCATAGGACGAGAGGGCTACGCGGAGTGGACGGCGGCGGCGAAATCCAGGACTAGCCATGACTCTCTCCATAGGGGAGAGGTAGGTAGGTAGGTAGGTAGGTTGCTCGCTGGCTCGCTGGCTCGCTCTCCGCACGTTATGTCCGCCCACACGATATGGGGCGCCATACTGGTGGCTGTTGCAGGTAGAGCGAGTCTGAAGCTCCCTCGGCCAATCCTCTCGCCACATCTCGAACGATGTGTACAGAAATCGACCCTCTTACCCCCCCCGACCGACCGACCCGACTGACCGTTCGTCCGTCCGTCCCGCTTTGGGTTCCACCATAGTCGCGTGTAAGAGAAAAAAGAGGCAGATGAAAAAAAAAGCAAAGTATAGAAATGGAGAGAAGAAGGGCTTGGTAAGACCTTGGTCCTTGGTGCGAAGATGTGCAGATGACCTGGGTTGGGTCGGAGAGGTCTGTTGTCTATCTGTCGGTATGTATGTATCGTAGGCATCGCGAGGCCCTCGAGCGAGGCAATTGAGCATTACCGCTTCTACCGCACTGTGCGCATTTACGTATCTATCTACTTGCCCGTCCACGGCAGCACAACACGTAGGTGCATTACCTACATACTACGCACCCGACGAAGAGCCCGTTCGCCAGCCCAGCCCAGCCCAGCCCAGCGACGGCGACGGACGGGACGGGCACAGACAGCGCAGGACAGAGATAACCGAGCCGACTAGTGGTGTTGCGTAGGAGAAGTATCGAGATCGACGAGAGACCAGAAACAGAAGAAGCCCTTCCCGCGAAGCGAGCCGAGCGCGATCGGCGGCGGGTACGAGAGCGCCAAGGGGAGGGGAAAGCGGGCAAAATAAGAGAAGAAAGAACCAGAAGAGCGACGGAAAGAAAAAAGAAAAAAAAAAAGGAGGAAGGAGACGAGCCAATGCAGATAAAGTCCGAAACGAAGTCGTAGCGACCCACTGCCCACCTGCCCACTCACACCTTACCTGGGTACATCCTGCTGGTACCTTGGGGTACTTTGCTATAGGTACTTTCGGTACGCGGCCGGATTCGTGCTAGTCGATCCAGACTGCCGGGTCTCTCTCTTTCTCTCTCTCTCACTTTTTTTTTTCCCTGGTGCTCTCTCCCTCTCGTGTCTCTGCTCGCTTTCTTATGCACCAACTCTCGTCTTATTTTCTCATTCGCTTTTTCCTGCCGGCGCCTATCTATATTTCTGGATATTAATCGTTATATATAATATATATATGTATCATATATATATATATTTACGTGTTCATGCATGCAGAATGCCCAATCAGTGGCTTGCCGTATCGATCTCGAGACGGAAGAAAGACATGCAGATGTGTACCCAGTAGGTGGTAAAAGTAGATGAGACATGCGGATATACGCATACGCGGCGTCCCCAGGCAGGCACCGGGTGCGTATGCACGTAGGCAGCTGCGGAGGGGGAGGCGTTGCACGTTGGTGGATTAGTAAGTCCGAACCCGAGTTGGGTTCTCGTCTGCTGTCTCTCGGCTCCTCTGCTACCTTCCCTTTTTCCCCGTGTTGGGACCACTTCCACGCGAATGGGTAGGTGGCCCTACTCTCTATCTGCCTACCTACAAACGTACATATTTGCATGCACCCGCTGTCCGAACGGCTGTCCGTCCGAGGTATCCACGCCCGTATATGCATACCGAGGATTTTGTCTCTGCGTTTCCACGCCATAAAAAAACTGTCGATATTATGTTTACGTGCCTAACCTGTTTACAGCACGGTTACAGACAATGCGAAATCCCATGAACCCAAGAACAGACCTACCTAGGTAACTTATGTAAGGGGGAGTTCCGGTAGGACTTGGGAAAACTGGGTACTCTGAGCCCCGGGGGGAGGAGGTTGGTCGCTGCCACGTACAGACCGGGGAACCCTGGCCACCATCGCATCTCGCGAGCGTAGGAACGCCTCCTCGGCTCTGGCCGGTCGGCCAACCGGTGTAGGCGTGATCTGCCGCCACCCGAATCGCTACAAGTTGAGCGTGAGCGTGAGCGAGAGAGAGAGAGAGAGAGAAGGAGAGGGCGGGGGGGAAGAGAGAGATACGCGAGCCAGTAGTACGCATTACCTACGTATAGTACATGGTAATACCGCATCTAGGTAGGTAGGAAGCAAGCACGGAGACGGGAGATGGGGAGAGGGGGGCGGAGGGGGGATTAATAATAATAAAGCCGGCGGCGAGCCACGGTACGGTTATAGGGTTCCCTTCGATAGCCGCGGAGCAGATTGCTAAATCTGTGCCATGCGTGCGGCCCGTGATGGGCTGTCCAGAGCCCACTTCGCTTGCGATCCCCCCTTGAGCTTTTGCCCTTCCGCCCGCGCCCGCCTCTGGCCTGGTTCGGTCCGGCCATAGGACGCGAGAGACGATAGGGGAGCCGTGCTATAGGGAGGGGGAGAAAACGCTGCGTATGCATAGTGTATGAGAGTAGGTAGCTTGGGGATCTATCATGTCTACCTACCTAAAGGTATGTAGCATCTATGTATGCGTGGAGTATGCGTGTAGACGCTGTCCCCGGTCCCCGATCCCAGCTTCACCGGTCTCTTTCCGGGTGGTAAGGTGTCCTTGTGTCTTATTATATATGAGTATATTTGCGTACACACCCACCTCATCACTTCGGTAGGTGCCTATCGCTACGACGTGCCTACGGTATGAAGGACATACATACATACTACGTAGTAAATGTGCACCTTTGTTTGCTCGCTTCCATTCACGATGCCCGAAAGGAGGAGAGGTGGAAGGGATTCCCTTCCCCTTGCGCGTACATCGATTCCTGTTAGGTGCCTAGCACCAGCTCCCCCCCTGGCATCATCGGTTACCCGTCCGTAGCAATGCCTTGTCATGCACATACATGCCTGCCTATGTACCTACCAGGTATGTGGCATTAGCGGCTCGTACCAAGCCAGCCTGCCCTGCTTCGTGCATCGCTATCGAGTTAACGAGAGGGGGAGAGAGATCGACATCCTCCTGAAAAGGGCGTACTACGGCGGGATTATGGGAATGTAGGAATCCGTGCATATGCGCGTACCTGGGAATGCATATGCACATAAGTAGGAAAGGTTAGGGTACATAGGTGAGAAAAGGCTTTACCGGTGCTGTGTGCTTATGAATAGATTGGTTTTATAGTACGATTAGCGAGGAGGCCCCCTCGCTGCGATGAGATGGAGGCGCAAATTGTCCCAATCTCATCGTCATCTTTTTTTCTTTTTTCTCCTCTATTGAAGAGGCTGATTCTTCTTAGACTAGCAGGCAAATTAGCGAGGACCCTGCACACACATTGATCATACGTGCTGTCGCTCTTACGGCAACTTTCCCCATCGAAAGAGCAAAGCATGCACCGATGTAGCAGATATACGTGTTAGCAGGGGCATGAATGCATAATTCCGGCCTCCCAGCTTAGCCACATACTGGGTATGCCCAACCCGATACGCAGCACATATAGGTACCTACATACGTACATAGGTATGCATCTATGCACGTCTGCATGTAGGTATGCGAGGTCTGCGTGCCCAGGCGGCGGCGACAAATGACAACGACGGGCGCATGAGGAGACGAGGTCGCATGCGGGCGGTGGCTCGGAGGGTGGTGGGCTTCGCATCGCGGCACTACAGAATCCGCACCCAGACCGTAATCGAGTGGCACGGCAGCATATGGCGTCCATGTTTGCTAGCCTGGCTAACCTGGCCTGCCTGTCTCTTGTCTTAGAAACCCATCGTCCTAATTTTACGAGTCTGCACGTTATACCGTGTATTTGGCCCGCCTGGATTTCCGCGTGCATGCATGCCATGTATGTCTCATGTCGTTGAGGGAGAGCGTGAGCCCTACGGCGGCAGGGCCAGGGTCCGGCCAGGAGGAGGTGGAAGCAGAAAAAGAAAAAGACAAGTGCCCGGGTCCGGGTTGTTGGTTTCGCCTAGTGTTGCAGCTGGAGAGCGCCACACGACGTACGTGCCCTTTGCCTTGTTTCGTCATCTTCGCTGTCGTCGCGGCGTGCTCTCGCGCCCCCCCGGATTTTCTCCTCCGCGTGTTTAGCCAAGGGCCTATGGCGTGTACGCACGCGTGCAAAGGTCCCAAGCAGACGGGAAACACGCCACCCGGGAGCCTGGAAGCCAGCCACGACACTCTTCAGGTTCAGAACGTGTACGCATCACGCCTCTCCATACCCTGTACCCATATACATGTACGCCCAGTCCAGAGCAGACGTTACATGGCAAATCGTAGATGGCATCTTGGGTCGACGGTGGCACTTCCTTCCCCTCCCCCCGCCTTCTCCCCTCTCCACAACTCCCCGAATCACCGAGACCCCTTCTCGCCCATCCCTCTCGCTCGCGGACGGGCCGTGTCAGCGATTCGATTCTAGCTACCCATCTCGCTTGGGGGAAGGGAGGAGGGGGCAAGGGGGGGGGAGGGAGAGGACGGGGGGGGATCGTGATTTAAGTGTGTTTTTTTTTTCCCTTCCTTTCTTTGGGTCGGAACGCAGCAGCGTGGGATGCCGTGGGAAGCGCTCGAAGGATAGGCGTTCTAGGGACACGCGATGCCTGTATGTAGGGATTGATGCGTGTGCGAAGGTGGGATGCGATGCACTACATCACCTTAGCGTAGTAATGGGAGAGGGGAGAGGGGCGCGAAGAGAGAGGGGCGTGTATCAAAGAGGAAGGACGCATTCGGCGGTACCGGGACGGAGGGGAAGCGCCGCGCTGTTGGGTCAGCGAACGGGCGAGCGGTAACAAGTAACGAGCGAGTGCGGTGGCCAGCCAGAGAACGTGACACGCTACCCGGCATTGTCAACACATAACCTGCTATCGTGAGTATGCGCCGTAATACCCCAAGCCATACATCTGTATATCCACTCTGCCGCGCCGTCATCCCCCCCACCGCCTCCCGCCCAGGACCAGATACGCAGAGGTTCCAACGTGTCGGTGTTGGTACCAACCAGCTCGACGTGCGTCGATGGGTCCATGTCTCTCCTGTTCTTTTTTTTTCCTGCTCGGTTTGCTTCTCGCTTCCCTCCTCCCTCTCTCTCCCTCTCCGCCACCTCGGCTTGTTAGCCCCAAGGCGAGTTTGCTTCAGGCTGTATCACCCCGAGAGCTGCGAAGGTATTCAGGCCTGCCGTCTGGACTCGTATGTTCTCCCGGTCGTCGCGTGATACGCCTGAGACATGCTTTCAGTGCTATACGGTCTTCTCTTCTCTTCTCTCCGTCTCTCTCCCTCTCCTCGCCTCTTCTCGGGCCGGGGTCTGCCGATGAGGCTTTTCTCTCCTGCCCCCCCCCCCCTTTTTATTTCTCCTCCTCTAGTTGGCCTCTTACCGATGCGAATGTGATCCAGGGAGTATGCGGTGCCACCATCCACCAATAACCAGCGCCGTCCCAGGTCTCTGTCACTCTAAGCGGTAGTTGGAGCGGGGGAGCAGGTCTGTCCTATGTAAGGTTATCTTATTCAGGATGAGATGCGACGCCGACGAGTCAGCAGGCCCGGCATCGACTGCCCAATACGAAACCAATACTGTGCGACCCGATGGTGCCGGACCACATAGACCACCGCAACGGCTGCTGCTACGTTGGTTTCGTGACGGCTTACTGGTCGAGACGAGATTAGGCACGGGATGCGGGACGCGCAGCGAGTATGTAGAACCATTCCTCATTTTATTACCGCAGACCTGTCATTTTTGGCATTTACGGAATGTATTTTTTTTCTCTCCCAGCTCGACGAGGCTGGGTTAACGCCGAACGACAACAAAACCTAGCTCGTCTATGACAACTAGATGGTAAAACTAATAACTTCGCGCTCGCTGCTTCATGCGGCCGTCTGACTCGCTACGTGGCGATCCACGGCACGCTAGTTTATGTCTTGGATGCAAGTCCGGCCCAGCACGATGCTGCAGGGCAAGAAGAAGGGGAAAAAGCCGGTCGTGGTCAAACTGACAACGTATGCGGGACGTGGTATAATGCGACTCGTATCATAAAATCGTTAAAAAGACGTAATATATTTGTCGGGCAGTTGGGTATGTACAGTGCTTGACTCGGCCGCGTGGCAGCGTCCTGTGCGGGGCGGTCTGTGGCCCCGAACGCACACTATTAGACAGGGCGACGCCGTGCGTGGAGAGATAGATATAGCTTCGGGTAGACTTCAGGCGCCGCGGTCGGATCTAATGGGCGCGTCAGGTCGGGGAGGGCCGGTCAAATTCGTCAACTGTCGGCCGTCTTGAGCTTTAGCGCCTCCATGTGAAGCCGAAGGTTTTCGAATACGTCGGGGTCGGGTTCGAGCTCGACCTTCCTCGGCTTGACTCGCGGGCAATCCGGACACTTGGCATGCGAACAGCGCTGACACTCGGTCCCGTCTTCTGCGTTCGCCGGGAACTTCTTCTTGCACTCGTGGCAAGAGTGGACTCCTTTGAAAGTCGACCCGGGTTCGTCGTTGGGATAGCCGTACGGGTATTTCTTCCTAGCATCACTGTAGGCACTGTTAGATGACAAAAAGTTAAGTGGCTCTATCGAAGAGGGGGGGGAGGCACTGACGGGCTCCTCGGGCAGTCGGCGCATCGCTTGTGACCGCAGTTATCGCAAATTCTTTCCTGCTTTGCATTCGTGCTGATGAGGTTGTTGCAAATATGGCAGTTCCTCCTGACCCGTATGCGAGGCTTGCCCTTATACACGAGATCCTGCCCGCCCGGCTTGCCGGGGCGCTTTAAGACGATGGTATCCGAGTAATCGTAACTCGGGATGATGGGAGCCAATTCCTTGTTTCTCCGGATGGCCACTTCTCTTCGGTCGCGGTTGGCCTGTCTCTCCTCCTCCGTACGCTTGGCCGGGTAGCGAGTGCAATTCTTGCACCGTTTATGCAGGCAATTGGGGCATTCATTGCTCGTACCGAAGGCCGCATGACAACGGTGACACTCGCGATGAATTCTCATCCGAACCGACTTCTCGACCCGGAGCACGTCGCCGTCCGTGGAATGCCACTCGCCCGGCTTGATCTCCAGGCCGAATCTGGCGCCGAGAGCCTTTACGCGTTCCTCGTGAACCTGAATCCGAGGCACCCTAGTGGCGTTCTCGTACTGATGTTTCTTCGGCGGCGCGGTAGCACCACCATCAGCACCAGGGGCGACAGGCGGACTTAAGAGGTTGTCAGTACCGTCGTGTAGCTTCTATGAGGGGGGGTTGAGAGTTTACCTGAGGAGAGCAGGAGCAGGCGCAGGTGCTTGTTCAGCGGTCTGCTTCTTGGGACGCTCCCCTCGCCTGAAGACCGCCCTCACACGGTACAGAACTTTCTCCACGCCCTTCTTCTTCTTGCTCTCTTTGGGCGCAGGCCCCGTTGTGGGAGGAGCTGCCTCTGAACTCATGGCGAATCCCCTTGATCCCTTTCTCTTTTTGCCTCAGATGCCTCGTGTGAAGCGGAATTTGGCGATGTCTAGGTGCTCGAGCGACGACAACGGCCCCTTATAATATGGTAGGCAAGCCTGATATATGAAGTCCCAAGTTCATGAATCCAGCCGCATTCCAGTGGTACAACCGCGTATCTGCACTAGTGACAGCAATGGCAAAGTCGCAAGGGGATCTGATCCCTTTTCCAGCTGGCAGTTGGACTGCCGATTGACGCCTTACTACCGGGTTCCGTCTACGGGGTAAGACGCGTGCAACCAGAACGTGCTCCTGGGCCGTGAGCACACAATGTCCTTCCGGGTTACGATCTTGGATAGATTCTAGTCGAGACGCCAAGCCGCAAATGGTTGCAAACCCAACTAGGAATTCGATACTCGATTTTACAGCGGACGAGTTTAACAAACTGCTCGGACGCGGGCAAGAGCGGAAACGAGACGGCCGTCACTTGCTCTAAGGTTTGAGCGGCAGCAGTCGACGACGAATCGAGGGGAGGAGGAGGAGGAGAGGGGGGGGGGGGGGGGGAGAAGGGAGGCGGAGCTAGTAAGGGCAGTGCGGGTGTGAAGGAGGAGGAGGAGGAAGGGAGAGGGAGAAGAGAGCGAAGAAAAGGGTGGGAATTGGAACCGCGGGCTGCAGAGATAGATAGATAGATAGATCCAACGCAAGCAGGCTAGCTGTCCCGGCGCTAGGTCACCCCAGGTGAAGAAGCGTCTGTCAGGTTGGTCTAAGTCGAATTGGTTGAAAATACGGGATCGAGGAAGTGGGACGTCCCGTCGTCTTCCTACTAGGAGGTATGTATTATCTAGTTCTCACATCGATACAGGACTACTATCTCTTTGTTACCTAGGGCGCCCTTATGTATGTATAGGAGGCAGGTAGGCGTACACCTGCCTTACCTGCCTGCCTGGTATTCCCTCCTAACCTCTATCGAGTACGTGCCGCGGAGGGACGGAGGTTGTACGTACCCAGCGAGTATGCGACGAGGTGCTCGTAGGTGTTTAATGCATGGGCGTGCATATGCACATAGTAAGTAGCACGTTACCACGTACTCGTAGTGCATCTCGCAGCGGTTCGAGCAGCTAGTATACAAGGACGGAACCAGCAAGGCCAAACCTAGCAGAACGGGGCTGGCCAAGCACAGGCCGAGCAACCGCAACTCTGCGTGGCAGCTCCGTCGGGGTGGGTCTCGCGTGGCTTGGCGTCTCCCACATGTACATGGAGGCGGCCCACCGTGTACCGCGGTACTTTTGCTGGCAGGTACCTCCTCCACGTACCCGGTGCCGCCAGCAACGCGATACATGGCTCTGCACGACGTACCTGGTACCTACATACCTACCTGCGCCCACGCCAGGAGGTACGCCCGGTATACGGGTATGTACGCACGTATGTATATATGTATGTATGTATGTCTCTATGTAATGCATACGTGTATACCGGTAACCTCCCTCCCTCTCATAGGGAGCATATCTGCCCACTAACACGATGCTGTCAGTTACCTACCTACATACCTGCATACCCCCTAAGCTTGCCACCGAGCTACGGCAACGGGGAAAGTGTGGAAAGGGAGGCGCCTGACGTAGACATACCTACACGTCTGCTGGCACGCATATGGTGTACATTTGCCGTTGTTCGAGATATAGAGCCGACTATGCACGTCTCGGGTTAGAATTGACCGTCGAAGAGGGCGGGAGACGGGAAGGCTGCCCGATGTTGCTGTTATCACGTCGGTATTATCACATATTATAGGCCACATCGGACGATTTCCTCTCGTGCAATTACCTTGGGTATCCATCTACACGCGGAACTTATCACCTACCCAAGTACCTATACTACGCTGTAATGCAAATCCACCTGACAGATTACGTGTAATATCAGAGTGCGCCCGCGACGGAGACGTTGTAAGTACTCACGGACCACATGCCTGACCTCTGCGAAGCGACACAAGATACACACATCCGAGGCAGTTTGCGAAGTACGAGAAAGATTGCATATTCCGGCTACGCATGCGCCTATATACCCTACCTATCTCTATAGGTAGGACTGACCCATCCCACTTGAAGTCGATATACCTTAGGCGGAGGTAATGATGAGGTATCTCCCTAGGTAGGTAAGGTAGGTGTGTATCTAATGCAACCCCCAATCGGTTATGCAACCGGGGTCTTGACATCATGAAATTCTTGCAAATTAGGTCACCTTCACCGTACTACGAGTACGTCCCAAGCAATGACATGTGGGCACTGCTACTATCCTGGGTGTCCCATGTCTACTGTTACGAGTAGAATGGGGGGCAAACTCGTCCAAGCCCCCACACATATCCATACGGGATCCGAGGTTGGATACCGAGGAGGAGACGTTGTGCCCGTTGCGTGGAGAGAGAGAGGACCAAGGTGTCAACCAAGGTGTCAACCCCTTCTACGAATTACCCAACCTGACCTGCCTTGCAAGGGCAACAGCGGTACGTGCGTGTATATCGGCACGCATATAGATTGCTGGGCGTTGAGACGCAGGTAATATCAAAGTGAGCATTTGCCGGAAACCCAATCAAATATCGATTACGCCGATAGATATGATAATTGGTTACCCTCCCTTCCCGCGACTTTCTTCGAGAAGCGCGAGCGCGTCAGCGACGACACCATAGCAATAGAGATCTGACATGCTTATGACGGCTAATACTAGCGAGTCGGATGGTCAGATATAGATAGACAGACACCCGCGGGACGGAAAGGAGCCTGAGTGGCCAGTATAGAGGTAGGCACCACGTAGTCGCTAGGGTACATACATACGTAGGACGTAATGGAACGGTATATTATTGCATCGGTGAACCAACAGGTGTCTGCTATGTGCAGAGCGTAGCATGCCGTCGTCTTTGGAGGTGTAAGTCGATGCGACATTGCAGTTGACTGAAAATCCCAACACGTTTCCTCCCCGCCGTCGCATCGGGCTCAGGGAGAACGTTCTCCATGCGTAGGTGATAATACCAAATGCTACCTACCTACCTGGGCAACAGGATGGATATTATATGCTCTTATGTATGCCTAACATACATGCCGGGGAATGAACAGAATACCCGATGGGGGTTAACAATGATGACCTCTACAAATGTGCGTAATTCCAGGGCGTAGTCAGCCATACATATATATTACATACGTATATATATATAGGTATATATACGGATATACGAGCGTAGGTGAAAATATGTCTGCATCTGGTCGGCGGACCAGCTTCTCAGCCGGGGCTCGAGCTCGTGTAGGGTAAAGCGTGGATAAGGTATTGCCCATTGATATATAGGAGGCACGTATGTAGGTACACGACACGCACAATGCGTGTATGCCTTCTAAAGGGGACCAATGTGTCCATGTATAGGACCCAACGAGATGGGACAGTTCGAACGAGACCCCATATGCTTACACGTACAGTATGTCCCATCAACGTGGTCGCAGGCGGGAAGATTCGATATCATCAGGTAGGTATGTATTGTGGAGAAGGAGAGGCGAGCGCATGTATGTACATACCTACCGGTCTCCAGGATGGGTGTATACATATACATAATGCTCGCTGCTCAGATACCAAACATGGCAAACACCCCAGGCCGGTCGGGTATCCATGTGTGTTGTCGGTATGGATATCTGTCTATACTCATACACACCTACATGTGTACATAGCATAGCATAGGTGTGTGTCTGCGTGTGTCTGTGTCACGGATCTCGTTCTCCGAGTCCATCGTGAGCCCCCAGTGACCGTGCAGCAGCAACTAAACCCCAAAATTCGCCTTAGCCCGCGCCCCTTTCGAAGCATCATGCTTTGGTCAGAGCAAGCGTCAAGACATGTGGTCGCTCTTGGGCGCGGTCCATCCTCAGACCCCTACTCTGTTAGCAGGACCCCATCTACACACGCACGCTTGCGCGCTATCGAGGGAGTGCATCCAGCGCGTTTTCGGTGAAGATCTCGTGAAATGGCCTGCCAACAAGCCCAACCCCCCCCCCTCTCTCTCATCCCTTGGCTAACACCAGCCTGACTAAGCCTCTTCCTCCGTCTTGCTATACATGTGGGCGGATTTATACCTGCCTGGCGTCAAATATACATATGTATTATGTGCGTGTTGGATGCTAGATGTTGTATGTGTATGTAGGATTACGCTCTTCCGGTTGACCACCTCAACAGGATGGGTAGTACTTCTGCGCTTCAGTTTCCCATAAAAGTGATAAGTATGTATGTACGTGTATGTTACCCCCTACATGGTGCATGACGGCTGGGGGAGAATGCCTCCCCCCCGGTTACCAATGACGATTGCAACTTACCTCACAGACGGGGCCTTGAAGGGTCACCGGAACGACTTCAGGGTCTCTCGGAAACCCACCCCCGCAACTGTGAATTGACCTGACCGTGAGATGTGATTTTTCTTTTCTCTGCTTTTTTTCATCCTATTGCGTCTTATGTTATTCTTTGTGACCCGGTCTTCGGCTCGTCTCGTATGACTAATAAAGTCGTTCCAACGGGCCGGGGGGGGAGGGGGGAGAGTCACACATGTTTCTCTCTATCTCAGATATCATGAATCAGCCGACATTATAATCTGCATTTCCTCCCCTCTCTCTTCTATCGTCACACCCCATGCCCGGCACACTGTAAACAGTCTCTCCTTTCACACGTAAACTTAAAAGACTTTCCGAGAAGGGCTAAGAGGTCGCAGTTCGGTTGGTACCCTTTCCCAACTCCCCCCCCTCCTCTCCCCCTCCCCTGCGCACATCGTTGTCGCCGACAGATGTCACCCCCTCTCCGCTACCACCATGTATATGTGTGTACGCATGTGCTGGAAACGGAAACTTGCTTGCTTGGGTGCTATGTACATACATCCTATGTCAGTCTACGAGTCTTTTTGTAGCACGGAGCCCCGCACACCATGTAACCCTCCATCCGCTAGATCAACTTATCGATGCTACGATGCTAGTCGGACCCCAAGCCAGGCGTCCTCGTGTGTCGAGGAGAGGGCACTGCAACTTGCCGCGCCGGGGGAGGTGGGTGAAGGGAAGATAGTCACTCATTGACACACCCATGCTCCCACATTTAGGACCAAATCGCTCACTGCTCACTACATATACAAGGCCTGCGTGGTAGCATGCCATCTTCGTAGCGTTCCCGCACCCCATCCATGCCAACTACTACCCAGATGCACAAGGGCCGTTTTCTGTACGAATAAATTCCCGCGCGCGGTAAGACTCTAGCTTTACGTCTCTTGATGATGGATAGGTTGGTATGCTTGTTTCTGTGTTCCGAACAGACGGGTGAGAAGGCCGTTGACCGGCTGCGGAGGAACCGGCGAGAGCCAGAGACATCCAACCTACAAAGGTGGTATGTATGCTAGATACCTACCCTCTTTGCTACGTAGGATGAGGACATACCCTACCCGCCTTGTCGAGTCAGAACCCGAGGCATCTGTCGGCAAGCAATCGATTTACGGTTTGCATGAAGCCCTTACGTCCACGGCCTATCAATGGGTGGCGAAGCCTTCCCATCTTTCCCAGTTCCAACAAGTTGGATCCTCGGGCCGTTGATATGGGACCACTTGTGCTTTAACTATCCCAATGCACTGGAACCCATGATCCCAGCTGGTCGTGAAACCACACAGTACGACGCCTGAGTCTGCGACTTCAGGTCTCAGCAGTCAGCCACTGGACCACACGTACCTACCTATGTGTCATCTTTCGCGTCCCGTCCCTTCATTGCCTCGTCGGTCCCGGCTGTTCGGTGCAAGCCGCGCCGCACACCCGCATCCCCTCCCCTCCCCCTTCTCTCTCCCTTATTACTGTGTAAGTAAGGCCCAGCGGTATGGTACGCCCCCTTTTTTTTTCAGCCGTAGAATTGCAACTAGGTCTTGTTGTCGTTTCCCCCTCTTGACCGCTCTTACTAGTGGGGGAGAGGAGGGGCTCCAGCCTAGCGGCTTCAGAAAATTGGTCGTCGAGCCACGATGGGGGGCCCCGTGGGTCGGATCAGCAGAATCCTTTTGGCTGGGATCCCAGCTGGCCAGCTTGCTCCCAGCCCAGATGCCTACCATTGGTGCCCCGATCAAGACGACAGCTGCAGCATTTATGTATGCGTGCAGTCCATGCACCGACGCACTGTTTACTCTATGGTAATATCTAAGGTTGTCTTGATAGGCTGGACGATGACGTGCAGGTGAGCGTGGTCAGATCGGATGTATCCCGGCGGTGGGAGACTCCAAAATGCCAACCGCTCTCCTGTTCTTGGACTGAGGACTTCGGTCGAGTTGCTGCCTTCATCCAGGGGGGCATTTCGCTGCAGCCCAAAAAAATATCGTACCATCGACACTCCCCTTTACTACGTCACAACATCGCCTTCTCTGGCTCTCGCTCTCTTTCCCGCCTCCCGTTTGCCTCTTTCTCCCTCTCTCTCTCGCTCTCGCACCCAGCCACTTTGACACATTTACCTATCTTTGACAAGGTTGACGTTCGCGCGAGAACTCTTGGATCGGCAAGCGAGGACGGCTAATCACTTAGATACGTGGCCATCCGTCTTGGCCGCCGCCCTTCCCGCATCCGCTCTCGAGTTGTCAGATGTCATTTCACTACATGAATAGGCAATCCGAGGAATGGAAGAATGGTAAATGACAATAAAAAAGCTCCGATACCAGCTGCCATCTGCCGGTCTTGGCTACTGCTAGATACCAATAGTAGCAAAATGATGGTTGAGGGAGGGGTGTGTCGAGTCGTGGCACGAGCCAGCAAGGCGGTTACCCAGTGTTTAGGAAAAGGGAATAACCGCTGCAATTGAAGATGCCTCACGGCATCCGTATTGTGTAGATATATGGTATATGAACGATCGAGTCGTCCCCCCTAGTCGGATAACACTTTGCGAATATCCCGGACGGGCGTAAAGTTGATGAGGACTATCCCCGTTATCCTCCTACCGAAATACGCAGTAAGTACCTACCTAACCTACTAAGCTACATACCTCATACATAGGTAGGTCTAGGCAGCTTGATAGAATAGCCTCCCCGAGAGGGCGTAGGGCTACCTCTCCAGCCCACTGCCTGGGGTTTGGTAAGAGTTCGAGTCAAACGTGAGCGGTACGGGTGGGCTTGAGGCTGACCAAGTCGGGGCTGCCAGCCGTTCGCAGGTGATAAACACAGTCCCGTCAAAGTGATACCTACATGCCTCTACCTCAGCTCGTCGTCTAGAAAGAAAAAGAAAACACCTTCTGCCTCTCACCTCCAAATTGCGTAAATGAGAACACATTAGGCACAAGCGTGGATATTACCTAGTAGGATGCTGCGCATCCATCCATCCTGGCACGGCCAAGCGGCTATGGCGTCTAAGGCGCTTGTACAAATTACTTCTCTTCATCATCAGTTCTTGGCCCCGAGGTCGCTAGCAATTTGCCTTTCGATCCTTCATCTGCGGCCAACGGGGCGGCCATGGAATATTGCGCATCCCCCTCATCGTCCTCGTCACCGTCGGCAAGTATTCGAGTCGAACCCCGTGGTACGATGTGGTGGCGTCTAGGCCGCCTACTGCCCTCCCCTCTTGGGGACAAGTAATTCGGCCAAACGAGAGAGGTGGTGCCGAGAAGCCATCACTACCGGTGTGAAATCAGGCCAGCGGGCCCTCTCCGTTGCACGATAAACGTAGCAGGCCGGTATCACCAGTCAACAGGGGGCTATCTAGTGGAGGTGTCACCAGCATCGCCCCTCTCCTAGCCGGCATGCCGTATCTGGACGACGAGTTCTGGAAATAGAGGGAGGTGCAGAAGAACAGGTAACGAGTGGTGGTTGAAGAGTGGTGGTGGTAGGCAAGTACGCCGATCACCTAATAGCCCCTAAATTGCTAAATTATGCAGCCTGCAGGATGCTTCACCCCTTGATAATAGGAGAGCGATTGCGACTGGAGACAGGTCCCATCTCGGTCAGCTCTTCATCCTTGCTCGTGGCGTCGCGCCCACGGATCTGCCGACTACACGGTGCGTATCCACGGTCCATCTTGCCTACGTCGCCCAGCCGCCCGCTCTCATCGCACGGCATAGCGGCCTTGCCCACCCCTCTCTCTCTCCACCAAGTCTCCCCGTCCCGGGTTACCCGGCGGCCTGGTGGAGAGCCCGCCCGGCAGACTTCCTTGCATCCCGTCGATGGGTTTGAGGGAGGAGGATGATTTTTCTTCTCTTTGCTCTCTCTCTTCACCCAGCAGCCTCTAACTTTAGCCCTCTACACAACACAATATGCACTCGCCTTCGGGAAGGTCGCGGATAAATATCCTGCCATTCTCTCCACCGACATCGGATGGTTCGCAGGCATCCGATACCAGTCCACAAGGTGCATGCATATGTACCATATATGCTTCCACGACGGAGCGAGGTGAGTTGGGAACCCCTAGCCCTTCTCGGCGAGCGAGTAGGCGTGAGGTCAGTGTTTTGGCCAAGCCCGCTGCTGCGTTCTGCCGATACGGCCACCCATATGCAATTTCTCCCTTCTCCGGCAGTCTACTCCCCTCGGGAATCCGAGATACCGCGCCTCGAGGGCATGCCTCATCGAGATGGCGCGCTGCTAGGCGTAAATAATATGGAAGAATCACAAAAGGCGTAGACGTATAGGTAGCTTTTTCCCCCTCGGGTTATGCAGGCTTTTACGTATACCTAGGTAGGATTTCTTACGTGACAGGAAGGAAGGGAGCAACGGACGCCCGCAGGTTACATATAGTATCTACTGGAACATATCTGCCTCAGCCTACCTCATGCCCTCGTCGATCCTGCCTCAAAAGCCCTTCGCCATCGAGATGCTCGACGGGGCGGGAGTTGCAATACCCCGAATTTTGTTGAGGAGGTGTGAAAGAAGGAGATTCAACTTCAATTGCCTTGATACGGTGTATAGATAGGCATGAGGTATCCAAGACAACAACATCAGGCTGTTCATGTCCCCTTTGAGGTGATATGTCGCGTGGTTTAGTTCTCTGCGGGCTCTACGTCGGAAACTTGGCGCAGAAGCCATGCCCGTTCTTATCTTTCCTCTTAACTACGTCTTTCTCCGGCGGCGTTGGGTTGTCAGCCTCGTAAACGTACCCATGTGAATACCCTCTCTAGTCTAGAGACAGACGATCTGTCATATCCTGAGAACACGAGTTACCTCCACCCCAACCATCTTTTGCGGTCGTAGAAAAGATACCTAGCAGAGAGAGGAGGTATCCCAGTACCTGAATCTAGGTAGGGGTACTTCACGAGATAAATGTCTTTTTCTCTCCCTTTTTTCAGTGACATTCTTCTCAAGTTAATCAAGCCATTTACATATAATTGGCACACGACCAGTTTTGTAGCCTCTCGGAGATGGAGAGGAGGCCTTGGCGGGTGATCTAATATGGATTGGTCCTAAACCGGACTCACAGTAGCGGGAGACTCCGTAGGTGGTGATGGACCACGGCTGCTCCCTTGGTGCGGCCGAGGGACGGCGTGCGGAGACCAATCGAACGATAGTGACAATCCCACAGTCACCTTCTACTGCAACAAGCACTCTTGGGGGCCTTGAGGCAGTATTCTCTATGACCAGCCTCGCATCTTAGCTTATACACAGCATCCTTTGTGTTCGGGACATAGCGCGGGCACTAATATACGGCCTCGGCCTGATACATCGATTCAAGCACGCTCAGCCTCTAATATTTTCTGATCCAACACGAGAAGAAAAAATGACGAACATCGTTGTTATCGGGTGAGTTGGCTACACGTCACTTGTCGCCTCCAACGAAAACAAAAGAAAATAGGCTTGCAGGGGGCTAACCACCATTCCCTCCTCCTTTCTCCAGCGCCGGTGTGTCTGGCATCACATCGGCCTACCTGCTGTCGAAGCAGAAGGGCAATGTCATCACAGTCGTAGCCAAGCACATGCCGGGCGACTACGACATCGAGTACGCGTCGCCGTGGGCCGGCGCGAATGTTCTACCGTAAGAGCCGCTGTTATCACGCACTGCCTACCTTGTCTTGCCTCCCTACCCAGCGTAGATGAAGGAAAGGAAGGGGAAAAAAAAAGAGAAAAGGCTAGCTGACTGATGGCTGGCCCGTGGCGCTCTTGTCCCGTCTTGCAGAATGTCCCATGAGAAGGACAGCCGGTGGGAGCGCCGCACCTGGCCCGAGATAAAACGTCTCGCCACCGAGGTGCCCGAAGCCGGGATCCATCTGCAGCGTAAGTACAGACCCGCCCGGGTGGGAAGAGAAAGGGAGGGGGAAGGGGGTGCGGGAGGTTGTCTCGGGCCAGGGTGATGACGAGCCTCGCAGAGACCATCCTATACCGGCGGGAGAAGGATCTCGAGGAGATACGCAAGGGGGGCTACAACTTCGACGGCCTGTTCGCCGAGGACCCGTGGTACAAGACGCTGTTCGACAACTACCGGGAGCTGGGGCCGTCGGAGCTGCCGGCGGGGGTGGCGTCGGGGTGCGAGTTCGGGTCGGCGTGCATCAACGTGATGCTGTACCTGCCGTGGCTCGTGGGGCAGTGCCGGGCGAACGGGGTGGTGTTCCGGCGGGGGCGGGTCGGGCACGTGGCGGAGGGCGCGGGGCTGCACCACACGGGGGCGGCGGCGGACGTGGTGGTGAACGCGACGGGGCTGCTGGCGTCGCAGCTGGGCGGGGTGCGCGACGCGGCGGTGGTGCCGGTGCGCGGGCAGGTGGTGGTGGTGCGCAACGAGGCGCCGCACATGGCGGCGGTGTCGAGCGCGGGCGACGCCGCCGCCGAGGCCGACGGCGAGGTCACCTACGTGATGACGCGCGCGGCCGGCGGCGGCACCGTCCTCGGCGGCACCTACCAGCGCGGCCGCTGGGAGAGCCAGCCCGACCCCAACTGCGCCGCCCGCATCCTGCGCCGCGCCGTCGCCCTCGTCCCCGGCCTCGTCCCCCCCGGCGCCGGCCCCGAGGCCCTCGACATCGTCCGCCACGGCGTCGGCCTCCGCCCCTACCGCGACGGCGGCGCCCGCGTCGAGCGCGAGAACGTCGCCGGCGTCTGGGTCGTGCACAACTACGGCCACGGCGGCTGGGGCTACCAGGCCTCGTACGGCTGCGCCGAGGACGTCGTCGCACTGGTGGGCGAGATCGCCGCGCTCGCGTGAGGACGTGGTGGCCTATATATATATATCTACGCTACCCAGGTCGGCGCACTAGCTGGTTTGTGTTCCTGTCTACGTGTGGTAGGTAGGCCCTGTTGGAGGCAGGTTGAGAGGTTGAACGTCACGGGGCAGAGGGGTAAACTGGCACACATCTAAGGGTCTGTTCACCATCTGCCTATTCAAAAGAAAATATTTCTGATGCATAAACGGAAATATTTCTGTGTCAGTCTTAAGTACCGCAGATATCTAGGAGGTAGGCATGTGTAGGTGGGTGGGTGAGCTGTAGATGTAGGGGTCAAGGATATCCCAGGTATGGAGACAGCGACAGGTGTCAAAAACTAGTGCCAGCTGTCACAGGATCACAATCTAGCATGTGTGATGTACTTGACAATGCCTCTGACAGCTGTCATTGCTGATCGGGTCAGTAACGTGTCTTCGCGTCTTCGGCGCATTCACTCACCTCTGCATTCCTGACGATAACCACATCAATCAACCACACCAGCCGCCAGCACCCACCAGCATGTCGGGTAAGGGAAAGCCTGGTATCGCCTCGAAGGCGGCAACGCTCTCTCTCGACATTGCCAATGGCCGGCACCTCCTGTCAAGGTTCATCCCCGCGTGCCTGTTCCTCTTCGACGCCATGCTCTGCGCCCTCGTTATATGGAAAATCCCATGTGAGTTCCCCGCCAAAGCTCGGGAGGCCACCCCTAACCCACCTTGCTGACCCGTACCGCTCTGCTTCTTCTGCCGCCCAGACACCGAGATCGACTGGAGAGCGTACATGGAGCAGATCGCGCAGTACGTCTCTGGCGAGCGCGACTACACCATCATCAAGGGGGGCACCGGCCCCCTCGTGTACCCGGCCGCCCACGTCTACACCTACACTGCGCTATACCACCTGACGGACGAGGGGAGGAACATCTTGCTGGCGCAGCAGATATTCGCCGCGCTGTATCTGGCCACTCTCGGCCTCGTCATGGCCTGCTACTGGAAGGCTAAGGTATATCGATCGCCTGATTAACGACATGTCATATGGGAGATGATACGCTTTATTTGGTTGCTACGGTCTGCTAACGGCATGCGCGCGCCCGCACGAATCAGGTCCCGCCGTACGTCTTCCCCCTCCTCGTCTTGTCGAAACGACTCCATAGCATATTCATGCTGCGCTGCTTTAACGACTGTTTCGCCACATTCTTCCTCTGGCTCGCCATCTTCCTATTCCAGCGCCGCGCCTGGACGGCCGGCAGCATCGCATACTCGTGGGGCCTGGGAATCAAGATGTCATTGCTACTGGTAATCCCGGCCGTCGGAGTGGTTCTCCTGCTGGGACGAGGATTTTCGGGCAGCCTGCGCTGCGCCACCATCATAGCCCAAATCCAAATCCTCATCGCCAACAAGTTCCTCCGCAGAAATGCCTGGGGATACCTCGGCCGAGCTTTCGAGTTTTCGAGGCAATTTCTGTTCAAGTGGACCGTCAACTGGCGTTTCGTCGGGGAGGAGATGTTCCTCAGCCGATCATTCTCCCTGGGCCTCCTCGTCATGCACGCCCTCGTTTTGACCGGGTTCATTGCTGGAAAGTGGCTGAAGCCAGCCGGGAAGTCTATTTCTGCGATACTTTTGCCGATCTTGGGACTCAGCTCGCCCTTCAGCCCCAGTGAGGAGACCCAGATAGCCTCACGTGTGACTCCCGAGTACGTGATGACTACCATTCTCTCCGCTAACGCCATTGGACTCCTCTTCGCGCGTTCTCTGCACTACCAATTCTACTCGTATCTAGCGTGGGCCACCCCCTATCTCCTCTGGCGCAGCAGAATCCACCCAGTCTTCCAATACGGGATCTGGGCTCTGCAGGAGTGGGCCTGGAACGTTTTCCCTAGCACACCCGTTAGCTCAGGAGTTGTTGTCGGTGTGCTGGCCACGACAGTAGCGTTGGTGGCCATCCGAGACCACGGGGGAGGCGAACGGGACGTGCCTAGTTCCGCGCCCGAGCGCAAGGACGCATGAATAGTTCGAGTAGACATGGGTTGATAGACGTTCAATTTTCATCATCGGAATACGACGGCGGCATCTTGCCCACAGTAGAGTCTTCGTCCTCGGAATCCTCGTAGGGAGAGAGAGGAAACGCTGCGGGCCTAGACGTGGTAGCATTAGTCTCCCCTCTATTCCCCCCTCCAATCACATTTTAAAAGGGATCAACAACTTACCAGTAGCTTTGCTTGCGCCACGCCTTCTCATCGCGGACAACATTCACGATCTCGCCCTCCACTTTTCCATTCCGTGCGTCGGAGGGAATCAGCTCGACCAGGACATACCCGCCGCGCCTGACCCAGATGGTGTTGCGGAAGCGAGCGGGCAGCTCAACCAGCACGGAGCGCTGGTCGGGTAGGGCGCAGGCGTAGTGGTTGCTGCCCTCGGCCTTAACAACCCTGGCGAGCGATTGCGACGGCGCGAGCTGGTCCGGAGGGGTCGTGGTCGCCTCGGCCACCGCGCGCACGTCGCGCTTCGGGCGGCCCATGTTGGTTAGGTCGGGGGTACGGACTGCTCGATAAGTGCAGATGTAACTCGTGTAGGGGTAGGGATACGCGGGCTCGTGCGAGTTGGCTTGGTGCTGCGCCTTCTAATAGGTCCTCGTAACGGGTTGAATGCGGGAAGATGTGGCCTTGTCGAGGATTTGGTGGTGAGGGAGGTAGGTGGAAGGAAAAAATACAGGGACGAATTACCTAAGGCGTTCATCAGGGTTATACTTAGACCTGCGTACGGGCTTATCCGTAGTTCTTCCGATCGAGGATTCACCAGTAAGTATTACCCGCCTGGCTCGTTTAAGGCAGAACCACCTCATAACCTCTCCAAATAAGTCACCCCTTTCTCACAGAACAACGACCCGATGCTATGTTGACATCTAAGCACACGGTTCTAATTTAGCATATGTATTCTACACAGTAACAAGCGGGCAATAGATAGGCCTCAGATGCTTGTGGTTGTGGTATGCCTACTTACTTGCTTAGGTAGCTGGGCAATTGGCTACCTCCCCAATGCCATTGGTTAGGTATAAGCAATGAATCACCTGCGCTTCACATTGGAAAAAAGGGGGAGAGGGTGTCCCTTTAGTACTCGACCCCTTAAAGACATTACGTGAAGACATTATGTGGTCCTACATAATCGAGGAGGGCATCGCTATAGGTTCTTCATCGGTGCCAGGTCGTCTGCATGGGAGTTTTAGTAGTGTGTAAGCGTATTAGCTCTGGGCTTACCTCTTTTCTCCCTCCCCCTTTTATGATCTCGCGTTTACTCGAGTTAGCCCCATGTCTTCGTCCCCTTCTCTTAGCAGCGCAAGATCATATATGCCTTTTTCTATCCCGGGTACCTTCACCGGTGAGTTGATAGTTAAGCATATAGGTACTATAACAGTATTAGGCCGGCGCGTAGGCACGTGGTTCTCAAGGTCCCTGTTATAAAATCCCAATCTATGCCATTGGCTTAAGGTTATATAAATGGATTATAGCCCAGCTATAAAGTCGTGGGACGACTTGCCTGTGAAGGCCTTATCTGGGTAGCTAGGATAGATGGGTATAATACATATATATAGCTACAGTGCGATTAATCGAACTCCCATCCCCTTCACTTTATCACCCCTTTCACCTTGTCCAGCATCAGGCGGGTGACATGTGTGAATATGCCTTTTCGAAGATGTAAATATGTCATTTTGGAGGGAACCGGTGGGGACTGAGATGAGTTGGGAATATAGGATGCATGCTGGATCGAGGGTTAGAAAGAAGCGAGAGGTGGTACTGAAGCAGGAAAGCGATTCAGAGGGCCAGCGTGATAGGAAAGCACACCCCATATGATGGCGGTGGTGGTGGTAGTGGTGTTGGCAACGATGGGCTGCTGAGGCAATTCACCATTGAGTGTAGAGTTAAGGCTAAGAGGTGTGGAAGAGGGAGCTGGGTGGAATTGGTTCAGTTGTCATATTCACTGGTCACTACTCTGTGTCAGATCAGGACGGATACTTAGGCTGGGTTACACATCAGCCTAAGTGTTAATTGGATATACTAACAAGTATTCACAGGAATGGCAGGAATCCATAACCATACTGTCCTACAGAGATGTTTTTAAATATATTATACGCCCAAGCGCTGTAAGACAGTTTGCCTCCGTTCATCTTGCCCAAAGTTACATGTAACTAGCTGTGGTGAATATCAACCGTTACCTTGTTAACAGATGGCAGAATCTAGATGCCTATTAAGCAAGGCACGCTCACCACACTCAAGTCCTATTCATTATTAGTGTGTGACAACTCGGGTGCTAATCACCCAGCACCTATGATCATTTTACACAGCAACTCACCATCGATTCACCCAAGCCAGACCCTTAACTTGGTTGTTTAGTTGTTGTTCGTCTTCTCCTATGGCCTATATAAGATCCCATGCCCCCTTCAACTTCTCACTTCTACAACCCTCCTTAACCTGCAAGCCTCTGTCTCCTACACTTTGACGCAAACTTTTTAGCCTCTGATGCGCACTCCCATTACGGGTTCTGGCAAGATCTCTCCAGCATAATACCCTCCTTTGACACCTTACATGCCAACTCATACGCCTCTCGTCGTACGCATCTTCTCAACCTCACTGCCGCTACCCAAACTGATCAGAATCATACAGGAGGACTTGACAGCATCCTCATAGAGCCCAAGTAAGGCAAATAGGATATATCAATATCCATCAACGAAACGCAAGCAGCTCAGAAGAAAAAATTTAAAACGTAGCACAAAAGATACAGACTGTACTCCCAGCATCAACTACCAACATGTCGTCCCCTAACCGCCAGGGCGAAATGCCGTTAGGCCAGGTCCAATACCATTGGGCTAATCCGGGAGGCCCCCGGGTTAACAGCGACCAGGACGGTGACAAAAATGGCGTTACCTCCGGCTCAGCCATGTTGCTTGACACCCCTGCTTCGGCCCTCTCGAGCCCAGTCCATGTCTCCGGCCAGATTCGACGATCTGGTCTAACTGTGCCACTGGTCTATAACCCTGACGATCCCTTCATCGACCCGACGACAATTCGAGCTGCAAACATCGAGCACCAGCTAGCCACAGTCAATGGGGGCCTCACGTGGGAGCCTGATGACAATTTTCTGGCCGATGCCAGAGTTGACAATCTCTTCTTCCTCCAGAAATTCTGGAAAACCTCCATCGATATCTTCTACTCAAACCCTTACGACCTCTTCACCTGGGGCCTGCGCGTCAACGCCAGGGAGCATGACCCGGTCCTGCGCGACCTCAGCGACCTTATGGCGCACCCGATCTGGGCCGGCTCCCTCGCGCTCCTGCGCTTCGCGCTGCAGCGGGCCGTCTGCGGCCGCGTCGCGAACCACCTGCCGCCCTTCATCCCGGCGAGCTCCGGGGTCCTCGACCAGCTCCAGAAGGAGCCGCCCATCAGCGTCGCCGGCATGGACCCCTACGAGGCCGAGGCCTACATGTCGAAGAAGATCTTCGACACCTGGATCGGCACCGTCTCGCCTCACCGCGCCAGCGTCATCCGCGCGCTGCTGGCGGAGATGGACGCCTATTTCGCCCAGCAGGGGCCGCAACATAATAATCGTCACAACCACAACCAGCACCCGGCCTCCGAATGGGAGCAGCACTTCTTCGTCCTGCGCAGTCGCGACGTTCGCGCCGTCAGCGAATCGCTCGACGCCTTATGCCACAGAGGCGTATACGACTGCCTCACCGAGTCGTACGCGTCGGGCTACTTCAGCGACGTCGGGTCATGGTGGCCCTTGCTGGCACCGGTGGACCAGGTGGTTCTGAAGCGCTGGGAGGCGCTGTCGACGTGCTGCCGCCGTCGGCGGTCTGCCCAACAGCTCCCAGACGTGAGCCTCTCCGCCATCGACCAAAACTACGTCATCTACATGGCGGCAGAGCAGTTGCCCCGGTACCAGAGGACCATGTTTCAATGGTCCGAGTTGGCCCTGTAATGCTATCGTCCAGCATTAATGTCGTGGAGGAGACATGGGGGTGGAGGAACCTGAGGTACTGGAGGGTTGGAGAAGGCAGAATCGGCAAGGCATTACATGGATACGAGTGACGTTACTTTCGACATCGCTGGACACGCTCAGCTTTTAGGGATGATCGCCGATGGACGGGCATGTACTTACTACTTGTCAGGCCAAGTGCTTATCCTGCAGGTTCTGAACTCTACATATGTAGTTAATATACCCCCTGATACCAACCGAGAGCAACCATTTCCGAAACCCCCCTTGTCGGGGTAATCTATATTGTGATTAGGTCTTGAAGCCAAGGTTAACATGATTGTATCAACTTCGAACGTGATTTACTGACCCCTCTGGCCTGCAAATGTTATAATCATCGTCGGTGCACCGTGTCTCCTATCCATATCGATCACGATGCTGGCTCAACTGTCAGCTGAACCTCTTGCCATTGCCTGTGCGGTATTGCTGGTGGGCGCCTCGGCCTGTCTTATGACGCAATGGATGAGGCTTGAGGTTCACATACGTAAGATAGGCGCAACCCGCGCGCCCAGCGTTGCGGGCAACCCTTTGACTGGTAAGCTGAGTCTCGAGAGAGGAACATGGAAATGATTTTGCTGGCTGAAGAAACCTTCCTGACTTGGTGAAACAACACTGAAAGCTTCCATATGGTTCTTTTCCGCGGCCAAGGCGCAGACGAGGAATCGGCTTCTGGATTTCTTCAATGGTCTCTACGACGCTGCAACCCCCGAGTGCCCCAACTGTGTAGGGGTTTCAGCGATGCCATGGGGAAGATACCTACTCACTAGGGACCCAGAGCATATAAAGGTGGTGCTGACGACGCAGTTTTCGGATTTCGGCAAGGGACGGCGGTTCCATGATTCGTGGCGACCATTCCTGGGCGATAGCATTTTTACGACGGATGGCTAGCTCTGGCACGATAGTGGTGGCCTGATTAGGCCAATGTTCGTCAAGGACAGGATTAGTGACCTAGAGACGTTCGAGAAAGGGGCCTCTGCGTTTCTTTCCAAGCTTCCGTCCTCGGGAAAGACGGTCGATATCATGGATCTCCTGTACCGGATGACTCTTGATGTCACGACGGACTTTCTTCTCGGGGCCAGTGTCGATAGCTTAGACAAGTACGTAACGCTTCCTCAAAATATATAAGCAATCCTACATGTTGCTGATGTCGGTGGCTAACCCAACTAAGCCCCCGGAACGAATTTGCGGGAGCGTTTAGCGACGTCCAGAGAATCCAGATGATGCTCACGACAGTTGGGTACAGCAAAACTGACCCTGAGCCTGGTTCTACCAAACAATCGATGGCATCGTGACTAATTGTGGCGTGTAGACCGTTCAAACTCTTCGTTCCCCAGGGCCGCTACAATCGTGGAATCCAGGCCATTGACCGATTCATAATGCCTTACATCGAGCAGGCAATGGCCTTGCCGCAAGACGAGCTCGAGAAGCTATCGAACTCCGACAAGCACTTTACGTTTCTGTATAGCATCGCCCGCTATACTCGCAATCGCCGGGCCCTCCGCGACCAGATCATCGCGGTCCTCCTAGCGGGGCGGGACACGACGGCGGCAACGTTGTCCTGGGCGTTCTACGAGCTGTCTCACTTCCCGGACAAATACAAGAAGTTGCGGGACGAGGTCCTTGCCTTCGTCGGCCGAACGCGAACCCCGACATACGAGGATATTAAGGAGATGGCGTACATGCGTTACACCCTGAACGAGACCTTGAGGCTCTACCCGGCGGTGCCGTATAACCTGCGAGCCGCGCTCGAGGATACGACACTCCCATCCACGCCGGGCCAGCCACCTCTTTTCGTAGCAAAGGGCGACATGGTCATCTATAGCGTGCTCGCTATGCAACGGCGCAAGGATCTGTACCCGCCGACGTCAGAGACGTTCGAGGACCCGGCCGTCTTCTCGCCCGAGAGATGGGAGAACTGGAGGCCGAAGCCGTGGCAGTATGTGCCCTTCAACGGCGGACCCCGAATCTGTGTGGGCCAAAATTTCGCCATGACCGAGATGGCGTACTGCAGTAAGGAGACCCGGCAGTTTCGTTGTGACGGACAGGAAAGGTGCTGATACCTCGCTTGTGATATCTAGTGGTAAGAATCCTACAGAAGTACGACCGTCTGGAGTATCGCGGAGATTGGCACGCGCAGCTACACGAAGCAGAGATTGTCGGGAAGCCGAGCCAAGGTGTCAAGGTAGCTCTATACGAAGAATGCTCATGAGAAGACGAGGGCTTAGGGGAGGACAACTTCTCTTCTTCACTAGCCATTATGGTGGAAACAAAGGTATACTCTATAGGGGTCTGTCGGTATAGGCTATCGAATGCCCAGATATGTAAGGAATTGAAAATGTGCGTATTCGCGGTTGTCTGGATGCAGTTGGTCATTTGGACTCGTTCTGGATTGTTGAATGCTAGGAAATAATGTTGTTACATGTTATCGAGTGATATCAAGATAATGAGGCGCCCCACATCCACCATACATATTACCTAATACTGTCGCCCCACCGCTGGCGCGTAAATTGATCGAGGCCCAGCGCGTCGTCGCGTTTTTTTTCCCGGGCAGCTCTGGTTATTTTTCCACCGAACCTATCCATGTACTTAGCTTATTCCGTCCTAAACTAATAACTGTTGACCGCGAGCCGATGCTACGCTACTACGACACGGCTACAATCCATTGGCCTTGTTAGCTTGTATAGGGCGTCTCAATTCCTCCCTTTCTCAACATAGAGAAGACCCAATATACACGGGATCAACGAGAACATATTAGCATGGCCACCAACAAAACTCCTGATCAAGCTAAACTTGGCTCCGCACGTCGAAAGCGAGCTCGACTCCAAGACGAGCCAGACTCATCCCCAATAGCCTCGCCGAGTATAGCTGCTACCGCTAAGCGGCGTCGTCTCAACGGTCTCGCGAGCATTAACTCCTCCCCGTCTACTCCAAAGGGCCTCTCGGCCATTTCTACCGCCCACCGCAACGCTCTGCGATCAACCAAACCAACTACAGCTAAGAGCGCTAGCCATCCTCAATCTGCCCAGACGAAGCCGATAGGCAAGGACGACGCCTACGATGTACCCGGATCTTCGAGTGCTGACGAGTTGGAAATCAAGAAGTTGCAAAGCCTCCCTATAAAACACAAGAAGCTAGGCATAAGGCCACCGAGCAAGAAGGCACGCCCGTCTACAGGCTCTTTTGATAAGAGTGCCTCCAAGGCCCGGGGTTCCAAAGGGGAGGCCGATAATAGCCAGGGTCAAACCGCCGGGGGTCAAGCCAATATCCAACCAACACCATCTGGGAGAAATGGACCGGCCGCGATGCCAGTCGCATCTTCGAGGAAAAGCGTCAGCGAACGATTACTAGAGTCACGAAAAACGCCAAAACAAGTCGAGCTGGTCGAAGACGAAACGAGTCAGAAAGCAACGCCAAAACGAAAGGGAAGGCCCCCAAACGCGCTCGCCACCAGAGCCGACGCAAACAGGTCGCCGGTAGCGAAGACCACGAGCTTGAAGGGCATATTGACGCCGAAGAAGCGGAATGCCGGCCGACCGCGGAAGACCGTCGCTTTTAATGAAGGAGGACTCGAGAAGGAGAATGAGGTTTTCTTCGAGGACATACCGCCAGAAGATGCGGACTCCGAGCTGCAGAAAGCCGTGGGTGCTGGGATTGACGACGGGTCTCCCGAAGAAGAGGGGGCGGGGACGGGCGAGTATGAAGACGACGAAGTTTGTGCCATCTGTTCCAAGCCTGACTCCGAACCTCCGAACGAGATCGTTTTCTGCGAGAATTGCAACATGGCCGTGCACCAAAAGTGCTATAACATACCCGTCATCCCGGACGACGATTGGTTTTGCAGGAGTTGCTCTCAGGATGATGTATTGCTGGGCGCAAAAACGACCCCGAAGAAACAGACTGGCGTGGCCAAGTCCCCCGAAATCCCTAGTATACCGAATTTGGAAGAGCATCTCCGGCGTACGCAGCGTGTGCTGCTGGACCGCTGCTCAGGAAATCGTCGCATTAAGCTCCGGGGCCAGACTGAGGCTTACGACAAGACCTTTCAGCTTGTGGAGCAAACCGTCTTGGCTGGAGAGGGCAATTCGATGATGATCATAGGCGCGAGAGGTTGTGGCAAGACCACGGTAAGAATTATGCCAGCCACTCCCCCCTTCCCGCTGCATATGGCTAAATATTCTCTCAGTTGATCGAGGAAGTCATTTCCAATCTCAAAGCTGATCACCAAGATGAGTTCCACGTGGTACGCCTCAATGGGTTCATCCATACCGATGACAAGCTAGCTCTTAAGGAGATATGGCGTCAACTCGGCAAGGAGATGGACCTTGAAGACGAGCTAGTAAACAAGGTACGACTATACAGATATACAGCAAGGCCGGGCAGATTAGAAGCTAATTCGATCTAGACCAGCAATTACGCTGATACGATGGCCTCGCTACTAGCGCTCTTGTCGCATCCCGCGGAGATCATGGGAGCTGAGGACGGCGTGACGTCCAAGTCGGTCGTCTTCATCATCGATGAGTTCGACCTGTTCGCGACACACGCCCGGCAAACTCTCTTATACAACTTGTTCGACGTAGCCCAGGCGAGGAAGGCGCCGATTGCGGTGCTGGGGTTGACTACCAGAATCGACGTCGTCGAGAGCCTAGAAAAGAGGGTGAAGAGTCGGTTCAGCCACCGATACGTCTATATGTCTCTCCCCAAGACGCTGGCGGCCTACTGGGACGTCTGCAAGCAGGGGCTCTCGGTCGACGAGGAGGACCTCGAGTCTGAGGGTTTCGACACCGACCTCGAGGGCTTTTACGAGTTCCGGGACTATTGGGACAAGAAGATCGAGGTAATGCTCGCCCCCGCCCTACCCGAAGCCGCTTGCGAACTTTTGACTGACGCACTACAGGCCTTACGCAAGACGCAGAAATTCGAAGACCACCTAGAGTTCCATTACTACACGACCAAATCGGTGCCGGGATTCCTCACGTCGTGCATCCTACCGCTCTCAGTGCTATCCGCCTCGTCGTTGGACCTGTCGATACCCTCGTCGTCCTCGGCGGGATGCGTCTCGCTCGAGCCTCCGGGGTCGAAACTCCACCTGATCGAGGCGCTCTCGGACCTGGAGCTGTCGCTGCTCATCTCGGCGGCGCGCCTCGACATCATCGCGCACACGGACACGGTCAACTTCGCCATGGCGTACGACGAATACAGCTCGCAGATGGGCAAGCAGCGGGTGCAGTCGACCGCGTCGGGCATGCTGGCGCTCGGGGCGGGCGCGCGGACCTGGGGCCGGGCGGTGGCGGCGGTGGCGTGGGAGCGTCTGGTGCTACTCGGCCTGCTGCTCCCGGCCGGCGTGGGCGGGAGGAGCAGCGCGGTGCACGGCGGGCTGGAGGGCAAGATGTGGAAGCTCGAGGTCGCGCTAGAGGAGATCCCGGCGGCCCGCGAGCTGCCGGGATTTCTCGCGCGGTGGTGCAGCCAGATCTGACCGGCTTGGTGGGGGGACAAGTCGGATGCTAGGCCGTCGCCAGACGGGGTATAACTATGCCTATAGTTATTTGTCTAATATAGGTCCTGCCCTGCCTACCTGCAGTTGTATATGTATAGATAGATGGATATATATATATATATATATATATACATACCTATAGATACCTATATATAGATGTAGAAATGCATGTGCATGTAACATCGGAACGGCTACGAGCCAATTCGGTGAAGGCCATCGGATCCGAACGAATTCCGCGTTACCAAGGACATAGCGGCAGGGGGAAAAGGAGATTGGCGATGTTGGCAGGAGGACATAGTCCATCCGGGCTGAGCCAGGATCAATCCAGACAAAGAGATCTTGGCTTATCTTATCCCCGTCTGCGCCCCCTTTTTATTATTTTATTTTATTTTCGACCAACCGTGCGTTTACGAGCAGACCAACCCGGGCCAACAAGCCTCTATAGCGTAGCATGTGTATCTAGATAATAGCTATATGCATAGAGAGGTGTGTGTGTAGAGGTATGCGTACACGTGGGCGTAATGGTGTATGTTGGTGGTATGGTTATGTTACCTAGAGCTCAGTAAGCAGCCGTGATAGGGTGTGTATGTATTTATTTTATTGTACCCTATTTCTTCTGCTCTCCTTTTCTCTTCCCATCCTTGTTTCTAATTTTGGGACCAGAACGACGCCATTCCCGCCGTCCTTGAGAGGACACAACTGGCCAACAACCGCAGCGCCCCTCTCCCTCCTCCCCTGATCGACTGCGGGGATCCAATCGATGGCACGGCGATCTTTGTTTCGTCGCCCTTTCGAGCACCGCCGACCTTCTCCTTAGGCCGGGACGCAACCAGCCATGAAACACAGCCATCAGCGATATTTTCGAATGCATCCCCGGGATACACCCCAACTCATCTCGCATCGAGCGCCACGAGTCTCCCCCCTGGCCTCGCTTGCCCTTATTAGCATCAGCATCTCTTTCATCTCCCCGCCCTCCCCCGTGGCCGTCGATGCCAGGTTAGTCAGCTTATAACGGGGTACTTTGTGCCCGAGGAGCGCCGCCGCCGTCATCATCCATTGTCATAGTCACCACCGCCTCCGTCAATAACATTATTATCGCCGCGCAATCTGCGACTCGAGGCAGCGTGCATGCCTATGCAAAGCTCGTATTAGCCTCGAATAGAGAGGCTGCTACTCGTATATTGCGCGTCCAACCGAGATTCTGCTCGCCTCCGCGAGCGACCTACGACTGACAGATCACCATTCTCATCCCCATCGCTGCGATCCACAAAACCTTGCACTACACACCCCCCTCCCCCCCTTTCCCTCCCTTTTTCTACCCTAATTGTCAATTGCCGCGCTCAGCCTTGTCACCTAGGTACCTACTCATTCGACAGCCATTCGCAAGGCTGCGGCTGTCGGGTTTTCGTCTCTACGCGTCCATCGCGCTCTCTTCTGCTCCCATCGGGCAACCACAAAACTCGAGACGCGCGAGCGAGCGAGCGTGCCGGCCGTCTAGTAAGACGTGGACGAGCGGCCTTGCTGAAGTAGTTGTCTGCGCGGGAGACCGGACGCGGGAAGCCGGCGCGATGTCGAAGAAGTCGACGTTCACGACCATCTCGCCGCTGCCGGCGGGGGTGTCGCGGGAGGTGGTGATCGAGTTCCTGCACAACCACGTGGAGATGATCGACCTCAACCCCCTCGTGATCGAGCGGCACCCGATCGCGCCGCCGCCGCACGCGCCCCCCGAGGAGCAGGCCTGCGTCTGGTGGAGCATGACCGACAAGATCTCCTACCTCCCCGGCGGCGTCGTCACCGGCGACATCACCTACTCCGCCGCCTTCAACGACCTTCCCAACGGCGTCCAGACCCACTGCTACGCCCCCATGGGCACCGACATCCGCGAGCGCTGGAGCCTCGGCGGCACTCTCCCCGGCGAGCCCCTCGAACCCGTCGAGCTCGGCATCGGCGCGCCGCGCCAGGGGCTCTACCTACGCGAAGTATGCCGCTTCCTTTCCTCCCTCCTCCCCCTTTCCCTTGGTGCCATATGACTACTTCCTCTCACCCCGCTCCCATGTCTTTCTTCCTTCTCTCCGCATCATCGTATCCCCCCCACGCTCCTCGTTAACGTTAACTCGTACTGCCGCGGCGGACGATGACAACGACGGTGAAAATAACGGCAATGCTAACCCCGGCCCTAGGATGTCGAGCTCCGGTGCAACTTCGTCATGTCGTCCTTCGTCAAGAAGACGCTCAAGAAGGCCCACGGGACGCTCGTCGACCGGCTGCTGCAGAAATCCAAGGCCGCGAGCGAAGCTGCTGCCGCCGCTGCCGCTGCCGCTGCCGCTGCGACCGCGACTACCAGCAACAGCAACGGCGTAGCCGCCGGCGGTACCGGCACCGGTGCTGGCGCCCGGCCGATCCTCGAGCACCACTTCCACCACCGCACGGTCTCGTCGCCCGACGGCACGAGCCTGTACAGCAGCGGGAGCATCCATTCGAGCCACTTCGCGAACCCGACCGTCTCCACGTCGCCCACGTACACGTCGCCCAGCGGCCCGCAGTTCGGTGAGGACGGCAGCGGCAGCCGCGGGTCGCCGTACGGCCACCACCCCAGCCTGAGCCTCGGGAGCAGCGGCTTCGCGCCCGAGCCGCTGCGCGTGAACAAGACGTGGGCGCGGCACTCGGCGCCCCAGTCCCAGTCCCAGTCCCAGCCCCCGCGCCACCAGCACAGCGCCAGCGTGTCGAGCGACAAGGGCCCGCGCGGCGGCCGCGCGTACGCCCCGCCGGGGCAAAAGGACTTCATCGCGGAGCTGGAGTAAGCCGCTCGGGGCGGGAGGCGGTGGGCCGGGCCCGGGGCTACGGGCCCCGCCGTGTACGATGTCTTCTACTCTCGGGCAGTCTCCGCGCAAACCCGCGCTATCAAGGGAAAGGGAAGGAAGGGAGGAAGGGAGGGAGGCGTTCACATGGCGTTTTAACAGGAGGGCTTCCGGACGGGAGAACAATTAAAAAGAGAGTTTGCTTGTTCCATTTGTCGGGTCGGGACGCGCGGGAGCGCGTCGGTTATACCCCCCTTTCGGAGGCGGCGGCGGCGGCGGCTAGGAGACGGGTCCCACGGCCTCGAGAAGGCCGCTTGTTCGCGTTCGGATGTGACGAGCGCACGAATTCCGCCCGCGCGGCAACGAAGTTGCGGGAAACGTGTGCGGAAGTGCCGCTCTTCGTAGTGCCAAGTCGTCGTGGAGTCCGGCCTCGCGAGTTAGCCGCGGGGCCCGAATTCGACTCCGCGAGAACGCGGCTTCGGAGACGTGATCCGAGCCCAATAGCAAATAGTGTCCTGCTCTACCTCAGTATCGACCCGCGGTGACTTCGACTGCGACGCCCCTCCCCTCCCGTCGGTGCACGTAGTCGTACGCAGCAATCGACACATCCAGGCAGTCAAGGCAGAGAAGTCTGGACAGCTTCAACCATGCCGCATACGAGTCTGGCCGAGCTGTCCGGCTGTTAGCGAGAGTATCTCCCTTTCCTACCCCTTTCTTACTCAGCCACGGGCGAATCGCCACCGGATATTCTGCGAGCCCTGCCCGCTACGCTAGGTGGGAGGAATCGTGGCCTTCTGCTGCCTCGGGATATGACATCACGTAAACTCCGAGGCGCGCGCGAGGCCGTCGGCTGCAACTGAAACCGGCAGGTAGCCCAAGGCCGTATTATTCCCCTAGAAGGCCGCCTCCCTTTCGCCGCCTCCGCTCGATGGCTCATTCGTGACCCCCTCCCCCTCCTCCTCTCCCTCTCCGAAGGCTCTCGGTCGTGGCCCTCGTATTTCCTGTATCGTCCGTCGAGCCAGCCACCTGCCGCCGCCGGATCCCGCGCCGGACGCCCCGTCGGAGAGGGCCAGGTCAGATGGGGGTTGAGATATCAGGCAGGTCGGCTTACAGGCTTACAAATAGGCAACCCCCCCCCCCCCCCCCCCCCCCTTCCCTTCCCCCCTTTCTTCCCAATCTATGCGCCGTAATCGCCGGATCGCGCGTTGCGCGCGATGCGATCATTCGAGCCTCTCGTAAGGAGGGACCCGATCGTATGGGGCCACGCGATCGCCCTTGGTTTTCTACGGACTGCTACAGCATCTACGGTGACAGCAATAGTAATAAACCGCCCCGGGGAAGAGAGAGAGAGAGGGGCGGGTGGGAGCGTGGCGGGCGGCTAGGAGGATGAGGCCAGGAGGACGTGAGTACTTTCAGCCGCTGCGTCCTCTGTTTATGTAAGAGCGGAGAAAAGTTCGCACATACGATGCCTCCCCCCGAGCCCGACGGCCGCGTTAGTAATGTTTTTTTTTTTCTCCTCTTCCTTTCACGTTTCTGTTGGGTATCCCTTGTTTTTTTCGAGGCGTTTTTCTCCCCCTCCGGCGCCGGCGATGGGTTGTAGGCTTACGGCGCTCTGCGAACAGGCGTTTCATTCCCCCCTCCGAAGGACAGGAGACATGTGTACATAGGTGCTTAATATCCGCAATGGGTGGCGCGGTGGCGAGAGAGGAGGTTCTCGCCAGCCTCATTAGTCACGGCAGGCAGGCCGAATGCTACGCCGACGACGTGAGCACGAGACCGGGTCACGAGCCCTGCCCTCGCAAATACAATACTTACATGCTCGGAATAGCCGTCAGTAATCGAGAGAGAGAGAGATAGACCCCTCCCCCTCCCTTCCTTTTCCCGTGGTGGTGCGACTGGGCAGGGCTCGTCTCTCTACGCGCCGCGTGGGGTGCGCCGGCCCCAGCATTCGGAAACTCACCGCTCGCGTGTGCGTAAGATGGAATTAGGGGATATCGGTATGCTATACCTCCCCGTACTATATCGTATACCCACGCGTGGCATGGGTTCGGCCAAGTCCGGCAGCCAGGCAGACGGGAGGCATGTATGGAAGCCAAACCTGCCCGCCACCGTTTCTCTAGAACGGTACGCCTTCGTAGACGCCGTATGCAGATGCTCGCCCGCGCTCGCTGCCCTGGCAGCCTGATAGCAGGCGGCCACGCTTCGACCGCGGTATATCTATGTACATATATGTATGCACGTATGTATGTGTGTAGGTAGGCAGGCAACGATCCCTAGGTCGATCTGGCCTCGACACGCTATGCAAAGTGAAGCTGCCGAGTCCCCCTCCCCCACCGGCCCTGGCTCGCTGGGTACGGTATGATACTCGTAGACGCCAGCGATCAGCCCCGTCCCCGTCCCCGTTATCCTCTTCGTCGAGGGTATCGTAGCCCATCCCTCGCCTAGGCCCCCAGCGCGCATCGTGATTCGGAAGCAGCAGCAGCAGCAGCAGCAGCAGCATGTAGATATTCCTCGCGGCCACATACATACGTACTCATGCGGTTACGACGATCTGCTCTCGTATGAAAGCCCACTCTCGTTAGTCACGCGATCTCTCTCCCTCTCTACTTCTCTCTACCACGTTGTCATCTCCGCGCCTGCTTACCCTCGCTTCCTCCCATCAACGAGGCCACAGGCCGGCTCGGTCTTCGTCGCTATCGTTGCCGTCAAAGCGGCGCCAGAATCACACGTGTCCGGCCCAGATACATTATCTGCACTCGCGCACCCGCATCCGTACATACGTGCGTGCCTCCATACCGTGCCTATGGACCTAGGTATAGGAACAGGAAGCCCCGCAAGGCGGCCAGCCGGCCGGCCGACAGTAGCAGCCTGGTCCCCCCTCCCCCCTTGTCAAAAAAGGGGAGAAGGAAAAAAAAAAGAGGAATACGTAGAACCTTTCTCGCAAGTATGTAGGCCATGTATGGATACATCTCCGTATACGCACTAATACGCACCGTCACATCCCATGCGGACACCTACCCTACCCCCTACCCTCCTTAACCCTCCCCCCTAACCTTGCCACCTACGTAGCCGGCCTAGCTAGCTAATAGGCAGCTTTAGGGCAGCCAGACGGGCGGCTTCGCTCTTCTGCTCCTCCTCCTCCTCCTCTTCTCCTCTTCCCCTCTCCCCTCCTCTCGTTCCCACGCTTCTGGTAAACAGTTCGCCTTCGCCCCTCCCCTCCCCTCCCCCCAGTCTCTCGCTCGCCGCTAGGACATGACATGATATGTGGATACGGTGGAGGACGACGAGAGGGCGGCGGCGGCATCGCTATGCGACACACGGACGCATTCTCTCTCTCTTTTATGGCATTTTATTTTATTTTATTTTAATATACTGCCCAACCCGGCTTCCCTACACCGCCTTATCGTCGTCGGCGCGTGAGTGTCGTCATTATCAGCATCGTCCGGTCGGGTCCTGAGCGAGAGCGAGGGTTTCTCGTATCTGTGTACATATGTACATGTGGATGTGTACATGGGCATCTGGCAGGTGTCGGGAGGTATCTATCTCGTCTTGTCTGGGCATTCCAATCTACCTGGGGGAGAGGAGGGCTACTGTAGGTGGTGAGTTAGTTGGTTCGTCTAGTAGGTACTGTATGTAGTTCTCACGTGTCGAACGATGTGTATATGTGCGCGTTCGCGTGTTAGTATTAGGTATGGTATACAGGCTACAGCATACGATGAAGTAATAACCTATACCGTGTTGTCCGTCTACTGAGTTAGAGCGTCTGTCTCTATACGTATAATCGAATTGTCTTACTCGTGCCGCCGCAGCGCCCCTCGCCCCCTTCCGCCCTTCCACCTGCCTACACGTACGTGCACACATGCTATGCTATACCACGACAAGCGGATATTACCGTATAGGTGAGTAGGAAGACAGGTTCCGGATCAGCATGACGGGAGGGCATTTCTCTCGCACGACCCAAAATACCTACATACATACACACGAACGGCTTATCGGGGGCCGGTCCCTGCGATACAATATTTTCAATCTCCAACATCTCTGACTCGCGCCGGCTCGATCGTGCAACTGGATTCGCCGGACTCGGCCGAATCCGGGCCTTCGTCCGTGAACCATTCGTCGGTGAGCGGCGCTCGTCGCGATATCGTGTGCTCGTCGCTCCGCTTCTCGTCGGCTCACGTTTCCGCTGATACGACGGCGGATCCTAGGAGATGGTCCTTGTCTTATCCGCCATTATCGTCTTCCGTCCACATCTTAGTGTAACAGTCCCCTGGTAAGGAGAATTGCTCGGCCGTCGAATACATCCACGTATGTACATACTTGGAAACAAAACAAACGAGGCCCCAACCATGGGCCCTGAACCCTGATCTACATAGTTGCTATCGCTATTATGTACGTATACCCATACATATATACATACACACATATGTGCTGGTCTAGGGTACCGCAAGTACGTCCAGAGCGGTGCAAGGAACTACGGCCGAGACTCAGATAACAAGTCCCCTTGGTGCTCATCATATGACAGCTCAGAAGCTTAGTAGATCAGTGGGGAGGGGGGGGAGGGAAAACTTCCGGCTTCAGCGTTAGGGGTTTGTTCGGCCACTCCGTCGCCAGGCTTTGACGCGATCCGTGCCCTCGACGCCTGTCCGCGAACCAAGCTTTATCTAACATTGATTCAGTCGGACACGGGCCTTCCCACGGACCTAGAAGAGCCAGAGAAGGAAGAAAAGAAGGACGGCAAGAAGGTTCCTAAACCAAGAACGCGAGGTTCCCGAGATCCCCTCGATCTATAATACCCGGTACCTGAGGCGATAATCGAGCTCGCGGGAAAGCAACCCGAGAGACCCAGCATGACGTGTTGGGTACCGGCGAGGGGGGGGGGGATTACGCGGCGAGCATCCTGAGAGTCGAAAGGAGGAACCGAAAAGACACCGCCATCCCGCGACCTGTCTCAGACTTGACCATCGATCCCCGCACACCGCATACCCTGTCGACGACGGAGCGGCGAGTAGACAGCGCCTGCGAGCGTAGCACTTGGCGCACAAGCCGTCAGCCGCGCGAGGAGCAACGCCGACGAGTCTCGGAACAGGCAAGTCTGGCATAGTCCTACCACGTGGGATAGCAACCCGTCCGGCCGCTCGGACGTTCAGCCGCAGAGACAAGACAGGGCCATCTGGGACCGAGGGACCAGAGCGAAGGTCGCGCGGAGTGGGCAGTCTGATCGATGGTAGGTGTCTCAGAAGGGGGCGGCGTCCGATGACGCCAAAGACAGAAGGGGGGGGGGGGGAAGCGGCTTCTGAGACAGGCTAGGCGTGGTTTATTAGCCGGCGATGGGACAGATTTCGCGAACCCGTAGATCGGGCAAGGAAGAGTGAGGGGTTCGGTTCTAGCGTCGTCGACGAAGAAGTAAAGGAGAGCGAGGAAGGAAGAAAAAAAAAGAAGAAGAAGAGAAGAAGCTAACGGACTCGAGGGCCGCCAGGTAAGTCATGAGGTAGGCGGGTTAGGTCCCTACCTCGCACTATGAGTATAATATTAGGTGCCCTACCTTGCCCACTACCTCCTCAAGGTAGCTGAGGTGTCTAAAGAGGTTAGGCACCTACCTAACCTATTACCTACCTACCTCCTAACCGATCGCGGGTAGGAGGTTAGGTGGGTACCTACCTAGGTACCTGACGCCGGAGACGAGACAGTGGGCGGTTGCCCAGCCCTTTAGGTACCTCGACCTTAGGTACCTGGCCTATGGGGATAGACACATCCGTCTACATGCATATGCATGTAGGTATATCCAATAGTACCAATTGCGTGCAGCAGCAGCCTACCTCCTACCTAGGTACCTACCTACCTACCTAGTACCGAGTATCTCGAACCTCAGGCATTGCCTTTCCGCGTATCGTTGCTTGCCCGCCACGTGTGGGATCGCTAAGCTGGGTATCCTCTCCCTCCGTTTCTGCAACGCAAGGGTCAGCAACCCAGGCCCCGCCGCGAACCTCATGTGACGACGTGGCAACCACATGAGAATGCCGTTCCTCGACCTGGCCAGGGGTTGTCGGAACCTAGGTACCTAAGACCTGGAGCGCTTGGTGGCTAAGTTGGCACCCCTCCCCCCCCTCCCCCCTCTCGTACCTGCAATGGCGGTGTGATAAGATTCGCGGTGGTCGTACCGCCATGACGCTACCACCATATTAGTAGGTACTTGTCTTGGGTATAGGTGGTATGTATGTGCATCCATATAGGTTAGGTACCTACCTAGGTAATCCATGTATGTGAGGTACCTTAGGTACCTACCTACCTACTAAGGTGCCCACTGCGCGATACTGCAGCTATCTCCCCCCCTCCCCCGGGACACGCTATGGACTAACCTACCTACCTACCTACCTACCTACCTACGTTAGGAGGGAGGTCTCCCCGGAGCGGTACAGTACGGCATACTACAAGATGTACCTATTTGTATGGACATACCGGTACCCAGGTAGGCTGGGTACCTCTCTCTATGCGGTGCTGTGGTAGCTACAGAGGCACGATGCCTTGGGTATGATTAATATGTATGCACCATACCTCAATATCTCTTGAAACAAGCTGGCGAAGCTGACCCGCAGACGCCTCCGGACCAACTGGGATATATGTACGTAGGTATAGTATGTGTAGCAGACGGTAGCAGGGCGACGGCACCTGAAATATCCATTTATGCCGTGCCATGACTTGTGTCGGGCGGTGGCGGCAACTCGCCCAGCACATGTGCATTACGTATGTAACTAGGCTACATATCGAATAACAAGGGTTTGGTGTATTGCCTGTCTACCTATACATATATCCGTACGTACATACCTATCTCATACATACACACATACCGATTGGTCCGTAGACATGAATCAATGTTGATGTACGCACGTATGTATATGCACATCGAGACAGGTCTCGGGGTTCAGGCTGCCTACCCAAGTTATTCCCAGGCAGGCCAAGGTAGGCTAAGTCAGAGGTCGTGGTGAAGCGCGTATGAGGGCAGCCAGAATAAGACGTGACCCAGTAATCGAGCATGGAGGCGGTGATGATGGCGATAATCCCGTCCCGCATGACATAGGGAGCAAGGGGAGAGGGGGGGAGAGGGGGGAAGAGGTTCCAAGAGACATACCCTGTTACCGCCATGTTGTGGTGAGATTAATTTAGACAGATAGCGTTACGTGACGCCTAGTACGCACATGGCCACCGGTGCCGGTCCGCTCCTGTTTGAATTCGTTATCCATCGTCCTCGTGGGTGGAACCACACAATTTCGACCTCGTCGCTGCGTGGACTACTTGTGTACGAATCATGAAAACGAGAGACGGGCGTCTCACCGAGGATGATGAGCATGCACGCCACGGATATACGGGAAAGAAGGCAACCCAGGCGACTGCTAAAATCTTATGGTCCCTACACAATGTAGGACCATGTTAAACGTGGACGGGATAGCTTGGTTTCCGCTATGCAGGGGCCAGTGGACGAGAAGGGAAAGGAGGAGCGAAACAATGGACAACACACACTCGTTCTCGCAAGGCCACAACATTTCCTGTAGTTTGAGGAGCCGAAGGCTCAGAGTCGGACCCGCGGACCTGCCCCGGCATCTCGTCGAAAGCAGGTCGCGGCCATCAAGGGCTTGCTCCGCTTCTCGCCATCGACGGCGAATCGTCTC